AGGAATAACAGTAAATCTCTCCACGCCTTTCCTACCCTTCAAACTGTTCCGTGGTGTTAACATTCGAAAATGACTCATATCGATGGCCAAGTGCAATACAACGTATTTCCGTTCGTGATGTCGCAGACTTCCTGTTTAATTCAAACTGTTCCGTGGTGTTAACATTCGAAAATGACTCAAATCGATGGCCAAGTGCAATACAACGTATTTCCGTTTGTGATGTCGCAGACTTCCTATCAAACTTTACTTTTTCTTTGGGAAACTAGTCAACGTAATTTCTTGAAAACTTAATAGATTTTTCTTCTCTATTATAGCGGAATGTTGTGTGTAAATTTCGAGCAATATCTACTATAAGGTGTCTGTTTTCTCTCCGAAAAAATGAAAGAGAAGTGGAAATTTTGCAACATTGCAATTGTGATATCTTGTTATTGATAATATTGTCATGAAAATGATGGAGATACATGGTTTTGCATCTGGTCCATCAATGTTCTTCATCACCATCCAATAAGAACAATAGAATCTTGTCATACATGAAAATAAATATACTTAAAAGGATATTAAAAACAGGACCGCAAAAATTGAGACAAACAAAGGAAAGAGAGACTTATCAACCAAAAAAAAATTTATTTCAGGTAAAAAAATATTACATAGGTACAGAAAATATGAAATTATTCTCGGAAAATGTTTTAAGAAAGGGAAACGTAAAAAAATAATTTCCTCAAGATCAACTGAATAACAACGTGGCCACTGGCCACTTTATTTATATAGAAGTCAAGTGATACCTTCATTATGAGAATTTAAAAGACTGGTGAAATATCTCACTAAAAATGAAAAAAATCCGCCATGTTCCTCTTCAAGTTATCAGTAACAAAAAACTCTTTAAACATCAAGTTTTCTTCAAATTGTCATTAATCTACTTTAAATGATCTAAATGATTCAGTAAAAACAGCCAAAGTCTTTTTATTTGATGGAAAAAAAAGTTGTGAAAGCACAGTAAGTCTGCACTTGTCTGCCAGGCAACAGTATCTTCTGCTGTCATGAGCCAATTGACACTTTTTTCTGCAAACTTCCAATTGGAAATTTCCGTGCTTGCTTTCCTGTTATATTTATAGTTCTCTCACCACACTATGTCATATGTATTGTCAAAAATTACTTTCATAAGTTTCCATAATGTTTCATCCAGTCATTTTGTACTTAATAATACCTACATATAAGACTTAGGTAAGAGTGGAGACAGATCTAGACCTGAGCAAACAATTGCTTACAAGGGCATGGAGCGAGGAGACTACATAAGTACAATCTAATTGAAAGTTAACATGAGAAAGCACGATTTCAATTACATACTTCATTATCATGAAATATTTTCAGAGATCCATCAAATCTTCTGGACTGTAATTTATTACTTTACCATGTTGTGCTGCACATTCTGTCACAAGATTCCTTAATTCTTTTGCATCGTATCCAATAATATCCTTCAAGTTACAGACAAACTTATAAACAAACCTTTTTGACTGAACCTGAAAAATTCAAACAGAGACATGAGCAAAATCAAAGTTAGAAAGTTACCAGAACATGGAATTTTAAATTCATTTACAAAATCTAGCATTGACAAAATATGGGTCCTTTTTTGGGACAATACAGTACGTAAGAAAAGTAAACATTGATTTTAGCATTTCAGAGCATTTTCAACAGAAAAAATAAAATGGTAGCAGAGACTTAAAACACTGCCAACATGTTACATTGTTTGGAAGTTTCACCATAGAATTTTATTTGCATAGATCGAATAAGGTATTGCACAGACCTATTAGGTACATCCTGAGTTTCAAATAAACTTTCAAGTTTGAGAAGAGACAATAACGGCATCTATGCATTGCCACAATGATGGTAAAGGAAGAGCGAAAACTTTTCAACTTCTTGAAAGCCCCTAATACTTCAGAACTCAAAAAAGTACGAATAAGATTCATTATTCCTGTTTCAAATTTCTAGAGATGATGCTTATTTAAAAGACCTATAAAATTTTCCCCGACAACAGTAGAATTTCATACATTTTTAGAGACATTTTAACTCACCTAATTTTTTCATGATAAACACATTCCATAAAAAAACTATACTTTTTCCTTAAAAAAATATAATTAATAGTGTAAAGTCAGTTTATCCTTTGATTTAATGCTCACCTTTGATATCATGTCACCTTCATAGTAATAACGCAAAGCACGGCTCAATTTTTCATAATTCATAGTTGGCTTATGCTTCTTTTGTCCCCACAGCCTTGCAACTTCCTCTGGATTCACAAATCTGAATTCACCTTTTGCACCGCGCCATCGAATGATATCCACATGCTTCCAGTCAGTTAATAATTCCAGTAAAAATTGCCATAGTTGTATCTGACCGTTATTGCCTTTAAACAAGAGCAATCATAAATTTTCAGTGCTCATATTTTATTGAGGATTCTTCATAATTTTTTGCAAATTCAAAAAATATTTACTGCTACTCATTGGGTAATGGGCCTGTTGCAAACTTTTGCTAGAGCAAAAATAAGAGTTGTTTCTTGTAGATAATGCCTCAAAAATCACGATGAGCGCATCGGCAAAGTCTGAAATGCACTCATAACTTCACAATCTGCGTAAGAAATTTGCGTTTTTTTAAGCTTCCCGCTTCAAAAACGATACTACGGCGTAGGTGAACATTTTGTTAGAGGAGTCGCTCCATCGTCGGCGATATTCATCATGGCCGACGCTTGCACGCAGTTCCGCGCGTAATTCAAGGAGAGTTCAAGGTCAATCCATTCGGGCGTGGAAAATATGAACGTTAACACACCGATTGTTATCTGGTCTAATCCAGTTCAGGTGTTATCTCGTCCCATCAAACGTGTTTTGGCGGATTGGCGTCGGCTATGATGATTATTGTCGACGATGGAACGACTCCTCTTACAAAATGTTCACCTGTGCCGTAGTATCGTTTTTGAAGCGGGAAGCTCAAAAAACCGTAAATTTCTTACGCAGATTGTGAAGTTATGACTGCATTTCAGAGTTTGCCGATGCGCTCATCGTGATTTTTGAGGCATTATCTATAAGAAACAACTCTTAGTTTTGCTCTAGCAAAAGTTTGCAACAGGCCCATTACTCTTATTCAAATGCAAAACAATTGCAATACTTGTATGCGGCTACTTGCACGAAAAGAGACCTTGAATCTCAGGAGAAAAGTTTTCAGAATACTTAGCAGTTTTCGTTAAGTTGAAGCAAAATAATCATCAAGCAGTAACCCGAAGAATATATTACGTTAGGATTCCTCCATTTTTGTCCTGGCAAAGGTCATAAAGCCCAATTCACACTATCAAACATTTCATCCGACTCTTGGATGTAACTTGTTGAATGAAAAGTTAGATAGTGTGATATTGACGAGAAAAAACGACAATTTGATGAAAAATTGGATGGAAACTTGAATTTGACGTCACATTCAACTTTTCAAAAATTAAAAAAAAAAAAAAAAAAAAATGGAACGAAATCTTCCAATCAACATGAGCCGAAGCTGTATCTTCACGAACCACAGGCTGATAACGATATCACACTGCAACAGTCATTGAATCGAATTGTTTTGCATCCAACTTTCCGTCCAACTTTTCGTTCAATTATGTCGGATGAAAAGTTTCATAGTGTGAATTGGGCTTATGATTGCATTGCACTGCACTGCATTTTATTTGATCAATAATTTTAAGCCCCTGACAAATTAGATCTAAAGTTGCAACAAAACAAATATAAATTGATCTTGATTTAGGTCACCCACTTTTTGGTTCGGTTGTTCAAATTTTGGTTATTAAAGGCAGTCCCGGTAATTACACACACAGCTGATTATTGAACAGCGCATTTTTGAGCTTATTCCCAAACTTCTCGTACTCTAGACACGGCATACCAAAAAATAAGTATAGCTTTACTGATTTTACTACATCCATATAAAATAAAGGCTATAGCTACCTGAACGGTTTGGAGAGGGAAGACTGAATGCTTCTTCCGCTTTCTGAAGAACTATTCGAGGTTTGGAGAGCACTGGAGGTCTTGAATTTATGATGTCATTATCTAATGGTTTCTTTGCACAAGTTTTCTTGGCTCTTGCAACAGGTTTAAGTTCAGGTATTGCGTGTGTGACAGCTATTCAAAAATATGATAAAACAAGACTTAGAGTGATAATTGAAAAATCATATGGTTTCATAGGTTTTGCACAGTTTCCTCAGTCAGGTTTCTCTATTCTCCCCTTATTTTCCAACAAGTATAATTAGGAGACATACGTTTGAACTGCAAATTTTGGTTTGCCACACATATAGAAAGATCCATAAATGAAAGGCCATCCTCCCACTGAGGATACTTTTCTAAGAGAGGGCGATGGCATACTACTTAAATTAAATCAATGTGGATGAATGCAGATTTATGACGTCAAAAAGTTGTTCTTACAGCTGAGATTCACTGAGAAAGTGTTCAAACCTAGGTTACACTCTGGACTAGAAACTAAGACTAGACTATGATGAAGTGGAGCTATGTGATTGGAGGGCTATGTTGATCGGAGGATCCACAATCTTATTCCTGGAACTGCAAATTTTGGTTTGCCACACATATAGAAAGATCCATAAATGAAAGGCCATCCTCCCACTGAGGATACTTTCCTAAGAGAGGGCGATGGCATACTACTTAAATTAAATCAATGTGGATGAATGCAGATTGATGACGTCAAAAAGTTGTTCTTACAGCTGAGATTCACTGAGAAAGTGTTCAAACCTAGGTTACGTTACACTCTGGACTAGAAACTAAGACTAGACTATGATGAAGTGGAGCTATGTGATTGGAGGGCTATGTTGATCGGAGGATCCACAATCTTATTCCAAACCCTTCATGAGGCCAAATAATCAATTAACTAGAGGCACTTTCTCGCAAGGCAACGACCAGTTGATTATTCTGCTTCACAGAGGGCTAGTAACCAGTTGTCTTATCAACATGGCTGACCAATCATATAGGTTCATTCCATATTATGTGGTTTAATCTTAACCACCAAACAAACAAATAATTTCAATAATCAGCCTGCTGGCATGGAATACAGTTTAAGGGTTGAAATGCAGGTAGATTGGCTCATTTGAACGACTAAGGCTTGCCAAAGACAATCAACCCCTAAACTGACTGAGCCGTTCACTTGACTCCGCCCCTTACACACCACTTTCCTTGGCAACGATTATAGACAGAGTGTTGGTGATTTTACAACGTACTTCAAAATGCAGTGTAAAATTGTCATTTTTGGAAATAAAATGCTCATTCACACAGAATTTCTCCTCAAACAGAAATGATGTTGGAAAGACCGCTTGCCTCGATTTTGTTTTAAAAACATCTCCAGTCTTGAAAGCAGAAAGTCTAGAGGTAAGCTGCTCTGATAATGGGCCCAATTAGACCCAAAATGCGTCTGCGGTTGCCTACTTGATTGGTCATAACTAATGTTATACCATACAGCATTTCTCTCTGAGAGAAAATTATGCTGGGAGCTTTTTTCCTCTAAAAATGAGAATATCAGTTTTCTACTGAATTCTAATGTAGGTTGGCAAAATCACCACCACTCTGTCTAAACATCTTATGCGACTTAGCACAATCTGTTTGTAGATTATATGTATTATGAACGGCTCAAGCTTAGATCAAGATTCAAAGGAAATTGAACTCGTACCTTGTTGGCATGTCTTACATACTTGCTTTTATGGCACAAAAAAAAACTTGAAATAAAAAAAAGCGTTAGCTGCTAATATCGTTCCGACTCATTTATCGGAGAATTGAGCGTTTCCTATCGGCCCCTCTGCAATTATGAGATTAGTCTAAAGATCCTGTAGGAACTTAAATTAATGACTCAAGTGGTGCTTTTGAGCCAACTTTCAAAGAATTAAAGGCATTTTTTCAAAATCTACAGTCCATGACCAAAGTGCTCTCCTCGCTGTATGACGCGTAAGCCTTCAATTTTTAGTTTAGTCCAAAGACCTCATAGGAACTTAAATTAATGAACCAGGTGGTGCTCTTATGTCAACTTTCGAAGAATTAAAGGCATTTTTTTTTAAAATTTACACTCCTTGAAAATGAGCTGTTTGTGTCATGTCGCGGAGCAAAGTGCCCTACTTTTGGGCCTCGTAATCCCTTGAATTTTGAGTTTGGCCCAAAGATCTTTTAGGAACTTAAATTAATGACCCAGGTGATGTGTTTGATGCCCACTTTTAAAGAATTAAAGGCATTTTTCAAAATTTACAGTCCCTCGAAATGAGCTTTCCGTGTGATTTTGCTGAAAATGGACCTTTGAAATGGACCTTGCTGAAATTTGACCCTAGCCCCCCAAATTTTAGCGTACCCCAAAATCGTTTGACGTGCATAAGGAGACCATAGATATGGTGTTCTGTGCCAATTTTGAATGAAATCGAACGAATAGATTCTGAGATATCGCTGTACACAGATTTGGGGGACATCGGACGGACGGACACACATTTTTTCAAGTATGGTTATTTTGACTCCTGGGACCTTAAAACGTCCAGAAATGATAAAATTTCAACTTTTTTTTTTTCTTGGAGGATGACAATACTTCCTCTCTACCCTAGGGGAGCGAGAAAGTAAAAATTAGCCAAATGACTGAGGAAACTCTAGATAAGGATAAAAAATATTTCATTTCCCACATTTGCACTAAATCGTTGCAAGTTTGCCATTGGTTATTAGTTTCTCCCATCAGCTTACTATCAGTTAACATCATTTTATTTGTGTTGGCTTCATACAACCAATATGGCACCACAGAAACACCTTTGTCTCAGGTTCAAGAGCCTGACACGACTTGCAACACTCTGGATTGAAATAAAAGAAATCCAAGCATCTGGTGCTTACCGACTAGTTTGCATTTACGCAATAGTTCCAGATGAGTCCAAAACAGATCACCAGGATCATTAGGAACTCTCTTATGAAACTCTGATACGTTCATCTTGCACAGGTCTTGACCATTTATGTTCCAGTCTCTCATATCAATGCCTGACAAATTGAATTTCCTCATCGCCCATTGCAACCAGAATCCAACATGCAAAGGATTCCATAGGTTTGGATCTGAAAGAGAAAATCATGAATTCAACAAGAGTAGATAAAGAATCATTCAAACTTTCATAGAGTTCAGTCTGCTAAAATGATGAGAAATTCAGCCAATGCGGAAGTCACAGTTGACAAGCTTATTGTGGAATTTCACTCGAAAAAGATAAGATAGAAATTTGAAATGAATGCTGTAGGAAAACGTCCTGTTCTTTCTTTACTTTTAATATTTACATCAAGATCAATTCACACAGGTTAGTTATTTCTGTGAACAAATTTTGAGGTCCTACTAGGCAGTAACAGCAAGACGTTTAAATAATGTAATGCATTTCTGAGATCAGTTCGGGATGATGAAAAAATGGATAAATCAACTGATGAACCTCCATCTGCAAACCCCAAAGACAGAGGAGGATAAATAGTTCTAATAAGCCCTCATTCTGATGTTGGATACTCACAAGCTAAATTTTTCCTGAGAAGTTATAGCGAGAAAAACTATTATGAATTATTACAAAAAAGAGAATAAATGGATAAATAAATAAATAAATACATGAACACTTCAGAAAGTCATGTTCGTAAAATGACAAGATATTCAGGATACCCACCTTCAGGTATGTTCAATTCCATCCTTTCTCTTTTAAACTGTGGATCTACTACCCAGCGAACAACTTCTTGATCTTTATCCTCCACGCCTTCTAAATCTGAATTGCTTGCTTCATCTACGTCATCAGATCCTATGAGAACCACAAAAATCAACAGTCTTACAACATAATTGGATTAAATTTTGCAATCATGAACTGCGATATGTGGTTTAGATTGGAAACAACGTATGTGCTATTGGTTCCTCAAAGCACTTAAAAGTTTTTAAAGTTGAACTAAAAATTGAAGTTCCTTTTGAAGCAAAATGTAGTCCAATTCATATTCTTGAGATGATTTGTGATTAAGAAGAGTTCTGGAGTCTGGTTATCATTGAATGAGCATTCAGAGTGTTTCAAAAATTATGTGAAAGAGCTAACTGAACTTGGAACTTTTTAGTCGAAAAAACAAAAAGGTGATAATCCTCAAGCATGAGGACATTACGTCAAGTGCAATAAAAGTTTAGAAAGTGTTACTCTAAGACTTGAGTAAGAAGAAAGTTTTACACAAAGGTAGACTGGCCGCAGGGAAGAACGGAAAAATTCCTGGTGGGCAGATGGGTTTAAAGAGATGCGTGTGAAGGGAGGTGNGGGGGGGGGGGGGGGGGGGCTCTCACCAGCACATTCGGCTTCAGTAAAATGTGATACATGTGTATAATAAATAACTAAGTGATGTTTCGAGCAAAGATAGTTTTTTCACAGTTCCAAATTTTCTCCTGAATTTTGATATATCCTGTCTCTCCCACAATTTCTTAACCAGTAACGTCTCCTTGACTGTACAAGATTTTACAATACACAATATCCTAACTTTTTCCTGATCTTCCAAGGGTATTGGACAGAAAATTATTTTCAGAAGACAAGTTTACTGCAAGATTTAAGTGAAATGGTGCAAACCATGGTTTCGGCTGGGCACACAAATTAAAGGTTTGACAGCAAAATTTCCTGTACTTTAACTTTTTTCTGGGTTCTCTCCAACTTCTCTGGAGCTTGTCGCCTTATTGCGATCTAAAAATATACTTTGGGTAATCATTGAATGATGTTTGAAAGTAGATAAGTGTCAGCTAGAATTTTTAAATAGTATGATAAAAAATCTAAAAACATATTATTCCCAATTAAAAGTGACTGACCGTTATCCATGTTCAAATATTCTTCAGCAGGCTTCAAAACATCTATTATATTTATTTTTTTTACTTCATCCTCAAGTTTTAATTCAACATGCATTTGTACCATTCCATCTCCTTCTACACCTTGCTCCACTAAATTCTTTTCATCATCTAGCTGTGAACATGATATAGAAAGTAAGTTACAAGCATGATGCAGTTTAAGTGTTCTCAAGAGAATAAATACATTAAATAAATAGATAAATAAATAAATAAATACAGTTCTCAATACAGTATTTGAAGCATTGGCGATGAAAAAAATTTAAAATTTTTCAGAGCCTAAAACATTCGATTACAAGATGGAATTCTTTCATTTGCTTTTGCCACCGGTTCTATAAAATTATTGTGTCCATCCCATCAGAAAGATACCCGCACACACCTTATGGGAAATGGCTCTCTCTACAATCTGATGAAACTTGGATATGTTGCTCAGCTAGTCATACTGATCAAAAGTTCTCTGGGCCGAAAGAGATCCCACGAGCGGTTTTCGAGGTATTCGCCGTTTTATGTGCGTAATTTGAGGTTTTGCAGGCTGGACCATTGTGCTGTGCTTCTTGTGCCCTTCCCTTTCAGTCCACTCCAGCCGCTCTCTGCTTCCCCACCACCCATACCCGAGGCTCGGACTCTGACGCTCACAAGGCTTTGCTCATCGTTGCCGAGTCGGTTGGTCTTAATCACCGTGAGCGTCAGAGTCCGAGTGGCAGGGAAACGGAGAGCGGCCGAAGTGGACTGGAGGGGAAGGGCACAAGAAGCAACGTACAATGGTCCGGCCAGTGAAACCTCAATTTACACACATAAAACGGCGAATATTTCGAAAACTGCTTGTGGGATTTCTTTCGGCCGATGAGAACTTTTGATCGGAATGACTAGCTGAGCAACATATCCAAGTTTCGTCAGATTGTAGAGAGAGCCATTTCCCATAAGATCTGTGCGGGGTCCTTTCAAACACACATTAAAAAATATTTTGTCCATCTTTCAGAATTTTAAAGCTTGCAAGTACAAAATAAGAAAAATCAAGTAAATTGAAGTACCTCCAAGCACTTATACAAACCATGGTAAATACTCTTACAGCTCCTGTCAAAAATGAGGTATTCATGGTGCAACAAGTAAGGTGCAAGCAATGGGTCTGTTGCTAACTTTTGCTAGAGCAAAAATAGGAGTTGTTCCTTACAGATAATGTCTCAAAAATCATGATGAGCACGTCGGCAAACTCTGAAACGCACTCTTAACTTCACTATCTGCGTAAGAAATTAGCGTTTCTTTAAGATTCCCGCTTCAAAAAGGATACTACAGCACAAGGATACATGGCCAACGCTTCCGCGCGCAAGTTGAGGAGAGCACGAGATCAATCAAGGCGGATATCTAACAACACGATGAAAATGTGAATGTAAACATGCCGATTGTTATCGGGTGGTTAGAATCATCATCCCGTCACATGTGTTTTGGCAGATTGGCGTCGGCTATATTGAATATTGCGTAGTATCCTTGTGAGCAGGGGTTGGATGGAATTACTCTTCTAACAAAGTGTTCACCTGTGCCGTGGTATCGTTTTTAAAGCAGGAAGCTCAAAAAAACTCATATTTCTTGCGCAAATTGTGAAGTAAGGGGTGCATTTCAGACTTTGCTGATGCACTCATTGTGATTTTTGAGACACTTTCTATGAGTAACGACTCTTATTTTTGCTCTAGCAAAAGTTTGCAACAGGCCCATTGAAGTTAAAGCATGTCAGGGTGAATTGCTGTACAAAGAAAATGGAGATTTATGAAGAGATCGGACATAACTTTCAATTTCTCTTCAAAACTTTGACATTTGATGAGGTTTTAAATTACTTTTTAGTGGGTTGCTTTGCTCTGAATTAACTTGGATTTGAATTGGAGGAAATGGATTTCCTTCATTTCTAAAATTTTTCAACTTACTTGCTGATTATCTAGAAGCCAAATTCCACAGTCAGAGAGGCTCACACTGACTTTTTCTTCCACTAATCTCCTCAATTTATACAATGGTTCTTCAATGTCTAAATGCACGACAATAAACGATTCCCTGAAAACCGTAAATCAAAAATTGAAAATAAATAAGCATGAAAATCATATTTCAGACTCATGTTTGTGGCAGATTCATTAAAATCTGAAAGAGCCACCTATTGCAGTGCTCCACTTGGTTTTGAAAAATTCGAATTTTTGACACCCCCCCCCCCTTCCCAAAGGGGAGTAGGCACTTAAGTAGGAAGTGGGAGAGTTTCGGGATGACACTTTTGGACCATTCTTATTGAAATGTAGTTCAAAACAAAATGTTGAGGTGAAAAAAGTTGAATTATTACTTTCAACCTCAAGAGAACGATATTTCAAGCAAAACTGGCAAATATTATATATCGACGGTGCAAGTCGGCAATCACATAACTCGTTTGCGGTGTCTGAAAATCTCCGCAACTATGTTATTTTTTTAAAGGAGAACAAATGGACATGATTCCTTGAAGTTTTTGCAGAATTTTCCTCGCACGTAGAAGAAAAATCACGGCAGTTTTAAAGAATTACCGTTGAGTAGTTTTCCGTTTAAAAAATAAAGTATGACAGGAAGTCTGCGATGTCGCAAACCAAGTTATGTGATTGCCGACTTTCACCGTCAATATGTACTTTAAATTCAGGTCTTTTTGGTCCACATCGGTCATTTACAATGCCATTTTGAAAAGAAAAAAGTGTTGGATATCCAAGGGTTAAATGTTGCAAAACTGCTTAAACAGTAATCATACAAAGATCAAAGGGGAGAGCAGCCACATTACGAAAAGTAAGTTTAAAAATTGTATCTTAGGGTCAATCTTGCATTAATTATTATTAGTTGTGGGAAAAAATAATCTTAATGCCGTTTGAAAGTAATACTAGAATAGAGCAATTACATAAAATCTTTTCCATTATAGAAAAGTTGTTAACATTGTCTGATAAGGACTAATCTTTACCATTTTTACTCAATTCCGTTCTGCAGAAAAGTTTGCTTCAGGAACTGAGAGTGGTCTTCCTGAAAACATTTTGTTGATTCACATTTATTTAGGCGGATGGTGACATAACCCAAAGATCTACATTCACCTATCATCTACATTTAAGACACTTGTCAAAATTGACAACTGTGGTATTTAGAAAACTTTCTCCGACGTCTTAACGGCTTGTTATGACACTGATGTTGGATGGCTTGGCTCATCATTCATTCTAGTCCCATCCATTAGAATACGCACATCTCCTATGGTGCATATTGCTTGGTGGAAACTCTCAAAATAAAATTGCAAACGATGTACTGAAAAACTTACTCTGATGTTGGCTCTTCTTCAATTTGTGACTCATTTGTGTAATCACAACTTGTGTCCAATCTGCCACTGTTCGTGTCACTTTCCTCCATTTCTTCCGCTGAAAAACAAAATATGAAGCGCATTGAAGAGAAAAAGATGAACTTCCACATGTAGCCTGGTTCATTGCCTCCTAAGAATTCTTCATTAAATAATAAACATGCCGTCATTTTTCAATTAATGAGCTCCTTGGTACTCATCAAAATATCACCGATTTCTACATAAATTTTGAAACAGACCTCTATCTTTTCAGATTTTTTTCCCAAGTTAAAATTTTTCCGCAACTCTGTTCCAATTGCATGAAACCTTTTACAATAGAATGAATCAAGCAAGAGGAAAAATTGTTTTTAGGAAATTCTCAGTTTTCCTATACAATGACGTAACATTTTTTCCTCAGATTTTCCTGACTGGACAATATTCAGACAGTAGGTAGACGCATCCTATTAAAATTTTTCAGTTTTTATAGGATGCATGTTGATGCTGATCAAAGAGTAAGCGAGATGAGGATTTTTTGACAAGAGTTTTTCTACTGAATATTTATTTCAAATGACATATACCTCTTACACCTTCAGTTATAAGTACATACATATTTTATAGTTCGCATGAAAATTCTGTAAGATATTTTAAATCTTTTTAGAAGTTAAAAGTCTTAATAAGAATAAGAGCCCCTTTGTTTCAGCATTTTTTGTGTCATCATTACTTTTAACTGTTCCATGACTTTATGGCATACGATAGTCTTCTGTAAGCAAGGATCACTACGTTGTTTTTGGAACATTATATTTTTTTACATACATTTTTTTTCTGAATGCACAAAATGTCATTGAAGAATACTGTTCAGCCAGAGAGGAAATAAAAAGAGAAAAACAACCAACAACTTCAACTGAAGCAGACTCAATACTCACACTCTATTTTCATTCGTTTGGAGGAATCTGATGTAGAGGGAAGGTCATCATTTTTGGTGGCACTTGATGAATGCTGGTCTTTCAGGGTGACAGACCCACTGAAAAAAAAATGAATGGTACCATTAACTTTTGTTCATACTTATTTTTCAATTTATATGACTTGTACAAAATATGAGATCAATTTAGATTCCTTGGACATCAACTTGCCAGCTGTATGGCATGGAATGGCAATCAGGATGAAACTGAGGGTATGTGGGTCTCAATGGTGGTTTGGTGCTTTCTCTGGCATTGATGGGTCTCAAGCAAAGGAATGGGTCAATTAATTTTAAAATCCACCCTTGCAGTGCATGACAAAATTAATTTGTACAGAAGTCAGATTAATAAGTTTCAAGTTTCACTACAAAGTCCATACTTACTCAAACAAACTTAGTTGCTGTTAGCTCTCAAATGCTTATGGCAATATCGACAGTGAAACTACCATACTACGTATCTCATTTGCGGTATTTAAAAATCTCCGCTTCCATTTCATTTTCTTGGAGAACAAATCAATGTCATTCCGCATTGTTTTCACTGAGTTGCACAGAGTAGAACAATCTTGTAAGTTCTCAAGAATTGATGTTGTTTAGTTTTCCATTTAAAAAATAAAGTGTGACAGGAAGTCTACAATGTCGCAAACCGAGATACATGGTACAGTAGTTTCAGCGTCAATATAAGCTTGGCAGCAAAATAATTCAGCTCACTTCAGGTAGAAGATACTATTGATGATTTGATGATAATTGAATTGATGGGTTACAGATAAAAAGTTATTCTGTGATTTAGTAAGTTCTAAGGCTGTTACCCTGGAGTCCGTTTCCTTAGAATGTTAACCTCAGTCATTGGAATTTTATGCTCAGCAATGGCGTCAGATAGTGATCACATAGCTCTCCAAAATGCAGGAATGATGCCCTTGTTTCTCTGTTTGCAGTCACAGAAATTGCTTCAATTCATGAAAGTGAAAAACCAACTCCCAATTCTGTAAAACAAACAATGACAGAAGATCATAATTAAAGAAACACATGAAACTCATCAAGTAAAATCACATGAACTGAAAATCCATGTAGCAGGTTTATGCGTACACCTCCAGAAAATGTCCTTTGTCATAAAATGCTCTGGGTGCAACATTATGCTCTCAATGTGACGCCTTAAATTGAAAGAAAATTTTCTAACTCTACTTCATCCCTCCCTCTTTCAACCCTGGTAAAAACAAAAATCTGCTTGTGCACACAGCAATTAAATTCAAAATAATAGCTGCTATACAGTCAACCATAATTATAGGGTGATGTAAGTTCAGGTCTGTTTTAGGATGCTAAAAATTTAGGTTCCAATTTGGCTCATTCTCACCGTGTAACGATCTGTTAATCAGAGAGATCTTCAAACTAGAGAGGTGCTGATGGACATCCAAAAAAGTACCGATGAAGAGCCTTCTGCAGAAAAAGCCTGCCACACTTCTTAGGACTAGCACGCTTTTCCAGACTCAGATTTATATCGTTTTACTAACTACACATCTTTTTGATCCTATGACACGTGCTGGCTGGCTGGCATTGTAAATTTATGCAATACTCTGTCATCTCAGTTTATGTCAATTGTGCGCAATTTTTTGCGTGTTTCGTGTCAGGATAAACGCCACGAGTGAGGATTTTTCTTTACCTATGGCCCACTTTCAGTTTCATTCCTAGTGCACAAAAATGTTAAACTGTGTGAGGAGGTCAACTCAGAGGGGAAAACATTCACGTGTATACAGCATTGGCGTCTAATTCACTGGTTCCTCGTTTGTGAAAAGGGCATTCCATCAATTTGTCTTTCTGTTTGCAAAGAAGATAGCGGTATGGTGCAAAGATCCTTGCCCAGCTGGTTAAAATTTACTTGAGGAATCCAAATGCCCCTCGAAGAAAGCTCGAAATGCTCTCTTGAGACTAGTTAAAAAATAAAGGAGGACTAAAATTTACACTCACCACGAAAGAATAGGAACTGAAGGCCGACAGGAAGTAAAAGCACTTGTTCTTCAGTAAGGGATACTCAGGGTGCCAAATCTATTTTAATTTTTCAAAATTAGAGATGTACTAAAACCAGTTGAGTGAATGGTAGTGTTTTTTTCAAAATTTACCCTTTACTGCTGAATGAGCAGCTTCGGAAGAAAGCTGCTTCTTGGATTTTCTTCTGGATTTGCAATGTTGAAGTCTTGTTCTAACCTCAAAAATTTTGTTGTCATTAGTAGGGGAGGGGGGGGGCGGAGGGAGAAGGCCGGAAGGGGGAAGTAAACAAACCAACGTGAAAGTGAAAGTTGAAAGTGTTTCCATGTAGCATGTACTTATGGTACTTTTGACGTTTTGAACCTTAAGTCTTTACTTTTCATAATTGCTTTCCTGTATTAATTAAATATTTTGTAAATATAGTTCCTAAAGATAATCTTCTCGTAAGTCACTACTGATGAAAAGCGATTTCAATGATCGAATCAACGATCCAATTGAAAGATGAGTTCGGAATCTGAAAGTATACTGGAGCAGGTTTGTAACAAGCTGTAGAAGTAAATATTTTTGTGAACGTTTCCCATCAGTGCTACGCACAGATCATAACTATAATGCTGTTAAACTGCAAACCCCAAATTTCTATTATTAGAAATTACAAACCAAAAAGTTACAACTTTTCAATTTTCTGTGAAATAGCGGATTTTCCACTAAGTACTTGACGTCGCCTATGAGCAGCCGATTGGCTGACTCTAAGACTTTAAGATTTTAACCCCTTGTAACCCGAGAGAGCTACTTTAATTTTTTGCGGTTGAAGGCTGCAATGCGCACCAAATAGTCGAAACAACAACCTTTTGAATCTTTGATCTTGGGATGATCATTTGGAAAAGTCATATTTATGCTTCTGTTGCGCTAGATTGAGATGTAAGCCTTGCCAAGAGGCTGGAGGGGTCTCTCTCAGTCACTTGGACCCCAAAAGTAAGGTGAAGGAAGACAGAGAATGTGTTAAGCATGGTAAAATCGATAACCAACTCAGAAAGTTTGTATCCTTCCTGTTTTTCATTTCTCACACTGGAAATGTTCCTATTATCTTTCTCCATGGTATAGAGCCCTTGAGAACATCAAGTTGAAATTTTGCAGTCTATCAATGTTAGTTTTTTCCATATTTCAACAACTTTCCTTCACAGCTCCTTCAAAACGCATCTATTTATCTCTCATTTTTGAGAAAACTCTAAGAGAAGATGTCTTGCAATTGTATAAATGCTAGACTCAATTTTACATCACTGTCACTATCAATACTATTGATGAAAACGAGGCAGAAAACAGAGAAGCAAGCTGTATGTTGACTCAAGGCAAGTGTTCGATAATTGTAATAGGATCTAGCAGTCACTAAGCTTTTTGGAGCAATGAGTGCCAAAGGCTTGAAAGGAAATGTGATTGGACCAGTAGCAAGAGGCTTCCTCCTAACAAAAATATTGTCTGCAGAACAATATCACCTAAACTCTGTCAATCATCTTTCAAACAGAAAATATGCAAGTATTTTGCTTTCCCAGTCTCAAAAGTTGATGTTCTATTACTTATATCCAGGATGGCAAAATTATCCTTCCTGTTTCCTCTATTTCCAGATCCAACTAGCCAATGATTTCATCGAAACTTGTCTTTTTCGGGTTGAAACAATCGAAAAAAGGTTGAAGTCGCAAGAACTATTACAGACAGACAGGTAAGAATGTGGAAAGAAGCTTCCGTGCAAATATTCATCCAGTCTTTTAGGGCCAAGTCGCCGACTTAGGAAAGAGCTTTCCCCTTAAAAGTGTCAAGTGAGTAGGCCGATGACAAGATTGGGTAGAGCATGAAACGCAACATACCTTATCAGATTAATGGGAGCTTTAAAGATAGAACTCTTTTTGAAGGCAGAGTCCTTGCCAGCCAAAATTTGGTCCGGTTTATCCAGGGGTCTGTGCGCTAATTTTCCCCTACTTGTTTCTTCCTAGTGGGTTCCTTCCCATCAAAATCAAATGTAAGTATGAGTCTATCATTTAGTTGTAAATTAAACAGCGAGAGAGGGATACGTCAATGTAGTCTTTTGCATGCCCCCCTCTCTTCTGCTCAAGAAATTCGCTTGTTGTCAAGTGGTCCCTTTTACATAATTATTTCAGTAAGGATTCTGGAATAAGAATTTTTTTCCTACAAGTACGCCAAATTAACATCAAAATTTTTTCAGGGAAGAATACGAAAAAGAATTGGACACTTTACGGCAGCAACTGGCAGAGAGTCAAAATGTTCTACGGAGTCTTTATCAACCTAATCGACAGTCATTTTACCTGGCAGCAATCATCTTGTTAATGTTCATAGCAGTTTATGCTGTTCTTTATGGATAGTTCCTTAAACCGACAGATCCTTGTAAATATTGTAAGTCATAAAATTAATTTGATTTAATTATAAAGTGAAACCAACAATGAGCCCTCTACTTCTGTTCTGAATCAAGAAAATTTCCTGAAACATACCTATACAAACGAAGAGAGGTATGGTATTCCCTTAAACCTTTTTTCCTGAAAGCTTTGTCTAGCTAGCATGACGATCCTCTTATCACAGTGCATTGGCAACACAGAATTAATTTTGTTAATGGATCGGATCGAAGTATTACTCTGATCCAGATTCAGACTCTGTATTTTTTTCCCACCTAATCCTGAGATTTCGTGGGGTGCAAACCGAGGTAAATGCTGCAATTGCACAGAACCTGTAAAGACACGTTACTTGGCTGGTCTAATACTACACTCCTGTGATTGGTCCATTCTAATGCAGGTTGCATTGTTGTACTACCACACTTATGACACCATTTGTGTCAAATCTGAACAATCAGTCGGAACCAAAAAAATTCAAATCCAAATCATAGCCTTTGCAAAAAGTGAATTTGGCTCCTAAGGAATTGTAAATGGCTCCCAAAAATTGGGCTTTCCAGCCAAGGTAGCTATTAATTTTTTTTTTTTTTTTTTTTTTAAAAAAAAAGCAGAACGCTTATCTCTTTAAAGATTCAAAAAGAAGCTGCAAAATTTAGAAAACATAGTAATAACGTTTGCCAAATTTCCAGCGCTATCTTTCTTCTGCAACTTTCAGTTTCCCAGTGATTTTCGAAAGTTTGACTGGAATCGCAACCTTTGTACCCTGTGCCTCAGGGTATTTTAAGATAATTTTTTTATGAGAAGGTAATATTATGAAAAGAAGCCCAACAATTTTGCAATGGATCCATGACTTTTATTTTTTTACTATAGTAAGAAACAAAAATGGTTAATCTATTTTCTGGCAAGTCAGAATGTAACATTCTTTGTGGATAGGGTAGGACTGGTTATGAGTATGACAAAAGTGAGGTCTTCTCCTAGGTTATAAAAGGGACAAGTAGAGTCGAACACAAAAGAAGACAGGATAAGTACATACAAATGTGGACTGATTTTAAGTGTCGGAGCGTTTTTATTTAGAAAACTTGAAGTCACTAATTGGCTCTGAGAGGGTAATGTATAATAAGATCACAAAAAATTCAAAAAAATAAATTGAGGAATCAGATGAGAATAGCTCAGAAGTGGGTGATGAAGCTAAACCAAAAATTAAAAATTCTCAAAACCTCATACGATTTTAGTTTACTTCTTGGTAGTGAGGATGAGAGATTAAAGCCGGATTACTTGCAGTGGATGCATCCATGAAGCGTCTTGCAATCCAAGCACTGAAAATTACTTTCCGCCGAACATGCCTCAGCTTACACAGAGAAAAAGATGCAAGACACAGATGAACTTTAAGAGACTGTACATAATTGAAACTTAGGATCGTTTCATATTATCGTCGACCTCTTCCTCTGCCACGACCACCTCTTGCTCCTCGAGTTCCACGACCTCTACCTCGTCCTCGAGCAGCTCCTGAAAATTTTTACAACCATTGAATTTAGAAAAACTGCACTGGAAGAGAACAACTTGTCTACAACTCAAGCATGAAAAACGAATACATTCATGAAAAAACGCTCATGGAATTGGTCTATACCACTCAAAGTTTGAAGTTCCGTTGGAAACTCGAAACAATACTTTCTTAACAGTGCTGTCAAAAGACCCAGTATGAAAGACCACAGAATTCAGACCGGGCTAATTTATGATTGTAATTAAAATGATATTTTTGAAGAACTGAACATAAAGTTTGAAAATCTAACTTTCTATGTGCCGGTTTTGAGAAAAGCAGGGCTGTAGTGTGAATTTATCAGTATTTTTACTTGCATTATCCAGTATAATGTTGGTGATAGAAAAGAGCTTTTCCCTCCTTCCAGCACACTGGCTGAGAAGATAAGGCAGACAGTTTCAAAACAAATGGATCCACACACCTGACACAGCAGCAGTGCCTTGTCTAGGTAGAAAATTCTCTTTCCAGCCTTGTCTTTTTCGTAATTTACACAGAGGAAGTTCAATTTTAAAGCTTATTTTGCTCAGAAAGCTAAAAAGAGAATATTCAGAAATAACGAAATTTAACGATCATCGAATCCCTTGGTTTTCCATGCAGCATCATTTAATTTTAAAATACTAATAAGTTAAAGATCTACGTTTTTCCACCACACTGAAAAGCAAATTTGAAGGAACATTTCAACACTCAACGATACAGATTAAACGAAGAGCTCTAATGGGGCACTAGACAAAGTATGAAGTGAAGCACTACATTCATGTTAGATCTTCAAAATGTTAAGAAGAAAATGATTCATACAATGGAAGTATGGCAATCAATTCCGAAGAAAGATTAAAGTATTTATACATTATTAAAATCATTTACACGGCAAAAATACAGTAGGTGTCCTATTTGATCACTGTTCCAAGAACATGTTGGTGCCTCGCTTAGGGGTTGATTTTCAAACTTCTTCTTGTGCGAATCTCTTTCTACTTATGTATGATTTTGGGAAGTAAACTTATGATGTGAAGTTTCAATTCACATTCTTTCTAGTGGCCCACTACTTTGGGAGGAAAATATCCAGATTAAAAATATTGAGATGACAGGGTGCGCATGAGCGCAAAAATACCACAGCGCATTTCCCAAGAAAAGAAAACAAATTTGGAGAAATTTCAATAAATTTTTTGAAATAACTCGACTGAAAAATGGCCCTCAAAAGGATAAGGTCATTTTTCACAAATATGGTCTCATAGACAGAATTAAAATTACTCACCAGGACCTCGACCTTCTCTCTTCTTCCCTTTACCACGAGGTGTGTCATCAATAAGAAGTGTCTCCAGAGGTAGAGCATCGGGCAGAATGAAATACCTAATGTTATTTCCTCTTATCGTAATTGTGTCTAATCTAACTTCTGGTCTGTTTTTGATAGTCATTTTCACACCTTTTAAGTGAGTATTCATGGCAACATCCACACCTGAAATTCAGTCATTAATTGAAAAAGAGAAATTGATACAAAAATAGAAAACAACACAACGAAGAGCGTCTATAAAACTAAGTCTTGAAATAACTTCTTTTCTCTAGATATCACCTTGAATTTTAATACTGTCAAATTGGCAATACAGACATTAGCAAACCAACCTGATCTTGGGTTTTGTTAAGAGGGTGACGAACATTTTTTGAGAGGGTCACTTAAGGAATAAATTTTTTGGCATATTTCTTCAGTAACAATAAGGCTGCAAAAGGTTGAAACATGCTGCTGAGGAGCTCAAGCTACGAAGATAAGCTGTAAATTAGCTTTTAAATGATGAATACATTTTTTGGTATCTGACCAAATTATAGCAAAGGATAATATGTCTCACCGGTGGTTTTTAGGACTAAAGATTTGTTGAAAATGGACCTGTTTTGAATTTTAACCACAGATATTTTATAGCAGCCTTAGGTTCATGTCAAACATTGTCTTTCACTGGAATCTCTTCAACCATGTATCGCAAAAAGGGCATTACCATTTGCACTTCATTTTGCAATCAAGAACTACAATTCTGCCGTGCTAAGGGAAAACGCTGTGTGAGCCTTCAGGCATTGCCAAATATCCTTTGATAAAACGCATATTTCTTGGTAAACCTACAAATATTTTTCTTCTAATTTTTCGTACAATTCTTTTGGCAATTTCACCTAAAGTTCCTCAAAATTTCAAGGAAAAATATTCATAACTTGCCTCAAAAATAATCATTTTGTCGAGGGGAAACTTGTTAACTTTCAGATGTTCATACGGCGTTCTTCCTTGGTAGCATTCATGACTCATCGGTATAAGCACTCATGTGCGTAGGGAAACTAATAGTGGGTACGAATACAATTTTCCTACACTGAGCTGGAAACTGTACTTGATTCCAAATTGCAAAATGTAGTCCATATTCAAATTCTGATTCAAGAGGCAACCACCAAGAGTTGGATGAGTCAAAAAGTAACGATTACTAATTGACCAAGAGACCTCCAAATTTTGTTTTGATTTCTGCATGCACTCAGTAGTTACTTAGGGGAGAAAGCTTCCAGGACTTTCCCAGCACTTTTTGTAAGTGTGACAGTTTGTTCTTTTGATTGATCGCTGGCTGCAATTTTGCCTCTCATTAGCAACCAAGGCTTGACCAGATGATAGCCCCACTGAGCGCAGGTACATGAATTGATCAACTACGCATGATGGATAAATGTAAACAAGTTCCACCTTATCTTACATGAGTTTTAAGGATATCGACGGTGTAAGTCGGCAATCACATAACTCGGTTTGCGACGTCACAGACTTCCTGTCATTCTTTATTTTTCAAACGGAAAACTATTCAACGACAATTCTTCAAAACTGCCGAGATTTTTCTTCTCTGTGCGAAGATAATTCTGCAAAAACTTCAAGGAACCATGTCAATTTGCTCTCCTTTAAAGAAATAACAAAGAGGCGGAGATTTTCAGACACCGCAAACAAGTTATGTGATTGCCGACTTACACCTTCGATATATACTTCTCCTGTAAGCAAGCTAAGTACTAATCATTCTATTGTTTAGTACTATAAAACTGACATACTGAATACTGAAATGACTTAATATCTGAAGAGGATTTTACCTGCTATAGTCCCTCGCACTTGAGTACCATTTTTCAACTCCATGCAGACAGATTCATGACTTAATTTCATTAAAAACCTGGAAATAAGCAAAACAAAGGATTAAATAGGCTTCCATCAAACTGTGTCCAAGATATTAACCATGTTGTTTACATCAAGAGTTTCATATTTTTTGAGGAGAACAACTGGAAATTTCAGATTTCACTAAGATCTCTACTCAGTGTGCGGTACAAATCTGTAAAATATGAACGCTTAGTTACTGTTTTGAAAGTAATTAAGTAAAGTAAAGTGAAAAAAAGTGTTAACCCTTTTAAGATTACCTCACAGCCTGAGATTTGCTGCTTTGAGCTTCCTAGATGCATTCCAGTTGCATCTAGATTTCTGTTCTGACACTTGCCACATTCTCAGTCATCGCAATTTCATTTCTTTTTCTTTTGCTCTACTGGTAGGGGCTCTCCTTTGACCATCATCAAGACCTCTAACTGTCCATTTTCTAAGCACATGATCCATCCATACAGATGCCACTACTGCTGGCCACACCAACAATGATATTGCTGATTTACTTGCATCAAGTGCCTGGTGCCGTGCCACCGCAGTTAAACCTAACCTAACATTTCAGCACTCATCTTTTCCTTAGATGTGGACATGGCGATTGATGCAAGACAAATACTTCTTGGACTGTGATAATGCGAACAACTCTTCCAATTACCATGGAGACTTTTCCTTTGCAAAGCAATGCAAATTTGCCATGTTGACATCAAACATCTGTACCGGCACGATCTTAGTAGGTTTGGTGAATTATATTCTAATGAAGGAGGCATCCTTTAAAAAGTAGAACAACTGCCGATGTCATCCATAATATGAGAGGTACTTAAAAGTAGTTGGTTAAGAGAGAGATGATTTAGATATTCAACAAGTTTTGACAAGGAGAGCTTCCCTTGCTTCGCACAATCAAATGTTTGGGTAAGACAGCAGAGAACGACCATTGGATTGATAAGGAATCAAAACTAATTACCTGACTAACTTCATGACGCTTTTGTTTCTTTGTGGAACTAAGATAACAGCTGCACTAGAATTAAACTCAAAAAAATTTAATTATAATTAACATGAAACCACGCTGCGTTTGTTTACAACTTTTCTGCTTTTCTGTTCGATCGTAAGCTGTCGTTCTTGCCGGGAGAGAGAGAGAGGATGAGCTTCTTCTCTTCTCTCACTTCCTCAATACTTCAACAGCCAATCAGAGACGACATTTGAAATAATGTGCTGTTTCCCAATTATTCCTCTTTTCGAACAAAAGGAATTTTAACGGCAAATTCTGAACCAGAAACTTTGATTGGTCCAGAGCGGTTCATTCCATTTATTCCTCGTTGAACCAAACGTAGCGGGAATTTCAAATCATTCCGGATATCCTGTTACCACGTGGTTTCCGTTTCCGGTAAAACAGTGTTGTCAGTTTTACCGACGTTCGTTGGGTAAAATTGACAACACTGTTTTACCGGAAACGGAAACCATATGAAACAGGATATCCGGAATGATTTGAAATTCCCGCTGATTTTGGTTCAACGCGGAATAAATGGAATAAACCGCTCTGGAACATTGCAATCAAAGCCTCTGGTTCAGAATTTGCCGTTAAAATTCCTTTTGTTCGATAAAAGGAATAATTCACCATTAGCGGGAAAATCCATGGACGTTTAAAACTAGAACTAGAAACCAATGCCATTTGCTTTTTACAGGAAATGGTGGGATTTACCTATCAAAGACGCTGTTCCCGATACATTTCACATTCTGAGTGTTTAAATTGATTGATTGAGCAGTCTGTGCCTTCACTGCTGCGAGTTGATCATTGAAAATATATATCTAGACTCTATGTCGCCGCTTAGTTGTGTGACACGATCGACTAGAAGTGAAGTGTATTTCCTGATGAAGAGTTGTGCTTTACTGCGCCATGAAATTTCTTCAAAAAATTATTTGGTTCATGACCTGGCAAGTGACAAGCATGCAATTTATATAATTTTCGATATGTGGCTCCCGTTTAATAGCACTGAGACAGTGCGTCAATCTAAGCTTCAATAAAAAAAAGAGTGCCTCTCTTGGATCCTGCCATGTCTCTGTTTCTGCTTGTAGTACACCTTACCTTCCCCTCTCAGGCCTAAATCACACAGTTCAATTTTTCATCCAACTTTTCCTCCGATTCTGATGAATGAAAATTGTTTCCTATCTGAGTTACACACATACATAAAAAAAAGCAAACATTTTCATAGATAATAAAGTTTAGAGAGAAGTTGAATGAAGAGTTGAAACGTGTGAATTGGGCTTACCTTCTGAAATAGCATCAACTTCGCTTTTTTAATGGATTGGATATAAAGTGATTTTGGTGAACGGATGTATATTATCAGTGACCAGTACTTTATAGAGAGAAAATTTGCGAATACTTCTTCTTTTTGTTTTAAAGAAAGAACAAAAATTTCTTCATTCACTCTGAGATATTCTTAGAGAATTTCGACGAAAAATTTTCGTCAGTTTCCTTTTGCAAAAATAAAACAGCTTTAAGCAATGCAATAGAAATACTTATTCTTTTACTCCAACCATCGACATTTAAGTTCAAAATTGATGATTCTCCTTTTCAATGATAAAGAACAATTTACAAGAGATTGATTGGAAGCCTCTTTTCATTGCATTACTTAAATAATTTCCTTGCTTCTCTAGCATTCAAGAATGTGACCACTGTCCTTCTTCATTTCAGTGCTGTAAAAGGAATTTCAATAATTTTAGAACACTTTTTTTTTTTTTTTTTTTTTTTTTGACAAAAGGATGATGGGTTCAGAAAAAAAAAGAAAAACAGATTAAATAATTTTATAATAATTTACTTGCAATTCCTCTACCAAGTTGAATGATTAAAATTGAAAAACATCAAAAATACAACAATATTAACTACAAACTAACATCTTACAACCATGATTAAAATTTTGAATGAGATGCAAATATAACGAAAAAGTAGCATCCGTTTTGAAGAAACCGATAACTCACTAAACACCAAAAACACTTTGCGTAAGTATATCTAACTTTCAATCATAGCGATAAATAGGAGTAAATTTTTAAAACTAAGCCTTGAGTGTGACTTGGAAAATGCACAAAATAGAGAACTACAAGAAGGATAGTCTGTATGATTTGTGGGCTGAGCAGCATAAGGATAATTCAATCAATAGTTGATTTTAAGTTCTAACTGTGATGGGAAAGGTGGAAAGAAACTTATCAAGCACAATTCAAATCCTATTACTAATGATAAAAGATAAGCTATTAATGAGGGGGGGGGTGATTACAGAATAATAGTGGGATCATAAAAAGGGTATTGGAGAAGAAAGAAAAAGAAAAAACCCCCCTACATGTCTGTTAGTCATTTGTTGATACGAGAATCAAGAAAATTTGGATGGCAATGCTTGACAGAGGCCTACTTTGATTTAATGCTTGAACAGTTGTTTCATTTTTTTCAAATCTTTTTAATAATTTATAAGTTTAAAAAATCACTAAAACTTTTAAGCTATACATCTCATTAGGTAAGTCAGCAATTCTTTGTATTCTGTTTTCTGTATTTCTGAGCTGCTGCTGTCCATTATGATGGTTGAGAGTTGACCATGAGCGCAGATGCATAGATTAGTTGGCTGAAGATGAAAGACAAAATTAAACAACCGCCAACTTATCAAATACAAGTTTTCGCAGACCTACGTACTTCTCTAGAAATCAGAAAAGTTGATCATAATTTGCAGGGACAAAAATTCGAAGTTTTTGTACTCTGATTACCTGTCAATTATCTGCAGAGGTGATTATTTTTATGGGCAAGTCCTTCATAATGTTTCTTGATTGGGTAAATCAGTTTCATTAATTAAATTTATTTGATAAGAGAGCACCTTGCAAAAAAAATTCTGGGATTGCAAATGATTTGAGGTTGATTTTCTCCTATGATGAGTTCATAAAATGTAAAATTTACAGTCGATGTAATGAAACATCAGATAGCCATAATAATTAAATGCTAAGTTCATTTAAAAGAAGATGTAAGAGCCTACCAAGTCATAAAAGAGAAAGGATCTTCAGAAAAAGTACACTTGACTGTATAAAGTAAATCCTGTATAGAAATATAACTCTAGTGCTAGAAACAGCGAAGACTCTAGAAAATAATACTTTTCACTTGGACTAATTTCAACGATTCATTTTCAGTTTCTAAACCAGGTAGTATCATCTGAACAGTGAGGGTTAGGACATCTAACATACTGAATTAAGAGTAGAAATCCATGGGTGCGAAAATATTTTACATTATAAACTAACAGTGAGCAACTTAAGGCATACACCTAATCTATCTTGACATCCTGTTAATAGTTGCAGCTTGCAGTTAGGGTGAATGACAAGGGTATCACTGATAGCCAAAGCATAAAACAAAATAAGAACACTAAATATCATGGACACTACTACTAGGTTGAGCTTAGAATTAAACATATTACAAAACAGGATAAGCATTTAGGTAGCTTAATGATAATTAAATCATATAGTCTTGATAAGAATCAATAGAAACAGTTGATTTTAACTTCAATTTTATTCACAGAATTCCTCGATACGAAAGCAGCCCTTTAACTGGACCTTGACAAAGTGTAAATTGAGACCCTTAAAAGGAGGAAAGACAATTTCAAACAATGAACAGGGATAAAAGAATTAATACATGAGACAGAACTTGAAATGAACTCTTCGGCGAAATTAACCTCCGATATATTACTTGTGCGACTTACTTGAGTGACACAAACATAATATAAAAACAACAAATTCACAGACATCAGAATACTTCGATACTTAGAATGAGCAGAGTCCTGGAGAAACATTCGACATGGATTTGTCCTCTTCCATGGGTCGTTCATTGATTTACGACTCTTCGATGGGGTTTTAATGAAATAACACAATACACTCATTTGTAATTCATGATATATCGTCTTGGTTTGAACCAATCAATAATGCAATTTGTCACAAATTGATGTTGAAGTCACTGATCAGTCTGTTATCAGAGAAAAAAATGGAAACTATGAAAATTGATCATGGAATTTTGACTGGTACCTGACAACTTCTTTTAGAATGACTGGTGAAGCACCTTATTACGATTAAATTATTATAGCAGACCAAGAGCCACTATCAAAAATGAGGATGCTCTGTATTCTGTAAAAATGCACATAGCTCAACATCTTTTAAATGCATAAGGGATAAAATCTTATATCTTACACCTAGGGAACTTGAGTTCTACATTTAGGAATCTAAAGCAGTCTATGAGTAAAAATATCAAACGAAAAGAAAAACAACTAGGGAAGGAGAGAGGAAAGAGAAGAGAAGGAGTAGCCCGAACTATTTGTCAGGATGTCAACCACGTCTGACATATCTTCATTGTTCTGCATCAGCAGATTTTTTAATTTTTCTTCATCCTTGAATCCAATATCCAGAAGAAAGTTGATTTTATCCTGTAAGCTCTGCTCTGGTTGCTCAATTTCGGATGTGTCGGCTCTCTCATCTGCCACAGCATCCTCCAGTGCGGGGGGATTTGAAGAGGGCGTGCTTTCAAGTGTTGAATCTTGAGTAGCAAAGGCTGCATCAGATACCTGGCGAAAAAACATGAATTAAGACATACTTTCATACTATGGTGTGGCAAAACCTCACATACTATAATAATTTCAGTGGGAATGATGGAGGTACACTATTCATTGTTTCACACAGAAAACGTTTAAACCTGGCAAGATATTGTCTTTTAAAAAAGTGTGCATGGTGGCGATGGCGTAAGCCATATCAAGCATTCAAATAATTATGACAAAAGAAACCAAAAAAAACCTGAGTTGACAAATTGTGAGTATCAAAACTGAGGACAAAACAACACAAATTGTATGAAATCAAAACAAAACATTCAAATTCACAAAATTATGTAACTAAAAAAAGGGCCTTATTATTACATAGGGTGTCCCAAAAGTACTGCCCCTTTTTCCGCAGAGGGCGAAAGAATGCAGATATCAAAATGCGGTTTGTGTGAGGTTATAGTCCTAGTAATTACCTATAAAACAAGACCAAGTTGAGCTCTGTAGCTTAAAATTTGACCGAGATACAGCATTTTGAAAATGACGTGTCAAGGTGCCGCCTACGAGATTTTCAACATTTTTTACGGACGAACCCTAGGACGAACAGACACGACGCATCTGCAGGTGGTCCTTTAAGATCCGGTGCAATGAACTTTTTGAGATGTCAAGCAACACCTGAAACTTACGCAAGGATAAATGACGGTCTCCTCGAACAACAGCAGCAACGGTACCGATTAATTCGTCTGTGGTGGAGGTAGACGGTCGGCCCGGTTTCGCGGGACTTTCCGCCGATTCGCGGCCGCCAGAAAAAGATTTAAACCAACGACCAATGCTACTTCTGTCCAAACAGTCGTCTTTATACACGCCTTTCATTTCATTAAAGGTGTTTTTTACTGACATTCCTCGACGAAAACAATAACGAATAACGTGGTGTTGTTCTTTTCTTAATTCGGTACTCATCGCGAAAGAAACTTCCAAAACGACAGAGGGATGAACTCAGATTGACGTGCCGGGAAAGCTTGACCAACTTGGATGGCACTAGCGGACACTTTCAATCCTGTCGTTGGTCTGCATAGGGGCGCTTACACGTTGCCAAATGCCGCCTAAAACACAGTGTTGCCATATGACTCTGGCCGCTTCTTCTTCTTTTTAAAACCGTTTCATTCTTAAACTTGGTTTTTTCTTTCGTAAAAAATGTTGAAAATCTCGTAGGCGGCACCTTGACACGTCATTTTCAAAATGCTGTATCTCGGTCAAATTTTAAGCTACAGAGCTCAACTTGGTCTTGTTTTATAGGTAATTACTAGGACTATAACCTCACACAAACCGCATTTTGATATCTGCATTTTACGCCCTCTGCGGAAAAAGGGGCAGTACTTTTGGGACACCCTATGTACATTTTTTTGTGAGTTCAAGTGTGTTATTTCGATTTCATAGAAACTATTATGTTTTTGCCTCATTCAAATATAGTTTTTTTTACTCAAGTTAACCGTGCGCATGGAAGTTAAACATCCTTTTTACATGGCCAGGCACATGACTTCAAACTCATAACAGTACCACCAACTCGAAGGATGACAATTAAATCAATGCAGCATCATATTGACATATATTTTGACTGCACTTTGCAATTTGGAACTATGAATTCCGGCTCATCTGAAAAAACAGTTATGTGCATAGGGGAACTAATGGCACATACGTTGTTTTTAGATCGGACCATATTTTAAAGTTCCAAATTGCAAAATACAGTCCATTTGTTTACTTATTGTTTGTGAACTGATTTGTCTCTTTCAACAACTCTTTTGATGCAGATCTGAAAACCGAACATAGACAGACAGCTTGGATGGTTTAATAAAAATATATTTTGGTTTGCATATTTTCTTAATTTCAAGTTGAGCTAAAGGTGATGATGAAATGAGTAATATCGTATCTCCGGAAGTTTTCATAAACATTTTATATTTTATGGATGCCTGCTGTCTCTCGGTGGGAGGTCGCTTCCTGCACAGCATGGGTTAGGGATCTTGCACAATTTAAGCCGTGGGTGCCAGCAGCAGCGTAGACACTGATTATCATTGACATGGTGCGATTATTGACTGACAGCACGATAATAATCCACCATTACCAGGTGATGGGAATGCGGGAATGGAGAGGGATGATTAGCACCTCTATCAGGTAAATTAGGAAAACGACAACCAAGAGTAAAAGATGATGAGAAGGAAAGGATAGAGTAAGCAGATGACGAGAATGAAGCAAAAGAGAAAGAAGATGAGTGTGAAGAAGAAGAGAAGGACAACTATGATGACATCTACACTGTTACTTCGGAGCAGCTTGAGCAGTTGTCAAGATTGAAGGGAATTTCGAGGATTTCATGACCATGGACGATGATGTCGAAATAAGCATGAACGAAAAACTGACAGAATTTAATGACACTCAACCCCTCTCCCAACAAGCAAAAGACGAAAATGAGAAAGACAAAGACAACAAGGCCACCCCTCTCACACACTGCTACCAACCTCATTAGCTGCATTGATGGCTGTCAGTTGTTAAAAACCTTTCTCCTGCTTTGTTTGCCCACCTTAGCGCAATTGAAAACAAAGTTATCCGCAATATTAGGCGGGCTGACAGGAATCAAATGACTCTCTTTAAATTTGTATAGGAATGACAAGTAAATGTTCTCAAGAGGGTAAATAAGTGATTACTCATTGGTCCTAGATTGATTTTATTTTGTTACCCCGATATTTCTCACATTTTGTAGTCATTCTGAGATCAATATCACTATTAATGAAATTCCGCTTTAAATAAAGTAAGATTGACCGCCTTTGGACTTCATTATACATAGGTTTCACTGTAAGTTAGCCCTAAATTTTGGATATTGATCAGGGTACAGAAGCGCTAAGCCATAGTGCTGAACTGAGGAATTAAAGGTTGGTCAAAAATCATGCCTTATACCATAGCCGATTAACTAGAGGCATTTCTAACATCTTTTTGGGGAGTTTCAGGCAGCTAATGACAAAACCTGATAAGAGCCTGTCAATTCTCAGCTGAGTTTAACTAATTATTGCTGCAGACCACATTAAAATCAATTACAGCGGCAACTTTTAAACATACTCTTGTCCGGATAAAACTGATTTCTGGATTTTTTTATTTACTACAGTGATAACCATTAAACAGATTTTCATTGTGTTCTGTAATCGAGATGTTATTTTAAGCCAAGCTATAATCTTTTTCTGCTCTCTATCTTCATTTACATCATCGATAGAAAAGAAGAAAAAAAATACAAGCTGATCACAACAAATTACTTACATTTGGTGCTGCGTATATAAGCTCATAGATAGTCACATCTCCTTCTATTTTCAGTTGAGTGATTCCTTCTGGATTTGTTCGATGCTTGTAGTACAGTAATGGGACCTTGTTCAATTTGATCTGCAAAAAAGCCAAAAATGTACATTATTCACAACTTATTGGTCAATTGGAACTTTATTGGCTCTTTAAATCCTACTACATTAAAAACGTGTACATCACCCCCAGAAAGAACATCACCAGCGGACAGTTTATATCGTGCTTCATCACTGTGAGCAACGGAACTGTAACTGTTCTGTAACTGTAACTGTTAGAATTCATTTTAAGTAAGGATACACGACATCTAGTGTTGCTAGAATCGTGCAACTTAGTCATTCATCTTCCTCGGATAAACATCCACTTAACTTTGCATGAAATATTCAGAGAATTTACCTCATAAAATTAGAAGGCAAACATACAAAAATAAAAGCTTCTGATTGACAAAGAACTTTACCAAAAGATGCACAATATTTTCAGGTTCAAATGCATTTGTGGCCCTTTGCCAAACGGTCCTTCATGTATTGTAGGTTCACGAGTATAAAACTTGCAGTTTCTTACCCCCATCACATGTTTCCGTGATCTATCGGTTGCGTTACTATCTCACATTTTATGGCTTGTAAATTAGTCATCTTTCAATTCCTAAGTTACAACTATTGGTGATATTTTGTCTCCACATATAGAATAGTGCACTAGTTTGGATGATCCTAAAAAAGTAAGAATTTTCTCATCCTGACATTCTATTGAGCGTTGCAAACTTGACATGCATCAAATGAGAATCGAGGAAGCTTACATTGTATCCTTCTGACTGACATTCAATTTGCAGTATAAATTCAACGCCAGGAGTAAATAGGAAAGGTCCATCACGTTCTTCAATTCCCCACCATCCACAGTGTCTGGTGTTCCGAACAAATACTCCCTCTTTCAATCGGGGATTTAGATGCAACGCTATGTCTTCCTGGGAGCCACAATTGAGATTAATAGCAAACCTAGAAAAGAAATGATGATAAAATCAACATAAAAACAAAATGCATACATGTTGCTTACTTCATGGAGAATTTTCATTTAATTTACAGAGAAGGAAAAAAAGGAGCAAATTAGGAACATTGCTCTTTAAATTTGTACCAGCTCTCAAGCAAAAATTGATGGAGATTCTGGGAAAATGTAAAGACGTGTTTGAAAACTTATAAAAATACTTACAGGCTACCTAAGGAAAAAATCTGTTTAAGGATCGACTGTAAATATAGCCCTAAGTTTGGCTGCATAGTTACTGCATAAAATATTAAAAATAGAGAAGAACAGTACTATACCTCACAAGCTTTCAGTGAAAATAAATAAAACCTTTAAACTATGAAGACTATAAAACAAAACTATGAAATTCATCATTACCTGTTTGGATTGTTCTCAGACGGTGCACCTCTCAAAATTAACTTTGAGCCAGGAAGAAAACCTTTTGACAGTGGTAGTAATTTTGGGACAGGAGTTTTCTTCCCTTTTACACCAAATATTTCATAACAAGAGCCATCTTCAAGTTCCTCATCCTTGTGATAAACAAAAGAAGTAAGTTAATAACAAAAAGTCTACAGACATCATAGAATGAATCAGGCTATTTTACTCATTACTTAATTAATAAAAGGAATGTGACATACATCTTCCTTCACTGCTTAAAGAAATGTAACTTGATAGTGAAGTTTCAGTACTTCTATGAACATTTTATTTTATTATGAGAGAGCCATTGCACAGATTAGTCTGAAAAATTCAGATCGTTTTCTGACAAATGTAAGGAAAAGTTATGAGAAATTAAAAAAAAAGAATGACAAGATGATTCTCCTGTAAACAAATAAAATGAGAGTAAAGAGTACTAAAACAGAGCAATCAAGATGCATACCTCCGTGCAAAAGATTACAAGATAAGACAGCACAAAGACAGACTTTATAAGAGTAATGCTGAGTTAGTTCAAACTATAATTTTTTTATTTAGCCTGCTGACCTATTGAAAGGAAGTTCATGTAATGTAACTTTTAGATAATTTTTACTTTTGGATTAATGGAAAAGAATGGTTAAAATTTAGATTAAACAAAGATTCCCACCATCAAGGCTACACTCCCATCAGACAAACGCATTTGTGTTGATGACCACTTGTTTTGGCAAGAAAATCATCACATTTAGCCAGCTTGCCTACCAAACAGCCCTTTTCAGGGCTACCACACTATAAGCACTCGCATACAACATGCTTAATGACCCTACAAAAAGCTAATGCTTTACAGCAAATCTTGGTGACGATCAACTTTCACAAGAGCACAAGAGCTTAACTTCATCTCATTGCAATTGCAATTGCAAGTCACACTTTCTTACTGACAGGGTTTAAAGAGGATAGGTTTAATGGTTATAGCAAACTGTCACAAAAAAGGAGAGTAAAAAGGATGAGTGAGGATACATCAGGATTGACCCTGTGAGCATTATGGAGATCAGGAAAAAAATGTAAACATCAAAATCAGAAAAGAGGAAAAATGAGCAAACTTAGAAAAAAAAACTTACCAAATGCGTTTCATCTGGGCTGTTATCACAGATCATCACATTTTGACGTTTTGACATTTTGACCGACCAGTGATTGGTCTTGGGGAAATGACGTACAAGTTGGATAAACAGAGGAGTTGGCAGAGAACTAGCAGCTCCTTCTTGGTCTCCAAAAACAACTTCAGCAACAAGAGGTGGCATGAATTGAAACTTCGTGGGTAATACTTTCAAGTTTCTGCGCTCACAGTGAACTATGACTCCAAAGTCAATCTTCTGTGCTCTAATTAAGGTTCCAGGGAACCCAGCTGCATCATCCACTGATAATATTTTCACTCTGCTGAAAGAATCTTTCCCCTCTTTTGCTTCCTGAATATTTTCATGCAGAGCGCAAATGTCACCTGACTGAAGATTAAGTGGTGAAACGTTTTGCCATCCTTCAGAAGACATGTAGGCTCTCAGTTCACTGTGAAAACTGTGCGACTCTCCTAATTTACTGACTGGTATCACAAAGTACCTTTGGAAAGAGCTTCGAGTGATGATGTGAACCTGTAAAGAGAAGAATTTTATTCCAACGAGAGAGCCGTGAGCAGCTTGAGATAGGACGACAATAATGAGGTACTTTGTCTTCGACATGCACCTTTGATTGATTTCAAAATACTTCTGTTCTGGAGGCCTTCAAAATAACTGAACAGGACAAGGAATCTTTGAACAGGACTGGTGCAGCAATTGGTGCATGAACTTGTTACGTTTTCTGGATAATTTTACCTAAATCAAGACTTTTCTTTCCTAGGCTTGACTCAAAGAACAGAATGGCACAGAAAAAATATTTGGCAGTGCTTAAAACGAGAAAAAAAAAATTGAACGATTATCAATATTATTAGGTGATTGTAAATTTTTCGGGTTTCCCTTGTTTGCCTGGCGAGTTATTCAGCAGCAATGGCTGATGGCGATAGGACTGTACTCTAGCATCGTGCCTCGCGTCATGTTCATGATGACATGTTGATGCCATCTAGGATTTTGCAGGACTTTAAGTTAGTGTACTGATTGTGTATGATCTACTGATGAAGTCTAAAAATACTCAAACCGGTTTAGATCTCTCAGCAAGATCCCAGCTTAGTATTTCTGTGTATCTGCTTGAGCTGAACACTCTCCCTCCCCTCAATTTTCTATAAAAACTCATTAGAGTTCATTTTGTGACTCTGATACTAATTTTTGGATCTTCTGGTTTTGATTTCTCCCCAGAATGGTGAGGACTCAGTACAATTCTACCATCCTGTCACTTGCAGTGCTTAAATAAAATGAATAAACTAAAGCATTTGCACAGATGAAAATACCTAATGCTTGTGAACTTGGGAACAGTCCCTTGCATAAGTTTTCAGTACTGATACTGAGACTTATAGAATATCAATATACTATAGATTTTTTTACCTGAATTGGTTCCTTTTTGATGAAAGCGGACAAAAATTCAGGAAGAATTTGTGAAGAATGAGCTCCAAAGCTATCTTTTTTTCCCTGGTAAAAATAAAATAAAATGATTATTGTAGATCTTCTTAATTTTATATACATATAATTAAAAGTGCAATTTGAAATATTTATAGCTAACTCCATCAAGTTAAACTTAAAAAATAGTTGGTATGGTTCCAGTGCAGTTGTAGCTAACATTTTAGACATCTCATAATCCTTACCGACTTCATGCTAAAGGGTTTTATTTCAAGCTTTTGAACATATCATGATACATGTAATTCAGCACTCATTTCATTTATTTTGGTTTCTTTAATTTTTCCTCTTGAAAAAGGCATTGCCTAACTTTCTAATTTAGTAAATTTGAAGTCAATTTTAATAAATACTAGCCTTGATCACTGATTTCTTTTGGTGCTTTGTTACTTATTATTTTTGTGGCTTACACCCTTCACAAAACACATTTATTGAATGCTCTGAGAGTGTTGAGTGACTTAAGACAGTTATGACATGCATTATTCTCTTTTCATAGCAAAATGGGAAAAAAAATCCATTTTGAGAAGTAAAAAAAGGTGTATGGAATGCCTTAGGAAGAGAAGTCACAAGTTAGCCATGGATTCCATCATGAAAGAATGCAAAAAATGGATTAGATTTAGTAATATGATTGTTACTGCATTGATGATTTGAAATATGATGCATTACTGCATTTTCATTTAAATAAAAAAAAAGTTGAGGCGTTTAATACAAATAAGTACGCTTACAGCCCGACTTGGTGCAAAAACTCCCTTTACATTGGTGGCCGCTGAATTGAGTGTGGTAAGAAGCCGCTCAGGAATTAAACCTGTGATGTTCAAACGAGGTGGAGGTTTCGGACTCCTTTCTGGTGATGACACTTCAATTCCACATGGAGCAGATGGGGCTGATGCTTCAGGTGTGGTGGATGAAAGGTCAGGCACTACTGATTGATTTTGTTGAAGTGTTTTGTTGCGGTTATTTTTTGCGACATAATCAGTCATCGACATTCCTTCATCAACAGGATCAGTGGCTTTGGTCATGGCAGCAACATTGTGAGGCAAACTTAGAGCAAAAGAGCCAGAAACATTAGAGGCTACTTGACTGTTCCCTGGCACAGGTATCTGTGTTAGATTTTTACTTTCAGAAACTGATGGTTGTCCTAAGACTGGCTGAGAGGAGTTTGGAAAGTTGATCACAGGATTTGGGACTGGAGGTACGACAGCAGTTAAATTGTTATGAGAGGTGTTCAAAGGAACATTTGATGGAGGGTAGCAGCTAGGGTAGACTGATGGATATCCCATAACTGGGGTCGTGTAAGTACCGGTCAGGTCACGTTTCAGTGCAGAGCAATTTTTCATTGGATCTCCTTTGCTCAAAAAGGCGTTGAGCTGTGGGTTCGTGTAATATGGATTTGTGTACAGAGCATTATACCCAGGCTGGAAGTAGAAATGTTTCTCTTGAGGAATTGGAGGTGGAATAACAATTGGTGGAGGAGGTGGGGCTAAAGTTGGTTTTGGAATCAGATTTTGCGCACTATGAGAACTTTGGAAACTCTGCGAACAAGAGAAGTTCTTTGGCAGGGGCATATGCGGAACATACTGGTATCCACTGGGGTTCAGAAAATCCAGGTAATACGGAGCACCTCCAAAAGCATAAGAGGAGGAATTATTCAAAGCCCCTCCCCCAGGATGGATTTGCTGAGGAGGGTACATTACATTCTTGTTTGTGTTCAAAAATGACAAATTTGCTGAATCTATGCCTGTAGACGTATTTTCTTTGGCAACTCCTTGAGATGCACCAAAAGGAGAAGTACCGCAAGAGAAAAGTATTTTGGATGATTCGTTTGAAAGTCCTGCATTGCTGGTTTGCGATGCACGAGTTGACGATGACACTAAGTCATTCCATTTACTCATATTTGCCTTATTTACTGGCTCAACTGAAGCAGCAGTTTTTAAATTTCCTCTTGAGTCCTGAGAGCAATTGGTTTTGTTTGGTGCTGTCAGACAGGAGATACCTTCATGCAAGGGATCTTCTACAGTATTTATGGAAGAGGCAAATGATGTTTCTTTGACGAGTTTAAGGGGCATTTCTTCAGTTTTCGATTCTTCTTCTACAGAATGAGTGGCAGAGGTAGGTTCATGAGCAATCTCTACATGTGTCTTCCCACTAGATTTACCAGTTTCTTCACATTCCTCATAATCTGAGGAAGAATCATCATCTGATGAGTTCAATGATTTCAGCGAGAATTGTTCCTCTAACTTTGTGCATCCATTTGAGGTAGATTTTTCCCCTGCAGACGATTTTCCTTTCGGATGTGGAGAATTAGAATTGACTTTCACTCCGGTTTGAGTCTGACCTTCATTTGTGTCTTTCTTCAGAGAATGTCGTTCTTTTGCAGGATTTTTGCATATACGGAGCATCATGTCCATGAGCGTCTCCAAATCTGGCTCTTTCTTGCGTTTTCTTTCCTTCAGCACATCAGAATGCGGCGGTTCTCTGGAAAGTAACATCTCTGACACGGTCATTTTGGTTCCAACGTTTTCACTGCGCTGATCTGCATTAGCCTTGCTACCATCATTATTTTCATCAAGTTTCTCATCAGTGCTAGAGCTGGCCGCTGATGAGCTTGCCACAGGTTTCAATTGATGGCCAGAGCTGAAGGGATTTTCGACACTGTTTCTGACCTTCTTGGGCTGCTTTGTTTCATTTAATGCTTCTTTCAATGCTGATAAAGCTTTGTGAGCTTCACTTATTTTAGGATTAACATTATTGTCCGTGATACATGAGGAATCATTCGATAAATTCTTTCTGTCCGTTTCCTTCACGGTCTTTTTTCCATTTGCTGGATCTAAGGAGTGATTGATTAATTGCCAACCTATTAATTCTGCTTCCAAAACTTTCCAACGGTCTTCTTCGTTTTTACATGAATTTTGAAGAGTTTTAAACTTCTCCTCCAGTTCCCTCCAATACTTTTTCGATTTATCTGATTGTTTCTTGTCTTTTGAGGAATGATGAATATCTTCTTCATCTGCCATGGATACATTCTCATCATGTTTCTTGTCTTTTGACCTGCTTTTCTTATTAAAGGGAAAAGCACGACTATTTGGAATTGTGGATTTTAATCCTTTCAAGTCATTCTGTTTCAACTGCAAAGGTATGTTATCTGAAATAAAAATAGAGATAAATTACATTAATTACACATAAGAAATGAACGTTTAAAAAAAAAGAAGAAAAAATCATTACAACACACACAGTGCACATGAACACACCTATACCTACACAACAGATGAGACAATAAATATGTGTCCTTCGCTGTAAGCCTTCTTTAAACTCTCCACGACTGAACTTAATGAAGTGAAAAATTCATTTCTATTACTTCAGAAAAAGCAAAAAATTATTTTTGAAATTCTAAGTAAAGCAACCAAAGTCATATTTACTATGTTTAGAGATGCAAAGAATTCATTTTAAATACAATAGTAGAATTATCAACAAAGGCAGTTGGATGCAGAAGTTGTGTTGTTGGTCGTATAATGGGAGAACATTTTTGTGTTTCATGTATACCTGTTTTTCACCTGATTTCCAAAATCAAATATATTGAATTTGAAGGGTTGATAAAAAAGTCTTCATGGGTGTCCACTGTCCATTCACAAAGTACAGTATTGATTTTAGTCTTTTTTGTACCCTTTCAAGCACTGTTGCCATTCTGAGGATGTTGCAAATGCAACACTGAACTATTTTGACAATTCTTGATGTAAAAGAAAAGTATATGGGAGAAGTGTATTCAAAATGGGCATTATTGAAAATATAACTCAATACCTTCAAGATTAGATCGTAAAATAAGAAGTGAATTTCTGACTTTACCAATGTGCTTCACTTGATTTTTGAGCCATTTTCCGTAAGAAGCAACTCTTCTTTCCACTTCAGCCACAGTTTGCAACAGACCTTACATCGATTATTTTCACATTAAAGCTACCCTTCAAAGGGATCCCTTGCCCTAAAGTATTTACACATGCTTCCATTAAGGACCAAAAATTACCTTCCAGTTTCATATTGATGGGCTCTTGATTATTGAGATACATTGATCAAAATGAAGAGTTGTTAAGCAAAATCATGTACCTTTGAATGTTACAGGTATCTCGGGGAAGAAGCATGGAGGAAGCTCAACATCAACGGCCTTTCCATCCGTGGGCATTTCTTTTGCAAGCTCCTCTCCATTTACGAAACTCAAGTCAGTGTCAGAAATCTCGTCAAAGGAGGAATTGAAACCAACGATCACAATATCATCAGATTCTTCCTGACCGTCGCGGTTGTCACTATCGCTGGAGGATTGGGAAAGATCACTACATTTGGTCTTAAGACGCTCAGTATCTTTCTTCTTGGAGTTGGTCAGTGTTTCATTGATAGCCCATCCTGAGGAAAAATCAAACAAAGCTTGGTTTTCCTTGGCAGAAAATGGTGAGCGGTTATCATATTTAGAGAGAGACTCCTTTTTGCGTTTTGCTACGGAGTGCAATTTGGTTTTCTTTTCTTCATTTAGATTCATCCGTTTTTGGCTCTGTGCAATGTAATCAAGGCATAAACTTTCATTGTCAAAACTTTTTGGATGTGTCATGTTGTGAGCTGGAAAAGGAAGGAAAAAAATAACAGCTAGCATTAGTCCGGGCTTATGGTACTTCTAGATTAGAAACACATGTTTTTCCTGAGATACCTCTGAGACTGCACAGGAGATAGAAGGTCAAAATTTAAAATATTAGAGGAATAATAGAGAAATGTTCATCCTTCAAATATTATCTGCTGTTATTGCTAGATGTGCTTTCCTTGAGACCTGCTGCTCGACTGACCTGATGCTCCTGATGTCTGCTCTTGTATCCCTGCAGCCTGATCGCTGAAATTTTGTGTTTGTCGGGTAGACATAGATGACATAGGTTAAAAGGCAGAGTGTAATTGGTTAGCTACGTCTTATCGCTGCTTTGTTGTGCCTATGTCAGGTGGAACTCATGAAAAGCTAACAGAGCCTCGTAAGTTTCCGACAGTATGTTGTCCATTCCACCTAACAAAGGCACAATAGAGCAGCGATAGGACAAAGCCGACCAATCACACTCCGCCTTTTAACCTGTCATCTATGTCTACCAGACAAACACAACATTTCAACAATCAAGCTGCTGGAGGGGGGGGGGGAGAGCGACCTATCAGGAAATACCATGCAAGTAAGACAACATTTAAGCCAGAGAAGAAAACAAATCAGCTGAGACTTCTGTCTTTTGCAAAATTTTTTTGGTGAGAACAAGAAAATACAATAATTGCAGTTTGAGGGCTAAAATGCTGAAGAAGAGGAATACAGAAAAATTGAATTTTTACAGAGTATTGGTGAGAAAACAATTGCGAACAATGCGAGGCATATTTCTCATAAGTGTTTGCTTTTTTGAGGTTCTCCACTAAGAATTCTTTCAGGTGGATTGCTAAGGAAGTTCTGCACAGTCCAATTGCCGCATTGTGAATGAATCTGGACTGCGAGTTTCTTTCTAAGTTCATATTATATCATTAGACTTGATTGTAAAAGCATAAGTGCTTACATTCTTATGAATTTCATCAAAATTGTTCATACATCTTGGAATCATCAGAAGTATATTTCAACCGGTTCAAAACATATAAGAAATTTTAAAGTCTCAATGCTAAATTTTCAACGATGAAGGGTGTAAAAAAGGAGAAAAAGTAGTTAAAAAATTTCAGAGGTACTGCTTGAGTCTCCAAAAATTTTGATACTGTACCTTTCAATGTTTCATTGATTTTTGTTTGCTTGTCTTTCATTGTTTTGGATGTACTGGCACTCCCGAGTAGTTTGGTTTTCTCTTTCTTTTCACATCTCCTCTTTTCTTTGTTTTTCTTCAGTTTTTTTGGCTCGTCTCCTCTTATGGCTTTCTCCAAAGCAAGATGAAATTCTTTAGTGAAGCTTTCTAGGTGGGTGGACATATTTTTCATGATGTCTGCTTTAAACTGGAATAAGATACAAATGTACATTATGTCAAGAAATGAACACTGGCAGAAATTTCAGTATTCTTGAACAAGGAATGAGTGTGGCTACTCAAGCTTATTTTTAGTGTATTTTCTAAGGAAATACACTATTATAATCTCCCCTGATACCAGACCTATGCCGGAGACCTTCATAAGAGTACCAAATGAAGGCAGTAGAATATAAACATGACAGACATTCAGATTCTTCTTCCCATGATATTTACATATTCAGTGATCCAGACCACCCGTATCAGGCTTTTTCCTTAGTAATTACAGGTCAGATGAGGACAAGGAAGTACTTTTTGTACTCTTCACTCTCAATTCTATAAGTTCATTGCTATAAGGTTAATGGGAATGCAGATTCAATTTGACAACTATGTACAATACGCTCCTTTAATAATGTAATTTTTGTCGCTCTTTCATCCTGCCATTCAAAGTAATTCAGTTTTATGAAGTTTTCTGAGAAATGTACTCTTCGAGCATGCAACTTAAAGCTGGAAAATTGAACCAGTAGTTTCCATGACTTATTTCGTATGACAGTAAGTAAAATGTTTGATAGGTACCCAAAAGAAGTATTAGACTTTTTGGAAACAGCTAGAAATACAGAAATTACCTTATCCATCTCTCTTGAAAACCACAAAGGGGCTCCACCTGAGTTGACAAGATTGTCATCACTGATTTCACCAGAATTTTCATTTAGTGACATGTTGGTGAAAGCACTACCAATGTTAATTGAAGCTGCGTGCTCTATTGACAATTTATGTTTATGTGATGCTTTCATAGGTTGAGGGCTGTCATTGAAACAAAAATCAATTCGATTCTTAGGCAACCCTTTATCATGAATGACCAAAGGACGAACTTTGCCTTCCGACAGGTGCGGAAGCGGGCATACCTGAAATATTTTTAAAAAAATTAGGAAAATTCATGCGCAAGGCTCATTGGACTGCAGGTGTAAAAAACAAATGAGTTTTTTCTAGCATCTACAGCTTTGTTTCCAACGGACATTTTCCCGCGATTTATCATAGCAAAAAGTTGGAAAAAATATTGTCCAGCTCAATATTAGTTGCAATACCAAGAAGGATCCTTGTGGAGCTTCAAGATCAACCAAAAGAGGAGGTAGAAGAGAATGTAAATTGGATGATATTTTGTTGTTCACTCAATTGTTCAAGAAGGTTTTAATAAAATAATTTGTTTAATTTTTAATTTCTTTAATTCAATTCCGTTTAAATAATTGATTTTTACTAATCTATCTCCACATGCAAACTAGTCGCTGAACCATGAGAGCCCTGCCCCATGAGACAGTGACTGCAAAAAATCGCCGAAGTTTCTATCCCGCAGTTCCACGCTGCCACATACCTCATGAAAACGCATCATCATGGAGACAAGGCCTTCATAGCTGCTTTGATTATGTCACTCATCCAGTAAAAGATCTAATGAGTTCAATGAAATGATGAAACTGAGTGATTTTCCTTAAATACTTTGTTCCATGGCAAATTTTCTTTTATACTTAAAGAATATAGTTTCTCTAAGAGTGAAATTTGAGAGGCTGAAATTATCAACAATCATGCAATGTCCGAAAACCCTTTCATGAGACTTGGGAACAATTCCTCATTTCCTCCATGAATTTGGAGAATGAAGAGGCCTCATTACAGATGATGCTCGGGTAAAATAATTAAAGGAACAAAATAAAAGAACAATTACAAAAAAAGACTCCTGACTAGAATGAATCCAGTATGATTAAAAAAATTGAATTTAAATAAGATGATTTATTGTAGCATTTTTATGGTTTTTAATTTTCATGGTTCATCAGACTTTACTGACTCAAGATATGATACTTCACACTCATCATTACTTAAATTCATTGCGACAGAAAGTAGTGCATAACAATGGAGACACCTGCTTCAAAGAGAAATCCCTATTCAGAACTAAAAATCATAGCCCATAACAAGTGCAACCAGTGCTCACTGCTTCTTAATTTTAACTTTTGGGGAAAAGTATCAATTTAAAAGCAAGAATAATTAGCAGTTTACTTACTTTCAGGTATTCCGCAAACTCAGTTTCACTTTGCACTGGAATCTGTAAAGAAGGAAAAGAAAATTGAGATAAGATTTATCTAGTGGATATGCTTCATGAGTGAGGACTTTTTTTGAATTATACAGTTACTGAGTTCCGAAATTCCACAGGAAAACTTGAAAGTTAATTCCAATTGAAACATTCCAATTGCATTCCAATTGGAACAGCAGCAACCACACAAACCTTTGGTTCATGGTAGCTGGATATCGATGGTGAAACTACCAAACCACGTATCTCGTTTGCGGTGTTTAAAAATCTACGCTCACATTTTATTTTTTTGAAGTAGACCGAATCAATATCATTCCTTGAAATTTTCACAGAATTTTCTCCGCACAAAGAGGAAAAATCACAGAAATTTTCAAGACTGGACGTTAAGTAGTTTTTCATTTAAAAAAATAAAGTATGACAGGAAGTCTGCGACGTCGCAAACCGAGATACGTGGTTTGGTAGTTTCACCGTCGATATGTAGGTAGTTTTAAAAAAAAATGTAAAATTTGTAATGAAATGTATCAAATGATAAATTAATTCGTACGGAACTCGAACCTTGTAACAATTTTTTTAATGAATTCTTTCAAGTCCAAATTCAGCAGTCAATACTAGGTACTAGTGAGATTGCACAAGTTCCATGTTATGGCAGTTCTAGGTTGACCCTTCTGATTCGCAGACCTATGTATTCAAAATCAAATGGATTATTTTTACATATCCCGAGTTGTTGTGCTGTGAGTGGTTTCTGGAAAGTTCTATTTTTTACTGCTTAAACAGTCTATTATTCCATAACTACCACTTTTGCAGTAGAACACAGGGATTACCTAGAGAAAGAGCAAAAAGAGTAGAAAAAGTTTAAAGTGAGGAAGTTCTTTACCTGATCATTATCCGTGTCAAAGTAACTGATAGTATAATCATCCTCGGTATATTTTGCCGTCTGAAAAAAATAATAATAATGATTCAGTTTTTCAAAATCCTCACACTGCATCATGTGTAGCTCTTGATGGGAAAAGAGACTTCAGTGCTAAAAAATGCTGAATTGAGATTTTGGTAGCACTGTTAAAATTTAAACTTGCTCTACACAGATACTGCATGTCATCAGCAGGACAATTATTGAAATTTCGTGTTTGTCTGGCGGACATAGGTTAAACAGCGGAGCGTGATTGGTCCGCTATGTCTTGCCTTTGTCAGGTGCAATGGACGACATGCCGTTGGGAATTTTTTTTTTTTTTTATACCAATTTCAAATAGCCTTTTCGCTAATCCCACGCTTATTACCCTAACCCCAGATGACCATTGCCTGAGATCATTAAACTCAGATCACCTGGCCGGGAATCGAACCCGGGACCTCTTAGTCAAAGGGCCAGCCCTACAACCACTACACCGCAGCAGGCCGAAAAACTAAAGAGGAGCCTTAGCTTGTCTTGAATTCCACCTGACAAAGGCACAACAAAGCAGCGATAGGACATAGCCAACCAATCATGATCCACCGTTTAACCTATGTCAGCCCGACAATCACAAAATTTCAATAATTGGCCCGCAGTTGATCCTTGTGAAACTTCAAGTTAGCAATGGGTTCTAACTTGAAGAGTTCAAGCAATACAAGTTACAGCACCCCCCAGAGTGTGACAGAAGATACACCATCTTAATTCTTAGCTGTACTTACAACCCTGAATCAAAGACATCTGATCTTCTGCAATATTTTGGGAGTGTGCAAATTACTTCGTATGAACCCAAATTCCATTTTACCTACCCGAACCTAATTGCCCCCATTAGAAGTTGAGAAGATGGTTCACCAAACAACACTATCAAATACTTATGTGACACACTTCTGTATCAGTAAAGGTAGTGATAATCAAAGATATATACCTCTGGGAAACTCCGAATGAAATTCAGAAGTTGCTGATAGCTATTATGTTCATTCGGGTGAACAAACACGGTTCTTTCGCAAGTCAGTAGTTCTTCAGATTTGAAGTCCTTATGGATTATAAGGATGGGAACTGGTATCCATCTCTCGGTGTTATTGACTTCCATATTTTTCAACAGAGCAAAGGAGAGTAATGCGTGAGGCAACAGAGACGCACTAGAAGTGGGAACAGATTCATTCAGCCAGTCAGAAAAAAGAGAGCAGCTGTCATCTTAACAGGCTAAGCAGAATTTCAGAAGTCTCTTCACATAATCTTCACGAAGTTCACGAAGAGCCCAAGTCACAACTCACATGAGTCTCTTGGGTTACACAACACAAAGCTCAACATCAAATAACATCGCAACTTCACAATTACTTCAATTTCGGCAAAAGAAATTCTGAAGTCGTCTCTGTTTTACACTGTAAAATACGACGCAGTAGAGAACAAAAGTGCATGGCCGCAACTTTGCTCCTAATCAGTGGTTACGCGAAAAACAAAGAAAGCATTGATTTGACAACGTTGAAAAAAGGAACACTATTGCGTCATCAAGATGGAAGGATGGTATTGGATGCTTCTACCTGCCTGCTAATTTTACCGTAAAGTATAGACCATAGCAAAATTAAGAATGAATTTATTAAAACATTTCGCGGGTCGTATTCTGCCATTTTTATCGTGACGTAAAAGGATACAGGCCATACTGACCAATGAAATGAGAGTAAAACACGATGGTATGATGCTACTTCCCAGCAATGCTTGGTCCAATATTACCACAGTTTTGGTAAAACCTTCAGTTGTTTGTTGTGACAACGCGGTGGAGTCATCTTGTAGGTACTCAGACTCTCTCCATTCTTTACTCTGTATTGGAAATGGAGTAAAATGGACATTACGGCTTGATCCTGAAATAAATGTCCGATGTTGGTCTACGAATTCTGTGTTTAGAATAATTGCGCCCTGCGTTTTTAAGTGAATTTAACGTTAAGTATGTTTGTTGTGGGAGAGTTCACAGAGTAATTCACGCGTTTATGCTACCAATTCTGTTTACAATATTGTAATAGACTGGCTTATCAGCGCTTCGTATTTTGCGGTCGTTCGGTTGCTACAGGCCAGCTATTCGGCCTGTGATGCTGTTTTAGTGGAATTATTGCTGTCACAGGTAATACAATGAAACTCCATTATCATGTAGTCGTCTGCTTGTGCCTTTTATCCGTAATTTCCTCGCACTCCACGTCGGGTTAACTCCATGTTCAAGTCTGTTTATCGTCGCGCAAGCTTTCACTGTCGGCTATGTCTGGCGTTCCAAATTTGCAGACGATTGTAATTTGCTCGCTCTCTGTCCTTACCATTGTCGCCTAGACTTGTACAGCCTTAACTGTTAGCACTTTTGCATTTTTAGTTTAAATATTCTGAAATCAAGTCTCATCAGTGAAAGAGGTATGTTCAAGTGTTGACGATCATTTGAATTTGTTTTTTTACGAACACTAAATTATCAATCTTTCTAACTCATCACGACATCGCTATTTCGTATTTGATAACTCATCTAATTAAAGTAAATACTAATGTGCCATTGATCTACTATGTAGCCACTCAAAACACTATCTGTTCGGTGAGTTGAATCCTAGTCTTCCTAGTGAGAATCATTTCAAACCATAAATTAGTTTTGGCTTCTAGATGTAGTGCTCACAGCCATTGCGAATTCGTGCGTGAGAGCAGGGTTACATTCTTTTCCATTGAAATATTCCAGAGCATAGTGGTTAACAAGCTCATCACCTCATCACGTAACGAAGAAATGTATGCACTGGCAGCTGTAAAGTTGCCTCAGTGTTGATCGTCTGAAATGAAGTTAATTTCAAATATTCGTAATTTTACTAGTGCAATTGTTTATCAATCACATTTAATCCATCCCACGGCGCTTTAATTTTTTTTGGGATGACCATAACCCCAAAGATGTAGTGCCAGCAGCAGAAATGAAAAGTCCAACTTCCAAGCGTTTGAAAGTATTGCAGCCAAAATTGAATGATCCTGATATTCAAGAAAAAGTGGGAATCATCTCATGTGTCTGAATGATTTCAACTGTCAGAGGGCAAATTATTTACTTTTTGGGGTTGATATGAGTTAAAGAATTTTGTACTCTCTGATTTTGATATAACAGTTTCAAAATTTTGCTTGGAACCTTGAATTGTAAAAACAGAACCCACACTCAACCCTCCAAGGGAGCCCCGGGGTTTTGGGATGATGAAATTTGCTCTCTATGGCATCGACTCCTCATTCAGATCCGCAATCCCCAACATCGTTGGACCTATTATAACATGAAAGGACAGCCTGTTAAGTACGGGTGGTCTGGATAATTTTGTACCTACATCCTTTCTAGAAACTGATCAAAGCACTCTGCTAATTTCTGTAATAAACAGTTCATTCAGATTGTGAGAGAAGTTATAATCTCGATGAACATTTTATTATGTTTCTTAATGTGTTCTAGATATCCTTGGAAGTATGAAATTCTCTCTGATGATGGCGTAGCCTTTTCCAACATGTGTGATCAGTCGGAAATAACTTACGCACCCAGCGAAATAGTGTGGGTAAAACTGGGTAAGTCGAGTGTTTAACTCTCTTCAAGGATCATAGTTCATTGATTGTTCCTACTGTATGGAATACCTAAATTTTCTATGGTATTAAAAAACCAGTATCCTTCTTGGATGGCCAGTATTTCTCAATCAAAGCTGTTTTTTGTTTTCTCACTTTATTAAAAGAAAACTGAACAAGGTTTTTTCAGTTATGTTTCACAAGATAATATTATTGATAGAATTTTAAAAGAATCCCAAAAGTCAAAACAATAAAGTGATTCATTTTGTCTTGAAATCGCTGAAATTAGTATGGCTATTAGGATGTTAATTTTAGATTCTGTCCATATTCGGATGTCTTGAAATTGGTATCGCTGCAAAAACAAGTTAGATTTTGGTTGTTACTTGCCTAGTTAAGTCTCAATATTGGTTAATCCACGATTGCGATTCAACTTGTATTTTTTATTACTTATCCACTAAGTATCTAGTGTTGCTCCCAGGTTAATTTCTGAAAAATCAACTTGAATTTTAAGAAAGTTATCCTTTCCTGTCAAGCTTACATGCTGGAAAGGTGAAACTGATAGTGAGAGTCATTAAACGTTGCTGTGCGGTTGTAATTTCATAAATTTGAGTTAGTTTAATCCAAATTTGTTCTAAATTTTTTCTAATTGTTTAGACTAACTGATTACTGTTGCATCTTCGATCCTTGCTGATTGCTGAGTTGCAAGTGTCTTGCAATTTTCAGAGCACCACTCAGCATCAAACTGAGTTCCCATTTTCAGCGCTTAAAAAAGGCAACTTCTGAAATAAAAGCATTTTACCGTTAGAATGTAAAAGTAGAATTCTGGAGTATACCTACTTATACTTGCAAGTTGTTCGAATCGACCTTGTAGTTATCATGCTTTACCAAGTATTTTTACTGTTGGAATGTAGTAATTAAAGGTAACTGATCAAAATAAGATTTACCTCAGGAAGTTTCCCCCAATCACGTCATCGTTTTCCTGTTATCATGAAGGGCAAAGTTTTACCACATGCCATGTGACTTATCAGACCTACATGTGACTATGTCTGTTTCTATTGGGAAGTTCCTTTACCCCTGTCGTAGACCTCGCTTAATCCAGGAGGTACCCAACAATCAAGGGGGGATCTGCAATCTCCGGAATGGTAAACACACATCCATGCATCTTATGAGTAATAACAAATGTGAATGAAGGAATTACAAAGCATGGTACTTAAATGACACTTCAATTCTTTCAAATTATCAACTGGACCCAAAGTTAAAAAAACGAAATTTAAACGGTTAAATTGAATCACCTTAAATTTCGTTTTTTGAACTTTGGGGACTTGAAAACGCAATGTTGAACTAATTTTGAACTAACCAAGATAATGTTGAGGCAAAGAAAAGGGAAATTGGCTCAAATCGCGGGAAAATCGTATGACCTTTAAACTGATGTATTTGGGGGTCCGAAACCTCTCTTGAAATTCGTTTGAAGTCATACCAGTGATTTTTACTTAAAAGTGGTTACAATTTGGTAAATTTGCCCGTTTTTTTTTTTCTCTACCATAATTAGAACCGGAGTTATGATTTGTTGAAAATAAGTCAAATTTGACCTTTGACCTGCCATAACTGGGTCTAAAATTAAGATATTGATCTGCAGTTTCCGCCAAAATTCTTAGTTTTTTATGTTCTTTCCAATGATGTATCACAAGAGAGGGGTTGCTATTTGAAAAAAAAGTTGGGGGCCCCCTGCGCCCCCTAAAGGAGGGACAAAAATTTTAACCCCCTAGAAAATGGTCCTCTCAAGATTGAAACATTCCCAAAGTTTTGTTTTTCTATCTCTTTACCATTCAAAAGTCATCAAGGGGGGGGGGGGGGGGGGGTTTAAGGACTTTTGGGACATCCTGTATGATAGCACATTCTTGTTTCAGGACCTGTCTGGTGGCCAGGAGAGGTACAAGACTACAATTCTTTACCGGAGGAAATTACTAGCAACCTAAGAAAACAGCCTATAGCTGTTGTAAAATTCTTCCAAGAAGACAGCTAGTAAGTTCTAATTTTGTCAGCTAGTAAATTTAACTCTTGCATTGAAGCGTCTTCACATCCTTCATTTAATTGTGACGAAGATACATATTTTGTGGTACTCAACCTCTTACTCTGTCTAGATACACCAGTGACAGTAGATATGGTATAAAATAATTCAATAGTGTAGAATATGTTTTCAAAACACTGCTTGCTCGCCCCTTTGATACTTCCAGGGGCTGAGATTTTTCTTCAGATTACAGAATTTTTGAATTAGCAAAGTTGTAAATCTAAATTCTAAAGAGAGGAGCAGTTTTGAGGAATATTTTGAAATAAAAAGAATTTTAAATAAGCTCTATAATCGAATCTCTTAGTTCAGAAACGACCCAACTCGGGTTTCTTATGCTGTTCATTTTTTACACTCCTTATCTGGCTGTTATGCAGTTTTTATCGTTCCTTTAAAAGTTTAATTTTTTCCCAGATGGGTCATTCTCGAACTGAGAGATGCAATTGGAAGTAGAGTGACCCTTTGCTGGATCATTCGTAGAGGTGTCGTCAGCTAAGTTGACGGTTGTTTACTTTCGGTTTGCAAGCGCCAACGACGAATTTGGTTCTCTGAACAAAGCGGCGTTCGCCACTATCCACATCGAAAACATCAGTCTCATGATGGTATCGTAAAAAAACTACTTATCAGTTATGATTTGCGACTTTTTTGTGGTTGTGATTTCTGTGTGGCTAAAAATTAAAGTGTTACAAGGTTTGAAAGTATTTAAAAACTTATCTAAGCTTGTGCTCTTGCTTCTGACAGAGCCAGATGTTTTCATGTGGATAGTAGTGACGCGAAAACGCCTGCAAACTGAAAGTAAACAACCGTCAACTTAGCTGACGACACCTCTAGTACAGTTGCCAATCGTTCTCTAATTGGAAATCATATGCCCTGTCTGAATGAGCTATGTCCTCTTCAATTGCATTGAAGTATCATTCGTACAACTTCTTTAATATTCAACACTTTAAGATTCTTAATTTTGCCCTGGTCTAAAGACTAAAGTTTACTAGTTGTGTTCAGAGGCAAAATTTGACCAAATGTGGAACGGTGCAGATATGAATTAAAGTTCAATCATTCCCTTCGCTGATCTCACTAACTTGCATCTAAGTAGCAAAGGCCACTGAAACCCTTTCAATTACTTGAGCATCCAGTTTAGCTTGTAAAAAATACAGATCGTTTGACCCTAATTTAAGGCTGCAGAGCAGTACAGCTGCACCATTTCAATTTTTCCTAGGCTGATAAAGGTCCAAAAAATTTTTGAATAGGAGAGACAAATACATGAGATTTCTTTAAAGATGGTGACTTCCTGATTTTTCCCCTGCAGGCCAGCTCTTCCTTTGTTTTATTGAGTTTTTCAAATTATAGAGCTACATATCAGGAGCTTGTTATACGTTTAAAGGTAAACTTCTATGTGATTTTTTTTTAAATAGGGCAGAAAATGTTCCTCAAATAAAAATTGCCCATGGTAATTTAGAATTCAGACAAGATCCTGATTACTTTGGGTTATTTTCTTAATTAATCCATCCGCTGTTTTATTGATTATTGTTAAGTTATGTTAGCAATTACTTTATTGGCTAAGGAGAACCAAGCAAAATTTTCAGAAAAAAATTAGTTCAAGATAGTTTTGAGCCTTTGTGTAAAAGTGGCATATTTTCCGTCACCCATAATTCAAAGTCCGTAAAATTTTTTTTTCCCATTTGCAACAATTAAAGCTAAAATTTGTTACTTACATGGAGCTCTCTGTAAGTAATTGTAACCCTACTTTTCTTCTTTTCAAGACCTTGTCAGTGTCACTTAGTTCTCCCTTGCTGAGCGCAGCCTAATATTAATAAGCACTTGTTAAGTACTCCCATATCGTCATTAATAAACTCTTTCTTTTATTTCTCTTTTCAGTGAGTATATAAAGAATCTGAACCATATTTATAGGTACAATTGCCTCAAGAAGAATGAATTCATTCAGAAGGGACTTGGTAAGCAAATTTTTCTCTGCTTCACCATCTTTTTTTTTATTATTATTTTATTACAGTCATTCGCTGATTTTAATTCTCGTAGGTTTCACATAGCAGCAAAATGTAACATTGAGTTGTACGAAGTTCTTTGTCTACCTGTTTTTTAGCTTACCTCCTCACACAGAAGTTTTGTACTTTTTTTTTGCTGATGGCTTTTTTTTGCATTTTTGTCCAAATTCATCCATGATTTTGGAGAAGACGAGCTATCTTTATGTTGATGGAAAACGCCATTCCCTCTTTTAAAATATTTCTTTGCAATCTTTCTGTTTTTTTCTGCAGTCTAGTAGTTTCTTTACCTCTGATTCAATAGATCTATTGCCGCAAGTTCTAAAATATTTTTGTTCTTCTTCTGGATTAAATTCTCTTTAAACATTGTTTGAGTTTGTGAGGTGAGTTGTGAACCTTTTAAACTCGCAAACAAACAGCACAGAACTGCTTGCATGTTTTATTTTCATTATATTTTGTGTGTATTTAGAAACTATCCATCGTTTTTCAGATCTGTGCCGTACCAAGTCGCGAGATGCACCTTCCAACATGAAGATGTTTCCAGAGGACATCGTGACTGCAGAAAAACGCACTGGAGGTAACCCCAACATCTTACAAAGTGAAGAGTTTGCTCCGAGTGCAAAGAAAAGCTACCAGGAGTTGTTCGCAACGCCTAAGAAGCCAAAAGATGGAAAAGAAGGAAGTGGATCCGGAAGGAGAGGGCGGCCATCAGAAGGGAAAGCAAATTATAAGGCATCGCCCATGACCCCTGTCCAATCCCCATCCGTCCGCTCAATCACTCACCCTCGCTTTATCGGGCGTTCTACCACTCCCAACCATGAAAGCCGTGTACGGCAACAGCCACCTCCTGACTCCGATGATGCTCCTCCTCGAAACGTTTACAAGTGTCACTCCTGTGATTTTACAACCATCAGACTTAATGTCATTGTTTTACATAACAAATCACACACAGGCTCCAATGCTGATTTTAGCCCCAAGGATAAAGATATTCTCACGAAAAAATTCACTCCCAAATTGAGAGTAAACTCCACCCCAAAGATGAAAGCTGTTGGAGAAGCCATGAAAAGGAAAAGCGTCAACGAGAGTCCAAGCACACCAAAAAGAGCTCACCTAAGTCCTGTGACCACCAAAAAAGAAAATGAAAAACAATCACCAAGTAGTTCTTCTGAACCTAAAGCGACACCTGAAGTTACATCTGAAGCTAAGTCTGTGCCAAAGAAAAGAGGTGCAAAACCAACGAAAATGGAGAAAGTCACCAAAGTGATGAAGGAAAATGAAACCATTCGGAATGATCTATTGAAAGACTGGGATGAAGAGGATGAAACAGCGGAAGAAGAAGAGAAATCAAAGCAACATGAGGACAAAAGTTGTGTAGAAACTGAAGAAAGTACATCCGTGGACTCTGAAATTCAAAACAAAGATCAAGAAGTAGACGAAAAATTGGAAGAGAAAGCCCCTGAAAAGTCATGCTTTGATTTTGACGAATCCGAAGATATTGTGAGCCACAAAAAACCAATAGCCTTCTCCAGGAAGACTTCAGCCGTAGGCTCAGATGGGGTGGGGTCCATCTCCGAGAAGAAACCTGATGAAGAAGTGGACAAATTCAGTATGGAAGTTGACAACCTTCTGAAAGAAACTGCCTTACCAGAATTACCAGAGTTAAAACTACCCTCAAAACTTTCTCTCAAGATGGATCAAAATCCTGAGCCGAGCAGAGAGGATCCTGAAGTTACCAGTGCAATAGTGTTTGATTCTAGCTGTGAAATTGATAAAGCAGCCTCAGAGGAAAGTGAAAAATCCACAACTGAGGCTGGGCAGCAGAACGGTGTGAGCAGTTCTTTACACGATGAGCCGAAGCAAATGAAAAATGAAAAAAAAGCCAAGTCTCCGCTGCGGAGAAAATCTCTCGTTATTGACTATGATCCAAACCCTTGTGAAGAACAGTTAAATGAGTCAAAATCAGAATCATCAGTGCAAGATGCAGATAGCAGAGACAAGGCAGAGGTCTCCCCAAATGCACCAGAACCTACTGTAGAGTCTCACTCAGAGCCAATGAAACTGGAAATATCTGAATCAAAAGCAGTCCCGGTCTTGTCAGTTCAGTCCATGGATGCGACTACATCTTTTGAAACTGTAGAAAATGTTGCAAAAGAACAATCTGTTTCCACTCCTGTAAAACCAGAATCACAGTCCTTAAAAGCTGATCAAGCAGATGCAGTAAGTTCCAGCTCAGATCATGTCACCGCAGAGCTTGTCCCTAAAATAAAAAAAGAAGTGTCGTCTCCAGAAATTTCTAGTCATGATGTGAAGGTTAGCTCAGAAGTAGTGAGGGGTTCTGGAAGACGAGGTCGACCTCCTTCATCACGTTCAGTTGTAGCAAAACGTGTCGCACCACCCACTGCAACACTAAGCCATCGCCGTAGATCAGCATCCAAAAAAGTTGACGATCCAGCCCCAGTAGTCGTGACTGATCAGGAAATTTTTATCAACTCTGTGGGCAATATCGGTAAAGAGTTTGTTATTGAAGATCCGAGCCCTGTCGAATCATCATCCATATCTGCTGCAGGTATTTCAGCTTCTGATACATCCCAAAATTCAGTGATAGTTGTCTCTGAGCCGAGTGTAGGAGAAACTATTGTTATTGGAGATGATAAACTGTTGAACCCAATTCAACAAGAAAATACCTATTCAGACCAGAATGTTTGTAATTTAGATTTTGATATCAGTTCAATGCCTATTGTCATTGATAATAATGAGTATGCACCCAGTTCCTCTGGTTACGAAAAAGTGGAAACAGTGCACACGCTAATGAGTCCTGCTGCCATCGAAATTGCAGCAAGTATAGCTCCCGGGACTGTAGGAAGTGGAGCTCCCGTAGTTGTAGGAAGTGGAGCTCCTGTAGTTGTAGGAAGTGGAGCTCCTATCAAAGTTGAGCCAAAAGAAAGTACAGTGAAAAGTTCTCCAAGTTTCTTGGAAAAAGCTTTAATCAGCAAAGAGCCTAACTTGCTTACTCTGAAACCTGGAGTTTCGTCTGGTTCCAAGAAAACCACTGTCACCAAAGAAAAAGGAAGTGCATCGAAACTGGTAATGCCAGTGCAAACTTCCAGTGGAGTTGCAAAAATGCGAACAGTCAAGTTAGCCACAGGATCAAAACTTTTCACTCCCAACTCTAAATCACCAAACCAGTTCCTCCTTCTAAAGACGTCAAGTGGACAGCAACTTCTGAAATCATCTCAGCTTGTTCAACAGCCAGACGGTAAGATGATAATTTTAACTCAAAATCCTTCTTCTCGGTCGGGGTTGGTTGTCAAGAGTATTTCCAAAGGAGAACAACTGGCTGGAGGTAAATTCACCACTTCAAGAATAATAACTACCAAAAGTGTTGGAGGGATTAGAGATGAAAGCTCTTCCAGTGGTAAGCAAACACCAAATATTTTAAGTAAGGTCAGCGGAGAAGGCTCCAAAAGCAAACTAATGACTAAAATGTCAACAGAAGCTCTAGTTGGAGTAAAACAAAAAATTTCCGGCCAAGTTCCTGGTGTGACTGTCAGTTCCAGTAGTGCATCACCAGCTCATGCATCAGTAGCTGGTAAAGTGATACTTCCTGGTAAACAAGGTATATCCAAAGTATTTCTCTCCAAAGCTGGTGCAGGTCCTGGCACAAAGTTTGTTATGCAGAGTTCTCCCACCAAGATCAATTTACCACCTGCGCTGAGGCAGAAACTGATTGTTTCAAGTGGAGGCACTGGAAATATTTTAGTTTCACCAGGAGTGGCGAATCCTTCTTCAACCAGCTCTGCCCCAGTTTCAGTCAGTAAGGTTGTTGTGTCTCAATTGGGCTCATCAGGTTTACCAACTGTTGCAAAAGTTTTGAAAGTTCAGAAACAGGGCCCAAATATTTTGCAAAAACCCATTCGAAAATCAACTAAAACCTTGGTGCCTGCAGTAGGAGCTGCGCCAAGTAAAGTTGTTGCATCCGTCATGCCAAGCTTACTACCTAAACCGCTAGCTGCAACATCTGAGCCCATCTCCATGCCTTCATCGTCTGTGGAAGCTGTGGCCGACACTTCAAGCACTGTCACGCCAAATGTTGTTTATGTAGCCATGGATAACAACACTTACCAGGCTGTTGACAGTTCATCACTGCTCACTTACGATGCATCTCAACAGCAAGGACAAACCTTGTATATCAATCCTGGGACAACACCTCTTGAAAATATTCTGTTGACCATCGATGAGAAAGGTAATGTTAACTTGGCTCCCCAGACTCCGCAATTCACAACTGAAGTAACTCCAACACAAGATATCCTAGCAAAAGCCTTGGCAGACACCCAGGTCCTTCAAACTGAAGCCTCAATTGCTGATGCTGCAGGTAGAGTTGCCTACATCGAACCTTTACCATACCCTGCGCCTCCTCTTGCCAGCAACGTACAAGAGACTTCACTAACGCTTAATCAACCAATAATGACCCCACTTGAACAGCCTTCATCAGCAACACCAATTGCCACTAACTTTATGCTAACAGATCAGTCTGATCCGACGAAATCATCCTCACAAGATATGTTCATTACACAGCTTCCTGGTGTGTCCTCCAACATGGCGTTTCAACTTGTTGATGATACTCTGATTGCAGCATCCGTCGCAAATCAGGTCACATCCTCTAACTCAGTGGAAACAAATATTGACGAAGACTTGCTGAAAATCAACAAGCCTTTGAAAACCAAGTACACCAAGATTGAAAATACTTGCACTGAATCAAATAGTTTTCTTGGAGATAAAACTGAACTGGATTCCGCAAAATTCATCATCTCTGAAACGCCTGTTTCTACCACTACTTCTCTGTCTGGCTTTGAAGGACATACTCATCTATCTAAAGAGTTACCAGACACACTAAATGTTAGTGACGTGCAAAGCGAACTCATTATCACGAGTGATTCATCAGTCTTTAACAGTGATCAGTGTGACAGTTCGAAGGAGGAAGTGCAGGAAAGTAACTGTACTGTAGAGGCAGAAATTTCAAATGGACTGAGTTCAGACTGTGGAGTCCATGATTCAGTACCGATAGTAACCAAAGACGTGACTTTTTCTTGTCAAGAATCTGTTAAGACTACTAATGAATTATTGGAGTCTCAAGCAACAACCCACCATGTAACTGAGCCGTAATGCATCTCCCATCTCAGATTATTCAGTTGATTTTTTTCTCATTTTATTACTTTACTTTCACAGTTGAGCTGTGACATTCGTTTTACTTCCCTCGGTGTTTAGTATTACAAAATCTGCTATTCCCTGTTCGTTTAAGATTGAAATGAACATAAAATAAGGGATTTTGAACAAGGGAGGTTGAAAGAACACTTTCATGATTCTAATAGAGATCATGCTGTCTCCTTTGCTCTAAAACCTGTCAGAAATATTCTACTTTAAAAGACTATTTTATATTAATGTTCCTCTCAAGGACTAATTCTTGGTGTATTTTTCTTTTTATTTTGTTGGTTTTTGTGTAACTTTCAGCACTGTTTTATTTCAGATGATTATTATGAACACTGCAAGGGAATTTTGAGATCTGTTTTTGACCAAGATTTTAGAAAGGAAATTAGATTGATTATTCCATCAATTTTTTTTTCTTTTTGTGGTAGTGTTAAACTTGTGGAGGGCTACATAGAACTGTATTTAGCAAGGTCATTCAACTTAATTTTTTCTTTTGGATTGTATTTCTTGTATAACTGACATCACTTTTTTCTTGGTCTTATTCTAAGGCAATAAGTTCAACCTAGCTATCTTCAAAAATATGTCTCCAGTTGAAGGAGTTAAATTTTTTCTCAAAAAAAGGGCAAGATTCTTGATATCTAGTCCTCCCAAGGATGTAACTGGATTCATGTTGTGAGCATAAACTGCTCAGCTGGTTTAATTGAAAACTAAACCCCCTGAAATTTGCTAGTCGATTTACCAGTCAAGTTAGAGAAGTACCACTTTGTTTATTTCTCACTCAAAAAGTGAGATGTTAAGCAGGGGCGGGTGTTCGTTATTGCGAAAGTAACATTTCAACTTTGAGATTAATGTCTATTCAAGTGCCTAACACAAACTTTTTGTACATCCCTTTGAAAAATGTTTGTTGCAATGGGTTGAAGTAATAGAAACTAGAGGTTAGAACCGCATTACTGTTTCAAGTATAGGTAATCTCTTTCTATTACACAAAAATTATGAGGCCAGTAGCTTATCAGCAGTAGCTGACAGGTCACTGCTGATTTCATGGTTTTTCAATGAACGACTAGACGAGTTACGAATTTAAGCATTGTGATGTATGCTTCCTCTTATGAATTTCATGTAGAACACAATTTGCACAACAGAAATAATTGATAATAAATCCTAACCAGGGTGAAAACGTCTTTTATCCTGCAATTATTGGCTTTTTATTCATTCATTTAAACGAGAGTTTACTTGAATCAAATCGCACACTTTAGGGTTTGGCAGGCTTCTCAGTCAAGCAATGTTCCCTCCCCACCCTGTGTTATTCAAAGTGTAAACAACAAGCAGTGGCTGAGCCGAAGTACCAAAAGTTAGGCTGTTATATTTTCATACTGCAGAGACTGTCACAGTACATAATGTTTAGCAAGGAATTGAACCTAATCAGTTATTTATTTTTTTCTTTTTTTGTAAGGGAAACTCGAATTAATGCATTATAAAACTTTAATATCTTGGTTAGGAATTACTTTCAGTAATATTTGTTGTACAAATTAAGCTCTACATGAAATTTTGACAAAAAAACATGTAGCAAAATGCTTAAATTTGCACCTTGTCTAGTGGTTCATTATAACGAAAAGAAACATTCTTCATTAAAAATAGATAAATAAGTCACATGTTTTCAATAAAAAATTAATTTTATTAAGTATAGAATACCCTTTGGTTATAAGCCATAAATCTAGGAATTTTCAATATCCATTATCACCCAAAAGTTCTACCAGAATACTTTATTGTGGCCTTGGAAACATTGTTTTCTACTTATGATTATGGTAGATGTGGCCAAAGCCAGGATTGAAAGAGAGGGTACATTTTTTTCTAAGGAGATTGATCCTCCCCACCTAAAATGAAAAAATGGGATTTTTTTTCATCATGATTTATGTGAAATAAGTCCAACGTTTTGCCAAAAACTTTTGTGACTTACCTAGTAGTTTTTGCAAAATTTTTCCCTAGAAGAGAGGAGCAGAAAAATGCCTCAAGAATTTTAAATTGCCCCTTTTACTTTAAGTACGTTGGTTTAAATATCATTTGTAAATATGTAAGTGTAAATATTTCTGCCTCAAAAAACTAGACAAATTACAGCCATGTAAGCTAGAAAATTTTCTTCAAAAAAATAAGACTTAAGAATTGGTCATCCATTTTTTTCGTATAGTAAACTTACTCCATTTTTGTATTTTATTCCTTACGTTGACTGCAATGATGATGAAATAAAGGTGAATCTTCAGTAGCTTATAGGAAGAAATTCCCCAGGCAGGCAATTGGCAGGAGATGCCAATCCTGCGTTTTGATATTTTGCAATACATCAATAGAGTCTGAACAGCACAATACGAGTCCATGAGCTAATATGAAAATTGGAGGAGGTCTTGTCAAAGCGGAGAGTTATACTTTGTAGCTAGAACTACCTTTTTTCTTGGCACCCAACAGATGAGCAATATATTCTTTAAAGCTCAGAAATTTGATTACGGAATTAAGAAGGTAATCAATTTCTTGCCTTTATTTTTGAACTTTCCAAGCTCCATACATTTTGGAGGTATGCTGATAGGATGTATGGCTCTCAAAATTTATTGTATTTGTCATGATGTTGAAATAATTGCTGATTTTGGAGTCAGATTTTAGCAGCGCAATGCGGAAGTTTTTTTAAACCACTGCTGAAGATTCACCTCAAGGACAAGGAGAAAACCCTTTGAATAATCCAGCAACTTTGAAGCAAGGTGTTTTTAGAAGATGGATGGAAGTCTTTTCACCCTGTGTCATGTCACTTGTTTCTCTTTCATGCAGTTTTGTCTTGAGAGAGTATCTTTTAAGTGTATTTAGCATTCCTAACTCACGATTCAACTTGGAAAACAGCGAACTCATGACCAAATTAAGAGGTGATTTTTTTAACTTGATTGCTACGTTTTGCCTCTTACTTTTAACAATGTGACTGTATTCTTTTTGGAGAGCATTTGATTGCCTATTTAACATTAGACCATCATTGCTGGGCAAAATGGCTGATCCAAATGTCACATGAATCAAATCGAATTGTGGAGGTGGTGACAGGTGATAGGGTCGTCGACTTCAACAGGATAAAGCTTCCTGTGCCTCTCTTGTGACTATCTTTGTAGGATATGTAAGATTTGATGTCGACACATCAATGTTTAAATCTTTCAAAACAAACAGTTTGGACAGAGCTTGTTAGAAAGATTGTAAGCATGGAAATTATTATGAGATTCTAATATATCAGTTTAGGGTGATCAAAAGCAGTGATGCCACTTCGAAGTAAGCCAAAAAATTTGGAGTTCTCCTGACCTTTGTGTGTATCATCCTACAATTTTGGAGTGAGGCTAAATGTACTATTAATCAACCCTTTTTGTGAAACTCGCATGATGGAGGTGACCATTCTTTTGTAATTTTTGTATAAATTCCAACACATTTTGATTTTCTGTAAAGTGTCTCAAAATGTTTATTTTTACTACCTTCTTTATTACTCTCTATTATTGAAGTAATTCTAAGTGGTTAAGCCTGCAGTAGAGTGTCAGTTTGATTCTTCTGCAATATAATTGTGTGAGGTATCCCAGTTTTCTCGGAACTTTTTCATTGTCATGCTTGCCTCGGTTGTTTCTTTATATTTGCACCCCTATCAGGATTTATTTTTCTTTTAATAAGTTTGCTTGTATCTACCTTTGATAAGGAAGCTGATTGAGAAATCCATGTCTCAAAAAATTGGACTGAGTTTATCAGAAATGCGCCGAAGCGCATTTTGGTAAAACAAAAAAATGATTCTGGAGTAGTGCGGAATGCGAGTACTTGCACATGGTCATCTATTAACAACTCCAAGTCGAGAAAAAATATTCTCAAAGTGAAAACAGTCATCTGACTGTTTTCTTTTTGTTTCTGAACATTGAATTGATGGAGGAACAAATCTTCTAACCTCTTTTTTCTCGGTCGATATAATGTGACGTCGTGTGTTTCTGTCAATCTCAGTTCAACTGTAGGAAAGAGATCTGAAATTTTTTTCAGAAGAAATAATTTTATACGAATCAATACTGAGGATAGACCTGATTTATTGAGACAATTTTCAATGGTTCTAGGATCGTTTATTTTTGTATCTCACATTTGTTAATTAATTTGTAATTATAACATGTCCTCGTTATTTTGCGTGTCCTTTTGTTTTTTTTTACTCCTTTAAATCCTACTACAAGGGCTTTTTCCTCTGTAATTAATGAAGTTGGTATCGTAAGGAAAAAAGATGTGAAAAAACCATTTGTACCCAATTAATAGACTAATTTCAACTATAGATTTCTTGTATTATACGAGGGGTATTCGTAAAGTAAGTTAATATTTGTCATACCTTCTAAATCAATGAAGATAATTTAAATCTGTAAAAAGCGTTTAAATTGCCACACTCTCAGCTTTTAATAAAGCTTCAGTTTTTAAAATTTGGCTCTCTGAGTGCCGAGTAACATCAGTTTTCCCACACCAGTGTCTCGCCATTGCGTGTCCAAAATTTGCGCATGTCGTTTGGGGTGCACAGTGAGTGTTACTCATTGATTTCTTAGAAGAAGGCACAACTATTGATGCTGACAGAAACTGTGATGTCATGGAAAGGCTCAAATGTATGGCTGTGCAAAAGTGGTCGCAATAATAAGATTGACAGTTTTCCACTAATTAAATTAAAAGGCTCATGTCTTGGTATGTAAAATGTGTTCAACAAGATAGGAATTACTTGGGAAAGTAAGCTAAAGTCTTCTCAAACATGATTCTACTCAATTTTGAACAAAAAATCGCATTTTGAAAATTTTGCAGAATGAAGTCGCATGCTACCGTCCTGCAACCTCCCGGGTGCGCGTAAATTTTGGACTTGCGGTGGCGAGAGATGGGTGTGGGAAAACTGATGTTACTCCGCACTTAGGAGACCGAATTCCAAAAACTGAAGCGTTTTAAAAAGCTGAGAGTATGGCGATTTAAACGCTTTTAACACTTTTAAATTATCGACATTAGCTTAAAAGATATGATGCATATTAACTTTCTTTACGAATACCCCTCATAGAACAAGGTATGTACATCCTGCTTGAAAATAGCAAGTTCAGGAAAAAAATTGTCCACCGCACACTAATTTTTCCAAGTCAAACACTTCATTATTCTTTAGTTGGCTAAAAGTTGAAGTCCGTTTGAACTTGCAATTTTAGCAAAACCCTAGTGTGTAGTTGACACTTAATGATGTTAATTTCATATTTTTAAACCGAAAAATTTCTAAAAATCTGTGGTAATTTTACTATGCCCCTTACACTATTAATACAAAATAAAATTCTCCACGGTTTAATGGACCACTAGACAAGGTACGAAATTAAGCATTCTAATACATGTTGCTTGAACAAAATTTCATGTAAAACACGCTTCACGGAACAAAAAGTACTGAAATTAATTTGTAATCAAGGTATTTCATGTTTCTTGATGCATTAATTCAAACCTCCTGCTCATGAAAACGCAATGATATACTTCAGTCAAATCGCGCACTACACATTCTCCTGATTGTTTCTGCGGCATAAAAGTATAAGAACCTTGATCTTGGCGCTTCGGTTCAGCTATGGCACGTTGTTTACACTTTGGACAACACAGGATGGGGAAGAAACGTTGCCCAATCGGACTTGCATAAAGTATTGAGTTTCTTGTGACCAAGCAAATCAAATTTCCCGTGACCAATGTAAAAGGAAAAGGTTAATGTCTATGTTAGGAGTTGATTTCAGTAATTTTTGATGCATGAATCGTGTTCTACATGCAATTCTGGTCAAGAAACGTGAATGTGAATGCTTAAATTTGTTTCTTGTCTGGCGGTCCACTGTTGTTATCGCAACCTACTCGGGAGAGACCAATTTGAGTGTTTTTCGTCATAAATCTGAGCAGAACAATTTTGAAGACATGCTCTCTATCCAAAATAAGAAATAATCTTATTAAGATCAGGAAATCAAAATTTCCTTGTAAACAGGGGCCCACAAGCTCATGATTTTTTTTTTTTTTTAAAAAATCTACACTTTTCTCTTTCGGAAAAGCTTGGCTGATTGAGTTGTCCTATCCCAACTTACCCTGCATTAAGATTATGTAAGGGGGCAAGAAATGGTTAGCATCACATTTTCAGAGGAACAATTTTATGGTTTCATGGTTGGTAATATTTCAATTTTCTATTTTTCTCTTACTTTTATCACTCCACATTAAAACTGCAATACATATAGCCAGTGTAAGTGTGCTATCACATAACTCGGTTTGCGACGTCGCAGACTCTCTACCATACTTAATTTTTTAAACGGAAAACTACTCAACGGCAATTCTTTGAAACTGCTGTGATGTTTCTTCTCTGTGCGAAGAAAATTCTGCAAAAACTTCAAGGAATGATATTAATTTGTTCTTCTCTAAAAATATAACATTGAGACGGAGATTTTCAGACACCATAAACGAGATATGTGATTGCCGACTTACGTTGTCGATATATGATCTATAAAGCTGATCATTAATTCCTGCCAAAACTTCACATATGAAAGTTTTAAAATAAGAGATACCATGATAAAAAGTTCGCATTTAACCTCACAGACTTGTTCTGACTCATGTTAGAAGAAGGAATCAAAAAAGATGAGAAGCTGCAAAAAGTTTATAAATGCCGAACCATTGAATTCCAGTCTATTTATTATTTTTGAAAACAGAAATATTTCATGGAGTTTTGATGAAATAACAAATAACGCCCACTGATGGATGATAAGCCTTTTCTTTAAGTTTTTGAAAGCAGAGATTTTCTTCTTTGCAAGTAGTTAGATGCTAATGTGTGCTTCGAGCATTTCTTCATCTTCTGACTCGTGTATCTCCTCAACAATTGCTTCTTCTAATTTTTCTCTTTCTTTAAGACCTGAAAAAGAAAGGACATTGTCTTATAAAATGACAAGGGAAAATACAAAGATTGCCCTGAAAGTAAGTTCAACAATTTATATTATGTACATCTTGTATTACATCATGAAAGTTGGACTCTTGTGCAACCCGCTGTGAAACGCTGAGAAGAGGCAGCAGTGGCCGCCCGAAATGATCATTAATAAATGTTCTAAATAGAAAATTATTCGTGCTCAAGTTTTCTGTGAATTTACTGCCTAGGCTTTTAGATTCCAAGGGGAATTACCTCTTAATTGAATGCAAAAAATGATCACACGATCTACAGCACTATTGTTTTCCTCACAGAAGAGCGTAACTACAATTCAATGTTGCCATATTTCCCCTTGCAATTAGGGTTTTTCCTTAGAGTCTTGGGCTTTTGTAACTGAAAGTTTCACTGATTTTTCTTTTGATTCGGTACTAAAGTCAAAAAAATGTTGGACAAAAATTGCGCAGGTGCATTATTGAAAAAAAATGAATGGTAACAGTCAATTTGGCATCTTTGGAATAAAGTTATGTTCCTTCATCCGCAAAATGGCGAATTGTGAAATAAATCTTGAGGCCAAGGTAATTTGTAAGTGATGAACTTTCCGATTATATTTTTATTCTCCCAAGTCTCGAGAGGAAGTGGGGAGAATCTCAAATTTCCGACAAAATTGAGGGGTTATCCATAAAATAAAACACATTTTTTTTGGAGATAAATAAAAAATTTGGCTCAGTGGTAAAACTGCCCGAATACGTGTAACATTCAAGATTTTGGAACTCCTTGCACCCCTGCCATTAAACCTATAGTTTATAGGATTTTTCGTTCAAGTAAGTATTAAGCTTGCATATTACTGTGTAATTACAAACATACCTGCAGCAGGTGAGCGGATCAGGTTCAAATTCTTTTGAACTTCACGAATGTCTTTCAGCTTTTCAACTTCTATTCCTTTCCTTAGCCTTTGCATGACAAAAGTGTCAGATCGTTTTTGCTTAATTTCTTCGACTCTTTTCATGGCTTCAAGTGTCTTTAGCCATAATTCTCTGTCATACTTTACAGGAACATTTCTCCTCTGGGCGAATTCAAAGGCTGGGTCTACAGTAAGTTCTTTCCCATGAGCTTTGCGATACGCTTTGGTCCACCTTGTTTTACGAGGGTTCTTCTTTTGCTTAAATAGTTTGTGACATCTGGAGCGACAGAATTTGAACACCTGAAAGAACGAAAAAAAAAAAACCTTATACAACCTATCACAGGAAGGTAAGTGTAAGGAGCATTGCTGACTGTGCTAACTTATTAAAGCACATAATAAGGTTGAGGATGATTTCAAAGGCTGCCAATTTTTGTGAACTTCACTTCAGAAATGAAAATCAATTTTTGACATTTCAATACGATTGTGTACCAACGTTTTTCTTGTTCAAGAAGAATATGCCACTGCTAAAAGCTGGGAAATGAAAGGAATCGGCAAATGTTACGTCAGTCTGAATGCATAAATCATCTGTTGGCTCATGGGTTACCACCTAAATTTATATTGAATGGTGCTGATTAAGGAAGTCTTCCAACCGACATGGCTGAAGCTGTATCTTTCGAAACAAGCTGATGGGAATACTAGAATGCCAATATCCAGTATTACAACAGTAGCACACGGCAAAGGTAATTGAATACAATTTTTTGGCGTCCAACTTCCCATTCAATATTTTGACCACTTTTGATGGATGAGAATGGTGACCATCTGAACTAGACTTAAGTGAACTATAAAGTGCCATAGCACTTTCCCTGGTAGATAGGATTATAATGAGTTACCAAAGTTGTCTCTCATCAAGGATTTGAATTTAGCTACGGCCATTTGTTGAAGGTATCTGCAAAGAATATATCCTTATCTAATAATTAAGTGCCTTCATTTATTGCTCGGGTAAAGGTCTCGCTATGTGAGGTGAAACTGTTGTTGGTTTGAGTATGGTGCAATCTGGCTTTTGGCCAATCGGCGACCGTTGTAGCGTTGTGATAGCGTGGGGGCGATCGGGAGTGTACTACCAATCGCAGGGGTTCATAGAGCTTGGCGAGGCGAGGGAGGCCTCGCTGACGACCTTCCAGGTCGGTGAGGTGGTGGGGGGGATTCCCTGTTGGCTGACAGCCGGGCGGGTGATTTGAATTTACTCAGCTTTAGTGAAGTTGCTTTGTTCCGTTCCTAACGGGTGCTATTGCCGCGAGGATTTTTATTTTTATGGGGAAATTTCTTTTCTCGACGTGTGGTTTAGGGTTTAGCTTGATAGTGATTTGGAAATTGTTTGTTTCTTTGATGGGTGGTGAATTCTATGAAGTGGTGGGGAATGTCTTAAGGATCTCCTGTGTCTGCAGTAAAGAATATGTCGAGTATGTGTCGTCTTTTTAGTCTTCTTTGAGTTTCGCTGTTGTCGAGTAATGACAAAGCCAAATGGCTGCGATGGCCTTCCAATCGATGAATGTGGCGTAAAGTCAGTTCTTTTACGTAGTCTTTGACTAGTGGAATGCGAGCATTTCTATGGATCACGTCAACGAGTTGGTACTTGTGGCAGCCAGTTATTAAACGGAGAAATTTATTCTGCGCTGTTTGAAGAGGTTGTAGATTGGATGGGGCGGTAGTGCACCAGATTTGAGAGCCATATGACCAGCAGGGTCGTATGACTGTTTTGTACAGGAGGAGCTTAGAGGAGAGAGGGAGGGGGCTTCGGAGGAGCCAGGAGTACTTATGAAATAGGGCATCGAGCTGTTTTCGCTTGGCAATTAAGTGGCTTTTCCAGGTCAATTTTGAGTCGAGATGGACGCCTAGGTATCTTGCAGAGTCTTTGATTGGAATCTGGACTCCGTGAAGGAATACAGGGGGGAGGGGAAGCTTGCGGAGCGTGAAGTTGAGCATAGATGATTTGGTGGCATTAAAGGAAATTCTCCAAATAAGGCTCCAGTCTTGAAGTTCGAAAAGAATATTCTGTAACTCATCAGATACCGTTTCAGGGCTATTATGAGAGGATAGATAAGCTGTGTCATCAGCAAAAGTTCCAGTAAAGACGGTAGGAGAGGTGGGCAGATCGTAGGTAAACAGGAGATACAGGAAAGGTCCCAAGATACTTCCCTGTGGGACTCCTGCTGAAATTTCTCTAGCATCTGAAAGGGCGTTTTCTATGCTCACTGCGAAAGAGCGGTCAGCAAGGTATGATTTCAGTAACAGATAATATTGAGGGACAAGCGTTTTAATTTTGTATAGGAGTCCAGGGTGGTAAACCTTATCGAACGCACTTTGAACATCCAGGAAAATGGCTCCACAGTATTTGCCCTCTTCAAGAGACCTGGTTATATAGTCGACTACTCTAAAACACTATAATTCTTGGGACCGCCATGCTTTTCCGGCTTTTCCTTGACACATCAGCACACGCTTTGTGGTTCTCAAGCAGTAGGTCTAAATATCACTTATCGACAGCCAAAGAATAGATTCTTAGCAGGTCGATGGACGTATCAGAGAACTGAAATTTTAAAAATACCCACAAAAACATATTGGAGTTAAATATAAGTAAGTTTAGATAAAGCTTCATGGTTCTCCTTACCTTGCAATCATTTCTCACAAACTGAATACCGTGACCAGGGTAAATTCGACACGAACAGAAATAACAAGTCTCAATTCGCATTTTTTATCAGGGTATATTAAAACACGAGGGAGCAAACATGAAATTGAATAGATTTATTACTCGCAGGGGAAAAACTTACGAAATATCGTCAAAATAAAAACAACGTGCTCAGTCAATGGCTGACGAAGAAAAGGAAGAAAAATAAAAAAAAATGTAGAGCTATAAACAAAAGATGGCGACCTTTGCGGCCATTTTGTACGTCGTTTGGTCATTTGATGACGTCATTGGATACGACTCCTTCCCCTTCCTCATCATATTTTCCCACAGTTTCCTCCATGGTCCTTGGGACAATAAAGAGAGGCGTGGATTCGCGGTACGCGTAAGTAACGAAATTTTAACGAGTGTTAATCCGTGAATGGCAATTATTATTTATACTTGTGCTGCGTGCATTTTCATCATTAATGTTTGTGAAACTTAATGGATCCAAAAATCGGTTGGCTTCAACCTGAGCAGGAAGGACCAGCTAAATTATTTTGGACCAGGATTTGGGACGCCCACTCGACCGATAACCCGAAAGTTGTTCCGGAAAATGGACTGCACAAATCTCAGGAGTTGAACTCATTAGACAGTGGTGATAACAATCTTAAACGGACCCCTGACAACAATAAAAATAATTCTCTCTACTGTAACCGTGCCAGCACTTACGCAATGAACAACCATCACGCTTCGTACATTGGCAAATATGGGGGTTGTCCTTGGCGGTCTTATCATCGGAAATATGATCCGAGGGGTATCATCGGGTACGTAACTGCCTATAAATTTCGTCTGTTGTATGTATTTTCAGAAAATTCATTTGCATTTTACCACGTAACTCCATCCTCTGCAAGGGTGGTTTTGCTCGTACCTATGCTGTATGACCCCAACCTTCGACAGTTTAGTTCCGGGGCTTCTGATAAACTTTTATGACCATTGGCATTCGCCTGTTATTTGTCACTCTTCGCCCTAATCTGCAAGATAAACACTTCCAAGTCCAAAGAAATTCTCACTAATTCACATTTTCAGCATACTTGTTTGTACTTTATTAGAACCTAACCTAGCACCTAATTCTGCTCATCGCTTTGATTAGCGTGAGAGCGGATGGTGACAAAATTTAAATCCGTCATGTGCCCATTCAAATTCTGTCTGATCGCATCAATTTTTAAGATTAAATTTGAATCAAGTGGTTCAACATTCTGTCATATTACCATCTATGATGTTCTCACTGTTCTAACCTTCAATTTGTACCAGAGTCTAAACAGATTCATGCAATACCATCAAATTGATGTCAGCTCTCAATATCGCTGTATTTAAAAGCAATTAACAACCTTGAATCATCCTATTGGGGAAACTATTGAGTGACATTCTCGCCCCGAAGAGGTGTACGTGTGAATTTGAATGTGATACTTTCAGCAGCCTTAAACGAAATCCGAACGCCACCTTTTTCTCAATTATTCATAATTCCTCATCAAGATCTCTCTGGGACATTAACAGTTGCATAGGTACTTTAGATGCTGAAAATAAATAGTAAGCAAAGTTGAAGAAGAGAGGTTTCATTGTTGTGATGTTGCATTCAAATAATTTTTTTCTTGAATTTTAGTCTGGTTAGAGCTGCCAATCTTGATTTGAAAGCCGTGTGTAATTGAGAATGAAATTATGTATTTCTTTTTGCCTTTCATTTTAAAATGACTCTGAAATTAGCCATTGAAATGTGTCATCATTCTAACTAGTAGAATGAAAATGTCCAGTTATGCACCTATAGCCGCGAGCCGTCCATCACGATAGCAATTTTGCCTCCTTGAGGTCAGAGATTGAAAGCTGACCCTTAAATGTTTTCTTGCAGCAGAACTAACTTCATCATGAGTTATTCCAACCCTCTTTGTCTAATCTCAACCACATGGTTTGCATTCAACCTAAGAAATTTGTGAGTGACAGATACTTCATCGCCAGGCTGAAGTTCACTTCTCTCTATTAAATAGCCAGAAGAGGCAACTCTCCTCACTCTTTGATTTTGCTTTTTATCAAGGTTTAGCCAAGTTTAGTTTGGATGTTTTTTTGAGTTTCTAAACTACCGTAATTTAGTTAATCATTAAGGCATCTAAGTATATGGTAGATTGATAGTACAGTATGCTTTTTTCAAAGCTTCTATAAGTCATCAAATCTTTAAAAAAAAGCTGGAATGGTCATTGGGTCAAATGGTCATTTTGTTACATAATCAGTCCTTATTGAAAGAGAAACTGAAATAACTGGTTTTAATAAATGGAGTTTATCAAGTGTCCCACAGAAAAGGAAACCCTGCAGTTGGTGAGGACTAACAGTTGTATTGAAATCTTGCTTCTTGTTGGATCGTATTTGATAGAGAATGCTTCTAAAATTGAAGGTTCATTTCTCTAGCACAGAAGTAAGCTTATTATAGATGTTGGTTTGGTTCTTTTTCTTTCTCTTCCTTATTATTATTTTTGAGCTTTGTACAAAAGATTTATTTGAACTCTTTCCAGGTTACACCATGAAGTAGAAGACTTCTACAATTACATGTCGCCCACTGAGGAGGAACACAAAATTCGTTTTCGAACTGTGAAAAAAGTAGAAAAAATTATCAAAGATCTATGGCCCAAAGCCAAAGTTGAAGTCTTTGGAAGCTTTCGAACTGGCCTTTATCTTCCTACTAGGTAAAGATGTCTTCATCTCAGTAACTTTTGTATACCTTTTTGCCTTTCTTCAAAATTTTTCTTTAAAATGTAACCTTAAATGATATACTCTTTATTGAAACCTCATTTTACTTTCCATTTTATAAAAATCTAAAGAATATCATATTCCATTTTGATATAAAGAGAGAAATTCTCTCCACAAGAATCTTGTGAAGTTTTTTTTTACACCTCTGTATGCAGGAAAAAATTTCATCAAGAAAACTTATTGCAACGACATTTGAACAAGTTGTTTCTGAAAGGGAGCATTTTTATTTTTAGATGAGCCCTTAAGCACTTGCATTAAGTATGGTGTACCCAAGACTTCCAAATATGGGCTTGTTATCTCTGAGAAACAGCCTGTTCATTTTTTGCCTCCCACAATAAGAACTAAATACTAACGCAAAGCACAAAGGACTAAAGTTTTCTCTGCCAGATGGAGACCAGCTGGTTTTACTTGTAATGAGGTTCTAGACAAAGTGCAACTTGAGTCACTGCTTCTCTGTTCTCTCTACAAAATTTTATGTGGAAATTGATCCATATACCATGAACATGTGGTACGAAATTAGATATGTTAACACTAAAAACTTTTTTCTCATTTTTACAGTGATATTGACCTGGTAGTCATCGGAGATTGGAAAGCTCTACCTTTGCACACACTCGAAGATGCTCTACTAGAAAATCGTATCTGTGATCCGGACTGTGTCAAAGTTCTTGACAAAGCATCAGTTAGTATTCCATTTTTAAACTGTATAGACAGAATTCTCATTTGTTTTTGTATTTTCATTTATTCTGATAATTTTGCGGATTGTGTTGAGAAACCTGCAGAATTGCAGAAACTTCTCGACTATGCAATCCCCGTAACGATGGGTCACATGCAAAAATGGGAAGACTTGGAAAACAGAATTTACATTGCTTGTGGGTGGTTGTTGAAAAGTTTGCAATTTCTCCTTTCAAAATCTGCCAACATTGATTGTAATTTAGACCCTCTTCACTGTCTGCATTGCGTTCTGAACAAACTGCCTTCGACCTCAGACCATGCGCAAAGCGTAAGTGTTTTTGGTGACTGAAAAATCAACAACAATTTTGGAACATTTGCAGTTTTCCTCATGACAGAAAGTGCCTGATTTTGGTGTTCAGTAAACGTTTTTCAACTTTCTGCTCTCTGTCTCCCAAAAAATTAAGGAATCCTGTTGACTGGTCTCTGGACAAGCCCCAGTTTTGCATTGTAACTTGTCTTGAGGAGGGAGGGGGGAGTTGTTCTGTGGCATAGTATCTTAAAATGGCCCCACAAAGAGCACTGTGCCTAAGGATACTTAATGACGTCATTGGATAAAACTTACAAGGGGAGCTTCCCAAGTGTAACCGGAATTTCGAGTTGAAATTTCGCATGAAGATACTAGAGATGATTTTAGGGATGCCGTATTTTTTCGTTTTTTCGAATAGGGTCGGGAAAGTCCTCAAAAAAAGGGCTAAAGATGCGGAAAAAACGCGTGCGCTAGCGGCACAAGGTAAACATAGGTGATAGAGGCATTGCATCCTTATTGGTACCACATGGCCAAACGGTAGCGCGCTCGCCTCGCAGGCGGGAGGTCCTGGGATCGGATCCTGATTATAGCTCGTAATTTTATTTTACTTTATGCTTGTTCATTTTTCCTTTACTTTATTTTGCACCATTCGCTCCGCAAACCGACTTACGAGGTAGAACACGTAGTGACTGAAGATTTTTTACATATGCTGATAAAAACTCGAAGTTTCTCTTGGATTGAAACGTTATATATAATTGAATAAACAAAACACTCTATAACTCAACAAATTTCGTTGCCAAACTGAATTTCCGGAGTATCATTCAGATACAGTTACAGATTCGACTGATACTCTGGAAATTCAGTTTGGCAACGAAATTTGTTGAGTTATAGAGTGTTTTGTTTATTCAATTATATATAACGTTTCAATCCAAGAGAAACTTCGAGTTTTTATCAGCATATGTAAAAAATCTTCAGTCACTACGTGTTCTACCTCGTAAGTCGGTTTGCGGAGCGAATGGTGCAAAATAAAGTAAGTGAAAAATGAACAAGCATAAAGTAAAATAAAATTACGAGCTATAATCAGGATCCGATCCCAGGACCTCCCGCCTGCGAGGCGAGCGCGCTACCGTTTGGCCATGTGGTACTGATAAGGATGCAATGCCTCTATCACCTATGTTTACCTTGTGCCGCTAGCGCACGCGTTTTTTCCGCATCTTTAGCCCTTTTTTTGAGGACTTTCCCGTCCCCATTCGAAAAAACGAAAAAATACGGCATCCCTAAAATCATCTCTAGTATCTTCATGCGAAATTTCAACTCGAAATTCCGGTTACACTTGGGAAGCTCCCCTTGTTAGCCCTCCGATGTTTCCAATTAGTCTCCCCATCTTAAAAACCCCCTTTTCTTCAAAGACTTCTAGTGGTGACTGTTTCACCTCTTTAAACACTGATTACTGCTGTTTTGTGCATTAACAATTTTCACCGTGTTTGTGCAAAAATAGACGATTGTAAACAACATAATTTTTCACTATTCCAAGCCAGCCACCTTCCCAATTTCAAAACCTGTTTTTGGAGTCTTTTTATTTGTGTACTCAACCAGATGTGCCCTGGGTAGCATGGTCAAGAAGTTTCTGCATCTTTAAAAATAATTATTTTAATCTTAGTAAATAGTGTCTTCTAAATTAGCCAACTGAGTTCAGAAGTTCTCACACCAAAATTATTAGCTTCTAAAGTAGTCAATACATTACTGTAAGTCTGTGACCCCGAGGTGAAAGGTATCCAGGCTCTCATGATCATGACATATCGTTGATCAGAGTGTCTAGGTCACATTGAGATGAAAAATTGATCATATTTTCAATTTAATGTATACCCGAGAGCATTTCCAGCTCAGAAACTGACAAAGAACTGCCAAATTTTCCAGAAGTCAAGCAATGATCCAAGCTCTAATATTGTGGGTTGCTGAAGCTCAACTTCAAAAATGGATTTTTGCACCTCATTGAGAGCTGTACTTCTTTGAAGTCATTTCCAAGCAATGTTTTTGATCATGCAAAAGACCAATGAATCCATTTGTAATTTGTTTATTTTTAATGGGGAAAAGGGGTAAAATTTTCTTTAAAAATGGAATTTTTTGGACGGCCAATATTGCGTTGGAATCTATTTTCAAAGCCTCTAAAACATTTTGCTTCAATTTTTCTGGTGTTCCTTGGTTTTGTTTGTACAGTTCCAATTTCTATAATTGTTGTATTACCTTTCATCATTCTTTTTTTTCCAGGTCCCCATAGTCAAATTTACCGATAGAATTTCTGATGTAAAAGTAGACATCAGTTTTAATATGAGTAACGGTGTCCGATCGGCGGAATTGATAAAGGAATTCTGCCTTCAGTTCCCTGTTCTACCTAAACTTGTTCTGGTTCTCAAGCAATTTCTCCTTCAGCGTGATCTTAATGAAGTCTTCTATGGAGGCATCTCATCATATTCTCTTATCTTAATGTGCATTAGTTTTCTACAGGTAAGTTTTTTCGACAACTATGTAGACCTAATAATAGGAGGAATCGCAAAATTCTTCCATGACTTAAACCACTGTTCTTTACTGCAATTGGATGCTCTCCTTGAAGGAGAGTCAGACATGATATCTCCGGCAATGTTGAATGACCCATCTTCAATGTACGCTTTCTCAAGCTCTAAGTATTGGGTCTTGTTTTAATTTTTTGGTTTTGTTCGATTTCTTACATCTTCTTGAACTCTTTAACAAAGGGTGTTTTGTTCGTTTTGAAAATTAGATTTCTGACTTTTCTCAGTAACTGATGAACATATAAAATTCAATAAAATTTACATTCAACATAATACATTCATTTTAAAAATTTGCAACAGCATGCCACAGAGAAGAGTAGTTTAGTTTTAAAAAGTAACCCTGTGCTGTAGAGGGTCATGTCTTTAATTATTTAGTGTACAGTCCAATTTCTATTTTTCCCCCAACTTTTTGGCAAATTTTCTATCGCTCCTCCTGCTTCAATTGCTGTTTTTAGCTGATGTGCATTTTCCTCAGTTTGTTTGAGTCTCTGTATATCGACACATTGACCACAGATTTTGTAGGATGTGCCCATAATCTGTTATTAGACGGGCAAGGGCATCCGCTAATATACACAAACTTCATGCAGTAGTAGCACCAAAATTTTTCTTACAGCTGCCATTCATATTAAAGTTAAATAGAAACAGGGATGAGTTCTGTAGAGACCCCACTCATTTCTGGATCCCATGGCACAAATAGTTGAAAGGCAGAGGTAGTCGGAGGTTTTTAACCCTCCTGCAGACTGCTCTCAGGTCATGTGATCTCCACATAGAGTCACACCAAGCAAAACAAGCCTGTTCACGTGAAAACTTGGGGAAAACCCTGTATCTGCTCCAAGCTGAGCCAAATTTTACTCAGCTGAGTACTCCATTGAAGCAAGTACAGCCTTTGGGAAGAAAATAGCCCTGAAATGGCTTGCAAACGCCAATTTTAGAATTCAAACAGACAGGTTCTGTTTTAAATCTTCTAACATTGATAGACTTCTTTTGCATTAATGCGTTCATTGGCGCTCCAACCAAGGAAGACTCATATCGGAGAAAACAAAAGCTGTCTAGTCTTAAAATACGCTTATCAGTTGGAAATGCAGATAGTGATGCTGCTCACTTTTTAAGTGATTACACTTCCTCTGAAGAAAGAAAATATTTATTATTATATGGACTGAGTTAAGCAGAAAGGAACCAACCCACATTTTGGAAAAAATTGAGTTATGAGTGGTCTCAAACTCAACAACTGCTCTACTATCTATCGCCAAAAATTCAAAGTTTTTCTTGGAGCAACTTTTGCAGAAATTGAACTTGAAGTTTATCTTTTACATTGAGTCTTATGCAGGAGCCAAACTTTAAACCTCTTTTTCTCGGTTCGATCCCGATGTGGCTTGGTTCCTTTCTGTTTAACTCTGTCCATATAATGCCAGTTTCATACTAAAACTCTTTTGCTTTACTTAACTTACCTGAAGTTCGCAAGCTACCTCAGCTGATCACTCTCCTCTCTTAGTCTGGTAGTGATTAGAGCTCAAAATTTTGGACTCAAATTGAAATTTTTAATTTTTTAGCTTTGTTCTCCCTGGAAAATAATGTGGACCCAGCACTATTTTACCACCTCGTTACTTAATTGCATATTTGTCAAATTTTTAATTGTTTTACTTTCATTTCTTATTTTTCAGTTACATCAAAGACAGCATGCCTACAGTCCGAATGTCAACCTTGGAGTGCTCCTTATCGAATTTTTTGAGCTGTACGGCATGAAATTCAACTACATGCGAACTGCAATTAGAGTGAAAGATGGTGGAAGTTATGTCTCTAAAGAAGAAGTAAGTTTATCATAGTTATATCATCCAATGGGGCTGTTGCGCACTTGGATAATGTTTAGCAAACCAGTCATGTCTCCATTAGGTCTTTTTAAAAAGAGTATATCCGTCAAGTAGAAAAGTTTTATTACATTCAGCCATGAGGAAGCAGGGATTTTGATAATTCTGTATAACAAACCCTGCGTAACAGACCATTAAAATTGAAATCGGCATTCGGGGGGCCTTGAGTGAGTAAAACGTTTTTCTTTTGACATTTTTGCAGATGTGACCTCATAGCTGAGCTACGTTCAAGCAGGAAAGGCTTTGAGCAAATGGGTCATATCTGCAGGAGTTTTAAAAGCACTTTAAGAATTTTTTTTTTTTTTTTAACTAAGAACCCTGCACAGAATAGGGTGCTCGGTGGCTCCTGGTAGATGTTGATGAAACTTTAATAGATGATAATAAAGTTCATCATTAGCACAAATCCAAAAAATTAGCTCATTCTAACGTGTAGAAGCTGAGATATTCGAGTTTTAACACGGGCCATTTTCTGAGAGACAGGTTCAAATGTGCGGGCTCCTCGTTGCCCTTCCTCGTACTTGAACACTTCAAACTTCAGCCAGGATTGTCAGGAATGCCCCTCTCTCCTCCAGGTAGCTGCTCGGGCAGTGCGAAATGGAGTCCTCTATCCCTTGCACCTCTCCTCTGAAACAGTGAGTAGCTGAAACAGAATCAGCAGGTGTGAGGAGAAGGAGAGCGTATAGCCTTTGCACCGTTCAAAGGTGTAAGCACCTACCTGTGTGTGAGGTCTGATCGGAAACACCGAACAACCAGAGGAGAGGGGATTCGTAAGTCTTCTGTCATGCTGTGATTTGACAGAAAATCCAGAGTTCAATATCAAATATCCATGCTTCTACTTGTTAGATAGAGCTAATTTTTCTGCATTGTGCAAATGATGAACATTGTGTCAATCTATTAAAATTTTATCAAAATCTACGGGAAGCCACTGAGCCCCCTGTTCTATGCAGGGTTCTTTCGCATGCTCTGGTTAAGTGAGATTTTTTCTCAAATTAAGGTGGCCAGTGCCGAAACGAATTACTTGGCATTTTGCTCAAGTCTGATGAAACCGCTGGACTAGAAGCTTGTCCAACTTGTCAAAGATTCCTCTGTGTACTTTAATTTGTATTTTTAATTATCTGGTTCTTTAATACCGTCAAATTTCAAGAAATTGCCTTGAAACGTAAATTGGTTTGATCTTGTATTATTTAAGTTGCTTTTGAACAAGATAAGCACTATGAGTATTTAGTGGTAGTCTAAAGAGCTTTTGAATGTAAGGTAAATCAGTGAAATACCCTTTCACAATCAGGGGGTAACTTTATTGAAGTAACCTTAAAACTCAGAAAAGTTCCATAGTTTATGAAAAACAGGAATGAAAACTAAAATTGATGGTATGCTTTCTTCTCTAATGCTTTTTTTTCTCTCTCTATGAATGATAGATTCAGCCGGACATGATAGATGGGCACAGACCTTCAATGCTGTGCATTGAGGATCCTCTTACGCCAGGTAATGATATCGGAAGAGGTTCCTATGGTGTCATGCACGTTAAGCAGGCTTTCTCATACGCATACATTACTCTTGTCCAGGCAGTCAACCCTTTCAATGGTTTCATCTGCAATGCCAATAAAAATAGTATTTTAGGACGTATCATCCGAGTCACGGACAAAGTAATTGATTACCGTGCATGGATCAGTCGAACATTTCCTTTGTCAAGTTACTCTAATTCGGTAAGCTCAGATGATAGTGATAGTTCAGTCTCGACGCTTTCCAGTGATTCCGACTATGAATTAAGTAATGATCACCACCCCAACGACAGGAGTTCAAAATACAACAATCACCATCATAATTTACCGGACCGCAACGCTTCTAATTCTGTGAATTGGAAGAACTCTCCGCAGAAATTTTCAAATCATCTTCAAGACAAAATGGTGTTCCATAATCAATTTCATGTTGGCAATAATTTTAAGCATCATAATGATTGTAATGTTAGCAATAACAATAATAGTAAACATTTTACAAATCTTCAAAATAATACTTTCCGAAATGGTCTCTCTTCTAGTAAGAAACGCTTCTCATTGAGTGGGATGCCCAATCGACCGAAACAAAGGTATCAAAATGGAATTTTAAGTTTTGAAAATATCCGGTAATGATGCTGAACTGAAGGCTTCCAAGGATGTCCTTTCAAATTGTTGGCCTCTTATTAGTCCTTTTTGCATTGTGATATAATTTAAAATGAATATACATCAACTCCTCTCGGGGTTAATTTAAGGTTTGTTTTTTTTATTATTGTAATTATTAGTTTATTTTCATTTTAATTGTTGTGTAAATAGGTGTACAAAGTTTTGATTGAAGAACCGATTTTGACTCGACCTCGTTTTAATACCCATTTTTTTCATCTTTTCTGTTTTTCGAAGGCCTTTATCTTTTGGGTTTTTCTTTCCTCTCCCTGTAGGTATAACGCTGTATTCGGTTTTTTTGTTTTATATCCCCAATATTTTTATATCAAATGTGCCCGCTAAGTCCCATACGGTGGCAGTTAGGTAAATGGGCACAAACAGAGATCAAGGTGCACTTTGAAATGTTTGCAACCTTAATGCTTCAAACTTTTACCATCATTTCAGGAAATCGATGTCAGGAATTTAACTTTTTCTCTGTGAAAGCTGAACCCTTGTTTATTAGAGGTCCTTTATTAAATCCGACAATCAATCCAACTTACAGTCTATCCAAGAAGTCTAATCCATTCTTCCTTACATTATATTCTTGCCTTCAGTTACAATATCTTGGGTTTTCTTCTCTTAAAAATGGATTTTTCATCCAATAGCTTTACCTAGGGTGTGAGTGTCCACTGCCACTAAAGGCTTAAGAAGTCATCGACTATTCCAAAGTTCTGACTTTGTCAATGGTAGCTTAAAATTGCTTAGCAGGTTTGGTCGATTTTGAAAATATGCATTTTCTTGCTTGTTACACCTTTTATTTTTAGTTAAAGGCCTCATCCTTTGATCGTATTGTATCAGGAGAACGGTTGCCCTCAGCTTCTGGACGGCTGATCCAGTTTGTACCCGTTCTTACATTTAGAGGGCAATTTTTTTAATCCCCACCAAAAAAGTATTGAAATTTGAAAAAATAATTCACAATAAATCAAAGTTTCGAGATTGGAAGAAAGCAGTTTTGAAGAAACGCAAATCCAAGCAATGCAACATGTGTTCATCCATGTGTCCAAAAGTGGAGAAAAATAATCGTTCCAATCATGGCGGGGATAATTATGACAAACTAGGTATCCTTCTGTCTGCCTGTTTGAAGCCCATCAAATTAAAGAACATGGTATGGAATCAAAAACTGAATGGTGATTATTTTGTTTGAATCCATACTTCCCTTCCCCCCTTCCTTATATCATTATAATTAGTGAAGAAACAGTCCATGTTTTGTGTCTTGAGCATTCTTCCAAGACCTTACTTCCACACTGCCAGTACTCTTTATTTATGTATCCTTTATTTATTTATTTATTTACTTTTTGTTTCATCTTTCCTTTCTTCCGAAACTTTTTTCCTCTTTATACTTCCAGAATGTGCCAGTGATCCTGCCAAAATTGACAGTGTGTGTATCGGTTATCTTGCTATGTCATAGAGGTAGCATTCTGGGCAGTTCCAGGCCCTTCCCATGTGTTTAATTCTATGTTGCATATCATGTGACGTAAGACTGTTGGGAAAGTTGCTAAGATTTAATTGATCGGTACTTTTTTAATCAGCAGCAGTCCTCTAAATTTTCAAGCTCAGCATTCATTCTTGTTCAATTATGTGAAGGAAGAGTTAAAGCTTGATCAAATTTGCATCTTGTAGGTACTTCTTGTATTCATCGGATTGTCGGTGATACTACCATTTTTATGAATTTTGAAAGGAGGGGATGTTGTTAGGGACACCTGGCTCCCTTTTAACGTTTCCTTCTAATTGTTGGTTTTTATGTTTCCTTTGTAATGCACATACCAGGCTGTCAATGTTTATAGAACAAATTTAATTTGTCATCTAGGTGAAACTTCTGAATTTTGTGAAGTAACGTCACAGAAAGAAAGGCATTTCAGTGGTGTGACCATGAAATCATGTATCTTCATCTCGGTGTTTCAAAATTTCTTTGTTCAAAATTTCAGTCCTAGTTTTTCTTCGAGAGAATTAATGGATCCTTTGTTCTGAAATCTTCATAAAATAATCTCAAATTTACCCAAAAATTTGCACTAAAACATTTAGCAGTCATCCTCCGAAGAAATAGGAAATCTGCAATGCTGCAAACTGTGTTATGTGGTTTTGTAGTTTCATCATAAAAATCGTGTAACTGGTGAGGGCTATTATTAGGCTGATAGTGAAGTGGCCATGTATGTTTTCTAATACCAATCATGTTTTTGGATTGATCTCTTCTTGGAAAACTCACTGCATAGCGTCCAGGCATATCATATCATTGTGACTTAAATCAGAATTCTGCAATAGTGTAAAGTGTCAGTCATTGTAAATTAAACCCTAGGAATTAGAACCTGCATTGACTTTTTTGTCGTGAAAAGAACCAGAGCTAACAACGTGGAACAAAGCTCCAAACCCTCCTGTATACTCTTGCCCATGCTGATGTTAACATCAACATAGATCAAATGAGCTTTATAGCTTGTGAGAAACAATTGATTGTGGTGAAGTGAAATTAATCATTACAACTCCTAGGTAATACAATAAAATCTAGTTTTGAGAAAACAAATTTGGTTACCCTCTTCCTCTGTTCCATGGTTGAGAAGCGTACAGACCTGAAATTTGACATAATTTCTCTGAAAAAATTGCCAATGAAACTGTTGATCAAAGGAAGAATCATAACTGGCATTGACAGCCCTCATGTCTGTTTTTTTTCTTGACCATTTCATCATATGAATAACATAATTATTTCGCAAAAATCAAGGTTATAATGTGAATCATCTGAAGAAACTAATCATTTGTATGTAGATCATTTGCAAGGCTTAGATTTACCTGTAGCTGTAATTTGTGGCCATGTGTGGCAAAACTGATGATCTTACAAGGGAAGGTCCTGTAGAGGCCTGCCTAAATTTTGATCAAGTATGGCCAAAAGTCTCCTTATACAAAACAATGAGACCCGTATGTCATCGTTTTTTCAAACAGGCCTGTAAAGGGCGAAAAACTTTAAAAAAAATAGCATAGAAGGCAGCTTTTTGAAATGGTAAAATCCGCGTTTTTTAGTCCGCGTTTCAGTGCTGAAACAGTGTAGTGGTTCACATTGTTACGCTCTGACCAAGAGGTCCACGGTCCCATTCCCAGCGTTCTGACCTAGGCTTTATCGTTTTTTATTGCTCTGATTGATTTTCTCTTACTTTCTTCCAACTGCGTATCTAATTAACCTTTTTTTTTTAATACCTACACAGTTACTATTGATCATTTTATAACTAATAATGATGCTGTCTATGAAAAAATGGGGGGAAAGTGTATCTTCATCAAATAACCATCGTGTTGTCACTGTCTATACTTCTGTAATTATGTTTACGGATTGAACCAGCAAGTGATCCATCAGAGCGATAAAGAGAGAGAGAGGGGAAAAAATATGGAAGAACGTTTTATTGTAAACACTTGGAATGCTACACAGTGCTTATTTGATCAATAATAATGGTCAATTTATTATGTGGATGGACATTTTTTATTGCACAAGTATGTGCAAATGAAGTTATGCATGCAGCTGGAAGTAAGTAAGAAAAAAATCGAGCAAAACAATCACAGAAACTGTTAAAAATTATATCAGAACATCGGGAATCAAATCAGAGTCATGATGATCAGAGCGTAACAGTCAAAGCTACTTATCTACTTCAGCGCTGAAATGTATACAGCAATATTTTGCCACTTTAGCAAGCGGCTCTCTTTGCCAATTTTTTAAAAAAAAAATTGAGTTTCCTGAATCCCAGTGAAAACTACGAAAAAAGGGTCTTTTTAATTTTGTGTGAAGAAACTTCTGGGTATGCTTGAATCAAAATCTAGGTGGAACACTCTGTGACCTTCCCTCGTTGACCAACATCATCAAGGGAACAATGATTGTCAAATATATCGCAAGCAATGGGGAAAAAATATTTTCTCCTTTGTTTTCTCCAAAAATTAATCTTCATTTACACCTCTATAGCTCTGAGTTCAAAATGTACATCTGATCTTTTTTAAAGGTATGTTTTTCAAAATTAGTCCTCAAAATCTTTCAGGAGCATTCTATTTTTCTGTGCAAGTAGGTCTAATTCCTTCTCAGTGTATCTTTGGAAAAAAATTATTTGTAGAGTTGCAGTGAAAGAGTAACTTTCGTCGAATATTTTCAACGATGTCTCTTATTGTTTTGCCGGTAATACTACATTTTTTACTCACCTGAGCTGATTATTAGGCTGCAAGAAAATATTTTTACAAGTACCATCTCCCCCAGTTAATGGCTGTTAGCCTCTCATTACATTTGGCTCATTGTCTCATTCAAAATTCCAAGTTGATGAAGCAATAAATCTTTTTAAATTTGTTTAAATTTACAAAAGAATGAGTGGTATCTGAAAATAGTTTGTATGAGATTAAGTCATGAAATGCATGAAAAAAAAACAAAAAAACAATCATAACTCAACTCTATCACTGTGTAGAAATTTTGAATCATTCATTTAGTCGTGGCGGAGTGATGATATTGCCCTAAAGTTATTTCTTGTTCAAGCTTTTTCTCTACCTCCTCTGAAATTGCATTTTTCTGGTTTAAATTTGACTAAAAATTATAATTCAGTTGCCATTATCCTGTCCAAGTACAGGGCATCTCATTTTATTGCTCTTGAAGTCATTTTAAACATTGTGATCTAATACATTTTTAAGGACGCCAAACTTTTTTGTTCAAAAGAATGCTGGAAAAGCCAGCCGTGGAAAACACCAACAGAGTTTGTGTCTTTCATGAAGGCCTAAACTTTATTTTAAATGTAGTTTTAAAAAAATACACCATTGCATTTTACTGTGTTAAACTTGGAGCCAGGACCTTAATTTAGTGTTTCTTTCTCCCTACGTAGTTAGCCTCCCATTGAATCCTTCCCTCTTCACACCACCACCACCCTCGTCGATTTTTTTCTCAGTAGCCGGTGATTTCCTTCTTCCCAATTTTCCCCTGGATCTATTCCTGCAACTTATGAAGAAACAGTCTCCTCTTTTAACGTTGCTTTTCAGCTTTAATGTCAGATTTTATTTTTATTTTTATTCTAAGACATGAAAGTTTTGAAAGGTGCTTTCTCCTGTCTTATCCTTTTTTTGGCTGATTCCGATTCAGTTCTTAAGCATCCAATTTCAAATTCAACTCCGTGTAAAGTATTGATCATGGTATGTATCTTAATGCTCTGTTACTAGGAGCAGATTTGTGTTATTTTCAGCCCTCTACCCCACACGAGGTTAAAAATTGAGGTCAAAGAATTATTTTCTAATTTAGTTGTTGTTCGTAATGACTGTACATTTTTCATTTCATTAAGTGAGTCATGAATTGATATTCTTGGCTTTCATCACTCTTGTAATGAGCCTGTGTCTCTTACCATTTTGCTCGTTCTACTTTGATTTTTTCCACTCATATGGTAAACTTATTTTCCGTCTTTTTCTCTCATGATTGGCATTTTTTAAAAAAACTTTGAGTAATGTTTACCATTGGCTCCTAGCCGTAAAAAGAAAATGTTTAGTTTTACGATGTCATTAAAAGCCTGATCAATGATCCTCTTGGTAATTGAATTTGATTATTTTTGTCCAGTTCAATTGTAATTTATTTATTTTCAATAAATCCTATGGATAAAAAGTCTTAATTGCGGAACTTTACTTATTTAGGGAATAAAATGTTGATTCTTTTCCATGTCTTTTCAATGTGTAGAATACCTACAAAATAAAGGAAAATGCTAAATACATCTTAACAATTCCAGAGACTGATTCCTAATCACACCGGTTCCAATAAGAAAATTAAGCCATCAAAATTTTTTATGGATTAATCATTGAAAATTTCTCCAATAAACAAGTGGAATTTTGTTTTCAGATATTTGAATCCGTACTTCCAGCCTCAACATTTTATGTAGAGATCTCGAGTTACTTTAGCTCACAACCTGAGATAAATTTGTCTATAACAGCATATACACGGTGAAACTGAAAAAAGCGTATCTTGGACTGCTATGCTGCAGACTTCCTTTCATACTTTATTTTCTTGATGGAAATATGGTTACTACCATTTCTTGAAAACTTCCATGATTTTTTTTCCTGCGTGAAGAATATTCCATGGAAAGTTTAAGCAATACTATCGTTTCGTTCCCTCTAATAAAATGAAATAGGAATGGAAATTTTAAAACACCGCAAACAGGCTATGCGTTCTGGCAGTTTCACTAAGGTCATGCATGATGCCATTACAAAACCTAAGTATTTATATTCCCCTTGCCCCCACTAAAAGTAATGCCCTTTTATTTTTCCTGCTAACAAGCATAGGTCTTAATTTCTATGTGTTTCCAAGAATTCTCATATAGTTTCCATTATAATGTCCCATAATGAAGTTTCCAAACTACAAAAAATCAATCTCGAAGCATTTAATTATTGTTAAACGCAATGGCCCTAGGCCAAAAGTATTTTTGGTTTTTTTCCTGGCAGTTTTTATCTGTCAAGAAGATGCAGTTAGTAAAAAAAATCCCCACCCTCATCCACAGTGAGAATGTTTAGAATTTACTCAAGCGAAATCTTCCTAATCTCGTAAGGTATTACATGTGTTTGGAAAAACCTGTCGATTTTTAAACGTTTTAGATGTCTTTCTTGAAAATCTGATCTGTATGTTTCAGTTTAAAGAAATCACTTTAGGGGAAGGAAAATACTCAAGCTAATTTTTAATGCAAAAGTTGAATCCAATAGGTCAGATCAGCAAAATTCTATTTAAAAGCCAATAATTAGTGAGACAAATTGACCATAATATCAATTTTTTTTTGGGGGGGGGGTATAGGTAATTATGCTGTCAATGTTTTCTTCAACCTTGAACCTATGGGAAACAACTAGTCAGTCTATGTATCCTCTTTGGGTTGAAGTGAATCATTCTTTTTTGATGTGTACGAATTCCTTTTGCAACAATCTAAGCTGTAAAGACTTGTTGTGATCGCAGGGCTTGTGCTCAAATCCTTCCCACCTGTATTGATCGTAGTTAAGTTGGAACAAGTCTTTTTTCCCTGTCACTTGTCAGCAGGAAGTTATTCACTTCCTTTTGCTTCGTTAATAGCTTACAATGAAAGGGTGCTCTGTAGGAAGAACTGAAAGCACGGAGAGCCATTCTGGCTGAACTCAGCTGATTTTTAAAGTTGTTAGGATAAGGAAAAAAAACTTTCTGTAAAGAATCAATGTTCACCCTGCATGCCTCCTAGGAATTGAACTTGTCTAAGATTTAACTTTTATTGAACTACATTTTGTTAAATTTTTTAAAAAAGCTTTGCAAATGGTTTATCATTTAAGTCATCTAATTTATGATCTTTATCTAATAAAAAACCATTCTGAAGTTTTTCAATTCTATATTTTTAATTTACAGTGAACAGGCTACTGTTCTCTATGTAGATGACCAGTGGCATGTCAGGTGACGACCCAATTTCTAAGTCGCATGTCCTGTTAAATGGAATGTGGTATAAGTCGTTTTATTGTAATGTACCACTAGACAAGGTACGAATTTAAGCATTCTGATACATGTTTCTTAATCAAAATTTCACGTAGAACACAGTACGCACAACAAAAATTACCGAAATCAACTCCTTACAAAGATATTTAGTGATTCCTGATGCATGAATTCAAACCACCCGCTCAATAAAACTCAATGCTCTACGTGATTCACATCGCGCGTTGAATATTATCGTGACAGTCTCTGCAATATGAAAATCTGGCAACGACAATTTTCACGCTTTGCCTCAGCTATAGCAAATTGCTTATAATTTGAACAGCACATGGTGGGAAATGAACAGTGCTCGATTAAGAGGCTTGCTGAACCTGTTGTAGTGCGTGTTTTGACTCACGTAGAGCTTTGAGTTTCTTGTCAGCGGGCAGTTCAAAATCCGCGTAACCAATGTGAAATAAAAAGGTTAATATCTTCGTCAAGAGTTAGTTTCAGTAATTTTCGGTGCGCGAATCGTGTTCTACGTGAAATTCTGATTAAGAAACATGTATCAGAATGCTTGAATTCGTGCCTTGTCTAGTGGTCCATTGGTAGGGTTTTGTGTTGATTCCTTGAAAGAAATTTTGTCTTTCCCCTTTCCACAAGTACAGCTATTGTCAGTGAAGGTATTACTTATCAAGCTGCTCTTCTCCAGTCCCATATGATACAAACTTGACTCTGTCTGTGCAAGACAGATCAGGACTGGCTACTTGATGAACATATTTTATTTTTTATTGCTTTAATAAAGAATTAAATGTTAGCTAATTTCTAATGTAACGGACTGCTAGCAAAAAAATCATGGAGTTGTAATTTTCTCCCCAATTTGATGTGGACATTTTAGGCATCTTGAAGCAAAGCCCATTTTGCTGATAATGAGCCCCATCAGCTATTATTCTTAGATGATCTAGGGCTCATCAGCAAAATGGACTTTGGTCAAAGATGCATCAATTCGTAGAAAAGGATCAGTGTTAAGTCTTGTTTTGTGAATCCACGAACGGTTGAAAAATGTAACTGATTCTTAGTTATTGCCCCTCAGTGACATTTTATGAGGTTAAATAAATATTTTGCTCAGACCAACATCGAGAGCAAGTGGAAGACCCATATAAGTTCTATCTAATCGGTATAAAAATTACCTGCTGTTGTGACTTATTTGTGGAAGACATGCCTCTGGCTTAGAAATCTACACTAAAACATGATATTTTGAGGAAACTCTCAGAGCTGTTGTAGTAGTCGTTTCTTTAACACCTGTATCCTAAGGAAGGCCCTGTATTGTGATCAAAGAGGCCTTTCACATATTATCATTAAAATGACAACTTTTGTAAGCCTCGAGTAAAATTCAACAGAATAACTCTGGTGATAGATTTCGGCAAGGGATTACAATGATTTGATACTGTCAAGTTCAAAACATTAAATGTAATTTTCAGAATTTTGATAAACCTAAAAGTAGGTTTAAAAAAATTTAAACAGACCCACCTCTAAAATTTTCCAAATTCGCGATGTATTTTCTTTTATACTTCACGTTTTTTGTAGTGACTAATCATTGGAATTTTTCGGAAGAATCTATTTCCAAAGTTGTACTGCTGAATTATCCTAGAGGCTCATAAAAATTGTCCTTTTAATCGCTATTTTAAGTAAAGCCCACTTTAATTACAATGTAGGTGCGTAGGCTGCATGTGTCCCTGTGTGCATAAAGGATAGGCCTAATAGCATAGAGCTGCTTTAGGAACAATGAACTATGAATACAGCCCTTGTTACTCTTTGTAGTCACGAACTCAGTCTTACTCCACTTATGAGGGGAGGGTAACCTTTTTTCTAACTCTAATCACGGAAATCAGTTGAAATGTGTATCAGCCACCTCTGGAGTTTTTACTTCTTGGTACTAGCATCCAAGTGAGTGTCGTATCTCAAATTTTGCCTTGACCATTTTTATTTTCCTTTTGGAATTTTCTTGTTAAGACTTGATTTTTCTTTCACTTTTTAAACTTGTTTTTGTTAATGAACTAAGATGACTGTAAAATATTTTAATCAGCTCAGCAAGTTGACAAATTATGTAGTTTCGTGCAGAATAGTGATCAGTAGTACTGTATCACAACCTTCTAAAGCATTTGAAGACTGTACCCATGTTTTTTCCGGCAACATTGTCGGCATTGTCGCACTTTAAGTTCTCCATCTGTCTACTTTCCTAATTTGTATTTAAAATGTGTTATCAGTCAATAAAGTGATTCTTGCGTACCATCCATCTGTCATTTGTTTAATGAAAAATGCACCTTCCAAGTTTAATAAATAGAGAATCTTCTTTATTTTTATACATAAATATAAATAAAATAATAAGAAGACAAAGCCTAATATTAGTGGCGTCTAAATCTTACACCTCTCCTGCCAGATGCATCGCGGCTAATCAATGCGCTCATGCGCCATTACAGGTGGCCAATCCATCGTTGAGCACAAAAATGTGGGGCGCTGGTTGGCCAAGGTGCATCTGGCGAGAAACCTGCTTGAGCTGGACGTCACACATTCGTGAGCGCCCTTCCCAAGGTTTACGATGATTTAGGATGATTTATGGGAATGCAACTAGACAACGTTAAAATTTGACGTAGCGGAAGCTTCATGCGGCATTCGACTTGTTGGGGGTTGACTTCATAAGTATGGTTCAAATACTGTACAGAACAGGAATCGTGCCGGGTTCACACAATTTTGAGTGGAAATCAAGGACAAAAATTAGCATTTAAGAGTAAAGAATAGACTCTAATGAGTACCAGTGCAAGACTGAGGGAGTGTTCAGCTCAGGCAAATGCTTGCTATTGCTGATGAACAACTCGCAGGACGGAACAAGAAAAAACCGACTTTTTTTTTTCTAATGGACACATCAGTTTATACAAATTTTGCAATGGCTCTTTTCAGGACTGACAGATAATATTTGAAGACAACAAGTGTCAGGTGTCAATATGTAATCTAAAACAGGTCTTTGCAAGGGGGGGGGGGGTCTTTGTGGGTTATACAGATCTAAAATGGTGATTTGAAGAGATTGATGTTCATTGAAGACCGTATGTATGGATAACTTAGTGCTAAGTTTCAATGAGAAATCTGAACTGAGGTTAAGACAGGCCATGAGTGAAATCAAAACAAACTTTTAACAAGAACAAATCTTTATTGATCTCAATACAAACTTCACATGTTGACAATCAAAACAGCATCAAGAATACCGGTCTTATGAGCCATGGGTTTTTGTTTTGGACCAAAAACCGAAGAGGGTCAGAGCCACAAGGGCTGGATTGCATTGCAGTGCTGCAAGTTATTACTCGACAATTCAGTAATTCATTCAAGAGCAGGCGCAAAGTTTCTTACAAATTTTGTGTGGAAATTTTCTAAGTAGTACGACCAAAGTTTCTGATATTTAAAATATGAAACATACACCCATTTTAAGGGATCCTTCATATTAGAAATTTGACACTTTCACCCTTTCTGGTTTTAGCATCTGACTTTAATTCAATCTTAGTCTCAGTTCATGTTAACTACAGTGCATTGGTGATTTAAACCTCATTAATTCAAATTAAAGGTCTGTTACCTGAGAAATCTCTTAATTTTTTGAAAAGAACCAAAGTACTTTGCTGCCCACGGTAATTCAAAGAGTTGGAGATGGTTCAGCCCTTGGATATTCCAAAATGGAGCAAAAATTCTATCCATGATTTAAACTAAGTAAGTATGATGGTTGCTCTATGGTTAAAAGCGAGGTGGCTTATTCTCTCTGTAATCTGAAGTCAACTGAATCAGCTGGTGTAAATGTACACATGTGCAAGCTTTGCTAAGGGTGTAAGCAAGGCAACAAGGTCAAATTCCACCGTGAAAAGCTTGATCAGATGATTAGAAATCAGTGTTACATGCCAGTGAGTACCCAGTAAAAGAATCATGGACGGTTGAAAACTTGTTCCATTTTGCGACAAAGGAAGAAATAATTCTCCTCTCATTAACATTACCTCAATAATTTAAATTAAAAGTTTTCCATTTGAACTTTCTTAGCTGAAAAGCTTGATAATCCAAGCAACTTCCTAGTCTCCCTTGAATTTTAAATCATTGACAAGGCGCTGTATCATCATCTAATATCATTCAGAATGATTACCATTCAGCTGACTTGCGCACTATGCGACACTCTCAAAAATCGCAGTCATAAATAATTATGAACACATTTTCAGCAACGAAAAAAAATGAAATACTAAAAATGTGTCTAGTGATTCTTAAATACTAGCTTGACTGCCCGTGCAGTTAACTTTCAATCCTGGTAATGGATACATTACTGCAGGGACAGTCAAGGCAGCATCCAGGGATCTTCAAGCACATGCTTAACAGCCTAGGCTGCTATCATAGCATTTCATTGTTTTCTGTACAGGTGTAGGAGCAAATGGAATTTTTTTTAAAAAATTAATCACTTTTGTTTGTTGGCTTCCGTAATATTAGCAATTTTTTGAACCTAAAAAAGTCATTTTGAATTATTTGTATTCTAAAAAAGTCATTTTGAATTATTTGTATTATTATTTGTAGTTGAGAATAATTTACTTAAATTATTACAATAGTAATTTGGCAATATTATTCGCTATTTGCTTCTTTTGAAAAATTCACTATTCATACAGCTCTAACAAATCAGTGCCTTAATGCTGGTATACAGTCACATTATGAACTATGTTAGACACTTGTAAGCTCCAAACAGTTCTTCCTCTAGAGAGTTCTTTCGAATTTTTATTTTCAACCTCAAACTTTGATATTAATTCCACTCAAACACACAAAATCAATGTGAGCTGTTTTCAAGAGGTTGTCAAAAATACCTGTAGGCAGATGATCAAATTTAGCTTGACGTAGCTGCATCAGGAGTAGTTAAATTTACTAGTAGACTGCCGCTATTGTTTTCATGCCACTCCAACCACTCGGCAACCTGAAATTTTTAAATATATTAAATTATGAAATTTAATAAATGAAGAGGGCTACAGTGGACAGTAGGTTGCAGTAAGAGCAAAAAAAAACGAGCAAATGGGGGATTTAACGACTGTAACAACATTCACGAGATCGGCTTCAAATGAGAGAAACTAAGAGTGCAGCAAATACATAATTTTACGTTTCAGAGCGAACATGAGATAGGTATAGCAGAGAATTAGAGTCTTAAAGTTTTGACCTTTGTCCAGAACAATGAGCGATCTAGACAGAAAGAATGATGCACCCTTTCTGGAGAAATTCGATTTACAAACAGGATCTTATCCTCAAATCCATCACACAGGCAATGCCATATATACCTCCATGAGAGATCACATGTTAAAGATCCGAAAAATTGAGTTTCCAGCCCCAATGGAGATGTTGCATGTGTGAGGAATTTGCGATTTGACTATTGATCCTTATGTAAAAGCTCGGAAGAAACACGATGGTGCCACTGGTTTTCTCTGAAATCAACTTCCAAGTTCAAAAAAAGCTCTCAAGTTGAGGCCAAAATGGAGGGGATATCCCACGCTATCCTCAGAGTCCACATCTACATCAAGACAAACTCTCCGTGCAAGGCAAAACTCTCCAAAGCAAATACATTGACAGGGCTGCCACTTTATTTGGGGACTCTAAAACTGAAAACACAGCAACCCTGCTAATGTATTTGCTCCCTATCTTTGCATGGAGAGTTTGTCTTGATGTAGAGGTGGACTCTCAGGATAGCGTGGGATATCCCCTCTATTTTGGCCTCAACTTGAGAGCTTTTTTTGAGCTTGTGAGTTGATTTCAGAGAAAACCAGTGGCACCATCGTGTTTCTTGCAAACTTTAACATAAGAAGCAATAGTCAAATCGCAAATTCCTCACACATGCAACCATGTGTCTCCATTTTCTATAAATTAGCATATTAAAAGCCTTGGTTTTAAAGCTTCAAAGAAAGAAAAGAGAGAGTGATTGCTAGTATTTGTGCACAACAACAGCACAGCGTTATCTCCATCTCATCTCTTTGGATAAATCTTCAGTTGCAATTGGACCGTAGCAGCGCAGTTACTTGCAAACAGAAAGTAAACAACTGCCAACTTATCCGACAGGAGTTCTACCTTTCTTTGTTCAGGAGATATTGAATACAAAGTTGTTGACTATGACTCTGGTGCCTCTCCACAATTTTTAGAGGAGTCTGAGAAAGAGGAGAGAAAAGGTGTTTTACATCAAGCATGATCCATAGATACGCTTAATTTTTAAAGAAATCCAAGGAGGGGAGAAGAAAAATGAGGTGTTCTGAATTAGGCTCTTTGATTAGCACCTAATTCCTTCATAAAATGTGCAATCATTAGTGAAGCTAGAGAAATTTGAAGACTCAGAAAAAGCTTTAGTTTGAGAAAAGAACTCTGCACATGAGGGAATTCTCGTAACCCTGAAAGAGACTACCCTGATACCCAACTAACTCTTCACTAAGGAAATAGCTACCTCTTTAATATCCCTGTTGCCGTTTGTTTCCAAGTATTTGGCATACAGTTCCCTAATGATTTTGAAAGACTGAGCGGTGTCATACGGAACATTTGTGACAGGATCCACATATTTGGCTGGCATTCTGAAAAATTAATTTAAAAAAATCTATCAGATGGAAATACAAGGGCTATCCGTAAAGTAAGTTAACATTTGTCATATCTTCTAAACTAATATAGATAATTTAGATCTGTAAAAATTTTTTATATTTCTATACTTTCAGCTTTCTAAAAAGCTTCGGTTTTTTAAACTCTGTCTTCTGAGTGCCGAGCAACATCCGTTTTCCCACACCCCTCTCTCACCACCGCATGTCCATTTACGCGCGCTGGGGTGGTTGCAGAATGGTAATATGCGACTTCATCCTGCAAATTTTCAAAATGCGATTTTTTCTTTACAATTTAAAAATTCCATGTTTGAAAAGACCTTACTTTACTTTTCCACGTAATCTCCATCTCGTTGGACGCATATTACATACCGTGACAAGAGCTTTTTTATTCCATCAGCGTAAAACTGGCGATTCTGTTTTTGTAACCACTTTTGTACAGCTTCTTTCAGCCCATCGTCGTCCGCGGAACTTTTTTTGCCAAAACCCTTTTATAGCTCAAGAAATAGGCGGTAATTCACTCGGGGCGAGATCCTGGGAATAAAGGGAATGGGGGGAAAGGTCCCCTTTGAAAAACATGCTCAAAATATAAAGTCTGCAAGGTTCTGCCATCGCTGGAGGCCATTAGTGAACCATTATAAAGATTACAATGACACAAAAAACCCAAAAAGCTAACTTACCCAGTTATTGGACATAATCTGGGGAAAATATGGTTGTGAGGCTTTTGCGACTGTTGAAAATGTTTGTAAAAACTGTCATGGAATGTTAAGGCATCAGTGAATATTAAGAAAGTTCTCTCATAACAACTTTTCCTTTTCTTTTTTGGAGACTTGTCTTGTTCGCAAGAAGAGGAGTCAGCCTTTGATTCTTCACTTTTTGTTTCTTCCTTCACAGGCCTACAAAATAGAAAATTGGATTAGATGTATAAGAAAACAATGTCACAGGACTTTTGGAGAGAAAAGAGAATTGCTTGAATGATCGTATTGGTCAGGCTGGCTAGGCTGTTGGTGTAGCTCATTTGATCAAATCTTTGATTTTTTTTAAAATCAATGTATTCCTGACAAAGATGCTTATGGATTAAAATGACTGTAAAATAGGTGTGGTGTGATGTCAGACGCCAGAACTTAGCTTGTCCCGCATGACATTGCTACTCATTTCTTAACAAGAATCATAGTTCGGACCGTGAAGTTCAATTTTTAGTCATTTTGAGATAAGTGCAGCCAGGGACTAAGCGATCTGTATTGACCTTCATATTGATTGCTTTAGGAGTGATCAATTGAGCACTTCAACCTAAAGTCTGTATTAATTAAAGAAATGCATTCTGATTTTTGAGTACTTACACATCTTCATCAACACAAATGGTTTCTTCTTCTAATGCTACATCAGGCATAGTTGTTGAAAGATAACGAATGACAGGCCCAGTGAAAATTTTTTTGATCCCCCTGTTTTTTTTCTTTTCGATTTCCATCATTTGGTACTTTTCTGTGGGGAAAACAGACGGTGAGATGATTTAAAAAAATTGACAAACCTACCTATTTTAAATACACCATTGTATTTAACAGATTTATCTCATGATTCAATGATAAAGCTTTAACTTTAAGCTCCAAATTTATAGGAAAGACAATTAAAATGCGTGCAGCCCATGATAGCATCATTTGATGAGCCCTCAGACAAGGTACAAATTTAAGCATTCTGATTAATGTCGCCTCTTCAAAATTCAACACAAAACATGATTTGCGAAACGTAAATCACTGACATTGACTCCTAACCACCATAATAACGTTTTTACACAGCACTGGCTACAATAAATTTGACTTTCAAGCTCAAGATAAAATCAGGTTCTACGAGAAACAAAGTGTGTACTACAACCGTTTTGGCAGACTCTCTAATTGAGCTGAGTTCCTTCCTACCCTGTGTTGTTCAAAGTGTAAACAACACACAACAGCTGAGCCAAAGCACTGAAATTGAGGGTGCCATATTTTCATACCACAGAGACTATCACGGTAACATTCAGTGTGCAATTTAAGTCAAGTAAATTATATTCTTTTTTATTCATGACCGGCAAGTTTGGATTAATTAATCTGAATTTAAAAGCTTTAATGCTACACTACTGGCGGCTACACTATTTATATTGCTCAGTAATTACTTTCAAAAATTTTTGTTGCTCAAATCCTGTTCTAAGCGAAATTTTGATGAAAAAACAGATCAAAGTGCTTTAATTCATATGAAGTCTGTTGGTCCATTCAGCAACAAAGACATTTTCTCCACTAGATTTAAGTTCTGATGCCCCATGAAAACAGAATTACCTATCCAGGATGTCTACACTGCAAAGGAATAGATAGAAATAAAGGAACAGGATTAACATAATTCCTGATTGGAGACTGTTAAAAACACATTTGTTTGCTATCCTATGCTGACACACATTTTAGCTCCAAAATGGGAGACTAATTCCCAGGAATTATTTGTTCACAACAATAATACACTTTTCTCTTCTATTTTTTTTAGTGGCACAATAAAAGTTACCTAAAGATCTTAAATTTTCTATTTCCGTCAATTTGGCTTCTTCTAATAGTTCTTCTTGCGTTAATTTAACTTCCACAGTATATTTCCTTGAAATTTTCCGCTTCAGATCAGATCTTTCACGGACTCTCTGCTGTGTTTTGGCGGAGGCAACTGCCGTAGAGTGTCGGATAGATTTCCTTTCTGCAATCAAGCAAAAAAAAAAGACGATGCTTGATGATAATATGTAATCAAACACCTGTGTAAATTTTCTATGGGGAGATCCCACAAAACAGAGTAAGCTTCTAAATGTACAGGAATATTATTTCTACTGAAATACTGTAACTTTAACTCTGTGATTACGATAATGATACTATAATTCTGACTACATTGATCTGTATTAGAACGGAATTCAATATTTCCCATAAATCATTTAGGTTCAATTAGAGGAGCTTAAGAAAAAATCTTTATTAGAAATACTTGTTACTATTACTGTTCTATTCTCAGTACCTATCTTTCCGGTTAGATAATAATATCCTTTTATTCTCGATTTTATTGCTTGCATCAGGATAGATTCGCCAATGCCATTTTATTCATGTTATAGTGCTTTTCGAGGGCATAGCTAAAAGTTGAACACTTTTTTAAATCTTCTTTATTGCATTCAATTAGTACATTTTTGGGAAGACGGTTGAGAGGCTGAAACATACATTGATGAGGAAAGAAAAGCACAGTTGTGTTCAATGACTTTACATTTGTTCCATAAAAAAATTCTTTAATGCATTAAAAATAAAAACCTCAGCATATTGTCGGTTTGTTTCCTTGATCTGCCTTTCTGGTGAAAGGAGTTAAAAGTTAAGAGGCTCACAGATAAAACTAGCAAATTTCTTACCCAAAATATCACTTGAAGATGGATAATGTAATTTCTTCCTATCTGTTTTTGCCTGTGGGGGTTTTGGTGTTTTTTCTACTGTTTTCTTCACGACTTTCGGTTCCTGAAAGTAAAAAAAAAGTAAAAAGGGAGGTGCTAACAAGGGCAAAAATTGGCCCTACAAATTCGGTTACAATAGGTTAAACAGTAGCAGGGTTTGAATTTTTTATTTTCTACTAGGACCATACAAATGATGTGACCACAAAACAGCTTATATTTGAACAACATTTTGCAATAAGGAAATTCTATTTCTGGCTCATTTAAGAAACAACTTAAACGCGATTAGTTTATCTGTGCAGATAGGTGCTTTTATGCATAGGCCAGAGAGAGTAGTTCTTTATGGCAAAATGTAGGTAAGGTGCCATTTGGAGTTGGAGTACATGATGTGAGGATCATCACGTCAAAAATTAGTCGAAACTTTTTGTTTTGTAAGGAAAACAAAATTTCAATTTTTTTTAAAAAAACGAAATTTCAAATTTTTAGGAAAACGAAATTACTAATTTTTTTAGAAACATCAAATTTAAAAAAAAAAATGTTAGAAAAACAATTTCAAATATTTTTAAAACCAAAAAATTTTTTTAGAAAAACAAAATCGAATTTTTCTTTCAATATGAAAAAAGCCAGTTCCATATTTTAGGATTAGAAATTGTTAAAAAGGGAAGAACTTACTTTGTAGACCATTTTCTTTCTTTTCTTGCTCTCCTCTGTTTCTTGATCAGAGACTGGTTCATCATTTTCATCAATACTGAAGTCAGAATCAACATCATCCTCTACTTCCTCTTCAGACCTGAAAGAGATTGATTCTTTATATTGCAGTTATGTAGTATCTCCATGTAAAAAAAATAACCTGTACTTTGTATGAGGAGAAGGACCTAGTTTTTTTACAGTCAGCATTTGCTTTATAGAGACAGAGGACAGTTACATGCAGAGTAGTTTAATCATAGAAATATCACCGATTCTTCAATTGAGGCAAGTCAGCAGTCAGGTGGAGAATAAAGTTCATAAATGTTACATGATGAAAATAGGAGATCTTTGATATACTTATATTTCCGTTTGCAGTGTCAAAAAGCTTACCTGGCAAATCACAACATCTGCAAATGCTAATTAATCAAAAAACTAACACTTTATCTCAATTCTCAACCTGTCAGTCTCATCAAAATGTGCCAAGAGCTTCTAAGCCCCCACAGGTGTGCAGGGTTCTTTCAGAGAGATGACCCTCATTAATTTTCTTGCTCTTTTTATTAAGTTTATCTCATGGCGTACGATAGAGTTGCTAAATACTGGAGCGCCAGTGAAGTCACTTTTTAAGGCTGATTTGTCCACTGCTTCGGAGACTAGTGTGCAGTGACTGATGGGAGCTCAATGGAAAGCTGTTGAAAAATGCTGTTTAGTTCACACTCACTTCGCACATTCGGCAAGCATACAGCTCGGAATGCACATTTCAAGGATTGACTTCAGCAGAGCTCCGGTGAGTAAACACTTTATTGAACTCAGTGGTTCATCTGCAATATTACAGTTGTTGCAGAATGCTCTCTTTTCAATGAACCGGTCTGAACATGTATGAAAAACTTTCTGGTAGCCTTCCTACATACACTTTGAAACAGCAGGTTGACCGATCAAGAAGTTTCAACACCCCTACCCACACAGTTGAAGAAAAACTCTGCGGAAATTATTAAGAAACCTTCATGGTCAGGAAAGAAAATCTTTTCTGCACTCCTGAGACCCAATGTCTGGTTTGTCATTGGTTGTTTCGGCTATAAAGTTGAAATTCAGATTGATTGGGTCTGGCCGTGTTTGATGACACACGGGGTGGTGCATACCTCCGCAACCTTCCGTTTTAGTTCAGATGGACCTTTACCACAGAGCTAACTTGAAATGAGTAAGAGTACTTACTTGTAATCATTATCGTCTTCAACCTCATCGAACCCACCGTAGGTGGTTTTGTAAAATTCATCCTCTTCTTCTTCATTCAGGAGCTTTGCTAAGCGATTGCCAGCATTGGACCTTCTTTCGCGGCTTGAAGCCATCACCAAACTTTAGGTATTTCTGAACACACGAAACTTAATGATGCACTGCAGAGGATGCAGTTTTGGATGGAATTAAAGGAGAATACTTCAGAAAATATGAGAATGGTATGCGAAAAAAAAATTAAAAAGTTATTCAAAATTTCGAATCAAACCTCGCTGCTTGTCAATGTCAATAAACAATTTTTTGTAAACAGTCACGAAAAAAATGACGTCAAGTTGGGTCAAGCGTTCTGCTGCTTTTCTGCTTACGTCACACCACAGACTGCAGCACCATCGTTTTCTTCCATTGACGTATAATACAATCTAGACCGCGCATTGGGCCCGATTTTGGGCGGGGAAGGTAAGACAGCTAGGGGGGTAAAGACGCGCCTTCAGCCTAGTTGATACCGCCGGATATACGAGCTAAGTGTACCCGTATCAGGCAACGGCACTGGCAAGACTGGCATTTCCACGAATTCCACCATTGTCTCGCCGGTACACTTGCTGTGTGTTGCTGGGTTGCCTATCGTCTCGCTTGAATTTCGTAATGCGCGGTCTAGATTGTATTATACGTCAATGTTTTCTTCGCCCATACATTTTTTTAAAACCTCCAACAACAACAACAACAACAAAACAGGTTTTGTGCAAGGCGGATAAAGAATGGTGGTCGCATTTCGATTTTGGCTGCCATCTTGAAGCGTTGTGACGTCAGAAGGGTACGGGTTATGCCGTGCAATCCGAGGTTGAGTCGGCCCCCCCGGCTTCGGCCAGCTCATGTACCCGATGTACCCGATACCGTGTGACGTCCAGAGGGTACGAAATGCGACCACCATTCTTTATCCGCCTTGGGTTTTGTGTTTTGTCGTTTCTCGTTTGTCCTGTCTGTTGTGATTTTGAAAATTTCAAATAGTAAGTATCTACTTACGTTACTTACATGACTTTTTACTCTAATTTTGAATTTGCACTTATGCTAAAAGTTTGTAGGGTTGTCACTCCTCCTTTGGAAATGAAGAATTAGAAGTTTCTGCCAAATGTTTCATTTCAAACTGCGCATCATATCGTGTTGACTCTCGATGCTGAACCAAATTTTAAGTAGTTACCTACTCAAAGTTCAAACATTGCTGTTCATACACCTGTTCTTTTCTTTTACATCACTTGCAGATAGGAATTTCGCCTATAAACATTTGAATTGTGTGCTGTCATACCTCAATTACCTTTATTTTTGGTGTAGGATTGATGTCGCGTAAGAAACAACGTCTACTGTTTCAAAATTTTGGCTCTATTGAACCATTACACAGGGGTGCAGAAACTTCCAAGGGTTACCCCAAAATAAACTTAGGTTCCCCTATTTTAAGTTTTTGCAGAATTTTGCCCGTCACATAAAGTAACGCGGGCGACAGTTGGGTTCCCTCAAAACAGTGCAGTCTAAAGTTTGGTTCCCCAAAAACAGCACGTTTGAATGTTTTGTTCCCCCTAAAACAGTGTGCTTGACAGTTAGGTTCCCTCAAAGAAGCTTACTCAACAGTCAAGTTCCCCCTAAACCCCTAAAAAAAAACCCCCCAAGGTTCCTCCATTTTTCTCGTCCTCTTGTGGGTTCCCCCATTTCACGCGCACGGCCGGTAGCATGGTTGGGAAGTCTCTGCACCCCTGCTATTACAGGTCAAGTTTCCAGTCTTTGGTATGGAAAAGTGCTGTTCCAAGAAGGCGAATTCCCTTCTTAGCCTTTATTTTTAACATCTATCAAAGAATACGATACGCCTCCGATCAGGATCGTATCATTTGTATCCTACCTGTATTGGGTTGATAATGGGTGTTGCAGGGGTCGATGAAGTTTCCTGCTTCCGACAATATCGCACGAGCCTACTAAGTGCTTCCACCGAAAGGGATTACCTTTTTCCTCCTTCTTTTTGGTCGATTGGTAGGAAGAAAATTCTTAAGTAGAAGCAAAAAGGGCTTAATCAAAGCTCACTTTACATCCATTCTATCCATTTCTATGCAGGACGTTGCCAAAGAAAAAATAAAATTTAAAGGTTGTCTTCTTTTTCGCGAGCTTGGCTTGTGTGATCAGGAATTTTAAGTATGTTACAGCAGCTTTCATTTCAACAGGTTTTCAACGCGCATCTCTTGATTTGGATTGCTGAGTTTGCATTCAACTCATATGATTATTATTTTACCTAAGGGAAATCTGAAAAAATCATGACTCCATTTATTAGTAAAGCCTTTACGAAATGAGTACTGATTTTTTAAAAATCAACGGACTACGCAAGGAATACTGAGAAATACAGTGCCGGCTGAATTTTGTAATCATTTGATATGACGTTCCCCACAACCTCCTGAGCACAATGAGATCTAAATCGAACATGGTATTTGCCAATTGACAGCTTTTAATTGTTGAAAATGTCTTTTAATTCCAGTCTAGCAATGGTCCACTACTCTTATCTAGAACATTCAGAAAAGTAGGTGTGTTAATCGAAGGAGATTAATCAAATTGTCAAATCTTGCACTAAGATGGCTGACCAGTGTGCTGGAATAACATCCTCAGGCGTTGGGTCACAAACCACAGCTACTGGATCATCTTCTGCCCAATGTGCCACAGCATCAAGTGCAGAAGTTAGCAGTCCTCAAACAACCGCAACCACTGATATACCCTCTACTCAATGTGCCACAACATCAAGTACAGCTGCCAACAGCCCTCAGACAACCACAACCACTGATATACCCTCTGCTCAATGTGCTGCAACATCAAGTACAGCGGTCAACAGCCCTCGAACAACCACAGACGCATCCTCTGCCCAGTCTGCTGGAGCATCTAGTAATGTCTCTGGTAAGCTTTTTTTTAAAGTTATCTGCAACTTTTAGTGATGAGGTTTTCTTTTTTCCAAAAATTCCTTGGTCTGACTTTTAGTATTTCCTTTACTTTTGGTAACATAAGATTTAATGACAACTCCTACTCTAGGATTTACTAATAGAGGTTTTTCTGATTTCAGACCGTGATTGTGCGGTTTGTCTGGAGACAATGATTCAGCCAACTGAGTTACCGTGTAAACATGTCTTCTGTTTCTTGTGCGTGAAAGGAATCGCCCAAAAAACCAGATGCTGTGCGCTCTGCAGGAGAGAAATTCCTTTAAATTATTTTGATAGTCCTCATCTCTTAAGTGACCCTGATTCTGAGAAAGTGAAGGGGAAAACATGCTCTGATGATGAGGATAGACCACTCTGGTATTACAAAGGGAGAAGTGGTGAGTATTTCATAATATTATCCTGACCTGATGAGGAAGAGTTTTGGTTTTGATAAATGAAGAACTCGCTTTTCACTTCACCAGTGTAGTAGTACCCAGTTCATTTGGTCTTTTCTGTAACCGGTTTAATAACAAAACATTCCTCAAAAAATTTTTAAGCTTAAAGAACTTCCTGTTGAACCTGGGTTTTCTGTGCCTCTCATGATACAAGCACGTCTCTCTTTTAATAAAATGTTCCCGATTACCTTGAACTTAAATTCAGCGGTTTCCTTGACCAACCCAGCATAGCGCTGAATCCTTTATGAAATTCAAGAGGAGGAAGCAGATAAAAAGGAAAAAACCTTGCAGAGGATTGATCGGCTGTCCCAGCTCAATGCTAAATGTTTTGATTGAACGAACATTTGTAACTTCTCACTCTTGAAATCTTGTAAGTGTACAATTTTACAAAACAAATGAGACCTAATTTAATGAAGCCATTGCTGGACCTCAGGAAAAACAATAAGCAAGATGCAATTTCAGTTCTAGTGCATCGTTTTTTATTGAATAACTGTTGTTTTTTTTTGTTTTTTTTTTGAAAAACCTTTTAAAATTTCTGCATAGAGCATTGGTGAATGAGAGGATCTCTAATTAGTAAGTAGCACTGAGAGTGCTCTCTGAAGTTACGGGTACCATAAAACTCGCTTCAGGCTGTATGAAAATTAGATAGAGTCGGTGATTTTCCTGTGTGCAATAAATTCTGCATACAACTGACATCCTTGTTCCAAATTTATTGCACAGGGCAAAATCACCAACTCTTTCGTAATAGCGGGTGCAAGAAACTGCAATCTGTTTGTGTCTGAAGTTTACTTAATTCTCAAGGACACATTGAAAATTGTTTACTTCAAAATTATTCTACAAGATTGTAACATGAAAAGTGTGATACTAATTTTTAAGAATCGAGAGTTTTTATATTACACAAAAAAACGTGCCCTAAAAGTTTCTCAACATTTTACAGGTACATCCTTTATTCTACACTCATGCTTTTTTATTAATTTTGGCCTGTATGTCCACAACTGTATCTAGAACACCACATTCAGATGCTGTTTGAACTTATTAATATGAAAAGAAAACTAGACTGTAGTACATTTTGATTTCAATTGTTCCCCTCACTGTCATCATTAAAGAAGAGGTCTAATTTTTTTTAGGTTGGTGGCAGTATGATGATCGCACCAGACTAGAACTCGAAAACGCTTATTCAAAAAAAGAACAGTTTTGTGAAGTTTTAATAGCAGGATACCTGTATGTTATCGACTTCGGATGCATGACTCAGTACCGGAAAGATGACCCAATTCGCCGAAGATCGGTTAAAAGAGAGACACAGCCAATCAAAGTCAAAGGTGTTGCCGGAGTTCCTTTACCAAACCAAAGTGATAAGACATCCAATTCATCTGGATGTCCTCAGCCAAATGCAAGCGCCAGTCACACAGGTCGCGCAATGCACCATTCTGGTGAGTACCACGTATTAAAGTTGTCACATTGATCCTCCCCTGGATCCGCCTTTGACCATCGTCGATCTCATGTAAACAAAATGACAACATGGTCTCTGTACGGCTTGTACTTACTTAATATTGAACTATTGATAGAAATGTTCCAACGAGAAAAACGCTCTTATCACTTCTTATCGCTTTGCGTGCTCTTATCAATGAAGAAATAAATAGAAAGTACACCAAAATATGCATTAGGTGTTGCTATACTTTAGGTAATGCATGTTTTGGTGTACTTTCTATCTATTTCTTCAAAAATGTTCAGTTCTCTCAATTGGTCGATATAAACACATCCTTGGCTGAGAAAATGGTGAGATGTTAAAGATCCTTTTCATAATCTATCGTCAGTGAATATTTTTCATATAACAATTGGCTAGCCAGGCTACTTAGGTCGGCAAAAGTGACAATATTTTTATCTAGTCAAGAGTTATTATGACGCACAAAAAAAATGGTAAAAACGTCAGAATGTCTGTTGGATAAAAGTTAATTTTGAAACGAAGTAAAGACTATATCACAGGTCCCTGACTTGTACTTTTTCTTATCCCAGTTAATTGTCTCCAAAGCAAGATTTTGCATTAGAATATAAAAAAATCCCCATAAGCAATCAGTAGATTCTTTTGAAACCCCTCTGTTCAATACCCATTTTGTCTGCATAGTATGGTCACTCCTTTTTTTATTCCCCTCTCTAGATGCAGATAACCCTGGACCATCTTGTTCTATTCTACTTCTGGACTTTAGACCATCACATGCTGGACCTTCAGCAAGCAGCAGATCACAATCAAAGAAGAAGGTATATTGTCCATTCATATAGTGAACAGAATATTCAGGAAACTATAAGATTTCAACTCTTGGAAAGTAAAAAAAAAATTGGCGTCGAACACGGATTGAAGATATGATTTTTCTAAACAGAAGTAGCAGAAGTACACAATTTCACCATGAAAATTCGCGAAATTCTGACAGTTTGAACACAAGAGAAAATGAGACTTGTGCTTTTTAACAATGGTGTTTTTTTTTTACAATAATATTTAAATAATTGATAGTGTGTCCTCTGTTCTGGCATGCTACAAGCGTTTTGCATCCTTTTTGAAGATCCGTCAAATCTATTGCATTTTTTCACTCTCGCTTTCCTGTAAACTAGCGTCATCTCTCTGAACTCTTTAAGTGGAATGGCAGTAAAAACTCGCCGTAAGTTCAAGACCCGGCTCCTAGTGTGCACTCATCATTTTGTTTAGATTTTGTGTCAGTGTTATCCCATACTTCACAAAATAACGAATCGCAAATTACTATTCCTTTTCTTTCTTCGCCCATTTTTGGAGTTTTTTTTTTAGAAACTTCTTCCTTGCAGTATTGGTTTTGTTTCATTTGATTTAATATTTGTACAAATTTTATTTAATCAGGATTCTCAAGGAGGGTGTGCAACGGTAGGAGAAGTTATAATCCTAACCAGTGATAGTGAGGAGAGTGATTCTGATGATTCCTTGGAAATGAGTGATGATGATCTCAGTGAACTTGATGACGACGACATAGGAGGAGATTATTATGATGATGACATGGAGGATGATGATGATGACGGTGTAGACTTAGAAGATGGAGAAAGTAGTAGTGAAGATGATCCTGATGTTGTTTGGAATCTTCACTTTTATGGTGGTCCACAAGGTACGCATTACTGAAATCCTTAATATGTCCGTAAGATTAAGTAGAAAAGGCTAATATTTCAAAAATCCCTTTACAATTTTTGTACTTCAAAATTGCAGCAGCTTTAAAATTCCTTTGGACTTCAAAGGCTAATAGGGACAGGTTTGATTTGATTCTTGAGTGCGGCCTTTCCTGCTCTCTTTTCCCCCAATAAAATACACTCTCATCTAAATTATGTTAGTATTAGTCAATTATTTCCGATGAGTAGTAGCCCCCTTACAGCCTTTATTCTGATGTGTGAACTATACATCTTATTAGTTTTGTGAACTGAGAATTTCTTTTTCTAGGTGTGAGAAAACGGAAAGCACCTGCCGCAAGTGCATCTTCATCCACGAAAAAAAATCAAAGCAGCATAGATTACAAAACAGCATTGAGACTGATGAAAGCTGAACACACCCATCTAAGAGAGTCTATCAAATTGAAACACACACGAGCGCTCATGGAGAAGAAAAAACCTAAAGACGTACAGTTATTGAAAAAACAAAACTCCCTTACATTGGAGAAACTAAAGAGAAAACACTTAAAAGAATTGATGAAATTGAAAATGCAGTACAAAATGCGAAACCAGAAAAAATGAAAAAATTACTAAAGATGTCAGTGGAGGATTATGTGCAGTAAATTGTCAGATTCTCAACCATTCAGTTTTTATAGGCTTCAAAAGCCCCTCTACCTCAAGATTTCCAGACGAGTAATTTTCTAGATTGTCCTACCTTTAAGGAATTTCCTTGGCGTTATTTTTTTCAAATTTTTCTATAGTATCATGAATTTTTTCCGGGCCTCTCTTTCCGGAAAATGTATCTATCTGGTTCAGACCGTATGATTTTTGCCATGAGCATAACAATGGCTTAGGAACAATACTGCCGGGCTAAGGAAACACACTGCATGAACATTTGAAAGTTACCAAATTTACCCGAATAAAACATGTATTTCGGAAGAAAGTTCTCCTTATTTTTCCTTGAAATTTTAAGATGTTGCAGATTCAATTGCAAAAAAAATCATCAGAAAAATTTGAAGAAAAAATATTTAAAACTTCCTCCATAAATTAGTTTTTTTTATCAAAGGAAGTTTGGCAATGCTTCAAGGTTCACACGGCGTTTTTCCTCAGCACGGCAGAATACCCCTCATCTATAAATTGACGATTTTGCAGGATGAAGAAAAAATTTCGTCATTTTTTTTATTTTAAACTTCTTAAACACTACAGCACTCTCATGCAGGATTTGAAAAAACTTAAAACATCAACTTGCATATTTTATACTGTAGAATGCAGCAAAGTTGCTACTCATTTTTGCCAATATTGTCAGTTTGACGGTATTGCTCTTTAGCCTTGATAAGTTTTTATTACTATTTGAGTGTTATATTATCCTTGAGGTTTTCTAAGCCCTCAAGAACATGGGAGGTTTGGGTTTGATAGTTACCAAATTGGGACATTTATATTATTCAAAGCCAAGGAAGGCATCACATTGTGGTTAGCACCACAGTTAACAGAATAAGAAGCATCACAGGATCAAGATCAAGTGAACCTTGATTTTAGTCAACAAATTATTTTTTTTTTTTTTCTTTGGCTGTGAACATTTTTGCAATTTATAGAAGCTTCTGTTTTATTCCTTTGAATTACGATTTTTTTGATACACACAAAGGCACATTTCTTTAACTTTATTCAGTCTACAGAAACAGAAGCGCTCAATAGGATGTAGGTTCAAAACCTCTCAATCTTTTCCAGTCCAACATGTTTAATAATATACAAATATAAGAATTTTTTTTTCTTGAATTTTAGATGTATATAAAATACTGAAGTGCATACTGATATAGTCAACATTTAAAGGTTGGAAATTAAAAACCTGGTAAGCTCCACCAAGTGTTATATAGATCAGGGGTGTAGAAACCTTTCGAGGCAGGTAGCAACTGATCGTATGTAAAATTTGAAAAGCCCTGAAAGAGGGTCTCTAAAATAGAAAGGCAAGCATTTAAATTGTGTATTTTCCACAAACCGACTGTGAAAATCATGTGTTTTTTTGCAAAATCATGGCAATTTGTACTTAAACAGCAATATAAAGGTCATCTCTCCCAAATTTTGTAGGAAAAGGAGTTTTCAAGATAGGAAGACCAAAAATTTTCTGCATCCATGGCCAAGATCATGCAACTGTTCCTCTCATTTACCCAGAATTCAGCGGCCTGAGAGCAAATACTCTTATCATGTGTATATGATTAAAATTTAGAGAATTTTTCCTAATAATAAGTCCTCAAACCAAGGGTATTAAGACTCTTCCATGGTTAAAAACCCGGACAATCTTAGCAACATTTTGTAGCGCTTACCAGGCTCTGAATCTCCACCATTAATTTTTTTTTTTTGTCGAGTTCTTTTTTTCCAGTTAAAAATTTTTCGTTGAATGAAGCTTCTAAAATTTTTCACTTGTTTATTTTTATATGTGATTTTCAATAAATAAATACATCACATCCCTTTTCCTGAATCTTGTGTTCATCATATTTCTATGAAAATGTTAAATGGTATGCACACTCTATGGCAGAGACCCCTGCCCTGCAAAAATTACCTGGAGACTTGGAATTTTCTGAGATTCCTCATCTCCTTTCGCTTGAGGAAACATGTTTTGTCTTTGTTGTTTCAGTATTTCTACAAACATTTCATTTTCTCCTGAAAGAACTGTGGAACGAAATAGTATGAAACTTTCTGGGTCAATTTGTACAAGCATATAGAAAAATCACTAGAAATGAAGAGAAAATTCATGTGACTGTTTTCCTGAACCAAAATTTATGAAGAGAAATACTGAAAGAACAGAATCAAGATGTGTTTCTTTGTGCATGCGGCAATGTCTTGTTAGACTTATAAGAAGGGTAGGGTCTGTGCAGTAGAGAGGGACCTTGCTATCGTTAGGTGCCTTGGGCTAATATCATTTTCCGGCTAAATTGTCTGGGGTTCTTTGAATTTGACTTACACTGGCAAAAAGGAGCGTTTCAATGAGCAAAAACGGGGTACTTTTTTTTTGTTAAAAAATGTACTGAAAATTAACTATTCAATAATTACAAACAATATCAATACAATTGATAAGCAGAAGCAATTTAATGAAAAACTTTCTCATTAAGAAAGGTCTTGTTAAAGTTAAAAGACATTGCATCCATTACAAGAGGCACAGATCGTAATTTGATGGTTAAAATCTTCAAAAGAAAAAAAGAAGAGTCCAAGCACCTTTTGAGGAGCATGTTGAATCACTCTCTCCATGTATCAAAGAGCAAACTTTCTATTGATGTAAGAGGAAGAGACATCTTTTAGAAAACTTAATTGATCCTATAATGCATAGAAAGCCAGTAATGGCAGCTCATTCCACATAAAATTCAGCACAATTAAATAGCTCATTAGGAAAAGCGTAAGATTCACATTCATGACAAAGACTTGGAACTGTTTCTTAAAACGATTTATGATAAATGTTAACCGCTTGAACGATCGATTAGAGCAAATCTTTAAATCATGCTCCGGTGATACTCACTCATTGAAATATCTTTTTTATATTTTTGAATACTGAAAATGTTCAAGTTTCATTTTGCAAAGAATTAATGTTAAATAATAAAATTAATACAAAAGTCTCCATCACAAGTTTTTCATTCAAAATGGTAAATAATTTTCATGCACAAGAATGAATCATATATTTCAAAGAAAAATGATGTCTTTTGAAGTTCCTAGGGCAAAGAACAAGCAAATACATTCTTATGAGAAAAAAATCATTCAACTTCAGGAAAATGTTTTCCTGCAATAACCATACGTCTAATTCACAAATAATGTTTTAGAGAAATCTATATCTCTAAGTAATACTGATTTTTTTATTAGTTCATGACCAACCATTGAAATGACCAGAGAGTTGGATTCTGAGTCTGAGACAATATCTCAAAAAACGAGACTATCCTTTCTAAAATGCTCAAAATTACACTATGACAATGCAATATTGTGCAGGTTTACAAACTGCGTATTCTGCATCAGATAACAATCATTATTCATAACTAATTAAGGTAATAAAAATAGAATTGTATAAAAATTTTGTCCAAAACATTTCTACTTGGTCCATATGCGAGGATAAATTTTTTTTATTTGTCTGAGTGGTACTTCAAGAATCATTTGTACGTCCTTGAGAAACAGTAACCATTACTATGGTTTGCTTCTTCATACACTGAGCTTCTTGACTTTACCTCTTTCTCAGACCAATCAGATGCAATTGAATCCAGTTAAACAGTGTCCTGAATGAAATTTTGAAACGGTATCATGTCTGGTACCAAAAAAGCACAGTATGTACAGCATGATGAGAAGGACAGGAAACAGGAGGAATATTTTAAGCTTCTTCAAAATAATGTCAGCCTTTCAAATGAAGGAAAAAGCCTTACAAGCATTAATTCAAATTTAAACCTTAAAGATTGTGATCCTTGAAAGTACTTGATGACAGAAGCTGGAAGACAGAAGCCCTAAGAAGATTTCAACACTTTTAAGCTGCAATAGGTTCATTATTCTTTGACGAAGTATGTTTAATGATCCATTCATGAGTTAAAATTTTTGGTAGAGACAGGCGTTCAGAGGGTTGAACTCGTAACAACTGAAAAAAGCATCAAATCATGTATCTTAAATAATCTTATAATATTTTAACTAAAATCTTACTTTAAATCGACGAATTATTAGAACATTTTGATGATAAAAAAATAATCACAGCAACTCGATGAATGAGGGTTACAATTAAATTTAGCATCAGATATTATCTACAAGCTGCTATCGATTGATGTTTTGACAAGATGCTGTCATGAAAAGTGCCTGAACAATCAACAAGGCCTCTAATGGTTCTCCTTGAATGTTCTTGACATTTATTGGTAGCCGACCGAATGAGCTAAAAACCTGGGAATCTTGTGACCCTTGAGAATATTTCTCCCTTCTCATATTTGTAGGGCTTTTTCACATTTACATGCACCCACCCATTGGGCATTCTCTGGATCTCTGCCTTTTCCATCATGGCTTACAGACACTAAGAGTCTGCAGAAGTTCTGAGTCTCAAATGTATCTAAATTCAATGAGCTTGGTCTTATTGTAAAGCTAAGAATATGACTGGAAAAATGCATCTCGCATGCTGTTATGATAAAGATGAGGAAAAAGTATACCGAAACTTGCAAAATATGGTTGTTGAAGAGTAATTTATAGCCCCCTTTATTAACCATTTATTTATTTATTTATTAACCCTTTATAATTTATTCTTCAACAACCATATTTTGTGTGTTTCGGTATACTTTTTCCTCATCTTTATCTAGGAATATAATTGATTTCAAGGTGTAGTTACATTTTTTTTTCACCTCTGATTTTTGATTCTGAGTTTTCAATGAGATCAAAAAATGTTGGACAGTTGCTATGTGAAAAATTTCGTAAAGTGATTTAATATTTTCTGGGCAGGATAATGTCAGAAAAATTTCAAAACTTACCTTTGAAATGAGGTCACGAGCCAGCGCAGAAATATACGGAGGATAAATTACGATTGCATTCTTGATCCTCCGGTACGTTTCAGCATATTCAGCAGCCTCAAATGGCGGTTTACCGGTAAGACACTCAAAGCACAATACACCCAAACTCCAGATATCCACTTTTTCATCATGCTCCAGCCCAAGGATCATTTCAGGTGGTAAATAATCCAAAGTTCCACACAGTGTGTTCCTCCTGAAACATTAAGAGTTATTCAAATAAAAAACTCGAGAAACCAGTTTCGTGAGTAACTAAGGAGGAAGTTGGCACTTGTAATGCCATTCGGAAATCCAACAATACATTCAAATTTTGACAGATTTCTTGTTGGAGTAGTTGGTACGTCTTTCCTCATGATTGTGATACGGAGTGGGCAGATTCAAATACATGCAAAAGATGCTATGACATTCCCAGTCAAGCTTCTGTCACTATTGTTTAACGGTAACGCAGCCGCTTGTAAGCAGAAAGTAAACAACTGCTAACTCAGTGGACAGGATTTCTATTTCTAGACTAGTTTTTTTTTAAATCTTAGATATCATTGAATCCTTGCTTGAGACCTCAGTTGCTACTAGGGGTGCTCAAACGAATTCTTGCCGGAACACTATCGATATCGTCTCTTATTGAAACTGGCAGCAGTACCGACAGTGGCGATAATATCGTTAACAGCCGGCCTTATCGGATTTTTGAGAGCTCGCACTCAATGCATTCAATGCCCCGTGCGTCGGTTTATCAGATTGCCTGACGCGGCGGCGCATGAAATAGATGTACAAATGGCAACAGCTTATTTTCGTCCACTCTGAAAACTCTGATCGCTATCGGCAAGAGCGCTCTTATCGTAACTTTTTCTTAACGGAACTGTTTCGGTAGCTTACCAACAACCGATAGAACAGCCCTAGCTGCCACTTCATGGTCAAATTTTACAGCAGGTCAGTTTGTGCGATTGGTGGATATGAAACATAACAAAAGCCTTTTCTAACCTTGTACAATTTTTTTCCAGTTTAAGATTAAATGAAAATTGAACATAAAAATTCAAGAAAGAAAATATTGAAAGAAATGGAGAGGATTAAAACACAAAAATATTCTTCAATTTTACTCTCCGAAAATAAGAGCAATTTCCTTACTTTGAGGAGGGAGTATGAACTGACCAACCAAAGTCAGCTATTTTCAATTCCCCTTTGGCACCAAGAAGCAAGTTTTCTAATTTGATATCACGATGTATTACATTCCTCTCATGACAGTACTGAAGAGCAGATGCTAACTGGGAGACATAGTTGGCTGTTCTGTTAAACAAATGGAAAATGAAATAGTTACGAAACATACAAAAGAAATAGCTTGAATTATTCTATAGATGGTTATAAATGAAAAGGGGAATAGGTTTGAACCAAATTAGGCTATTGTAAGATCTATAAAATCCTCAAAAATCCATTTGAAATGAAAAGAGAAACCAAATGTATGCCTCAAAACTCACAAGTTCTTAGGCTACCTTTGTATTTCTGCATGGTGATAGTGACCACTATCGTCAGAGGAACAATTTGAACCAGCCAATTCATAGCAGTGACTGAGCCAGAGGCTTTCATGTCTATTGTCTATGGCATGGTGATACTTATTCGTAACAACGCATTTTTTGGTTTTCTTAAAAAAAGTATTACTCCTCTGCAGCACGATGTCGCAAGTTTTTATGAAAATTCTTCTTTTTTAAAAAATAATAATTATTAAAATTTTGAAAGTTTGAGGAGAAAATTTGAGGCTCGACGTTTTAACAAAAGCTATAACATAGATTTGTGTCTTCCAGAATCCCAGATTCAAAATTGATTTATGCCGTAGAAGGTTAGAATATTACTACAGAGAAAATCTTGAAATTTTTTTTATCACCACCACTGTGTTTATAGATATTCTTCGGTGAATAAACTTTAATGGTTGACTAAGGCCTGATCATGAAAAGGTAAACAGTTTTCTATTCATAAATCAATTGTTTTGAAAACTGAAAGAAATTGTAAAGTGTCCTATTGAGTGAACGAGCCCGTGATTGAAACAGACTCAGCATTATAGAAGAACAGATACTGCGACTAATCAAGGCCTTTCCAGCTGTTGAGCATCTGATGGTTTAAGGCATGGACCTTGGAAAAGATTTTATGGGAGAAGCTCCAAAAAAAGAACAGTGGAATTAGCTGAGAAAAAAAAATGTAGAGGAGTAGGGATAATTAAAGAAAGAAAATCTTGTTGAGACGGTCTTGCTGCATAGAGTTTGCATGGGTTCAGATAAATTAAAAGAGTGCGTTGCTTTTCTGGCAGTTACTTAAAAAAAAGAAGAAGAAAAAGGACACGATGATTGATGAACAATAAACGCACAAACCTTTCTTCCGAGAACCTCCCATTTTCCTGTGATTTCATTTCCTTAAATAATTCTCCTTTGGGTGCAAACTCCAAGATCATATAAACTCTTTTGTCATCATGAAAATACCCGAACATTTTTAAAATGTTTGGATGCCTAGATTGACACAAAATAAATTTGTAAGTTTATACCTAAAGTCATTCATAAACACAAAATAGGACAAAAAAAAATAGACTGCAAAAGCTGTTTTTCATAACATTTACACCAAAATCTGAACTTGTAAAAGGAACTTCAGTGAGGTATGAATACAAAGTGCCCCTTAAGTTTTGCCACCAGGGCTTTCAAAATTATTGCTTCAGGTTCATTTTCAAAATAATGGAAAGGTAAAAATCTAACAAATGTAGGAATATTTTATTTCTTCTAGGGCTGTTTGTTATTTTTTCAACAAGATTCACCTAAGGAGTGACCCTTTTCATTGAATTCCAACTAATTCATAAAAGCCAAAGGATGACAATGTTTTGATTATTCTTTCAAAATACTGCCTTTCAAAGACTTAAAGGAAGTGTTTCATGTAGGGGCAAACATATTAGAGACTCGTGTCCAAGTGCTAACCTTGCAATCTGAGCTTCGTTTGCTGATAGTAATCCCACAGAGTCGAATCAGGAAAAGTAGGGGGATTTGGAATTACATTTTCCCATTGATTTTTAAAAAAGCATAACGACAATGAAACTACCAAACCGCCCGTCTCGTTTACAGTGATTTGAAATCTCCGCTCCCATTTTCGTCTTTAAAAGGAGAGCAAATCAACATAGTTTTTTTAGAAGTTCAGAGAATTTTCTTCACACAAAGAAGAATAATCATGGAACTTTATTAGAATGCTTCAGAGGAAGCACTTGAGTAGACAAGGAGAACTCAACATTCTTTAGTTGAAGTGCAATTAAAGATTCCAAGGGGCAAACTTAGTATTAAACATAGAAGATTAAATATGGAATGAGTGAAGTTTACCGTAAATGAGTTTGTATTTCTATTTCTCTTTTCAGTTGATACTCAAAATTGGCTTCAAATATTTGACTCTTGAATAAGACCTTTAGCGCTACGATGTATTTGGATTTCTTTTCTCGAGCTAGGTAAACACTTCCAAATTTTCCTTTTCCGAGAGCACGACCAATATCAAAGTCTTGTAGAACCCACTTTTGCCTGAAATTAAATGTGATGGTTCTTAATGAACAAAATTACAGTAATAAGTACATCGTTCGAAGCAAGAACTGCAGTCATCCAGTATTGACATGCAAAAGGCATGCTTGACACTTACATAAATTGCTTTTTCAGAATAAACAGTTCAAGGAATAATTTCAGTCATAAAAAAAAGGGAAGAGAAGAAAAAGGAGGGTAAAAAAAGGATGTGGTGGATGTCTTGGATTTGTTTCTTGAGGAGGAAAAAAAAAAATTGTAAAGTAGGTGGGTAAAAAAGGGCAAAAATACTCGTGCAACAGCAACAATAAAGTACCTAGGTATGGAAAACAGACAGTCTGTTGCTTTGGTGTGATTCAACACAAAAGATAATTTTGAACAATTTTTGAGGCCATCATTTGAGACCTAAATACACTTATTATGGAAACAGGGGATTAAAAAGAAAGTTTTATTGTCTAGCTTTGCAAAAACTGTCATAATTTAGATTTTCTCTCCTACTTTTTCCCAATATATTTTACAACTTCTGAAACGGAATTTTCTTTCCTTCCTTCAAAAGAATCTCTCCTGCTCATGAAACCAATATAAAACAACACATGAAACAACTCTTCTTAATGACCTTTAATCAGCAAGATCCTTGGCAAGGAGGGACATGATAAACAAATAAGAAGAAATAGTTACTTCAGTGAAAAAGAAGGTAAAAAAAAAATATTGATAATTTTCATTTTACCCATCAGCGCACCCTCTTAGTCCTATAAAAGTACATATTGCCAAGGTATTTGTGATTTATTGTGCAATATTCCAGAAATTTACTGTAAATAGACACGTAGAGATGGTTTGAATTTTGTGGCAGAGAGGAATAAAGACTGGGCTTCAGTACCTATCATCATTGGCTCCAATACTGAGGAGACCCATGTCTCCGCTTGACTTCAAATGACCTTTAGCAGCTTCTTTAGATTCGATGGTTTTTTCCTCCACACATTCATGACCAGTTTCATTCACAGCGTCTTGAGTTGAGGTTGTTTCCTTTTCTGCTGTGTGCTTTTCAGAAATTGTTTTCCTTTTAAAAGACAACAAACAAATTATAGAAGAACAAGCAGAGATAAACATGAAAATGATTCCCTGCAAGGGTGAAAATATTTTTGAAAATATGAAACTATTCTTTCTTAATACACAGATCCAAGAATTTATTTTTTTTTTTTTTACTTGGGAAATTTTCCCTCATTTTCAGGGAATATCACTATGATGCAAAAAAATATACACTGACTGAAAATCGACCAATGTTTCAAATTGGGCATACTGTGCAAAAAGGCACTAAATAAGCCCATACTCCCGAAAATTCGCAAAAATTTTCCAAGATTCTCTCAGGTCTCAAGCAATTTCAATGACAATTTTGGAATCAATTTCAATATGATGCAAAACACTTCTTTTTGAGAAACAAGTTGGAAGTTCTTGAGTATATTTCTGTGATGAAATGTGACACTAACAAAACGCATTCTCTCTCACATAACTTGTATGAAAACAAAAGGGGCGAGGGAGTTGGGTGGATTTTTAAAAAGTCTTATATTAATAGATGTCCTCTGGAATTTTCTGCTTGAGGGTCACAAGGAAAAAATGCATTAAGATTAGGAGTACAAATATTGAGACTTGGATGTATTTTGGCAAAATTAAATACTTACATTTTAGTTTCAGCAGATATTTCAGTAGATTTTGAAACAGTATGAATGTCAGCTGATTGACTTAAGGTAAGAGTTGAGTCCAAAACTTGGCATCTTGTCTTAGTTTCTCCCTTGTTAAACTCATTTTTTTCAAGATTATTGGGAACTACCGACACTTTTGTCAGATTGTGATCGGTAGAGGTTCCTGTTAGTTCCATGGTGCCAGACATTCTGGGTTTGCAAGGTGAATTTACCATTGAGTCTTTGTGATTTAAAATTTGTTTACTGCTCAGTTTGGTAGGGGTGTTTTTGGATGAGTCATGGAGTTCTTTACTACTGAAAGGTTTTGTAGTAGCAGTTGGTGTGACAGCCCTAGAAGGAACAACATCAGATTTTGCTGACAAAACGTTTTTAATCGAGGGTGATACTCCAGAATTGATAGATTTTCGACCAACAGCTGCTGTAACAGCCCTGCATGAAACATTATCAATTTTTGGCGACGAAACTTTTTTCATTGATGACGATGTTCCAGAAATAGCAGATTTTCGACCAGTGGTTGCAGTGACAGCCTTGCATTGATCATTATCAGACTTTCCGAACAAACTTTTCTTAATTAAAGGTGATGTCGCAGAGCTGACAGATTTTTGAATAGCAGTTGCAGTGACAGTCTTGCACGGAACATTATCAGATTTTTCTAGCAGGCCTTTCTTCACTAACGGTGATGCCACAGAGCTAACAGATTTTCGACTAGCAATTGCGCTGACAGTTTTGCATGGAACATTATCAGATTTTTCTAGCAGGCCTTTCTTTATTAACGGTGATGCCACAGAGCTAACAGATTTCCGACTAGCAATTGCGCTGACGGTCTTGCATGGAACATTATCAGATTTTTCTAGCAGACCTTTCTTCATTAATGGTGATGCCACAGAGCTAACAGATTTTCGACTAGCGGTTGCAGTGACAGTCTTACATAGCATGTTGTCAGATTTTGAACCATTCTTAATTAAAGGGGATGTTCTTGAGCTGGCAATCTTTTGACCAGTAGAATCAAATGAAGTAGTAGTCCTAGAAGGAACATTATTAGATTTTGTAGACAAACCATTTTTCAATGAAGATGATGTCTCAAAACTGAAAGATTTACGACCCGCAGAATTTAAGCAGCTTTTGTTTTGAGTGCCATCAGATTTAGAAAACCCATCACTTCCGCGGGATTTAAGAGTATTAGATTGTCCACATGTGGAAAGAGATGAATTTTTAGGATGATGATTTAGAGTCTGATTTTGAGAGACATTGGACCTCATGAGGTGAGCATTATTTCTGATTTCTGGTGTTCCAGCACGACTTGATTGTGAAATTTTGGAGGAGGAGGAGCTTTTTGTTAAGGGATAGCGACCCGTTTTAGGGGAGCCATCAATTTTCTTGAGTGAGCCATTTTTAGAAGATTCTAAGGTTTTAGAGGCATTTAATGGTTTGACCCCACTAAGGTAGGGACTGGATCTATATCGACGACACACTCCACTTTCAATTTTGTTAGATTTTTGAACAGATTCGATGTTGGCGAGTTTTTCGGTCTCAAAGTCTCTTGATTGTCTAGATCTTGAGAGAGAAGCGCTTGTGAGAAAATGTTGGATGACTTTATTTCGAGTGCTGTCAGACTGTTCCAAAGGTTCGTTTTTGGTAAGTTCAAGGTTAAAAGAGCGTCTAAAGTTTAAATGGGAGGGGGTTGAATTAGAAGAATAGTGCACTTTATCATGAAGAGTATCAGCTCTGAGGGGACCATTATTTTTAATGCACTGTGATACCTTCGTCGGTATTGATTTTCCAGACTTCTCCATGGAAGGTCTCTTCAACGACAAGGGCCAGTTTCTGCTGTGACTGTCAATTGATTTTGATAAATGATTTTGCATGCATTGAAACAATTCCTTTCCTTGAAATGCTGAAGTCATTGGAGCAGAATTACTTGCTAGGCAAGATTGAGATTTGCTTGGAGTTTTCTTCAACATTACAGACTGATAACTTCCATCTTTAGGTAAATAATATGCCTGTTGTGAGTGTCTTTGTTTTGAAAGGTCTGAAGTAGAAAGAGAAAAACCTCTCATTACATTGGTATTTCTGGAATCAACGGATTTATCATTTCTGGCATTTGAATTTTTGGCACCATCAATCCTCGAATTTTCAAGGGAAATGACATGATCCAAACTCCTGGAATTACTTTTACGCAAACTGCTGCTTTTGATCAGTGGCGGAGGAGGTAAAACCAGATTTGAATTTCTTTTCAAAATATTACTTGACTGACATCTGATAAGAACTGCTGGCCTCGAGTCGCTTGATTGGTGTGTTGCAGAGACTTTAGGGTAGAATGGAGCTTCAGGTTGTGACCATCGTTTACGAGAATGGGTTGTATTTGTCCTTTGATTCACTTCGGCTATAGAACCTACACGGAGTAATTTGTTTTCTTTGTTGTCATCCATTCTGCAACAAAGATTGATTTTGAAAGTTAGGTAGAATTCCTTTCATTTCTCAGAGAACAAGAAAATTGGCCCATGTAAAAACGTCCTATGTAGTGTTTCAGAATTTGAGTGGACGGTTTGTTGTAACTTAAAGACACAAGATGGTTCAAGACATTAGGAATGTAGACAAATTTTATAAATAATCCCCAAAGTATAATTAAACGTTTACAAAAGAGATCAATCTTATTCATAGATGTCGTCAGGCAAAAGAAACCACTACAATTATGAAATCCTCAAATGGACAACAAACATTTTTGTATGAGTCGATTCAATTTTAATGATGAGGAATACATTAAAAGAATTGAATAGGCAAAATTCCAAAAAATGGGGTGAAAAACTAACAAGGTGAAAGTTGTATAAAGCATGACAAATTTTGTGTATTTTCTCGGAAAATTTTAGGTGCTTTTGGAACAATTTTTATTTAATTAATTTTTGCAAAGGGGTAATCATAGAATGCAAATGGTTGAAGCATTTTAGTTTGATCCCAATTGAAGGAAGGGGCAAGGGCATGGAACGAACCTTCATAGTTTCATTTTGTACCAGAAAACCTATTTTTACAGGTTTGTGTTACAGACTTTCGGCAGTAAAATTTTTGCACTTTTTGATCTCCTTGGAATCAAACCCCAATATTAAAATGCAGCTCTTCCCATCCTCTTGCAGCCCATTCAGGCAACCTTGCAAGCTCTAAGGCTTTGAAAATGTGAAATGCAGATATCTCACAGTCTCCGGCCTCTGAGATATTGTTCTTCTTTCCTAAAGAATGTACTTCCATTTAAAGATCAGGCTTCCTTAGGATTAAAATGTACAAATTATGGATTAAATTTATAGAGTAGAATAAACAAACGACTGTATGTCATGAGCAGTGTAACCGAATGTGCTCAAAAATGAGGTCTAGTTGTCTACTTCAAGAAAACTTTCGCTTTTTCCGTTCGCAAGTATACTCTGGGAGGACAACCACAGAAAATTGGAGGAACAGGCAAAAGCGCAGCCTTATGTGTAAAGTGCTGTGGAACTTTACATGTGAGACAACAACTTATCAATCAGCTAATTTTAAGGTGGAGAACTCATGAAAAAAAAAAAAAAAAAAAAAAAAAAAAAATCAGAATAAAATGAAGTTCTCAAATGAATAAAAAGCCATTGATTTGTTCTTGAAGTTGAGAGATTCCACTAACAGAAAAGTGTCCCACCTCAAAATAGTAATACGGACAAGGAGAGGAGCATCGGTAAAGGGTTGTTTATTCAGAATGGGCCTGTTACAAACTTTTGCTAGAGCAAAAATAAGAGTTGTTACTCATAGAAAGTGTCTCAAAAATCACGATGAGCGCATTGGCAAACTCTCAAATGCACTCCTAACTTCACAATCTGCGTAAGAAATTTGTGTTTTTTTTGAGCTTCCCGCTTCAAAGACAATACCACGGCACAGATGAACATCTCGTTAGAGGAGTCATTCCATCCAACCCCTGCTCACAAGGATACCACGCGCAATATTCAACATAGCCGACGCCAATCCACCAAAACACATGTGATGGGACGATAATTCTAACCACCTGATAACAATCGGCATGTTTACATTCACATTTTTTTCGCTTTGATAAATATCCGTCTTGATTGACCTTGTGCTCTCCTCAACTTGCGCGCGGAAGCGTCTGCCATGTTGAGCAGGGATTGAATAGAACCACTCCTCCAACGAAATGTTCACCTGAGCCATAGTATCCTTTTTGGAGCGGGAAGCTTTTAAAAACGCAAATTTCTTGCGCAGATTGTGAAATTAGGAGTGCATTTTAGTGTTTGCCGATGCACTCATCGAGATTTTAGAGACATCATCGAACAACTCTTATTTAGGCTCTAGCAAAAGTTCGCAACATTGCCCATTGCAAGCGCTCTGATACCCTCGTTAAACGCGTAACTGGAACAACTTTGTGGGGGATAGGGGGTAAGTGTTCCTTTAACCCTCCTCAGAGGTCTACTGGTATTGTGCGGCTAAATACAATCACAATTCTTCTGGTCTCACCAAAAACATTACCCACTGTTTATTGTAAGAAACCAACCTTAAAAAAAGAAGAAAAAAAGAATTTATCTGGGAAGGGACAGGCATCCCCATAGTGACCAGGAGCAGCAAGCAGAAATTAGGCAACTAAGTACCATCTAAACACTCAAATACATCAATAGTTGCTAAGTTCTTAAGTATCATTCGTCGAAAAATTGTTTAATTTGATATGAGTTACTTCAATCAGCCATTTTCTTAGTTAACATCTATCATTTATTTTTCCATTGACAGCGTTGGCACAGTTAATAGGGTATAAGAGGGTTGAATTCAACTGAGTTTCTTTGCATACCAGTCCTGAGGAATGTACAGTGTGAGCTGTTTTTGTCACGGCAATCTCTCTACAAAATTCCTCAGTTCACTGGAGCTGTCATCCGCAAACAACATAATACTTACACCTAATTGCAATGAAGTTAAACACAAATTGAAATACAGATGAGGTTTCGACTTCATACTTACTTGAAACTCCAAAGCGTTGTAAAATCCAAGATAATGGCAATCACAGAAGTATGATTTAAATGAGGTCTTCAGTCACCAGTCAGACGCTTCTGGTTTAGAGGTTGGAACATTATATGCTCCTCACTGGAAATAAATCAAACATCAATGAATGACTAGCCACAGAAATTGGGAGGCGTTTGAAAAAATGATTTCTTTATATTATGATGCCTCCTTAAATATCTTCGTAAAATTCATTATCTCAGTGCATGTTTCATAAGATTTTTTGCAGGGACGGGGAGGGCAAGAACACGAACATCCAAAAAGAGGATAATTGCATAGGGAATGGAAAATTAGAGAACATGAATATACGTATATGAAACTAGAATACTTACAACAGTAATAAAAGCATGCATCTCACTAATCACAGGTCTAGACGTGCAAATCGGCGAAATATACATATACAACATTTTGATTTGAAAGTTTCTACAGTAAACAAAAAGTTCGGATTCGAAACAGCCGTTGGCTTATCAGCCAATGGGAGAGAAGAAAAATAAGAGGGGTAGGGGGAATTTATTTTGTGGGTAAGAAGAGGGGAGTAAGGGTTGACACTGTTGCCGTTTACACAAAGTATAAACAATTTTTCTTTACAATTAAATCTAAAAAAAAGCTTATTACTTGAAATCTAACAACACCGTGCGCATAGCGTTATCAAATTTTCAGCATTCAACAGTGTAATCAAATTTCAAATTTTCCAGGAATTCTACAGGATTGAAGTTTTGCAGTTGTCCGTTTCAATCCAATCTAGGAAATTTAGAAGTAAACTTACAAAGGCAGGTGCTACAGTTTTGAAGGTAAATTTTAGTGTCTATATTCCATCTACTTTGTTTTCATGGTTCTTACTGTGGAGTCCAATAATTTGTCTTGGTTACCATGAGGTCTATGCAGAATGCAGATAACACATTTTGATCAACTTCTTTCCTACTTTGATAAGTTTGTGGGTTTCTGCATATTATACCACTTTTCTACAGGCACGCCTAATTCCAGCACACGACCCCCAAGCCATCTAAAACCATCTTAATCCAAAGCTCCTATGGGATCAACTGTTGATGTGGGTACGCACCTACCTCTAGTACTTTTTACCTCGCAGTCTCATTTCAGGGCTGAATTGAAGTTGATGAGACCGCATCTTTAACTCCTCCTTACTCTCTGCAATTACTAACTCTTGAGACTCATCTCTTGCAGGCGAAGCTTGGTCAGGATTAGCTGATTGGGGGAGTAGTTGATTTTTATCAGGCACACTGCACAGCCGTACAACACTTCTAACCACATGCTCATTTGTGCAAGTAACAATTCTTGAACTTATTTCCCTGCAAACTAGGATTCATGTGCTGTCTCTTAAGAGCGATCGTGAAGATTAATGAACCCAGAATGCATCAAATAAGACTTGAATGCATGAATCAACCTGCGGGAAAGCAATGATTTATAACTTAATGTTTGCATTTTCTCTGAATGTACAGACTTACATACCTAGGTAGAGGTTGTAGGTGTTGTTTATAGGCAGAGGTTGGTGTCGAATCAAATTTTGTTGTATCCAACTTTCCATCCGCCTTTGTAGGATGAAAAGTTGAACACGGTGATTTTGTCTTTACAAGGGTGTCGAAACATCCAATTGCACAAACGACTTGTTTCAGTCGTAAGTAATGGGCATCTTGTGATTTATGAGCATAACAAGTAAAATCACTACTAATTAATATTTTGTGGAGAATGGGGTTTTTAGTATGGGACAGCTAAAAACTTCCTACATTCTGCTCAACTGAAACTGAAATGAAAGTGAGGCTCTGAAAAATGATTGATTTTTTAGTACTGCAGTTTCATGTTCTGCACAAAACTTGTCTTTTCGGAATTACTCATTTTATTCAGTATAAATAATTTTCTCTCTTCTATGTATTAATGTAAGAATTGATATTTTTGATTGCAGTAACATTAGAAGAAATGTCTGATAAAGAAAACAAAAGTCGTCTCAGTAGCATCAGGTCTTGTCCAATAGGTGATGATGGAGCCAAAAGTACCTTGACGAAGAATCGAATCAGCCGAAATTTCACCGGAGTAGGAGGATGTCAATCTTTAAATATTCCTCCGAAACCAGGTGCTAAACCAAATTTCCTCATTCCGAACTCAAAGAATACCAGAATCACTTCCAGTTCAGATCATCTACCTCAATCAAGAAATGGTAATTTGTCCTCAGGGAATCAGTCCAAAGTAGCAACTTCTCATGCAGTTAGAAGATCTCATTCGGACGCAAGCAAAACAAGTAATAGTAAATCAAACCCCGGACCAAGTATTCCTGTGCGATACTCTGCAAACTTTGGAGGAGCATCAGCGACTAGTAAATTAGTGAAGAAGTCGACGAGTCAAGTTGTAGTCAATAATAAGTAAGTCAAATTTCTCTTCAACTCTCATAAGTTTTGATGCACCTGAAGAAAAAGTGACCCAAGGTGAGGTGCCAAATTTTTCAGGAGAGCGTCAATACATGGTGTTGGTTGAAATTATCATTTTTCAGTTTTTGATTTCGATCAATGTCTACATATCTTAAGAATTTGTAATTATAATTTTTAGTCATAATTCTCATTTGTTACAATGAGTAAGTGAAGCGCCGGTATTTTTAATCCCAATCTGCAAAGAAAACCTTTTTAAAATGCCAAAATTGGGACCTGTTTGAAACGATAGTTTTGACAGGCTCTAATGACATCGCCAGATGAGGAAACTGCGTTTACTGAGTAACTGAACTCCGCTTCAAGCATGGCCCTACCAAATTGTGATAAAAAACTCCACAAGGGCTCTCCTGTACCTATAGAGAACAAAATTTCTGAATCATGAAACTCAGCAATGATACCGTCTTTTAGCCGCAGTTTCTCAACTCAAGTTGTTATCTTCAAAGTTAGTAATTGTCACCTACATCCCATCCTTTTTTATCATTTCAACATTTTCAACCTCTGTCCTACAGTTGCTATTCTGTTTAACTAATATTTAACTTCTCTATTTTGATTTTATGCAGCTCCAAAATCGTAGGAAAAACGCAAATGAGTGAAAAACCATCTAAAGTGGTAGACTCATCTGAGAAGGTATCAGCCGAAAAAACGGTTCACCAGCCTACGGAAGTTGCTGTTGAATCGAAGCCATCCTTGAGCGACGACACAATCAAGAAAGCCACCTCTACATATGATGCCCAAAAGGAAGCAAGGTTGAAATCTGATGCTCAAATGGGTCTTTCAAGCAACACTAACAGCAATGAGTAAGTCCTTGTCTCCTCTCCTCTAGGATTTTACAGAAAGCTTGGTGCTGAAAAGCCTGTTTTTCTCAATCGAAAGCAAATTTTCCTCACCTCACTAAGTATGAATTGAAAACTCTGTTGTTCGGTACGGTCCAAAAGTTCTCAGCCTCTCTCATCTTTCATTTTCAAAGAGCCAATTTTTCTTATTTACTTTTGGCAGAATATCCTATTTGTGAGAATAAAAATTATCACCCGAAATTATTTATGAATTAAGAATCAACTAGTGCCCTCCATTACTGGAAAACTATTGTAATCAATGGTCTTATTGAATTGACAACTTCTTCATTTTTTTTAGAATTAATATTTTTTTTTTCGGATGACAGCGGTGTATACAAATAAATTTCTGGGTATATGATACTTTGAAAAGTCCACCATTATACTTGACCTTGTAACTTGTGTACTCACTGTCCTCTTCTTATTTTTTTTAAAAACTTCAGGAAAAAATGGACTCTGCAAGACTTTGATGTAGGACGTGCACTCGGTAAAGGTAAATTCGGAAATGTTTATCTAGCTCGTGAGAAGAAATCGAAGTACATCGTTGCCCTCAAAGTTTTATTCAAAAGTCAAATTTTAGAAGCTAATTTTGAATATCAACTTAGGCGAGAAATAGAAATCCAGACACACTTGAGGTAATCATTTATTTCAAAAGGTCTTTTTAAATTCCTATGCCAATGTAGTTTTCTGTTTTTCTGTTCTTAAATTTATTTAGACTATGTTGATCTGACTAAACAAAAAAAACATATGATATCTTACTCTATCTATTTATGTAACTTTAAATAATTGTGGATAGACGCACATTAAAAAATTTGACTATCCGCTTGTCCCCTCGCTGATCCCTCAAAATCAGAAGGATTCAAACGGCAATGCTGTTATAATCAGCCCGGTTTTCCTTAAATTTGGATCAGTTTTTTTAGATGTTATCGATTGCAATAGAATTTTGTTGCTCTAAATTAAAGATATTCAAAGTTTCAGCAGAATTAATTTGAAAAATTCGCTTGGGCAATCCCTCCAATGCTTTGCCTATGAATGCGTTTTTACAGGCTTCAAATTACCTGACCAACCAGAAAATGAAGTATTGAGCTCCATGGTTTCCTGTGCAGCAATCCTAGAATGAATTCCTTGGGTGGTCCATTTTCTGATTGGTTGATCAAATCTTTGCTGAAGGCAGGAATACAACTACTTCCTCTTATTTTTGAGCACCATACCGTATTTACCCACGTATCGTACGCACCTTTTTTTCAAAATTCCGGCTCTCAAATCGAGGGTATGTACGATACGCGGGTCTTGCCCCAAGATAAAAGATACCCCGTTTTTTTTTTTTTTTCCAAGGACCCCAAAATTTGGGGTGCGTACGATACGCCAGTAAATACGGTATATTGCATAACCAGAGTCTCAAATTTCTGTAGGAGTCTGTGTACTTCAGTTTAATTGTTCTGTAATATCCGTGCTCAGCTCAATTTTGCTAACTCTTGGACAGCATTCTGTGTATTTAGGAATAAATGACTCAATAGATGGAAAACAATTATTTTTATTCTTAAAGAAAAGAGACACAAATCTATCACTGAGTTATTTCCACCCCATTATCGTTAACATCATTTTTTTCTACAGACATCCAAATATCTTGAAGATGTTTGGTTACTTCCATGATGAGAAGCGAGTTTATATGATCTTGGAATTTGCTCCCAAAGGTGAACTCTTCAAACTGCTAAAAGCTCAGGAGAATGGAAGATTCACTGAAGAGGCGTAAGTTAACAATTGACTTTAACCCTAGCTCATTAAATCAGGCTGCTATATGGCGGAAATGTTGTTGAAATTTTTAACACCTGAGGTTACCTGGAAAAAATTAGGCAATTTCTCCCAAAAACGGTCAGAAAATCTGAGAAGTCTAAGTACTTCTCAACCTTGTTTGGACGAACAACATATTGTGGCGACAAAAAAAAAAAAGAAAAGAAAGAAAAAAAAAAGGTAATGACCCCCTCTAGAGGACAGGGAGATCTAGGGGAGAAAAGGGGATAGTGAAGAGAAAGATGATGAACAAACGCTGACTGGCCAGACCAGTCAAGATACGGCCAGACCGTACCTCTTGCGTTTGTTCGGAAAAGAATGGAAACTACCCTTGGGGCTGACTGGCCAGACCAGTCAAGATACGGCCAGACCGTACCTCTTGCCCTAAGGAAAAGGTGGATAGTCGTGAAGGAGAAACTTTTGAAAGGGGATGATTGGCCAGACCAATCAAGACAACAGCCAGACTGCGCCTCTTTCTCCTTTCGAAGAGAGAAAGAATGGAAAAATCCCTTGGGGCTGACTGGCCAGACCGTGCCTCTTGCCCTCAGGAAAAGGTGGATAGATGAGAGCAGTAAAGGTAAGGGACTAAAAGCGGATTGGCCAGACCAATCAAGACAACGGCCAGACCGTGCCTCTTGCTCTTAGTCAAAAGAGAGGGAAGGAGAGAAAAAAAAGAACTGTGGAAGAGTCAGAATGAACAAAGTGAAAGAGACTTGACGTGAGTAAACTAAGTAAATATTGTATTCAAAAGATACAAGAGGAGCTACATAAAACTTGACAATGGAGAACAAAAAAAGGAAGAGAAGACTAGTAAAGTCGAGAATAAAAAAAGATAGGAAAAATAACAGCCAATAAAGGAGGGGCGAAACTAACCGTTGAAGGCGATAGTGAAACCAAAAAAAATCAACTAAGTCCTACGCAGACGAAACAACCAACATAACCGACCAAATCCTACAAAACCAGCTCCGACTCTCACGGACGTTCCTTCCAATCTCACTCGTCAAATCCTACAAAGAAAACCTATCCCGAGGTCGAGCTCAGTGCGCCACGGAAGCTCTCGTCCACCTAGATCTGCAGTCGCGACCGGGGATCCTCGTCGCCTCCGGAGCGCCGCGGGCCAGCAGTGGGGGATGCTGAATCAGCGTACTGTCCCTGCCGCCGGGAAAACAAGTGTTTCTAGCTGTAAAAAAGGACAGATGCGATGTTATCTCTCGCTCTGGCCCGAGACGCTACGGACACTCCCGAGTTGACTTCCCTGGTCATCACAATATTGCTTTTGCACTTATTTTTATGAAAATGTCAGGCATTAATTTTGATGACAAAAGAAATATTAGGTAAAGTTTGCAAGTGATTCTGTTAATTAGTTTTGCCTTAAAAAAATTTTAGCAGTCGAGCGCCTCAGCACAAATGATGCTTGTGATACTTTAGCCGGAAGGTGACCAAATGTAAAATCATCCTACAATGTTTCATTTTTATATCAATGGGAATGATTTGGAAGGGAGCTTTGCCAATTTTAAAAATCATTACTTCGGTTTGTTGAAATAATACTGCACCTTAGTGAAATACTTATTGTTCATAAGTAATATTAAATCTCAATGTCTCTTTTTTAGAACTGCTAATTACGCAGCTCAACTTTCGGCTGCTCTTCAATACTGTCATGAGCGAAAAGTAATTCATCGAGATGTGAAACTAGAAAATTTACTGCTTGGAGCCAAAGGTGAATTGAAAATAGCAGATTTTGGTTGGTCCGTCCATGCCCCACAATCTAAGTAAGTAAATTATTCCTTATTCTTCTTTATTTATCTGTCAATGTCTAAACTTTCTTTTAATGGACCAGGAGAGGATCATATTCGTAATGAATGAATTCGCCAGGTAATGAAGGCTACAAGTAACTTAATGGATGATGTCACGTTCAGGCAGGGAGTGTGGTATGGCAAAGAATATCAGATAAGAGGTTGCCCAAACAAGGTTTGGATGGGGCACCCCTCGCAAGAGGACAACAGAATGTTTCATGAAGGTATAGTGGTTAGGCGTCAAAAAGATTCTAAAATGTTAGTTGTCCTATGACTTTCGAGAAGACAGGTGCATGTGGTGTTTGGGTGTCGTAGAGTGCCAAAATGTGCTGTAGGAGTTAGGAGAAACACCTATGAATTTATTTTATGCCATTAAATCCAAAATCTCTCGGTTTTTCTTTATCATGCACAAATCTTTGAGGAAAATTGAATATTTCCTGAAAAAACTCAATTTCTTAGAGAGAATTCCAATTATTCAGGGTAAAATGGAATTGATTAAGAGATACACAGGCTACTGTCGGAATCAGCGCTAAAAATTCTTTCAGAATCATTTCTTAACGTTGTGAGAAATCTCATGAAAACATCATTTACCTATTTTCATTTGTCACTTATCTACATCATGTACATACCTCGAAAGACAACCATTGAGGGTGAGTATTACTATAAGATGTCTGACTTGCTTCAACAGCAAATTTTTCAAGATGCGATCTGAAATGAGAATTAACTGGACTCTTTGGTAGGACAATGAGCCCCTGTTTATAATTGAGGAGTTCTTTGGAACAAGGGTGTATAAGACTTGCAATGCTGCTAAGATGGTGCAACTTTGTGTATTGTTTCCAGTTGAACAGTTTGAAAGCCCTGCTAGGATTTTTTTCTGAAAAAAATCTTATGATTTTGATTATTTTCCTGTGAAAATAATTAGCATGTATGTGTAACTTGGTTCGCTGCAAATCGTATACGAAGTCGCACGATCTCAGCAGCATCGCAAGTCTTACAAGCCCTTGTTCCAAAGAACTCCTCAACTGCTACGTGAGAGCTCATGAAATTGAGAGGCTTCATGAAAATCCTTGAAATGTTTTTGAAAATATATGCAAAAGTTTTAAAGAAAATATTAAAACAATACTGACATGTTCTGTAGCATAGCGTCTAAGCGTAAATTGCGCTTGTGACACTTTAGCGGGAAGGTGACAAAATCTTGACGAGGGCAAAATTTCTCTTTAAACAGGCTTCTTTTAAAAGTCATCACTAATTTGACTATTTACAGGCGAACAACATTATGCGGAACATTAGATTATCTTCCACCAGAAATGATCCTCGGCAAGGAGCATGATGAGAAGGTGGACATATGGAGTTTAGGTGTTTTGTGCTATGAATGTCTGGTAGGAAAGCCTCCGTTTGAAGCGCCCACTTACAATGAAACTTATAACCGAATAAAAAATGCAATTGTTATTTACCCTGCTCATGTTTCAACCCTGGCACGTGATCTCATATCAAAGGTTAGTCCCTTTTAAAAAGGTGTTGAAATCTCTCTAAATATTTCATAATATGGTACACATTGGTATTTACATTTGACCCAATATTTCTGGTTTTGCCTCCCTCGGAAAATTATTTTGTGTCGTAGAGTGTAGTTTTTTCATATGCTCAAATTTATTTTTGCGTTAGTCATTATCAAAACCTGTTTCTTTGAGTCTAGAAGGGTGTCTCAGTAGTAATCTTACTTGATTTTTTTTCCTGAAATTTTTGTTGTCAAAAGAAACCCAGACAGTTCAGAAATCATAACTTCAGTTTTCAATCAAGGTTTTTTAGAGGCCCAATCGCTTCATGATATCAGGTTGCCACATGAATGGTCAAAAGATCCATGTTCATAAAGTCACAAAATCTCCGTAAGTGGATAATTCATCAATGAACTACCATGATAGCTTGAATTTAAGTAATATGATATATGTTGCCTCATCAAAATTTCATGTAGAACATGACTTGTGCAAGAAAAGTTATTGGAAGCAACATTTAACCAAGATATCAACGTTTTTCAATGCATAAATTCAAACTTCCAGCTTGTTAAAAAATCATATTCTGCTTAAGTTTTATTGCGCACTAAACTTATCGACGGTGTAAGTCGGCAATCACATAACTCGGTTTGCGACGTCGCAGACTTCCTGTAACACTTTATTTTTTAAACGGAAAACTACTCAACGGCAACTCCTTAAAACTACCTTGATTTTTCTTCTCTGTGAGAAGGAAATTCTGCATATACTTGAAGGAATGATGTCAATTTGTTCTCCTTTAAAAAATTAACATAGAGGCGGAGATTTTCAGACACCGCAAACGAGTTATGTGATTGCCGACTTACACCGTTGATATTGTAAAAGTCTTAGAAAATATTGCAACCTTAATCTCGACTCCTTGGCACAGCTATTGCATGTTGTTCACACTCTAAGCATCTCAGGGTAGGGAAGAAACACAGCACAATGAAGGAGCCTGCCAAAACCGTTGCAGTGTGTAATTTAATTCACGATAATTCTGTTTCTTCGTATGAGTTGGAAATTCAGATTTTTCATAAGCAGTGCTGAATTATATCTTGGTCAGGAATTAATTTCAGTAATTTTTGTTGCACCAATTTTGTTTTACGAGAAATTTTGAAGAGGAAACGTTTGTCAGCCTTAGATTCATACCTTGTATAGTGGTCCATTATTCATCATTAAAATAGGATCAGATAATTCCACGTTTACTTTCCTTCCAAACCTTGAAAATTTCAGCCCTTTTACAAACCATTGATTTCTCAAACAGGCCGTTGCGTTCAAATTAAAGTCACTCTGTCTGTTACCGAAACTCACACAACAAATTTTAGTATTTTCCTGTGAAAAAACTGGAGGCATCTTGAATTTCATTGAGTCCTTGAGTTCCAAATTTTAATTAGTTGATATCAAAAATTCACTTTTGACACTGTTCTTTTAATTTTTTACCCTGTTTCGTCCTCTTCACTTTGGAATGTTTACTTTTAAAATACTCGGCAGTCGAGCCTTTTTTTGACCTTTCTTAATGTGTGGCATTTATTATTTTCCATTATAGTTACTGAAGGTGAATCCCAGGGAACGACTCCCTCTGCAGCAGATACTAGCTCATGAGTGGATCATTAAGCATACCTCATCCAAATCATCAGAGAACACAGGCGCCTCTACCGTCTCTTTGGCTTGACCTCCATCACTTGTGTAGTTAATTTTATTATAAGCATCTATTTGTGGTAAGTTTTCCAGTAGAACATGCATTTGAAATTTTTTACCTTCTTAATCTCATTTGCCTTTCGGCCCCTTATATCTGTTTTGTAAAACTATGCCAGGTCTACAAGTAAAAAAACACTTGTCTAGCAGTGTAGCAGCTTTTAAATGTCAAACTACGAATTTTTTATTTCTTTCCCATTTACCATTTACTGTACCATATTCCATATACTTGCTGATGCCTTATTACTTTTTTTTAATGTACATTTTCTGTATTTCTTCACTTTGCCAATTCTATGAACTTTCCATTGGCAACCGAATCTAATCATCTGGTACCTCAAAAAACCATTCCGAAATTGTAGTCAACAGTGCCTCTGATGCTGCCCAAAAAAAAGAATATATTATAATCATGTTTTAAGGAAGAGAGACTTTAACTGCTTATTGAGAAAGCCTCTCTTTTTACCACCCCCCTTTTTATCAACCCATCATCAAGAACAATGGGAAGGAGGAGTCATAACATGGCTCCTCTGATGTAAGGGCGCATCTCTATTTCCAAAGGAGCCTTGGAAAGCATAGAATTAAAGGGAAAATAGGGCTCAAGTGGAAATGGGTCAGTTTCGCAGGTAACAGAATTGTGTTTTGATGCTTGTAGATTAACAAGAAGATCTGTCAAAACAGTAACTTTCTACATTGAATATTAACCGAGATATCGTGCTTTGAAAAGTCGGGTTTCTGACATCATCCACTGCGGTAGTGCATAACATGCTATGTACCACCACAGTGAATGACGTCATAAATTGAGTTTTTCAAGGCGCCATATCTCGGTTAATATTCAACGTAAAAAGTTGCGGTTTGGATAGATCTTATTATTTTTAGTTGATCTGCAAGAATAAAGCATCAAAACATGATTCTATGACCAGCGCAACTGGCCCATTAAGATACGCTCTTATGTAGAGGAGTCACAGTAACTTCCGTACTTTTGTATTCAGGCTGGGACTCTCAAATATTATTTTCTTTTTCAGATATTCAGAATTCATCATTTTGTGATAGACCGGACTCTAAAATATTATTTTCTTTTTCAGATATTCAGAATTCATCATTTTGTGATAGACCGGACTCTAAAATATTATTTTCTTTTTCAGATATTCAGAATTCATCATTTTGTGATAAACCATTTGCTATGCCATCATGGAACCTCATCAATATCTGCTTACAAGAAGGATTTTTCTCGATATCACTCAGCTTACCTTGGGGTGTTCTCAAAATAACTTTTTGTACCTTCTATTATATTTTTCACACTTAAAATTGTTATCCGTACTCCAGAAAGGGTTTGTGAGGTCCCATTTCAGTTTCATTGATAAATGAAATTGTTTTATTTTTGACCTGCGCTTTCAATCATTACTTCTTGTTTAATATAGGGTATCCCAAAATTTTCGGGATTGATGTTAAATATAGGAAGTAAGATACCCATTAAGCTTAGCTTGGTCTTATTTTAAAGCTTACATTATTCCTGATAGATTGAGATCATAATCATTTTATTTGCTTATAAATTGACAAAGATATAAGGTTTTGAATGGAGGGATTATAACTTTTACCCATTAGTTTTTTTTTTCAATTTGATCAAGTGTTGAAAGTCATAAAATTGATTTTAATGGAATTTCAGGGAAGAAATTACTTAGCAACAATCTAATCGAGTCAGCGGGGCGATTATTGAAATGATATCGACTGTATGTCAGCGCTTTGTCGTGTCGCGCCATCGACTAAGCAATGGCTTAGTCGATGGCGCGACACGACAAAGCGCTGACATACAGTCGATATCATTTCAATAATCGCCCCGCAGATATGTGTCTTGTTGTCGTCGAATTGTTGAAGTACCATAGTAACCATGGTTGAGGGAATCACACAGGTGTGGTCTGGAGTGTTTTCATCTGTACGCATCTGCTTGATTTTGCGCGCATGTGTTTTGTGCTGTTCCTGCAGTTTTTAAGCATATTGAACGAATTTCTCATTCATAATGGAGGCACTTTGCAATTTCTTTTTCCAATACTCGAAAAAGCCGTAAATCCAACCTAAACCTGGAGCCTAGGTAGCTGTTCAAAATTTCTCCAGGAAAATTTTAAGGGAAGAATTTTTGAAAACTCTTACCAAACAATGACAGGAAAGGATGCAAAAATGTATCAGTCATGATGGTACGTACTTTGAAAAGCAGGTTAGCATCAATAACAGAGGTGATACTGAAGAATCAATAATTACACTTTTTGATTAAAATTAATGTTCGATTAAAACCCTGTAGGCAGCAGTTTTACTTCCTTCCTTCAACACTTCATAACTTCGTCAATTTTTGAGAAAATGAGATGATTTCCGGATAATCGATGAGGAATGATGTAAGCTTAAAAATAAGGCCAAGATCAGCTTAATAGCTATCTCAGTTCTGGAATTACAGCATCAGTTCCAGAACTTTTGACACACCCTTTGTACGACGAAAATTGCCTTGTCCAATTTATTCAATTGTTGCCGGTGAAACCTTGCTTTTTTTAATTTTTGGTAATTATTTTTATGAAATTATTTGACCACGTCCTCTTCAATAAATAGTAGGTTGTTTTTACTGTTCATTGCAAGGTCCTATCCTGCCGGTTGAGCATTGTCAGTTCTGCTTGATAAAAGAGCGCGTGATTTTTACCTCTATTTATAAGATAATCCTTTTTTGTGATTAAGTTTTATTTTTTCCCATTGTTGAACGTTAATCACTATAATGGAGGTGATTTTGAACCTCTCTTAGAAAAGCCGTGCCTTTAATTCTGGCTACTTTGAAAAGTTTAAATTTAGCCAGCTAGAATATTTGTAATGCTAGAATATATGTTTTTAATTTTTACCTGAATAATTTGTGAAATGAGCTTTATTTATCAATCCAATCAATTATTGAACCTAATTATGTCTAAATTCAAACTATTAAATTACTTTGAACCAGCCTAACAATGGAACATTAAAAAAGGAAAAGCTGGTGGCTAAGTGCATTCTGCCTAGGTTTATCATCAGATTCATCTTGGTACCGTCTAGCCAAGGTATTACAAGCGCTATTTGTGCCCAGGCAATATTTTGTCAAACATTTTTAACTTTCCTAATTTTTTATGCAAGAACAAATGTACAGAATAAAAAAACATCCATGATGTCAATATTAATTTAATGGATTCTTTTAAAGAAACCCAAGAACCTATTAATTAGAACAGCATACGATAAATTACTTTTTTACTGAAGTACAAACAACTTTTTTAAATTCCTCAGAAACTCTGTTTTCCCGCCATCTTCTTTGTCCATTGCTTTCTCTATCAATTTAAATACTCAGCCTGCTGTTGATCCCTGAATTTGTAGCTAAGGTAATCTCTTTCCATATGATATTTTTAAAGAAAAAGTTGTAAATCTGTATTATCATTCATACTTTGATTAACAACATATGGGTCAGGAGCAATATTTTGCCATTTAATATTGCAATGCTTAGGTTCATGGCAAAAAGGAAAAGAGAAAATTACAGGTGCGCTTTTGGAAATGGATGCTTGCAGTTGCAGCTGCTCTCATCAGAAAAGTCAACCCATTTTTTTCAACTTGATAAAAACTTGAGTTGAAAGTCAGCTAGATTGATTGTTGAGTTGACCTTGTTGTATACGCCTCGGGAAAAAAGAGCATTGGAAAATTTACGGACGAAAGTAACCAACTTCAATAACTACATATTATTCAAAATCTTAAGGCGGGAGATGGTATAAAAACCATCATATGGATTGCATTTTGCAAAAAGGAACCAGGAGCATTCCAATGTCGTTGATATTATGCAACTTTTTTCATTTTGTAAATATACGCTATGTAATCATCGAAACAAGTTTTATCTTTATATCGAATAAACTATGAATGCAAGACGAAAATTACCTTCGTAAATCTAATTTTTTTTTTTATGATTTCAGTAAATATTTGCAAAGAATGTAAGTTGCAGAATCATAACAACATTGAAATGCTCTTGGTTTCTTTTTGCAAAATGTAATCCATATCTTAGTCAGTTTCTGCTTGATTGAGCAAGTGTTAAATTTTACTTTAATAAAGAATATAGATTTGGTCATTAAATTAAACTACGATCAAGTTTCTTCTTAGATATCTCTGTTTTGAAATGATGGAATCAGTCCACTCATTTTTGGAACACCCTTTATCCATTTAAAATTTAAATTAAGTGATAAAAATAATCATGTACGACTCTATAGAGCAGAGATTAATGCCTTTATGGGCGAAATCTAGTTCAGTTAATAGGTGACTTCGGTTCCTTGCTGTATCCTTTTTTTGGATACATTTTTTGTTGAATCGACGTTGTGTGTTTGGTCACTTGATGATTGCTGTTGCGGTGGATCTATTTGACTGGAGAAATTTTTTTTTCTCTTTTGGATGTGATAATTAATTGTACAATAATATACCTTATTTTATCATAATTGTGCAAATTCTTTTCCTGCGTATTCCACCTGTTGTCCGTTAGTCATATTTACTGTTTATGAAGCCTTCATGATAACATGTATAGAGCTGGACACTACCTTGCGTCATTTGCAAGCTTACTTTTCTGTGCTTATGCATGTTGGCAAGGACACTGCAATTCTTGTTTATTTCAGTCTTTAATTGTTGTTAAAAGTTTTTCCCCATAAGCATTATGTACCTCTATAGCGAGTATGGCCACTTATAGTCTCATAAAGACCCTCAGGACCTCCTTTGATCTCAGTGGCTTGGATCTTTCGATTAAACTGAGCCTTTCAATCTAACAGGGCCAGATTACAAGGGCACTGACTGGCTCTGATTGTAGCCTGGTGCCTGGATTTTGAAGTAGACACTCTACTTGACCAATGAGAACATGATGCTTTAGTTTGATGACAGTGTGCTCTGCTTGGTGAGTGAACAGTCATCAGTGGCAGCGACCTCGTTAGATTGATGAGTTAAGTTTGATCCAGTGACCCAGGACTGTCACTTACTGCATCTATCTCAAACTTTGTCATTTGGGAGGTTCAAGATGAAATTTATTTTTCAAATGTAATGAAAAAACTTGAGTTCAAAACTGTGTAGATATGCCTTGATGAATAAAAGTGAAGTTCACACCAACAGAAGTAAATAATATCTCATTAGATGTATTTTTGAATCATCTACATGCAGCATTCGCAATTTTTTGGGGGGTCCTGAGAGCAACGCATAGCCTAGAATGGCTGAGCCAATCACAAGTGTATGATTCAGTGGCCATACTCTGTCTGTAGAGGTTATCTGGCATTATCAAGTTTTGACTTTTGAGTTGAAATGAAATAAACGATTAAGAAAGCCCATCGTCATCAAAAAAATTATTGATTCATAATAGGCTTCTCTTTTGTGGATGCGATGTCTGTAATACAATGTTGACAGCACCTTGACCAAGAATGCAAGTAGAAACTTATCCGCTTCAAAGGCTCGAGAGAAAATTGTTTCTATTTCTTTCTTTTAAAAATGATTTCTCAAAGAAGTAGGCCTTCTCCTGCACAGATATTTGACACAAATATTAGCTAAATCTCTTGAGCCCCTATCCAAAAAATAAAAAAATGACAGAAGTGCAAAGCAGTTTCATCACGAACTAAACGCTCAATTTATTCTAAGCGATTTGATCAAAGCATTACAGGTATTTGAGATAGTGGGTCGAAAAATAGATTGAAAGAGAATATATTTATATTCATAATTCTCAGTAAACTATTAAATACAAGAGATATACAATTAAAGTACAGAGGCTTAAAAGTTAAAGGCAAACAATCGAGGACTAAGCTGAGAAAACCAACGGTTGACAGAAAAGCTGTTGTTAAAAGTTATGTCTCAAGTTTTCTTAATCAGACACTGCACTGGATTATATTATTCATGCTGAAATTATTTTTTAAAATGGTTCCAAGCATTTTGAATGAGGAAAGTTGTTAGCTTTGTTTTGAATTTTTGGAATCAACATGAAATTCTAATATACCAATTGCTGATTGAAATGCGCACCTTATAATCCGTAACTATTGAGACACCTCATAACAAGGAGATTTAAAAGGAAAAATTCCTTTCTATTGGCTTTTGAAAACTATTGGCACTGATAAGTTTTTATTAGTTTCTAAACTCTTTTTTTCCGTCAGAGTTTGGTTGTTTTTCAACTAAACAATTCAATTATGTTTATGTACCAAGGTCAATGCAGTCATATTTCGAATGACATGAGTGGTTTCAGCAGCTTAGTTTTCAATCAAGTTTCTTGTTGATCAAAAATGTAAGTCAAGTAGACGAGAATACATATAATTCTGAGTTTTAAATGAATTAAAACAAGCATTCTTTTAACATTAATTTCAAAAACTAGAAACTCATTTTCACTTTTTTTTCCTTTTAAAAAAATAATGTTTTTTCAAACAATAACAAGATGTTTTATTGCTTTCCAAATCAAATCAATGGATGACCACTCATAGAGGGGAAAACTAAAATAGCAGTATTACTGTTACCTAAAAGATATCACCCAAATTAGACATATCGCTGGCCGAACTTGGAAACTACGTTATGTTCCATTTTTGACCAAAAATTTCCGTGATTGTTCTTCAATATTCTATGAAAATTCCGAACAATTAAGTTGTCTAGTTTCCCTTTGCGGAAAGTAAAATAGAGGCGGAAATTTTGATACACTGCAACTGAAATACGTGGTTTCAAAGTTCAGCCAATGATATTTGTTGTACAATGATCACTGGTCAATGGTACTACATGATTTTCCGAACTGATATGAAATTAGAAGTAAAATAATCTAAAAAACATTTACTGTCAAGAAAAATAGTTTCATAGTATACTAAAACCCAACTGAAGCAGAATAATGGTTGATCAAGGAAATTCATTGAAAGTATCAGCTGCGTCCTTTGTGTAGCTAACTAGTGATCTGAACTCGCGAGCGATACATCGACCTACATGCCTGATTTCAAAACTTAGCAACCAACATCTATCTCTTGTTATCATCCAGAGGTCAGAAAACACCAACTTTGTGTCCATTAGGAAGGGAATTTTGAGGTGAAACTCACATTCATAGTTATACCTACACTTACACCATACTTTCAACATCGGAGACTGAAGAGATGATATTAACCCTCATCGTTTCTTTTCGCTATCTTGAAAGGTTGCTTAGGGATCGAAGGTCGTTCAATGTTAGCATTAAACAGGGGCTCTCGATAAGAAGAAACTGAGAGATTTTTAAAGTCTGGAGTAGCTTCAAGTACAATGTCGCCAAAAGATTTCTATCATCACATTAAAAAGAGGAATAATCCTAAATGTTTTGGTAAGGTGACAGATCTTTTTTCTACTGAATCATTATTGGGTCATGAAGATGAATAAATATAAAAATAAAGACCTTATTCAAGAATCTTCCAATTCCATAACTCTCAAATCAGAGATTACTTACGTGACCTGTTCTAACAAAACCACCCTTAATTTCTGAAATTTTTTTTAGAATTTCCGACAAGTGTAAAAGTGTCTTCTTCTGACAACTGAACGATTTAAAAGAGACACAATGCAAATAAACTGGATTGTTTTGAACTGTTTTTTTTTTTTTTTTTTTTAAATATCATTTTCTCAAATGCTGAGACTTCAGGGCTGAATTTTTTATTTGAGATTGATAATCCATATTTCTGAACACACTTCACGGAAAATTACTGATAATTAACCTCTCACTGCAGCATTAGAGAATACTTGCATCAATTTAGAGAAATTAAGGATGGTTTTTCCAGAACACTGTACAGTTTCTAAAAAAAAATATAATTCTTTCAAAAGGAATGTTGTAAGTTTAAATACTTAAAATTTGAAAGACCAATAAATGAGCCGATTTTTTTCTGGAGGATGAGAAAACCTTGTAGACCAGTGTGATCAGAAAAATATATACACCTAGTTACATCACAGCATGGAAGATGCATTACATAGAAAATAAAAAAGGTAAGTACAGTAATCACAATTATCAAAATAGAGAAAAGGGGAAGAATAATTTTATGACAGGTCACAAGAAAAGAAGAATAATATAGACTGTGTTATACTTTTGGGCTCTGTCAATCTTAAAATGAAAAGAAAAGAAAATTCTTTAAGTGCAAAAAAGTAAAAGAAATTGTTGCGAAAGTGACTTATCCTCTCTCGAAAGGAGAGGCTTTGTTCTTCTCTTATTAGCGCACAATCATTAAAGAGAAAAATGGCGACACCTACCAAATTTTGCCAAGAATTTTTCTCTTTCAAAGAAGATGGTGGTCTGCTTTGAGACTTCATCACTATTTTCTGTTGACCAAATGGACAGAGAAAAACTATTATGGCACATTTGGATTGGAGCCATCGAAAAATGAGTGGTTTTTTCCACCCTCTTAAATAAAGATGAGACACACAACAATTTTGCTCTAGAACAATTGACTAGAAAATATCAAACAGAATTTGATTAACAATCTAAGTATTTAAAACACCAATTGAACAAAGAATGGAGAATATATTACACTCTCCTAATAAAATCATTCTGCATATAAATAAGGCAGAAAAGTCGTTTCCTCCATTCACGAAGAGGAGTTACGGTGGATTATTTCACAATTCGGGCAAGTCAACATGTTTCAAATTCGAGTATTGAAGACCTCCTCTTTACATGTAACGAAACTATCACTGATTGACATGACTAAAGATTGAAAAAAATGAGGATCATTCTACGTTTAAAGTTGATGATTCCTGGACGAAGGAACAGAACTCCATTCTAAGGTTGCAAATTCTACATACACAAGTAGTCCTTCCACACAACAGTGACAGGACGATTTCTGTTCAAAATTTCACTAATTTTCGACAATAATCGGGGGAAAATGTAAAATTTTCGATATAAGATGATCAATAATCTAGGGGTAAAAATAAAAATTATGAGAGGAAATTTGGCAACGATGAAATTTTGCTAAGTTCTTCCGTCTAAGGAACAACATTACCTGCCTGGATTACCTGCCTGTTTTCAGCTATATTCTACAAGAACTGATGTACATACTCGGTACTGAAGAAAATCCTGAAAATCATCTGGCACTATCAGTCAACATACACATTGCTTAATATTAATGATAATCTTTTGGTTCTTCCTTTTAATTTTTATTTACCCTCTACATTATTGCCAAGGAGTACCTGAGGTTTCTAAAGCATCTTTAGGTTTCCCGCAAAACTGTTTTCTTGACACTACTTGCAAGATATAGTGGGTTGGTTTGTTATGGCATTGCCACTTATGGGCAAGCCAAAGCTTCCGCATAGGTAAGCTTTGGCTCTTGCAGCTTTTTACAGAGGGTTTAAAGTACTGGGACAAGCGTGAATGTTTCATTCCAATGGGAGTTCCATAAAAGCCAAATCTATCAGCCCTGCTGCTAGGGGTGCAAAAAGCTCCAAAACACCAAACGTTTCTTACAATCCAGCGTTTTTGTCGCAAGAATCATTTCCGCGATCACAGCAAAATCCCTGGTTTCGCAAAAAATGTCTGATTTGTCCTACTTTTTTCAAAGCTGACAGAGAAAAAAAGTCATTATTTTTTAATATTGCCTCATGATCCATGCATTCCATAACCTTTGCCACCATCTGCAGATTTTGAGAGATTTTCAGAGAGCATTTTTTGCACCCCCTTGCTGAATCCTCCACTTTATCTATTTCAAGTTGGATACACTTTTGAGAGGGGGGGGGGGTTATTCCTCATGGGTTATTATTCGATTTATTTCCATTAACTGTTTTTCACCTGTGCACATCCTTCAAATGAACCTGAGATCCCAAAGAAACATCTAAGATGAGTTCCAGCTCTCCTTCAAGTTCATGCATTTTACACAGAGGTTGAACGAATAGTTTTTTCGTGATAAAATTCTAGCTCTTTCCCTTTAATTCTTGATATTCCTACGTCCAAAAAATATATATCATATGACATATTACCACTTTGTACAGATAAAAAGCATATCCTCAATTTTTACTTGGGTTTTGAGTGAACATTACTCTAAAGAGAGGACATATTTTAAAAAACCAATGCTATCATTTGCATTGTCCAAAGAATCGAACTGGTCCATCTTTTTTTTAAAAAAAAAAAATAAGTTTCTTCTACTAGAGCCTTGGATGGTTTTTAGGGGAAAACCTGGAGGTCGAGCATTCCTTAATTAAATCAACACACTAGCTATTACAAAAGTGACAAATTAAATTATAAATAAAGTGGAATGTTAACAAAAAAGGAACAAGTCTTTCTTAAAAAATAAACATGCAACACTCTGCGAAGGAACGTTGACCACAGACCATCATAACTTTTGAGTCAAAACACAGAGATGTGACAAGAAACCTTTTCTTTAAATTTTGTTCCAACAAATTATCACACATTTCTTCTACGGCTTTGGCCAAGCATGAAATAAACAAAACTGTCACATTAGAACATAATGATTGAAACACCGGAATGGCTGTCAGTCTAAGTTCTAACACTGTGTGGATCAGGAAATGGGATTTAATGCATCGAATCTAAAGTGAATACATCATAGTAAATAAATCACATTACCTTGAATCAAGTGCGTCATTCTTTAAACATTCAATTACTGTTCATAGGTAATGAACTTACTCTAAGAGGAAGAAACGTCATTTCTTTCGTTTCAAGAGATTCAGATCGAGAGGTGCTTCAAGGATAGTCATTTGTTGAACTTATGGAACAAGATTTACATGATAGGTATTCGGTAGCAAACTATTAAAAAGAAGAAACCATATTTCCATGTGCATGCCTTGTTTTGCTTTATACTTAAAGTCCTTCCAGTTTGAAAGGTGACTACAGGTTTCTTATATTCCTTTCTTTTGCAGACCTAACATGAAGAGAGAAAAAATAATAATAATAAGAATCAAATGTTAATATGAATTTTGAGAAAAATCAATTGAGAAAATGCGTGTTTTTAGAGCAAGCTTAAAGCACTCACAAAATTAATATCACAAAAGAATTCCTATGAAGTATGAAAGAAAACAGAACCCACTGTGTGATGAAAAAATTTGAACTCTCATCCCTTCTGAATAATTTTTTACTTTAAAGCCACTTAACTTTTTTTTTATAAATATATTTTGTGAGTGCTGTACACCTGCTCTGGGAGTACATTCTTTCTCGACTGATGATTCCTGAAACTAACATTGATTTTGGAGAAAATATGAGAGAAGGAATGAGTGTTTTAGGTGTCCTCTTATGATACTCTTGTATTTATTTCTAATTCACAAGAGCACTTGAATATGTTTTGGAACGTTTCAGACTACTACACACCTATCAAGCTCAAAATCAGGCATTTTATACACCCTTTCAAGATTATTCTTAAATTGACTAGTGAAATACCTTATTTTTATGTGCCTAAGGAGCAGAAAACAAGTTTTTCAGTATTTCAGAAACTTTAGAAATGTCTAGAAACCTAATAACACATTAACATACATGATGATATGAAAAACTAGAACATACAAAGATGAAAACTAAAAAGCTGGTTCAGGATGAAGCATCTGAGAGAATGAATTTTCACAAACACCATTTCACCTTCTCCGTAAATAATTCAGAGGATATTCAAAGTTAAAGTCGCTCAGCGTTTCCTTTGGACAGAGGGTACTAATAAAAAGGAGGAGGGCTTCCAAGAGTTGATACACTTGAACATAGCTTAGAATGTTTCCGACTTAGTGAGGGTCATGCTGCAGTATATTAAATTATTATTTGTTTAGGAGATTGTGAGATGAGAGCCACGCCAGTTTCAGAGTGAAAGTTTTAATGCTGTTATATTCATGCTTTTAATGGGAAATTTCCACAGTAAGCCAAAAATTACTACTGAAATTAGCGACACATGATTAATTCCTTGAAAGGGCGAGAATGGCCTTTCCATTGAGGAATATTCTGCAAGGCAATGAAATTGAATCTGAGAGGCAACTTCTGTCTACAGAGTTCCACATTTAACTTGAAACTGTTCATATTTCAGAAGTTAATGAATTTCCCTCTTTTTGCAATGATGACATCACTTGAGGTTCAGAATTCCTCTTACAAGCAAAAAATTTTCTGGCCGACGCTGTTGGGAATGAGGGAATTTTACATTGATACATAAGAGACAGTATACACATGGGAATTACAGGCTTGTAAAAATGCAATACGTATTTGAGAGAAACTGAAGAATAGTAAAATTAGGAGCTTTTTAACCCTCTATGGCATAGGGTTACTTATTCGTGACAACACATTTTTTGGTTTTTCAAAAATTGAACTATTTCTCTGTGGCATGATGTTGCAAATTTTTATCAATGCTTCCTCTTTTTGTTGTAAAAGAATGTTTACCAAAGTTGAATCTATACTTTTAAAAATGGCCGAAGTCCCTTTTTCAAAATCTTTTTTTTTTGTTTTTTGTATCAATGAACTCTCCAGGTATCCTTACCATATCACCCAAGAAAGCAGCGGTAGTCTCATTCTTAAAATGCGAGTGACAGACGCAAAGGAATACAAATTTCATGAAAAAGGAGCATTAAAAATGCAAAAAAAGCAAATTTGAAAAATTGGACTTCCGCCCTTTTTTAAAGTGATGATTCAGTTTTGAAATTTTGAGGAAAAATTTTGAGACTCTGTTTTTACGCAAGCTGTGGCATAGATTAATATTCATCAGAATCTAAAACCCAAAATTAATTCATGCCGTAGAGGGTAAAATCTGATCATGAGACTAACTACTTGAGATCATCTATTGTGTCTATCTGGAAGGGCGATGGTGCATTTTCGATGACCGGAGTCTCAAAGTCATCGTAGTGATCCATTTCCTCAACAATTTTAATCCTAATCTTATTAGTTTCACTGCTCTCTATGAGATCACCATTTACAGGAGAGATATGGGTGGGAGATACATACGGAACATAAATTCTGACTATGTCATGACTTGGAGAGACACGTGGAGTGCTTGGATCAATTGATGGAATATTGTCATCCGAATTAACATCTCCTGCATCCAAGCTGTGCGAGTCTGGAGCATGTGATCTTGTTGCAGATGAGAAAACAGACAGGTCCGCAGTTGAGGTGATACTTGTATCTGCAAGAGATCTTCGTGATCCATCTTCAATGATCGAATAACCGTCATCAGCGCTTGTTCCATACGACAATTTCGAGCCTGTTTGCAGACAACACAACAACTTTCGTCAACAGTTCTAGCTCTATTTCCAGGTGCCTTAACAATTCTTTCGTGGCACATTGTGCCAAATTTAAGAATGAAATGAGATGAATGAGACAATTATCATAAAGAATGCAAATTTTAAATTAGATTCTTTCTATTATTTCTTTGTTTTTGTCACTCATATATTCCTCGTGATTACTGCAATTCACATTCCGTTTAAAAAAAAAACCTAGAAATATTTTTCTTTTATTTTCGAGGTATAGAGGGGCAAGCCAAGAACTCAAGAAGTGAATAGAAGTTTACTGAAGTTTATGGTGTTTTTGTCTAAGTTATCAAAAAATAATGCAGAGAGATGAAACATATTAAAAATTGTTCAACAAAGCTACATCAAGGAGGGGCTAATCTTTGGACTGATGCTAATATAATTTTTTCGGCAAAGAAGCACTCTTTTTCATACTTTTACCTCAGTCCATCACTGAGAACTTTTTTGAAGGAGCATTTAGTAAAATAGCGACCCTCTGATTTCATAAAAAAATTTTGGGGGTTGCCTAAGCAGGTGCCATTATTTACCTATGTAAAAAAAGCCGCTTGAAGGTACTCCGTTTTATAATTTTGTTGGCAAATTTGACCAATTTCGTGGAAAATTTTGTGATAAGTTTTTTCTGTATATCATTACAAATTTGTACCTACTCCTCCATTTACTTAGAGTGAGGGGGGATTAGAGGGGGCAAAAAAGAGAGAAAAATACAAGTACCGATTGCAGGATGAGGAGCTGGACTGAATATAGGATAGACCAAACTAACAAGCAATTAGAACACATTTACAAAATACTTTGGATTAATAGCATGCGCTTCCACTATCGGGGGAGAATGATACAAATCAAACAATACTTTTAAATACGTGGTTTGAATGAAAGAGAGAACCTTGTCATTCCATTTTATTTATAGAGTTCAGCAGAAAGCATTGTAATAATGATTACACCAGCAAAATTGACGTTGTGGGTTACCTTCAACATTAATGATGGTTTTCTCATGAACAATAAATTATTTTTAGAATATCAGAAAATGTTTTCATCTTTAACAAGTATTTGTGGAAACCAACCAGTAAGACACAAAAAATGATGGTCCTCTTAAAGTGTATAGCAGAGATTTGTGATTTTCCTCCCAAGTTAATGCAGGATTGGATTTACCCCTTCTAATGTTGTGCTAGAAGGGGACCAGCTTATCGGATAAAAAATTGAATTGTTGGCAACAGAGGCTCTTTCCAGCAAAAAGAATAGTGGGACAGGTGTGTGCTGCCAACCACCAGTGGTTAAAGTTTCCCCAATCCAAGTTTCGGCTCATTCTTGAACTGGAATTAAGAATGGTGGGACTACTTATACTGTAGCTAAAAAACAAACTTTCTGAAATGTAGTTATCTATAAAATCTTGAATTGTGGATGAACCGTTTTATCGCTACATGGTTTGACATTCACCTGTCAGCTACTCATGGGTGATGCCACCCCAAAAGGAAGAACGCCGTCATCCTCTGTCGGTGAACGCTGTTACCAAAAGGTTAAAATAACTGGGCAGGCGAACACAAAAATTATGCAGAATGATAATTTTTCCAATTTTTTCAGATCTTCAGGGTACATGACTTAATTACACAAATTCGTACGATTATGAAGTTGCACTGATAAATGTAGACTGAACAACAGGCCTAAAAAGGACGCTTTTTGCCAAAGGTTATTACAAATATTGTGTGTCCCAAGTGTCTCATCACTGACTCTTGAACAAGCTAACTGACAGAGCCAGCAAAATGCAGATTGCACAAGCTTAGAGATAATTATATTAGGTTTCCTTTTTGAGCTCATTTGGTCAAATATTCACCTATGAACAGCAAATTTTAGGCATCTTGTTTGCGAAACCCCTAGGAGATTTTAAGAACTCTAGTGGGGAAAAATAAAAAAGAATTGAAAATTTAAATTTGGATTCAATTGATTTTACATGGTTCTTACCAATTATAAACAAAGTTATTCTTCTTCATTTGCTTACTCTTTTCTCCCTATTTTTCAAAATATTTGCCTCGTTTTTATGCATAACTCAAGGTATTATTTCCCCTTGAAAAGCACTGTCTTTTCAAAACCTTTCATTGTGAAAGAATTGAAACGTTTTTGGATGACATTTATTACTTCTTGCACTGGTACAAAGTTCCAAGAAAACATTTTGTCCCCTCAAACTTCTTTATAACTTCAATAGCCAATAATCTCAGGGAAATAAGTCATGGAAATAAATCNGGGGGGGGGGGACGTGTATTGAAGGATCCAAAATCCCTTGCTTCGCCATGAACCCTCTAGTAAAATTCAATGTATGCGGATACGTTTGTTATCTTGTTGCATTTCGGTAATTTTTCACCAGTATGTCTTTTAAAAATTTGTAAACACTCGACGGTAACATTGTCAGAACATTTTGCTTTGATGGAACTTTAAGGCCTCTTGCCTTTAATTTTTTTCTCTTAAAACAATGAAAAATTTTCCTAGGGATTACACTAAAAAATCGCCTAATAATCACTGTAACTCAATAATTTTTGGATTCAATAAGATCAATAAAGTCACCTAGAAAGCTAATAAAATGATCTTTAAGCTCTTACAGTCCGCATTTAGCTGACTTTACTAATACAAGCGCTGGCTAGAAGACTTTGACACACCCTATGTATTTGTAACTTGAAATAACTCATGACTTTCATTTAAAAGAGATTCTATATAGGATTTTGTATGTAATAACTTGAGATGTAAAGCACTTACCTCACTAAATGCAATAAAAAAATATTCTCACGGTGAAAGAACCAGTAAATTTGAAAAATTTCACAAAAAAGGCAAACAATTTTCAGTCAAATGTAATCAGGCACGATTTGGTAATAGAGAAAATATTTAGCACTACCTCCTTCCACTCAAATAATTTCTTTGAGCAAAAAACAATCCCTCACAGACTTTTACTCTGCATCAGTTACTACCCTTAAGAAGCATCTTTTAAGTTGGCCTTGTAACATTCTTAGTTGAGATTGCGCATCTTTGACGTCTCTGGACTCAATCGAATTCATAATGACACTAGAGAAATTTCAGGAAGACTTCGCTAAATCTCATTTGTGCTCGAGTTCAAATGGCTTGATGTAGCTAATTACCTAACTTCTAATTTGAGTACCGCATGAATGAGAACATGTCTGCTTTAAAGGTAAGAATTACAAAAAATAACTAAAAAGTGGGCCTGATATATTTATCTCATACTGTAAATAATTCTCAATTTGAATGAAGTATTTCTCATAACATTTCTCTTAGGGATTGAGAAATAAATGAACAAAGATAAAAATGTAAGAAAAAAAGGGGGAGGGAAAAAATAGAATTTCGAAATAGATCACAGAAAAAGAGTTTACTCTACTTTTACGAGCCCATTTTTGAAATTCAATGAAAAATAAGAAAAAGCTATCCAAATTTTTAAAAGAAAGAAAAGATATGAGTGCGTAATTACTTTCAACTTAGGAACTTCACTTCAAGACTGAGGACATGTTTAACTGCAATTTTGATTCTTTGGAGCTCATCAGTGCAACTAAGATTTAAATGATATTGTAAATATTACTAAACCTTCGACTTTTAAAAATGAAATTCTTGCAAAGGTGTCAAACTCATGGCCCTTTGGAATACAGAGACGGAAAGTATTACATGATTATAGGAGATAGCAAATTACCCTTCTAGATTCATTCTGAAACCATTGACCATAAACGGAACTTTAATGACTGCTTTAAAAAGAAAGACAAAAGTGTCAAGTCTGAATATTCACAATTTTCAAATTTTAAATTCTTAACAGAATTTTAGTAGGTACAATTGATGGTGCTTGATCAGCTAAGAAGTGGTTCAAAGACTGCATGAGTGTTTGATATAATTCTTATGATTTTTTAAAGTTCTATACTACCAGTGATCAATAGATACATTGATGTCAATGAATTTAAAATGAAATAAAAAATAAAAAAAGGGTGCAAACATAGGAGAGAGATTAATTACTAATATACAAATTTGAAAAGTATTAGGCAAACAAAGGGGAAAATGTAGGGTTTGCAAAATCAATTCCGAACAACAATCTAAGAATTTAGAGAGTATATTTGAATGGCAATTTTATCTTTGGTTGCCATCCTGCTTGAATCATTTAAGTTTAGTCATAAAAGAAAAATAAAAAAAAATGTGATAATCAGGAGAGCAAAAAGAAAGGATCAAAGTGTGAATTCAGTCACAATATTAAGTGAAGACATTACGCTGGGATAGTAAGAGTAAAGCTGGATGAACATGAAAAGCTAGGCAAAAACTTGGTTAGCAATTTTGAGGAGGACCTATTTCAATGTTTGCAGGTGAATTTTTTGGAAAATTGATTCCATGTTAAAATTATACTCTTCATCATATACAGTGGACTAGTAGACAAGGTGTGAATTTAAGCATTCTGGTACATGCTTCCTCTTCAAAATTTTACGTAGAACACAGTTCATGCAACTAAAATTACTGGAAGTAACACCTCACCAAGATATCAGCATTTTTATTTAGCACCTGTTACGAAAAATTTGAATTTCCTGATCACAAGAAAAACCAGAGTCTGCTTGAATCAAACCGAGCACTAAAACAGGTTTGGCAGGCCTCTTGATTAAGCAGTGGTCCTCCTCTACTCTGTGTTGTTCAAAGTGTAAACAATGTGCGATGGCTAAGTCAGAGCGTCAAGATTGGGGTTATCATATTTTCACAGGTACTGTAAAGACTGCAACAGTAACGTTTGGTATGCGATCTAACTCAAGAAGATTCTTGTTTAATCTATGAGCGGAAAGTTTGAATTGATGCATCGAAAACGTTATTATCTTGGTTTCTCAATACAAAACCTTAATTTGTCTATAGTTGGCTGTAGGCTCATCTGGAGTAAAAGCCACAAAACCCTCTGAAGAAGAAGAATAATAATATCTTGGTTAGGAGTTACTTTCAGTATTATGCATTGCAAGAATCATGGTCTACGCAAAATTTTGATGAGAGACCCTGTAACATAATGCTTAAATTCACACCTTGCCTAGTGGTCAATTGATCAAGGTGTAGCATGTAGCATCAGTAAGATTAAGATTAATTAGCTCAATATATGAGTTCAAAAAGTTCTAAGTTCAAGATTAGCTACATCACTTCATTGGATAATTTACTTAATGAACATCTGAACGCTTAATGCAAAAAACAATGTTTTTTGCTTCCCCTTATGCATTTACCTCAACCTTTGATACTTGACTCTTCTTATTTTGAATTTTTGGGCTCCAAAAGAATTGAGGGGGAACTTTAGAGGGATCAAAGTTGGAGCCTTTGTACTCTTTATCTCCTACAAGAGTAATAAAAAATACCAAGATCTGGTTTTTATTATAAATTGTCTAAAATTGCCTTTTTTCAGATTCTTGAAACAAGATTCGGAAGTAAGATTTTTAGGCTATGTTTCAAGCATTTTTTCAGTTTTTGAAATGGGGAAAGTTTTTTCAAATGAATTTTTTATTTTCTTTTTATCTTAATGAAAACCACTTTGCAAAACTGAAAATTGTATTCTGCAATAAGCAAGTGGATTTGGGTTATGAGGAACAACTGGTTCATGAATTATGAAGGGTTAAATTTGATGAAATGTAAAGAGCAAATGAAAATTTCTATAATCTGAGCGTCGCAGATAGTTCCAGATGGATTTCAATCCTTCTTTTTACTACTTCTTCGGCAGTCAAAGGCTTTAGTGATGCTCAAGGAGTGTAGCGGGAAAAAGGAGAATTCCACTAGAAACTACAGCACTAAAATTTCAGCAATTTTTGTCCAATTTTCACATTTTATTGGCATTAATTCTTCACAATTCAAGACTAATTTGATCACCCTTAGCCGCTCATTAGATGTGGAATAAGACAAACAATTTTAAAATTAGTAGAGGTTCGGAACAAAAACTGAGATTTGGATGAATTCTTTGTTTAAAAAACTGTATTCATTTCCAAAATTGAAAAAGTGCACAAAACACAACCTGCAGACTTTCGACTTTTGCTTCAAGAAGCTAAAAGGAGGCAATTTTAGCAATTTTTGGTAAAAACCAGATTTTGATTATTTTCTATGTCTAGAGGATATTGAGGCACGAAAGTTCCAACTTTGCCCTCCTCCATCCCCAATATTTGTTAAAAGCTGAAAATTTGGGAAAGGAGAGTTCAAATATGAATAATCAATAGGCAAAGTTTAAAAGAAATTCAGAGGGTGACAAAATATGTCATTTTTGCTTCAAGCTCTTTCAGATGGTACTGGGGGACGGAGAGCTGAGTAAAAAGCTACAATCAAAATTTCATGAAAAAAAAAATTAAACTTTAAAAAGTTGCATACTTAACTAACTTCTTCTAATACAATCAACTAAAAAAACATGCAAACCTGCTTTCGACCTAATTCCTCCGTAACAGAACTAAAATTTGTTCCCAATAGGCTTATCATAGCACTTCGACAAATAGAGCATAGGCGATAAATAATTTGCTGAATGATTATCCCTTCTATCAATTCCACTAGAAAAGTAGGTGCCCGACTTCAATATTCACTCATCAGGCTAGCATTAATAGTATTTCCACCATCTATGCTCTAGCCATTCCATCGAAGTTAATTTTATCTACTGTTTTAAAGTCTGAAAGACTGACATGAAGAAAGAGAAAAACTTACGAACTACACGGACATCACAGGAGAAAATACTAAAGAAAGGTAGTACAGCACATTCATGACAGTAGTATATTCTTTATGCTTAACATTCATGTTAATTTGAAGATAAAACCATGTCAAACATTTTAGGGGTTGAGAGCGCTGATAACTGACAGTCCCAGCTTTACAGAGCTTATTATATTTGATTGTTCATGAAACAGTACTGCCCGATGACATTTTTGGCAAAAGTAAGATCCTAACAGTAATGTACTCCATATTATAATGATAATAAAGAACTTCATTGCTCTTTCATAAGGTGAGATTTCATAAGCTAGTAGTGAAATAGTGCTCAAAAAATTTTCCATGCACCAACTCCTCGCACATGACGGAAATGACGCTTTCTATTCAGATTTTGATAGATGCACTACAGTAGCAGAATTGGTATTGAGGCAAGGACTAGTTAATTAAGTAAACCAATTTTTTGATATTGCCGGCTTTGAAAATATAAGAGGAACAAAGCTTACAGTAATTTGTTCAATTCTTTTAGATGTAGAAACCCAGAGAAAAATTAACTAAAAAAGGAAAAATTTTGGATCATTGAAAACAGGGTAGAATTGTGCACAAAAAATCTGGGAGGTCTCATTATAGCCTGTTTGGTCTGCTTCTACTTTTAGACTATCCATGAGCTGAAGTAGAACACGCTTACAAGAAGAAGATCAGCAAATTAGAGAAGAGTTATACAAGGGAGGAGGGGTCTGGATCTACACAGGAATAGTTCAAACAATAGAATTTTCTACTTTTCTCATATTTTCTGGGAGAAAAAGGCTTTCTATTCAGTGCTGATTTACAGATGAAGCATTTCATAGAGTCATCTTAGCCTAATACTCTTAAATGAGGGGCACTTAAAGCTGGTAAACAAAAAGTCAATTATCAGCCCTCCAAATGAGACTAAAGCGAGCATCAATAAATTTACATTGATGAATTGAAATAAATGCAGATTGATTATTCGGAGGTGAAAATTTAGAAAGGGTAAATGAGTTCATGCAGATTAGTTTCCAAAAAAAAAGTTAAATAGTTTCTAAGTAACAGGTGTCAAGGTTAAACGCAGCAATGCAGAGCAGGCAAATCAGAGTCTAGTAATGAGGATAGAATCAGACTTACGCGGACGACTATCCGCTGACTTGGCTGATGTTTGGTCAGATGGTAAAGAGTGTCTATGATTATACGGACTTGGTTCTGCTGCATTTGAATACCTCCTGTTCACACTTTTGTCATTGCTTATAGTTTCACTGGCTTTTTCTCTTTCTTGTCTCGACACCTGAATACAAAACAGAATGTAAAAGTAAGAAAACTACCAAGATTTCTAATGATGACGTTATTTCCATTTTTAAAGTTCTTTCCACACTCATAAGGATAGGAACTATTTATAAAGAAACTTTGCATGAGGCACCACTATTTATTCAATAAGATCAAAGGATATCAGTGATACAGTTTTTAAAGTTTTCAGAATTTTGAGACACATCAACCAACCCAAAAAATTGATGTAAATGTATTTTGAGGCTTGAGATTGATAGCTTGGCAATTGACTTGGTCAAAACCAACAATTTTGAAAGGAAATGTCAGCTCATCAGCTTACATGATTTTATTACATTGATGTCACTGAAAAGGAACAAGAATTGGCAAAATAAAGTCTAAAGAATCTGGTATAGTGAATTTCGAGCTTAATTGAGCTTGTCTAATTAAGCTTTCACTGTAGTATGAAATGGATGACCTGGATGCAAGTTTCATAGAAATTCATATCGTCACCTTCCTGCTAAAGTATTGATTCAGAGAGTTTCAAGGTGTTACAGTGGAGCGCGTATATAACGAACTCGCTTTTCAGGAAGTTTCGGATATAACAAAGTAAATTTCATTTTTCTAAAGCCTCCATATACACTCAATAGTAGAAAAGCCCGCGTTTAACAAAGTCTTGGCGGCGGGACCTCGCGTATAACAAAGTAATTTGCCGCCATTTCCGCTACTGTGTTCAGTATTTTCTGCTCTCTAGACGAGTTCCGCTCGCTTGCAGTAATACGTGTGGTAGTCGCTGAGTCACGAAGTTACAAATAAAAGATAATGAGCGATAACGAAGTGAGCGCTCACTGCGCAGCCCACCGCGCATGTCTCACACCTCACTCTCTCACACTTGCACGCGTCAACGATGGAGGGGAGGGGGAAGTCCGGCAGCGCGCCGATTCATCCCATATCCCCAGTTAGCAGGATTCATTTCTCCGTCATTTTTCTCCAGGGGCCTCTCCAGAAAGCTTTCCAGCAGAGGCGTGGTATCCGCGTTGGAGAGGATTCTTGGAGACAAATCCTGGAAGCAGGTAGGACACAGATTCTACCGCCACTTGTAATCGGGTTTTACGCAACTCCTGAAGCGTTTCATGGAGTTAGGTACTACACCGCGAGGAACGGTATCGTCGAGCGTTTCCCAGAGCTGCCGCATGTAAGTGCCCAAGCGCCTCTTTGACATCGGCCATTTTCAAAGGTTAGGGTTTGTTCGCTTGTTTATACAATTTACGAGTCCGCTTTAAATGAAGTTCCGGATATAGTAAAGTTTTCAGGGAACCGTGAACTTCATTATAAATGGGCTCCACTGTATTTTACTTGGTTTCTTCATTAAAGTAGATCATGTGAGGAAAGTAGACAATGTGAAATGCAGTTAGGTTAATTCTGGTTAAGTCAAGTTGATAAAATAAAGAGGGGAACCAACCATTTGAGTGAAAGTTGGAGTTGGCTTGAACTCTCCTAAATTCTTTGGGGGCAGTTCATGTTTTGGCGGTTGTCCAGCAAAGTCCAACTTGCTCTGTTTCAATTCTTTCATACATTTCTTCAGGTTTTCAATCGTAACTTCATCTGAGTAGTGAAAATCTTTCTCTAGTTTAATCTGGTAACATTTTGGAATACATGTATTATTAGAAGTTCATTCAAAAAATTACAAAAAAAAGGCAAAGAAGAAAACCCGAGAAGATAGGAGAGTAATTTTGATTAAATTTTGTCATAAGTACCTCACCTCTTTATCACCGCAGTGCCTGGATTGTTGAATCGTTATCCAACGACCTTGATCGATAAATAACACTGCTAAGATAAGGATGTATCGGCCAGGATTAGTCTATAACGATTCGACAATCGGCCTGCTGGTCAAATCTGCTTAACATGTAACCATGTAACCGTACGCCTTTATCCTCTTGTAAAAAAAATAATTTGTTATATCACTGCTTGCAGGTAACGTTCAACCTTTGGTTAAAGTTTTACTATTGTTTTGAAAAACATAAAGACAAAATACCCTCAGCTTTGGGTGCATTACCTGTAAAACTTCGATTTACTCTGTGTAAGAGACAGTTTCACCAGTTGTAGCGATGTAGGTCAAAATAACAATTTTTAAGAGGAATAAAAGAAAACCAAGGAATTGATCAAAGAACTTCTGTGGTAGACTGCGACACTTGCCAAAAAGAGACCAGGATTTAAAAATGTCTGGTTAAAGCATTCGACAGGTGATCAAAGTATCTGTTAAAAATGTTCCAATTCTTCCCCTTTTGATCTCAATTTGACCAGGAGTTTGGGGTAGAGAGAAGTTATAGAACGCTACTTTTGTGTTTATCCTCTTGTCAGACATAACTAACAACAGGGGTATGGAAGCTAGCCCTTAATTTAACTGGGGGATGGATTTCAAAAAAAAATTTTCTACCTGCAAAAAATGAAGAATATCGTCCATTCCTAATTTTAATAGATGTTTGCCGTGGAGCTTAAGTATATTATACGCCATTGCAGTGAGTATTCTTTCGCCGTCCAAGAGATAGATATCCCAAAGCCTTAAAGCTAATCTAAAAGGTACCTGCAAAAACAAAGGGATTAATATTCATTTCATTTCATTAATTAGTTAGGATCATAAGCAAGCAACTTAATTACATGCAAAAAAATTATTGTACAAAATAAGAATAAGAATAAGAATAAGAATAAAAGCTTAATAACAATAGCTAGAGATGCCTGAAACATACTAGGCATTGTTTCTACATAAATCATTGATATCATTATAATCATTGATTGGAATACACAACTACTTGGACTAAAATGCACAAAATTTAAATTGTGTATGCATTGAGCTGGGGTGAAGTGTAGTTACAATAGATTGCAACAAATAAAATCTCTTTCTACAGTGCTGCCTAAGGCCTATCATTACAGATGCATGTTGGTGTGAGTAGTCATGTTTAAGCATTGATATATTTTGTACATTGTATGTTTTCATTGTGTGCTATTGCAGTCAATATCACAAGCCCTCTTAGTTTCCAACTAGCAGTATTGACTATGCCAATAAGTTCTGAGTTATTTTAAAAAATATCAAACCTGATTTAACATGATAAATGTAGCAAAACCACGTTTTTTAAGGTTGAGTATTCTTTTTTAAAAATCATTAAATTTTACAATTATGAAGTATCAAAATAATAGTAACAAATTACTAAACAGAAACTTTATCTTCAAAATCAGCCAAAATCGAAAGAGTGACTCCTCTGCATGGATATTAAATAAATTCCATTGTGTTAAACAAGCTGAGGACCTGACTTTGTACAACACTTGGAACAAACCCTTAAAGAGAGAGGTTTTGGAAAAGACCTTTACAAAGGAAAATAGGCACCATCACCAACAGAAACAAGAAGACTCTAGAGTGAGCCTTAACTGGTAAAAGCGAACAGAAAATTGAGAGCTGGATGCTTACCCTGTCAAGAAAACACTGAAAAAACCATTTTAAAGTGTATATTCCAGTATCTACTCCATTTCTATCTAAATGATTTTTCAATTTTGGCAAAAATTTGTCCATTATTTTGTCATGGTGCTCTTGATATCGCAGAAGCTTCGGAAAACCAGGAATGAAGAATCCTAAAAACAAAAACGATGCTTGATTTATCACTTAAAAATGTTTACAAATATTAAAATTAAATTTCCTCTACCTTCTATATATTTCTCTGTGACATATCCATATGAGCATGTGTAGCATGAGCAAAGACTTAATTACTATGCTCTTTTTATCTGCAGGACACAATGCTTTTGGGCTAATTTTTTCATATTTCATGTACTCCAAAAAGAATACTGATGGTATTAAATTGCTGAATGAAAAAAAAAATAGACCAATGGTCTGAAATGTCAACTACGATGTATTGCTCAATACCCGGCAAAATTTTTACACTACATGCTCTGAAATCGATTACAGATAATTTGGTGATCAATGTAAAAGAAGAATCATCTTACCATGCATGGAATATTTGCTACCAGCGACTAGTATTGAAAGGGCCCAGAAGGCCTGTTCCTCAGTGAGGTACATGAGAAGAAGAGCGGCTATTTGTGACATTCCCTGGCAGTATCCAATGTCGGTATTGTAAATACTGTATGCAGCAAGGATGTTGAACAATTCTTGCTGCTTGATATCGTACCGTTTTCGGAACATAATGTGATCACGGTAAGTCCTATTTACATCTAAATCTATTTGCCTGATATCTGCTGAGTGTTCTAGAGCTACTTTTTTCATCTCCTAGAAAAAAAAATTCAAACGAAAAACGATATAACAACAGGATGTTGGTTCAAAAATTTTCTCGGTTGAAATGTTACTTGCAAGTTTAAAAACTCATCAATGAATAATTTCTGATTAAGAAACATATTGTGATGAGAGATCACTGATTGAATAGATCACTAGACGAAGTACGACTTTTTAAGCATTCTACGTTCTCTTCGAAATTTCTCATGAAACAAGATTTGCGCCGTGAAAATTACTGAGATTAACTTCTATCCAAGATGTCAAGGATTTCAATTAGCACTAGTTACAAAATATTTGGATTTTCCTTTCTCAAGAATAATCAGAGAGTGCTTGAATCAAATCGCACACTACAACAGTGTCGACAGGCTTTTTAATGGAAAATGTTCCTCCTCCGCTTAGATTTTCAAAAATTTAAAATGATAATATGAGTAGAGAATTTTAAGTCCATCACTTGAATAAAGAAAATACAAGGGTGAGATTGCGAAAATACAAACCTGATATTTTCCTTCTTTGGTTTTTGCTTCAGACTCAACATCCATCAACTTCAACCAGGCTTTACCTCGGAGTTTTGCGGGGATACCTTTGAAAACTCTATTTTTGAGCTTTTCAGTGTCCTTGTGTTTATCCCATTTATCCAGCATCTTCACCCATTTTTTCTCACGCTCATTTTCTAATCTGATTTCGTTAGGTTTTTGATCATCGAAGTCTCCTTTCTCGCTACAAGTAAGAATGAAAAAACCCTATACATTAGAAGAAATACTAGACAAAATTGGAAAGATATAAAATAGTTTCCAGGCAAAAAATTAGTGCAAGGGCATTGAAAATAGCGTGCCATTTTGAGTTTCTGGATATTTTTGAGGTATCCATAATTGTAATACTCACAAATGAGATCAAGTGTTGTTGGAGACTTTATTTGAGAAGTACGCTTGATTTACTAGGAAAAAGAGATGTTTGTACTCATGTCTCTACTTTCCGAGGAAAGATACATGATTCCTATCTACTATCATGTCCTCAGACCATGCTTCATTTTCTTCATACCTATATTTTTCCAAGTATATAGTTGATAACAGTTGGGTGACCGGATCTGTGAAAAGGGACCTTATATTCAACAAGAATATTTTCCATACTTTTTAATAAACTTACACAATGTTTCTCTATAACCTCAGAATTTTTGTCTTGGAGCTTTAAGACTCATATCTCCTTCAAATTTTGAGCCTTGAGGTCAAAACTTGCAGCAAAATTTCCAGATTTTCCAAAGGCACACATAGATATCTTAACTGAGGATAATATTTAAACTCTGTACTTATCATTCTCCAGCAATGATGTGTCATCCCACTGGGAACTTTCCACACGGAACAAATCAATACCACCTACCTATAGATTTCATTGCCAAAAAATAAGCTCGGTGGTTAGGTATCCTCGATTAAAATTACGGCAATTCTCCCGATGTATGGATGCAGCTAATTTTTTGAAAATACTTGGTTCAAGTTAGGGTAAGTTTTTTTTAAGTGAGTGACTGTCTTAAATGCAAGAATCAAGGGAAATTTAAGTAAATCAAGCTTCCAAGTCATGATAAAAGTCAGACTTTCTCAATTGGGTCGGCTTCCAGTTGAAGAAGTTTTGTTATTCTTCTACGCAATCCTAATGCTTTGAAGTCTTTCATTTTCGAGTGCGTGTCTTAAATTAAAGTTCTGATGAAATTTTTGCACAAAATTTTCATTTTAAACACTCTTCTGTTTCAGCAGTTTCCCATACAATGCCATGTAATTTGGTCTTTACCGAGGGTTCTGACCTTTTTCTGCGCTGGTAGGTATCGGTAGGTTGTATTGAACTAATTCTTAGAAAACAGATGAAATGTGGGATACATAAACTTACTGGATAAAGCCATATCTGTCCAGGACATGATAGATTTGTAAGGCAGGATCCTCCCATGGGTCTATTTGAGCTCCCTCTCGGCGGCCTTCAGAGTACTTCTTGACAATCTCTGCTCGTTCTTCAGCCGCCCGCGAGAGAAGCTCCTCTTCACTCATCTCATTGCAATGTCTGACTCATACCATTCCTGTAATAAAAACCATTGACACATTAAAATCCCTGCAATTGATTGATTAAAACAGCAGGATGAATTCTTTTTTAATTTTAAATTTCCTTGAATTTTAAAAAGTGTTGTGAATTGAGATCTTCATTTAACAGGAATTTGCTATTGTGCTATTTGGTGTCAGAATTGCAAGCCGAAACACAGAAGACCCCCAAATTTAGGACCATTCATGAGGCGTAAAGGTACTAAGTATGAAAATGCTTTTCATGACAATTATTAATCTTAAGTCTCTTGAGATATTGTAACAAGAGGAGATATTTGAGATTGCAAAAACCTGCATTTTGTTTGCAGAGTCTTGGATGGAATCTCCACCTTTATTTTATTTTATGAAAGAGAAAGGAACCCACACTGTTGCTTGCGTTCGCTTGCATATTCTTCGTGAAGAGAAGAATGTTCAGGGAAGTTTTCAAGAAATGACATTGAGTAAGTATTTGTGAATTTTAAAAAATATATTATGACATCAAGTCTCCAAAGTCACAAACAGAGATACACATTTGTACGGTCTCACCATGAATGTATGAAAAACCTGCACTTGGTGCAAATCTCTTCAAGAGGTTTCCTTTTTCAAAGATTTCAGCCATAGCAATGATTCCTCCTTACCACTGATTAATGATCAAATATAGAGGCCATTTTAAACGTAACTCAACAGTCGGATTGAGCTCTCAAGGCGGTTGAGCACTGGGTAGAAATATTGGACATTCAGGAGTAAACTCATAAGTCTTCGGGTAATTCAAACGAATGTAACAACAGCAACCATTTGGCATTGGGTACTTCTGTTTCCAAACAGTCCCAAACAGATAACTTCATCAATGCACCTTCTCTCTCTACTTTTACTCATGGATGAACTTTCCTTACTCTGAGCAGTCAGGTTTGATAGGTAGATCTATGAATGTTCCAAAAAAAAAAAAAAAAAATGACTTAAAGAGAGCCTGCTAAAGTTCAGTATATGACTGGTCTGCTAATTGAGTTAAGTAATATTAGGGACTATAAGCTGTATTTGATTACACTCCTCAAGCAGTTTATTAAAAGGGTCCAAAACTGAGCTTTATTCAGAGATCTACCTTCGGATTTGCCATTGATCAACACAGTTTTCTTAGTTTGACCATAGAATCCTACCGGTGGATTCCTTAGAGGATCACATATTTTAGGACGGCCAATCAAGAATTAATGATTGGTAAAAAAATCCACAAGAACAATCATTGGAGCAGGAGAATCGTGTGTTGAGACAAAAGTCGAGTGAGTATTGTTTCGGTTACCACTCATCAGTGGTGCCATCTGACTGCATGTATTAACCTGTTGAGTGGTGCTGATTCTGAGATAATCAGAGATTGACATTTGTCTCAACATACGATGCTTCCGCTCTATGTAACTTTGTTCATGGCTTCAGTAAAATCTCCAGTGGGAGCCGACCGTCTTGGCTACTGCCAAAGTTGTAATTTTTGTAAAGAATCAATCAATCTGATAGTCACAGGAGATCTTTCATATTTAAAAAACCACTTAATGAACAATCTCTTCATACTTAGGATTGTCAGTCTTCTGTCACCTGGCTGTCAGAGGAAACTTAACCTTGTCTGGCGGCAATGAAGCGTTCGACTAAGTGAGACTGGAAAGTCAGGCTTACGACATAATGATTATCTTTTCGAAAGAATCAACTTCAATGCGTTCCATACATTACATCTGCAGAGGTTATCTGAGATGATAAGCGATTAATTTTCAGGTCAGAGGTAAAGTCCCGGCGATTATCAAATGTCAGAGACGTGAGGCTGTTTGCCAGCAGGTATAGAATCATCAACTATCATCTGGAGGAGTTTGGCTAGTAAAAAAAATTGGGAAATTTGGTGGCATGAATGTTAAATAGGATTGAAAAGGACCGAGAACTATGCTCTAATTGGATGGTATTCAGGAGGGTTTCAGAGTTTAGTTGATCTAGATAGTGCTTTCAATGAGAATGTAATATTGAGTTTGAAGCATTAACTTACTATACAAATAGGTCACTGACAGCAGCAATCTTTCTGAGCCACTGAAACTTAACAGCAACTGTGAAGAATCTGGAGGATTTAGTCGTAAAACAAGAATTATAAATGATACCAGACACAAGTACTTTTGAAATTAAGTAGCACAAGTGTTTACTGTTCCTCAATCTAGCGTGTTTTACTGCCTCCCATAAGGGAAAACACGAAACGATAAAATCTCCAAAATCAATTTAAGTGTAACTAACTAATGAGACTTTGAAATGAATAGAACATCACAAGAGGGAAATTTAACTGGAAAATGAAGAAAGTGGCTGAGAGAATCACAAAATGCATCTGCAGACCGAAAACGAAAAACAAACTGGAAACATTTGATGACGTCATAGAGGCATTACAACGGTGGCAACCAGATTGATCACCAGTCATCAATGTTGACGATTTTGACAAGAGATAATGAGAATTGAGAATGAGACTCAACATTCACTTTTCAAAGGATAAGTTTCTCAAACTATATGAAACATTTTAGTGCTTAGATTTCCACGCATTAACCCTTCATTCTTTAAAATGTAAAAGAATTTATCAGTTGACAAACGAGTGCACAGCATCATTTTTATCGCTCCCATCCTCAGGATTCAGAACCCTTCACTTTGTCAAAGGTACCCACTTCTTACTCATCTCCGCTTTCATTTTCCTTTTCTTTTGAGGCCTTTCAGCGTTTTTACCTGCATACAAATAGAAATTTTACAAGATCCACCCAATATAACATTGATCCAAGCCAGGCTCTTAGTGCTAAAATTTAGAAGCTCTAAGCTGCGTCACTTCTCTCTGCTACATCCAACGAATGTAACAAAGATTTGTGTAGGAACTTATTGCGCCTACCTATTGGTTTTCTCCTCTATCTGGTTGTTTAAAGCTTCAACTGATAGACTTGCTAGGATGAAAGGCATTACTTAGTTGATTGCACTTGTACATTAATGTACAGGAGGATGAGCCGAAGAATCTGCTATGATGCTATGGCGAAAAATGAAAGTAAATTTTCATGTGAGCTTGCTCAGCTGTCAAAACACTTATCAAAACATTCTAATTCCAAGTATAAACATTGGGAATCATCAAACTCCACCCTATTAAATATAAATTTAAAGCTTTCTGTGAGTGAAAATAAATTACCCATCGAGCCTCTCGTCTAATGCCCAGCCCCAAGTCATATTCTGAAAGTGGCACTTATGGCTCCCACAACACTGCCATTCTAAGGAAGAACGCCGTATGAGCCTTTAGGCGTTGCCAAATTTCCTTTGATGTAGAACAAATTTCTTGGTAAGCTTATGAATATTTTTCACCCAATTTTATAGTAAATTTTGTTCGCAATTTCACCTAAATTTCCTGAAAATTTCAAGTTTATATATCAATAACTTTCCTAAAAAATAAATATTTTATTGAAGGAAACTTGGCAACTCTGAAAGGTTCATACAGTGTTTTTCCTCAGTACGGCAGTATAATTGTAACCTCCCACCTCACGTTCTTCTGCTGTGTACCTTTCACAACTACAACTCCGGGTAATCGTTAAATTTGACCCTCTCCAGAAGGGATTCTACTTTGTTCTGAACGGAATTCTCCATTGAAATTTTGCTGCCGTGGACAATTTCTCGTGTGCCTTCACATTATAATAAGGTCAACGTATAGAATACACAGAGTCGCAATGTAAATAAGAGAGTTGGCACCATGTTCTGGTCAATGAGTGCCAAGCCCGGTGTACTCTGAGCTTCGGTCACTTTTTCTATTCATTTTTGATCCGAAATGGCGATGCAGAATACGTAGTCATTCTTATCCCCTTTGTTTTAATTAGACGGCCGGGTCCCTGTGTATTGAAAAAAATCAATTATGTATCGAAAAAGTGACACAGGAGTCTCGGAATTCGGGACTTGGAAAATGCTGAAAAGTGGCGCCAGCTCTCTTGTTTACATTACAATTATATGTCCGCTATGGGTCAACATCCCGTCTTCCTTTAGCTCTTATCTTGTCGACCAACTCTGAAAGTTGATGCATGATACTACCGCCTATTTAGGTTGAAATGTAAGGGTTGGTTTCTTCAAATTGCGAATCCTTCCCCAATTCCTCAAGTGCCATAACATGCGGGGGCAGACCGCTCTAAGCTCTTAAAGTAAGTAACTAACCCAGAAAGTAAACAACCGGCTACCTATCTGACAACACCTTTAAACACTTATTTCAGATGTCTAAGGATGAGTCTGATGTTGAGCGGCAATTCCGGGAAGATTTGGAGAAAGCCCAAGCGTTGAGCCTAGAAAGTCTGGCTTTGGAAAACTTTCGCAAGCAGAAACAGCAACAACAACTATCATATTTAACAAAAAAAGCTCAAGGTAAGTAGGTTTCATTAAAAAAAAATTCTGTAGAAAAATAAATCAGTTGTAAACACCAATGGAAAAGGAGGCTATCAATCTGACTTCAAGGTTCAACCTTGTGACATTTTCACCTTTTTGGTATCCTATTTGCATCACAACAAAAATTATAATATACCAACAAAGGAAGGTATGGATGATTTAACCTCAGATCCTTATGATTTTAATCTTAATTGAAGGTTTAACTCAAATTTAGATTGGCATCTATGAGCATCTTTGCAAATATACAATCCTTGAAAAGACATAAATAATTTTGCAAAGAATATGTTTTGACGTAACCCATGCCCAAGGTAAACGGAACTTAGATATGCTCTTCTTGACCCTTTCGGCTAGAACTCAGCGCGGGATTAGAATTTCAACAATTTTGCAGTCTTGGCCTAAAAACGAATATGACTGTCTGCTGTTGAAAAAAAGGAACAAACATCACCTCACTGAAAGCAAATGAATTCTCATTCTTACTTAAAGAATTTGCTTAAACTGAATTTGTTCGTCTTTTTTACTTTCAACAGCAGATGGTCATATTTGTTTTCGGCGAAGACTGCAAAGTTGTTGAAATTCAAAGTTTGAGCCACAGTTCTAGCGGCGGGAGCCCAAAGCTGAGTTCTGACGGAAAGGGTCGGGAAGAGCATAACTACGTTCCACTTACCTTGTCCCATACCTATCAATATGAGTTCGTTTAATGATTAATTAGTGATAAACAAGGTGGTTTTTTCTACCTCCTCTTTTTTCTTATTTTTAAATTTCCTTTTTTTCATTCCTCATATCAACAGTCCCGCCCGGCAAGTGGTTGCCTGAAGTAGATGCGGAAATGTTGTCACAATGTAACTGCCAAAAATAATGTTGTGGCAACGTTGCAGCAACGTTGTGGCAATGTTATTTTTGGCCGTTGCCGGACGGGGTGAAACTCCCAAACCATGTATATCCGTTTGCAAACAGTCAAACTTTAGTTTTTAAACAGAAAACTGCTCCAAGTCAATTTTTAAAAACTTCCAAGTTTTTTTCTTTAGCTCAAAGGAAATAATGTGAAAACTTTGAGGAATGATGATGAGTTTGTTCTCTTTTAAAAAACAAAATGGGAGAAGAGATTTCAAACTCAGCAAATGAGATAAGTGGTTTGGGATTTTCACCTTCAATATGTTATAAATTTTAAAGTTTCTGTGAAAATTTAGTAAGTTAATAGTTCAATTCCTTAATTTGTTTCAGACCCTAGCATAAAAGGAACCTCGAGCAAAAATGTTATTTATCCACAAATACCTTCTTTTACCAATGAGCTAACAGGGGGAAAAAATCAAGCTCTGAGGATGTCAACAATTGAAAGAAACCCTGGAGTTCAACTGAGCCCTGTTACTCAGAGTACGTTCGTTTAATCATTTTTAATTTACGCCCTTTATCATTTCTTCCCTAATTTACTTTTTCCATTAACTGTATTTTACAAAGAATAATAAGAGGCCAGTCATGTTTTTGGAGTTTCTTTCCTAGGATTGCAGTATGGTTTCTTTATATATTTAGTATGTCTCTAAATTTTTATCAACCCTTTTTCTCAGTTTAGTCTAATTTAATGTTTCTAGCCTAAAAAAAATTTAACTGATGACATTCCTCATAAACCTGGAAGTAAGTTACTTAAGTATATGTACTTATCGTAAATGATCAGAAATGATCAGTGAACAATGGTCCTGTGAAGATCTAGAGTTATGCATTATTAAAGATTTTAGTTGTGTGGTTTCTTTTCCAAAAATGCACTATTAACTTTTCTTAACTTTTTCATATTATATTGTTTTCAGTGAACTCGGATGTTCCTCGAATAAAGCCACCACCTCCCGTAGCAAGAAGAAGTAGCTCGGTCAGCTCTCATTCTATTTCTGCATCAATTGAATCTAATGATTTAATATCATTCAACAGTCCTGATCCCTTTAGTAAGAGGAAATCTGATTTGGATGATTTGAGTGGCCTCTCTCTTAGGTCAGTGATTTTTATTCAGCTGATATTTTTCATATTTTCTTACAGGAGTTCTTCTTAATTTTTTTTTTTTTTTTTTTTTTTTTTTTTTTTTTTTTTCTTTTTTTTTCTAAACACTGCTAAGTTTTAAAAGCTTAGTTCCGTGTCCTTTCCCTTGCTCTCTCTCTTTTCCCCTCCTTCTCCCTCTGTCTATCTCTTCCTATTTTTCCTTCTCACAAGAATATGAAAAAAGTCATGTATGGTTGTAAGAGATGCCGAATCTTGCTTATCATGCGCCATTATTATTATCATTATTTGAAACATCAGTTTGAATTGATTAATCTTAATGAAGATAAAATCAACACAATCTTTTCAAAGTTTTTATATCAAAAATGTATCTATAACCAGAATATAATTATATGACCTGAAAATTTCCTGATCATTAAACATAGCATCCATTCGTAGCTTTGAGTAATTGCATGTGCCTAATTTGATTTTATTCCACTCCTATCTCAAAGTGACTTATTCATATCTTTCATTTGTATTATAGCAATAATGACTGTGATAGTGCTGATGGCAGACGTAACTCGGCAGTCTCAAATCAGAATGTCTCATTAGCTTCATCCTCTCAAAGTTTTGAATCCAGGTAAGACTGAATCAGTTTGCTGTGAATTTTTGGGCAGTATTTAGTGAAAGCAAACCAAGTGAAAGAAACAAAGGATAGTCTGTTTATTAGTCGATTAGTTCTTCATAAGAGACATTCTGAATAAATTTTCACTTGGTTCCTTTTCATGAGTTTGATTTTATTCTCCAGCAATCACGAAATATTCAACTAATTAGTTCTCATCCATGATTGTAGCTCCCTTTTCTGTGAATAGGTAGGTACCAAGTACCAAAACACTTGATAAATAATCATTTTCAGATAGATTCACTTTTCTTGCCTTCAACTACGGTTATCAAAAATGATCATAGAAGGGAGTACCAGAATAATCAGGGAAACTTCAAGTCGAAAAAGTTCCAAAAAGCATTTTAAAATTTTAGTCCAACAATTTAGATAAAAATTTATTTAAGACCTTCTCTCATTTATCATCCAATGTTTTACATCAAGAACTGCTTGATCAACGTTTTAATTCAAATTTTTACTGACCCTCAAAAAGTTTTTGCGGGAAGATGAGGGTCTGAATCAGTAGAACCTTAATCATCTGACTACTAATGGCACTAGGGATGTAGAATAACGAAAATGCCAGATCACAAAAATGTTTGATCACAAGAATGTTGGATAAAGAAAATGCTGGATTATCCAAAGTTAATTGATCTACTCAATCACGAAACCTAATACACCCCTATTATATACTGGTAAGGAACAAATTATAACGCAGGTAAGTGTTAAATGGCTTGTATTGTGCAGTTAGGTGTAAAAATGGGTTATCTCCTCCTGTATGATCAAGAAATTTTGGCAAGAAATCGAGAATATAGCAAATAGTTCAGGGGAATGACAAGAAATTTGGTGAAAAATGTTGTCAGTTAATGGGTAGGTTGGGCAATTAAGGCTTCATTGCACCTGGACTTTTTTTTAGAAATGTCACATTTGTAAATCCTTCAAAATCCCTGCAAGTATTTATTCTACTTTTAATGCTCAGGATAATTAAAATGCCCCTCAGTGGCCATGTAGTGTGATATATATTATTGACATGATGATTCAATGAACGGATATTTGAAGTTGAGGCTTGAGGCAAGTTTGTCTCGCCTCCTCATGATAAAAATATACAGTTATCTGATCTTAATAATTTGCATTAAATTTTGATGCATTTATGTTGAAGAAGTTTATCTAAGATGAAAATTGGCCTGCCAAATTCTTTAGTATTAGCGCCTTCAATTTACATTAATCACAAGGTTTAGTGATCTTGTTATCTTGTGTGTTACTTTCAAGATTATATCGTATTGTTTATGAAATAAGAAGAACTACAGGGGCACAATTCAAAGTTGTTTTTGCACGTAATATTATGGATGTATTGTATCTTATTTACCAATGTATTTTTCTTTCAGAGGAGAAATAGGTTTTCGTAAAGAACTGAATTTTAGTCCCATTGGATTCAACCACAGTGACTTGTCATCGCCACTTTCTTCAACCAGTCTAGTGCCTTCATACATGAGCACACCTTCCTCTGCAACCATTAGTTTCTGTTATCCAAATTTCTTTCTTCCATCAGCCTCCTCTGATCCACTTAAAAGGCCAATCGGATTTACATATCCTTGTTCCTCTAGTAACACTTCAATTAGTCCCAACAGTAGTAGCTATCTCAATTTTAACTCAACACCAAGCTCAAGCAGTAGTCACTTTCCTACTTTGAGTGCGGCTCCGAAACAAGTTTTTGCAAACTCGATACCTCCTAGTACCAGCAGCTTCTGTGGTGAGTCTTATTTTTCCATCATCTGCTTTTTTTTATTTTTGAGTGATGGTATGTATATCAATGAAAAGCTCAATTGTTGTATCATTTGTATCCATAGAGAAATGTGAAATGCTAATGAATAAATTATGAGGATAGTTTATAAGTCTGTTATGCATTGCGCTTTACGCTTAATATTTTATATTATTTAACAAAAGATATGGTCAAAGATGAAGAAACTCAAATTCAAGGAGCAGAGCACTCAACATTTTATCCTTCATGTTCAAGGCACAGAATTGCTTGATTGAAATACATTTATATGTCCTCTCTTGGCCTAAAAATGAACTGAAACGCACTTGAGCTTATTTTTAGGATATTTTAGAGGATACCTGTTTAAAGCGCAAAATCCTACTTTTTGACCTGACTAGACAAAAATCGCTCCACTGGAAATATCCCATCGCAGACTAAGGTCCTTTTTACCGAAGACAGTCACTTATCTAGGAAGCACTCATCTGCCCAACATTCCCTAATTTCCTTACTTTAACTCTTTTTTTGTAATGGAAATGTCTCTCTTCAAATAGATTCATGAAACTCAAAAGAGGGGGTTCTTTTTAAGGAGAGAGTTCAGCTTAGTTTTATCCTTGAAGTTTAAGCGGCTAATATTATTTTCTTCCTTTTTTACAGGGCAACCCATGATTGGTCCTCCTGTGTCATCCTCTGATTTATCTGTATTGAAAGTTGTTGAAAAGCGTCCAAATAGTAACCTAATCGACTTAACACCCTTTGACGTGTCTGGCTCCGAGAAAGATCCTTCACGGGTGAAAGTGAGCATCTTAGAAGCTTTCGATCCACTTCTGTCATCGTGCCCTGGGACTTCCACTGTTCCTGAACATAGTGAAAATATTGGTAAGTTCAATTAATGTATAACGAAAAATTGAGTTGTTTTTACTTTAACTTATTGTTCAATCTTTTTTAGCATTTTAAAAAACATGTTTTATAGCTCAGCGAACCACTGAAAATAATGCCTGGACTGAAGCAGCTGACCGTCAACAACCCTGTAATTCAAGAGCAGATCACATTAGTGATACTCAACAAGCAGTAGAGATGGGCAACAAAAAACGTTGCATGTACAGAAAAAAGTCCAAAGAAATGAAAATTTACCCCAAACTGCGGAAATAGTAGCTCGAGAAAATAGCTGTAGGTAAAAACTTTGATAAGCGTTTTCTTCTAACATTTAACCCTTTTGTATCTTTGGACTTTATTCACACCAAATGATTTTCTGAATACCACTCGACTAATCTTAACAGTTTGCACCTGTATTTTCTTAATTATCAAATTTTTATGACTTTGAACTTTTTGGTTAATACCTCAATACCTTGAAGATTGTAAGATTTGTCAGCCATTGATCATTCAAACCTGCATGATATTGTGATTTCAGTGCAAGATGATGTCAAAAGTGAATCATCAGGAAGTTTTTATGATGCTTACGATCATTTTGAATACTTGTACTCACCAGTAATTCATAATAAGTCTTGCTCATCCGATCCAATTTACGCCTCACCTGCTCCAAAAAATAAGTCTATTCCTAACTCGCCATTAGCCTCACCCGCTCCGCCTTTACCAGTGCGTGCGCTGAATGATGAGTTTAACTCAGTCGCCAGTCCCACCCGGAAGTTAGGTTCAAATGGAAACAGCCCCAAGCAAAATACGGTAAGTTCAATTAATATTTTTAATCTCCCTCGCTTGAATGAACTCTACTTATGTTTGCTTTCAGTATAAAGAAGGTTGTGATGTAAGTTTTTTTTAAAATTTTGATTTAGTGTTCCAATTTTCGAAGGTCTCAGCTTTAAGTATTTTTCAAATTAAGGAATCACAGAACATCATTAAGGAGGGAAATTTTTAGGAGATGTTTGATTGAAATGATTTTGTTCAAATACCCGGGCATCCTCAATTTTTTTAAGGTTCACTAAGTTGCTGTAATTGTCTGTGTGTCCAAAAAAAAAAAAAAAACGCCAATTTCCAAATGAAGTTACTGAGTTGATAAAGTTTTACATCTTTATAATCATCATTAGTGTCATACACTAAACTCTCTATTTTAGCACTCTGTGTGCTGGCAATAGTTATTATTTTTTTTTATCTTACTTAATTTTTTTACTGTGAGCTGAAATAAAATAGCCTTGTGAATAGAGTGTAGAATTGGAAATATTTTCTAACTCTCAAAGTTTAATGTAAAGAAAACATATAATATTTTATAGGATCAGTTGTGAACACATTATGCCTGGTGCTTGTGCTCTCCAAGCATAGCAGTAGGTAGGAAAGTAAATATTGACTCAAGCAACAGACGTGGAAGCGTATTATTTACTTCCCTACCCACTGTGCTTCGAACTTCCAAAAATTGTAATTTTCAGAACGATCTCTTAATTTTCCCAACTATGCATACAGTGCAATCTTTTATGAGTTAATTGCAATTGACTAATTTAAAGTCTATGATTAGAAAACAATTATTTCTCATGATTCTAAGCAATTTTGAGCAAGTAAGTTAAAAAATATTATTTTTCTTGATCTGATTTTAGAGCTTGGGATGTTATTTTTTTAACCTTCAACCATTGACTCCTCATATTTAATAACAAGATGTATGTTTCCCAAAATTTTTTCTTCATCATTAAAGAGGCTTCAAGTAAAAGTGCCTTGAGAGATATTACCATACATTTCTATCCCAGATCTAACCTCAATTTGGCCTCCACTGTGCTTCTAAGTCCATTATTTATCAATTTGGCTATCCATCAACCTATATTTTTTTTCATCCATGAACAGTTTATAACTTTATTCTAAAGCATCCGTAGGCGAACAGCTCAAAATAAGTAGTGAGATAAATATGTCTCTATTGTCAATTCAGTGAAACCTCCGTTTTATCCTCTCTCCTTTTTTCCATTTTTTTATTCCTCCTGACAGCAAAATTTGTTGAAAATAAGGATCATCACTTTGTTTTCTAAGATTCACCCCGTGAGAAGTGATGAATTGTCTGAATTTTTTTTCCTCTATCTTTTCCACTCTATTCTTATTTCCAATGAAATCAGTTTATTATCCTGCGTCCCTTCTGTTATTAAATTATAGCACCAAACTCAGATCCCTCTGTCATCTTTTGACATTGTTACAACTACCGAAAGCTGTGACTTAAAGATACTTTAATTATTTTAATTGTCAATGGCTAAATTTAACCGTTTGGTTACCATTAATCTCTTAACCCCCCCCCCCCCNNCCTTGTGAAAGAACCTTTTAAATTTGCAATTAAAAACAATATTGTCTCATTCTGTAGCACTCGTAATGCTGGATACCCATTTCTTAACTGCCATTATAGGCTTTGAAAGGTTGTTGACTAGTCTGTGCTAGCCACTGCCACTAGCGGCTCAATAGTTTACCCCAAGCCACAAAAAAAACTAAAGAAGGAAGAGGTTTGGGTATTTATGAGGAACTTGGAAAAATTTACTTGCAAAAAATACTTATCGCTCACTGAACAAAATTTACGAAGCCAATGTTAATTTAACTCGTTTGTTATCTTGCTCTTTTACGTTCCTGTAGATTACAACTAGACTTTTACTCATTTATTCAAGTAGGATACAAAATTTTTAAATGAATAATTAGTGAGGTTCATATCGTCATTTCCCACATAGAGTAATGGATCTCAATTGTGTTATTTCAATATCTCTCTCATACATTTTATTTGTTTAGAGGAGAACTGCCACATGAATTTTCCCTTTATTTCTAGTGACTTTTCTTTACCCTTGTGAGGAAAGACTCTGAAAGTTTCAGCCTAACTTGTGCGATAGTTCTCCAATGAAAAAATAAATGTTTGAAGAAACAATGAAACAGCGCCGATGAGATACGTTATTTCGCACGGGAGGTGACAATATATTTTAAGCATAATGATCTATATTCTCATCTATTTCATACCCTTACTTATCATTGTTTTTTCAACCACACTCTTATTTTTGTTTCAATTGAACCAGAGCTCAAACCTGTATGAAAATATTGGATTAGTTAAAAGGAAGTCTGCTGTCCATGATGCCGATTTGGTAGCTTTCCATGCACTAGTGAAAAGTTTGCGAAGTAAGTACTCTTCTTCTCTGTGTTTTGCTTTTTGTGGCCAGTGCGGCACTGTAAAAAAATTGCATATGATTCGCGCATGCTGTTAAATTCTTTCATCTGATTTAAAGTTTTTAAATTAATAAACTGTTTTTAAAAAAAATTAATAATTAAGCTAGAGAACTTTGAAATTCGGGGTATCAGTAAGGACCATTTTTTGACTCATCCTAGCTAAATTTCCTTAATGGACCACTAGACAAGGAACGAATTTCAGCATTCTGATACATGTTTCGTAACTAAAATTTCACCTAGAACACGATGCGCACAACAAAAATTACCGAAATTACCTCCTAACGAAGATATTTAATGATTCTTGATGCGTGAATTCAAACCATCCGCTCATGAAAACTCAATGCTCTACGTGATTCACATCGCGCGCTAAACGTTTATCATGACAGTCTCTGTGATATAAAAATCTGGCAACTTCAATCTTGACGCTTTGGCTCAGCTATAGCAAATTGCCTATAGTTTGAAAAAAACATGGCGGGAAATGAACATTGCTCGGTTGAGAAGCTTGCTGAAACCGTTGAAGTGCGCAATTTGACCCACGTAGAGCTTTGAGTTTCTTGTGAGCGGGCAGTTCAGATTCCTCGTAACCAATGTGAAATAAAAACGTTAATGTCTTCGTTAGGAGTTGGTTTCAGTAATTTTCGTTGTGTGAATCGTGTTCTACGTGAAATTCTGGTTAAGAAACATGTATCAGATTACTTAAATTCGTACCTTGTCTAGTGGTCTATTCTACGATTTTTGCTCATTGAAGGCCTATATTTTATGGAATACATCATGATTTGGTCACTTTCAGTCGCTTTTCAGGTCGAATTCTGGCCTGTATGAGGGTTAGAGGGCCGTTTTTGACTACAAATACGTATTATTTCAGCATAATGATTTTCCTTTTTGCTTTAACAACACACCGAGCAAACTCTAATCATCGTGTCCAAAAAATTGTCTCTCTTTTCTCATCACAGCCACCTTGACAGATTATGAAGTCAATTTTGTTACACGTGTCTAATCAATTTTTATTTAATCTGAATTTCAGGTGAATTTGTTCACTCGGACTTTTGCTCTAATGCTGGACTTGTGATGAGCTCTTTAATTGAAAGTTCATATGAAAGTGGCACTAGTATTAAACTAGTTGTTTATTGTCAGTCAGTTCGGGAGGCCCCTGTTACTTTTACTTGTGATGGTGAGTATTCAGCCCTATTTTACATTTTTCCAACCACTTTTAAGCACACTCATCAATCCACGTCAATAATTCAGAAGAATTCTGAGACTAATTAGACTTAATTCTCCTCAGAAGAACAATTCTATAATTGCATGTACGTTCAATATTTATTTATTTATTTATTTATTTATTATACAATGTATGGGCAAAGAACCCAAGACACACAAGACAATTAAACAATCCAACATGGCAACAATTTGATGCACTATACATTACAATATTACAAGAATATATCAGAATATTTACAAAGAATACATTTAATTTAACTATGAGTTTCCAATGCCCAACCTCTAACTAAAAACTTAAAACACATCAACCTATTAAAACAACATATTAAACATAGATATTAAAAACATCTTAAAATATTTTTCTCAAGTCTATACTGAATGAAAGTCACATTTCTCAATGCATTGGCTATTAATCCATTCACTGTACCGACGGAGTATTTTTGCACTGGAGAAACTGTTCCATGGAGTTTTCCTCGAATATACTCGCATTTCTAACTTATCTGAACTACCAACCTAACTTCATAGCGGGCAATTCAAACGCAGTCAAAATTACAAATTTTCTGGTTATTTTTTAATTACGCTCTTTTGCCTCACCTAAAGAATTTTTCTCTTTCCATGTATCTAGTGACAAGTTCAATTGAGCATGTCACAATGCACGTTCTGTGTGAGCTGGACGCTGGAAAAGCTGAAGATTTTGTACTCAAAGTATATGGTCTAGCAGAGTACTTCTCTGTGGACACATCTCTAGCAGATTATGAATTTATCCACAATTGTATAAAACTTGAAAAGGACGTTGTGTTAAGCCTCGTGCCTCTTTGCCAATTAGACAGGCCTCTTGCTCGAACGGTAAGTACAATTTTTTCCAACGGATCAGAAGTTTTTATCTTAGAACCAAGTTTTGAATATTGAAATATCTAAATTAGCTAAAATTAATTGTGTAGCTGCTAAGTATTGATGTGTAATATTAACGGTCCTATTGCCCTTTGAAAAACACATAGATTGACGGCGTCCATCACAGATTATTGTTCTATGAAATGGTATGTATTACTGCGATGAATAATGTCAATTTGCATGCATTTCAAAGGGCTGTATCTTCATGAATATTGCTCAGGAAAACTTAATGTCCGGAAATATCATATCATTTCATGCTATTATACCGAATTCAGTTATCAAAATACAATTGTATGACTAGTGCAACTGAAAAATTTCATGATCCTCTGCAGGAAATAAATAAATTGTTCACAGTGATCAAATTTTATATAGTATGAAGGAGCTAGTTGTTAGTCATTAGTATAAGGCTGATATTTTAGATTTACTGAAGTGGGGCAATGAAAGGAAGTTACAGATCAAGGTGTGAGGCAGCCTTGTTTTGTCTCGGCAAGTTACCAGCTTACCGTCTATGATCTTACCACTCGAGTCAGATGGAATGGAAGTTTAAAATTGTGAATTGGCCCAAACTGCGGCATGGCAGAACGGACCTCTGTTGGCCCCTAGGGACGAGCAGGGCAGTTAATATGTTAATTAGGATCATAATAGAGAAGATGCTCAGCCAAAAATCTGTAATTGATTGAAATACTTGTCTTATTTGGATAGAATTTATGCAAAAAAAGTCTATCTACACACAGTACCCATAACAGATTAACGACTTTTGAACCTATTTCCTTTTTTTTACTACTAATCTCTTTTCTCTTATTTTATGTTTACATTTATTCAACAGTCTCAAGATGATGAACGGGATTCAACTCTGACATTAGATGACCTTTTACCAAAAGAGCCTGTACAACCTATTTCCCATGAGTCTCTTCAAATATTATTAGGTAACTTTTACCCACTCCGGCTACTCTAAATGTAAGGAAAAATGGAATCATGAGGAGCGCTTCTGGCTCATCTGAAAGAGTTTTCATCTTTTTAGCTTCATCGAGATTTTTTAAATGTACTTAAAACATTTTTTTGGCTGCCCCTGCCTTCAAATTCTGTAGCATGCCTATTTGATTGCAGTTAAAGTGCAATAGTCATCAATACTCTTCTTAGTTGAAACTAGGCCTGTCTCCGAAACGATCAAGCGATTATCTCTATCATCGTTCGAAGACTTGTTTCGTTTTGAAAAAGTGTTTCGATCAAAATGCTGTTTTTTTCGAAAAAGCGTTTCAATCAAAATGCTGTTTCGTTTCGAAAAAGCATTTCGATCAAAATGCTGTTTCGCTGTTCAAAATGTTCGCTTTGATCGAAATGTTATTATGTAATGTTGAAACAAGATTTTCCATGTTTAGCAAATAATTGCCTCTTCCTCCGAAGTTAAGAAATGTGAATGAAATTGGTAGATAAATGTATCTTTACCATTATACTCCTGGCTTCCCAAAAAGCCTTTGTTTCTAAAATTTGGTTCTCTGGTTTGCGACCGGTGTTATATTATCGGCGCTCACCTCTCATTGTCATTTGTTTGAACTATTTGTGCGCAGCAAAGCACATATCTCTTTACTCTTTCTTGGTATTTTTGCATCAGCTGCAATGATATTGATGATGATGAGATCCATCGAACAGATTTGCAACTGTTGGCGCCTGCGCATAGCAGGGGTTGGCTGCTATAATACATTAATGAAAGTTTTTATAGTTTTATTAGTAAACGAAGTCATGTATTTTCAGAAACCCTTGACAAAGAGATGAGCAAATTGGAGAAAAGTGCAGTAGAATTGAGTTTCAGTCAAAATTCCACAAATACCCAGTTACACCCTCGAAGAGTCATTCAAGCAGTGAAGGCAATTTGTGCCTTGTTGGGAAATTTAGAACCTCTAGAGATGACTTTTGCCTTGGATCAATTCGTCAACACTTGTTCCCAGTGTTCATCTAGCTCACAGGTATTTGATATATTTTGCTGTAAGGGTTCCTCATCCTCTATGGATTGCTCTGTATTGTACAACTCGTTGTACCCTGGGCAAAGGAAACGTATCTTGTGTGTTGGCTGATTATTGAAAACGGGCGACAAAGCTCAAGTGACTCCATGTTGTGTTGATTGGTTTAGCTGAGAGCGATTTTTGAGCTTCTTAGATCCGACACAACAAGACACACTGTCTAACAGAGAAGGCATGACAAAGCAGCAGCATTTCTGTCATCGGGTGCGTAGTTGTAGAATTTTTAAATGTATTTCACCCAATCAAAATGCAGCACAGCCAGTGATCATATAGACGCTTTTATTTCAAATTTTTTTTTGAAACCCAATTTTCAAATCTCATAATTGCCATAAAGTGTCTTAATTACTTTTACACTAGTAACTTTTTCTCAGTTGACTCTGATCTAAGTTGAGCCTAATAACTTCTGTTAATGCTTTTCAGACACATGAAGATATTGGATGGACCCGACCTGAAATTATAAGAGATGATGGCGATTATTCAGTAGTCAAATTGAAGAATAATTTAATCGATTCCATTTCTAGTAATTGTGAACGCATCAGAGTTTGCGTTCACTCTCTTATTGATGTTTATTGTAGAACTTTTAGGGTGGATTTCCAAGTCAACACTGTTTTGACACCTTGCTCAAGTAAGTCTTATTTATTTTTCTTTTATTTTGTTTCGTCCTAAAACTTTTGTTCTTTATCACTCTTTCCATCCAAACAGGCACAGTTTGTCACTTAAGTATCACAAGGGCCGTTTAATCAGGCACCATATTGCCAAACTCCTACAATCTGTCCTATTCTTTACGGAAAAACTATAGAATAGATCTATTTTACGTAACATTTATTTTGTCATTAAGATTAATCCCTGAAATTTATATAGAAGCATGCGCAAAAGTTTTAAAAAGAAATCTAAACAAAATATAGATGCCTGGCATAATCATGTCCAAGAATGAATAGTCCTCATGGTACTTTGGTCCGAAGGTAACATTTTGTATCAGTGGTTGTACGGTAAAATAAAAATAATTATTCTTAAATTAATAATTATTCTTCAAATGATCTGTCCATTTTTGACTGAGCAAATGTTTCACGTCAGAATTTCTTAAAGGGCATCTTTTTAGAACGCCCAGAATAATAATGTAAAGCTGACCAAGTTATGTTTTTGGAGTTATAATGTCTTCCATATCTGGTTTTTTGTTAATTATATGTTGACAAGTCATTCGGTCTTGTGAGTAATTTTTTGAACTTTTGTTTCAGGTCGTAAACCATCTTCACAGGTGCTGGACTCTGTCCTGGTTCACGTTGGTGCACTTCATCGATTAAATCCTGCTTGGAATTATGATGAATATTTACTTGCTGGACAAATATACCATGGTACTAGACCAATTACCAATCCAGTACTCTCCAAGCCTGTTGCGCCATCTGAATCTTTATACAAGCGATTGGTTTTCGACTTTTGGTTGAATTTTGAAGGAACGAGTGTTTGTGTTTTACCAAGAGAAAGTCGCCTAGTAATTGTCATTTATGGACGCACCCTGCAGTCAGATAACGATCTAAACGCAGAACCAACAGTTGGAGAGCACGAAGTCAAACAAATAGAGCTAGGCTGGGTAGCTATTCAGTTTTTTGACTGTGAAAGTCGCATGGCACAGGGTTGTTACTTACTTTGTGTCTGGCCACCAGCTGCAGACAGAAGACTCGGCCCAGCTCCAGGGGCAGGGACACACCCATTCGGGGATGTTTACCCAATCATTGGCATCGAGTTACCCGACTATGGTGCCAACATTGTTTTTCCAGAGCTCCCAGAGATACCTTTAATCAACCCTAGTGATTTTGATTTCCAAAGTTTAGACTTCAACACCCAGCAACAGTTAACTGTGATCGAACAAGATATATTCACTCGACCCTCGGTGGAAGATCGGGAAGTTTTGTGGGAAAAAAGACATTATCTTCTCTCAAAACCTAGAGCACTACCAAAGGTATTTTTAGCAGCTCACAGTTGGGATTACGCGTGTATAACAGACTTGCTATCATTGCTCAATTCTTGGGCCACGCTTGAGCCCGTCGAAGCATTACAACTTTTACTCCCTTGTTTTGCAAATAACGAGGTTAGGAACAAAGCTGTCTCGTGGATTGATCCGATGTGCACTGATGAACTAATCGATTATCTGCCGCAGTTGGTGCAAGCATTGAAACACGAAACGTACGAAAAATCACATTTAGCGAAGCTCCTGTTGAAAAAGTCGCTCATGTCGCCAAGATTTGCACATCATTTATACTGGCTGTTGACGCAAGCTCTTCCTGGTCAAAGTCCACAAAACTCCGGTGATAATCCAACAGACGAAGGAAGCATTTGCAATGCTAGGTATCACAGAAGGCTGCAGCTAATGCTGAGGGCGCTTCTTGCTGTTGCGGGTGAAGCATTGCGCAAGAGGTTCATGTCACAGCAGCTCCTCGTGAAAAACTTATATGATGCAGCAGAGAATATTAAAATTACCAAAGAATCATTTAGACTGAAAACTTTGCTGCAAGATTTAGAGTATATCCATCATTCGCTGGAAGAGGCACCAACTTGTCTTCCATTGAGTCCTAGTTTAGAGGTTTGCGGTATACAAATCAACTCATGCTCATACTTTCCTTCAAATACGCTTCCCTTAAAAATCAACTTCCTCAGCTGCGAAGATAACCTCAGCACCATTCCTGCCATTTTTAAAGTAGGCGATGATTTGCAGCAAGACATGCTCACAATTCAAATGATTAGAATCATGGATAAACTGTGGTTGAAAGAGGGACTAGATTTGAAGATAGTTACATTTGAGTGTGTCCCAACTGGTTCCAAAAGAGGGATGATTGAAATGGTAACAGAAGCCGACACCCTACGAAAAATTCAAGTAGAATTTGGCCTGACAGGTTCATTTAAAGACAAGCCGATAGCGGAATGGCTCGCTAAACACAATCCGTCCACTTTAGAGTATGAGAGGGCTGTACAAAATTTTACTGCCTCATGTGCTGGATACAGTGTTGCAACATATATTCTAGGAATTTGTGACAGGCACAATGACAACATTATGTTGAAAACTTCAGGGCATCTCTTCCACATTGACTTTGGAAAATTTTTGGGAGATGCTCAGATGTTTGGCAATTTTAAGCGTGACCGAACTCCATTTGTTTTGACGTCTGATATGGCGTATGTGATTAATGGTGGAGATAAACCAACTGTAAAATTCCACCATTTTGTTGATCTTTGTTGTCAAGCATTCAACATCATTCGCAAGCACAATAACCACATTCTGACCCTTTTTGGATTGGTAAGTTGTAATTCTCAGTTTATTAATTTTTTTTTATTTTCTGTAATGTTCAATGCCCCCGTCTTTGACGAAATCAATCTTACGTGAACAGCAGGCTAATTTTTGAGATTCTTTTTTTATCAAAGGATACCATAAGATTTGTGAGCTTAAATAGAGTAGCAGATTTGATTTGGTAGTCAGGTCATGCGATCGGTACATCATGCCTGCCTTGTGTCGTATGCACATCTGTCTACATGTGTAATGCAAAATACATGTGTAAATGTCAAAAACCAATGCAAAATCCAACTAAATGAAGATTTCAAAATTCAACAAATAAATAATTGAAATGTAATTATTGATCCTGGTATGTACTTACTTGCCAAACCTATTGCTACTCATGTCTTATCTATTATTTTTACTGCCTTGAATTTACTTGGAAAATCTCTCTGGAATTTCCTGCAAATGATATTTTCATTTTTGCAGCATTTTTACCACTGATTTACCAAGAAAACCATGATGAAATAGCCTAGATTTTTCCCTTCTTAAAAGTTCGGACTCATCTTTATTATATACTTGCAACACTGAAAAATTATTATAGCATAACTTTTATCTTTTTGGTCTCAATACATAGGAGATAAATAACTTAGATGTCTTCCTTTTTTTTAGATGGCATCTTCCGGAATACCTGGTGTAACAATGGATGCTGTGCAGTACGTTCAAAAGGCTCTACTACCACAGCTTTCAAACCCTGAAGCTGCAGCAGCTTTTGCAAAAATGATTGAAAGCTCTCTCAAATCGTGGTTCACTCAATTCAACTTTTTTTTACACAATTTGGCTCAACTGCGATTCTCTGGTGATCATAATGGCGGGGAGTTGCTGAGCTTCATTCCTCGTGTCTATACTCTGGCACAGGATGGTCGTATCCAGAGTGTGAGGCTTTATGGCTACCAGAAGCGTTATGATCCTGAGAAATACTATGTCTATATTTTGAAAGTCGAGCGTGTGAATCAGCCCGATCCAACGTTCCTATTCAGATCATACAAGGAATTTTGCGAGTTTCAGCAGAAATTGTGTATCCATTTTCCACTGGCCCGATGCTATAGCCTCCAGAGCTCTAGTTTGCACGTTGGCAGGTCTAATATAAAGCAAGTTGCTGAAAAAAGGTGTCATGATATTAAGAAGTTCCTCGTTTCGCTATTTGAAATGGCAGATGAAATTTGCCATTCCGATCTCGTCTATACATTCTTCCATCCAGTTTTGAGGGATCAACAAGAAGCTAGTATCCATGACACAAAATTGAAAGGTAAATATTCTTTATTATCTTAAGTTTTTTAATCAAAGTAAATAATGCAGTTCCCACCAGTCTATCAAAATAAAACTCCTCCTGTTTGCATGAGAGAAACATACTTGCTATTTGCCGTTTTATCTCTAAATAGTTGTATTTAGACATCTTAAAAAAACTTGTAAGAAGAGTATATTTGCAGATAGTACGTAAAGTAAAGAAAGTACTATTTTTAAGACCTTCGATCTTATAACAGTGAATCTAATGTACAGAAGAAAGTATGGATACAATAAAATAGAATTGATTATGAAAGGTCTGCACAGAAATGAGAAAAGTATACGGATCGAAAAGGCATGGACATTCACATTTTTTGTGATGAACTTCAATTAATAGTCTTTGTTGCTGAACATCAAAGATCATTTGGAGCACTTAGGAAACTATTAATGACATTAATCTTGACAAAATTATCAATTGATCTGTCTGGGGAGAAACTTTTGTCCATCTTAGAATGGGCCTGTTGCAAACTTTTGCTGGAGCAAAAATAAGAGTTGTTCCTCACAGATAATGTCTCAAAAACTACGATGAGCGCATCAGCAATCTCTGAAATGCACTTCAAAATGTTTTCAGACTTTTCGAGAAGTTTTTCGAAGACATTCAAAAACTTCGATCGCAATTTTTTTTAGTCCGTTTATAAATCCTTTCATTACTTTGGATTCTTTTCAAACTGCTCAGTAAGTTTTTTAAAGACAATCAAGGATTTTGATCGCAGTCCTTTTTGGAGACCATTTGGACCACATTTTGCGATAAGAAACCATTTCAGGTTTAAATAACTATGCAAAAAGAACTTATGTATCATTTGATTTCCTATGCAGGTAGGTGCTTTTACGGATGAGTCAGGAATTATAGTTCCTAATTCTAAAATTTTGTCCAATCATCATGGATTCTTCCATGACTTAAAATTAGTATAGAACTTTTCAACGACTTCTCAGTGGAATTCTAGCAGTGTGATTGCAAATTGTATTAGTCCATTCACGGAAAAAAATGAAATTGCTGATTTAACAATTTTACAGTCGGTTATGTTGAATATTGCGTAGTATCCTTGTGAGCAGGGGTTGGATGAAATGACTCCTTTAAAGAAATGTTCACCTGTTCCGTGATATTTTTTTTAAAGCGGGAAGCTCGAAAAAACGCAAATTTCTTACGCAAATTGTGAAGTAAGGAGTGCATTTCAGACTTTGCCGATGCGTTCATCATGATTTTTGAGACACTTTCTATGAGTTACAATTATTATTTTTGCTCTAGCAAAAGTTTGCAGGCTTAACAGGCCCAAAGGTGAGGAAGTGAGGAAAAGCCAAGGAGCTTTGGAAATCCCCCTAATAAGAAAATTTTGAGGAATTAAGAAAAATGCACAGAAAAGGTAATGAATAAGCGAAGAATTAAAAATATAAGGTACCAGTAGACAATAGACACCCTGTTTTATAAGGCAAACAAGCCAGCTACCTATCAACGTTGGGTGGCTATAAATATGAAGTATTCTCATTGAATAGTTTGCGAAATATTCTCGAATAAGTTTCAATTATTGTACTCGTAATTGGAAAACCAACCAGGTAGTACACCTTGGAAATACTGGAAACATGAGATATTAATCTCTCTATTTTTTGTTTCTGCAATGGTCTCCAAAAAAAACTATTTTTAAACGATCTTACTATGCAATTTTAGTTAGGTTATTATAATGAATTATGAAATTATATTTTCTTTATAGGAAACAAAAAACGAGCTACTAACAGTGAGTTGAGCCGAGTTCGAGGCTCTCTTAAACTGTCTATGCAATATCAACGAGGGATTTTTGTTGTGATGGTTCATCACATTAAGGAGCTGTCTGCGCTTCCAACTGGTCAAGAACCCTCAACTTATGTCAAAGTCTATCTTTTACCTGATCCCTCCAAAATGACAAAAAGAAAAACCAAAGTTGTTCGAAAGAACTGTCATCCATCGTTTATGGAAATGGTAATTTTTTTGTCTTATATTACTTCAACTTTAATGTCCTTTTTTCAGTTGTCTTGATGTTAATGTCTAATTTCTATCTTCTTGGCCTGTGAAAAATTTCTTGTTCCAAACTTCTAATTGCACAAAATGATGAAAAGTAATGAAGCGAAAAAAATTAGCAATTTTCCATATTGAATTTTTGCATATCAATGTTGTCAACAGTTGACAAGGTGTTCCTAAAAGAAAAATTATGCAAATGCAATTCAAATGCAAATTATAATAAATTTGTAAAGCGGATCAATGATTTTTTGGGTTTTGCCTGTCATACTTTTTTATTTACCATGAGCCAATTAAAAGTTTATAATCCATTGTGTTATTACAGTTTTGCACACTGATCATACATCAGGTAAATTAGATGTGTTTCAATTTAATATTACGCTAATTTTTTCCCCTTTTCAGTTGGAGTATCGAATGCCAATAGAGATGATTCAGACTAGAGTGTTACAAGCAACTGTTTGGAACCATGACACTCTGCAAGAAAATGAATTCCTCGGTGGCGTTACGATTCCCCTTCAGAACCTGGACCTTAGCAAAGAAACTGTCTCTTGGCACACCTTAGGAAACATTCTCAGATAAGTCTGCTAGCTTTGTATTGCTGGTGAAATTTTAAGACTAATCGTCTATTTTTAAAATCTGTTTTATCTTTTACACTGTTCTTATTTTCTACCTCTTTTATTATCTGAAAAAATTTTATGCTTACAAGGGGAATTCTGTCACTAGTCCAAAAAATTTCAAATTAAGGGCTTTTTCAAAATTTGAAATTTTTTCTTTCTTTCTCTCTTTTTTTCCTCATAAGAGTTACAATTTCCTTTTATATTTATTGTTACATCATAATATTGTGTCCATCTTAATCTAACTTACAAGGCCCATGGCTAATGTGTAATTTTCAGTGCAAAGAAATGTGACGCGACTTAGGAAAACCATCTTAATAATTTTAGTCCTCAGCAGTGCATTCTGCACTGAGACAATTTTTTTTATGATTCTATATTTTTACATTTGCTGAGGTTTCTTGTTTTAGCAAAATGTACTTAATGCACTGACAGCTCTGCAGAAGTTAAGACGAGTGTAAATGTGTCTATGTGTTCATTCGTACCCTGTTAAACTCATGAGAAGATATTTTATCCATGTATCGCAATACTTGCACGGTTTTAAAGAAGATGTTTTCTTTACTTCTATTCGTATCTAAAACCTCTCAAATCATTCAATTGAAAAAGTGTGAGCACTCTCCTGTGCTCTGCCGTGCTGAGGGAGAACGCTGTATGAGCCTCCAAACGTTGCCGAATCTCCTCCGATAAAAACCGAATTTACTGGGAACATTGCGAATATTATTTTCCAAAAATTTCAGACACTTCTGTACGCAATTTAATCTAAAATATCTGAAAATTTCAAGGGAAAATATGCATGAATGTCGTCAAAAATACATGTTTTATTAAGGGAAAGGCAACTCTCGAATGTTCACACAGCGTTCTTCCTTAGCGCGGCAGTGTTGCTCCCCAGTGTAAGAGCCTGCCATGAAAATGCCAGATAATGCCAGAAGTTGGTGCCAAATGAAGATTTAACGACCATTTTGCGCACCAGATTATTGCATTACCAAGCTTGACATTATAGTTTTTTAATCTAATGAGATTTATGGCTAACAGTGTAGCCAAATAGACTAAAATTTAAAATTTGTCAAGTCAAATATGGCTCTATTGTGAGAAAGCTTGGTTGTTAACTTGCTCGGGACAACGGTTTTAATCATTTATCGTGCACTCACTTTTGGCCGAGTTCCAAGTTTTCCTTACTTATGTCAAATTAATGATAGACCACCATCTCATCTGCTCTCTGGTATAGATCTTTTCAGTCTCTGTTGCTTTTAATTGAAAGTTACCGGGCACCTGTGCTAGATTTTTCGGTTTTACCTGTTTATGGTCGTTTAGTTCAGTTACCTGTTGATCTTGGCGCTGGCTAAATCAGAATCAGTAGTCAAAGTGAAACATGTAATTGAGATTTTAAAAAGAAAATTATCTTGCAAGAACAGCGACATGCTTGTGAAAATCGATGGAGATCATAATGGTTTTCTTTTAGGGTGAGGAGGAAGATTGATCGCTCTTTTTGTTGTTGAATTTTAAAAAGTATGTACTAAAATAGGATGTTTTGTTTGAATTTTCCAATTTAAGTAAAATCATGAGGAGATTGCAAAGCTAAAGTTTACCTTATGACACTAAGCAGTTATTTCACAGAGCTTGAAAAGTGTGATGACACAATTTTCTAATAATCTATTGATCGCATATCTTTCCTTGTACATTCCCTCTAGACTTTTGAAGCATATTTTCTGATTTTTAGACCTCTTTTTTCTCATTTCACAATAGTTAACTAGCAAATAATTCAAAGAGCACATTTTTGGCTTAGTTTTTATATTTAAATTTTTTTAATACCATGGATGAGTATTTTAAGAAGAAATTTGACGTTATTACTTGGACGGTGTAATAAGCCAACAGCGCTTATTACTCTCAATTCATTGTCTTAAAGCACTGTATGAGTTGAGTTCCTAGTAATTTGCTCGGATTTTTTTACCCCTAAATGACGAAGAAAATCGATTTTGAAGTCACCAAAATCTGGACTCATTTGAAACGATATTTTTGGCGGATTTTTATGACATAGGCTGGCAAGGAAGTCCGCATTCACTGATTGGCCGAAGCCCAGCTGGAGACATGGTCTAGTTATGTTATCACGACTATCAGCGTCTGGTTGGTCAGATTTCATCCGCTTTTGTCCCCCTTTAAAGTACTTTTTTAAAGTTTTAAGGGATTTTTAGGTGTTTTTATGATATTTCACATTGGATAGACCTATCAGATACTCAGCAGAAATGTTAGGTATGCTGTTATGGCCATTTACCTATTATTTCTCAATTAATCATTATTTTTGAAATGTTCATTTTTCAGTGAGAAAAAATGTCCCCTGTTTGCAAATATAACTCCCCTTTCACAAAAAAAAAAAAAAAAAAAAAAAAAAAAAAAAAAAATGTTTCCCATCCCTCAGTAATGGTTTCAGTGTTTAACATTCTAGATCACAAATCGAAGCCAGAGTAAAAAAAGAACTTATGTAACAGAATTTATTGAAAAATTTAATGTGGTGTTCAGTTTGTAATCGTTACATTCTTCTCTCGAAAAGGCACTGAAAAGAAAGAGAGTTTCAAATTTCTGGAAAGAGTGAGTTTGAAGGACGTTAATTTAGGTACATGTCAGGAAAGATTTCCCTTTTGTTCTTGAGTAGACCTGAGATAGGGTAGAGTACCAGTTGAAAATGAGTCGCCCCTTCGACCCATCCATAGCATGACCTCTTTAGTATAATGCAATTGAAAACTTCTTCACAAATGTTTCAACGTCTACGCCTATAGTTGATCCTAGGTGCTCTGCGGTTCAAGATCACAAGCCGTGACGGCTGAATCCTACGGAAAAATATCTTGCTTTTCCTAAAGTCCTCGATGTGAAAATTCTGGTCTTTTGCATTTAGGTACAGAGGGTATCCCTTACTAATTATTCATAATGAAACAGAAAATTTCTTCACCATTGTTTACTCAGTAACAAGTTAACTTTTTCATTCTCGTTAACGCTACATATATCTTTTTTAAAATCCTGAAAAGGGTACCTTAAAGATTATTTTAAGTATCTCGAAAGTTGAGGCATGATTTTTATCAATATCTTCAAACAAAAATAGATTTTTTAAGTTTTCAGTATCTTCAATGTTCATGGAATCTCTTTTAATACAGTATCTTGAAGATAATTTTACGCTTTTGTTTTTTACGCAAATCTGTGTTAAGTTTACTGTTGTTTTTATATGAAAAATTTTTGAACACTCTGCAGAATCGTTGAATTTTTCTTAACTAATCAAATGATCTAGTGAAAATTTACATTGTAAGTTGAGGATAGAAGAAAATCACACTTAACTCTCAACACTTTTTTCATTTAACTTTGTTGCATATCTAATGTTGTTTTTATGATCCGTTGTTTTTCTATCCTTTGTAAAGGCTTTTATCAGTCAAAAAGCTGATTATTTATTCATTTCAAAACGTATTTTTGTACTTTTACACTTTTTACAATAACAATTGATTTTGTGATAATTTTGGGATTATACCTCCGGTCCAAGGAGCGCTTTCATCAATAATCAATATTAAGTTTTTTCCATTATAAGTTAACTTGGTTTCTTCAAAACAACTTTTGCTTGTCATGAATTTTCAACAAAAAATGGCTAAAAAATCACCCTGTTGACCACAACCATATTCATTTAATGTCCACAGAAAATTGGAGAATCACATTTTAGACAACGGAGGAAGACTTATCATCAGTAACGTGCCAAGTGCCAAAAAGGTGATTTTGAGTCATTTACACGTTTTCTTCGGACACCTGCAAGTTATACCACTATTGCTATTTTTTAGATGTTATACTCACTATTGTAGTATTGATAACACTTAGCTCGTTATGCAGAATGTTGTCCTTGTTACTTAGAACAAGGTGCCACTTATAACTCAATTTGCGATTTTTTGGCACTTAGCATGTTATCTATGGTAAGTCTTCAGTTTTGAGTTGAGGTGTTAGACTAATGTTCCTCTTTGTATTAAGTTTCTTCTCCCCCGCAGCTTTAGATAGATAAGTTACTAAATGCATTACTCATTTTATAAATATTTAAATAAATAAAAATAAAGAAAAGAACATTGTCTAATCTGTACATTCTATGTAAGTTACTATCTTCATTTTGATGATTTCCATTTAAAAAATCATTCAGCGGGATGAAATTGTATTCCCCTCACTATGGAGTGTCCTGCTAAACAAGAACTACCTACTCACCCAGCACGTATAATCACAATCCACCATTGTGCCGGCACTGGAGTAAAGAAAAAATTGTATTTTATTGTTAAAATTCTTGTAACGAGAATGAGTTGCCTGCATGAGTCGTAGAATCCTATTTTGTTGGTTTATAATCGAAGATCATCAAAAATTAATCACACAAACCCGAACGCCCCACCTAATTGCCTTTCGCCAGAGGGAGTATGCTTCATGGTTTTTGCGATTGTCAATCTGTAATGCTGTGATGCTCTTACACATCTGCTTCTTGTGAGACGAAGTTGGAAAATTCCATCATTTGAACTGAGACTATAGATAATTTCTGAACTGATTTTTTATTAGGTGAGATGTCTTTCAAATCGTCACTAAGAATTTTGGTTTTCAAATTAATGAATTCTTCAACTTATTAAAGTCAATATGTAATGCAACAAATTAATTACTAATTTAATCCTTCAAAATACTATTCCGCCTATCCAAGTATGTTTTAATCTCTCAAAGTACGATTCAATCCATCGAAACACGATTCTATGACAAAATGAAACAACTTACTCATTTTCAGTCTCGCCGTTTGTAATTGTTTTGGAATGTAGTTTATTTCCTGCTTCAGAACATTTTTTTCAAATGTTAATAAGTCGCTGTGCACCTACCACTTTGCCTTAATAATCTTCAAATTTTATACTTAAAGATAAGCAAATAGTCATTCTACCAAATAAAATTTATTTACGGCTTGATCTATGATGGTAACTTTAATCAGCATTGAAACTGTTTGTTCGAAAACTGTTTTTCAAAGTATGCTGAGATTGTTAAACAACATTTTTAAAGTTTACAAGTGAAGTTTGTCCCAAAGCAAGTTATATTTCAATTAAATTCAACAGAAAGGAATCAATCTACATTCGGTAACACAATTCTGAAAAATTAAAGGCTGTGAGACATTGGTTAAAAACAAACGGAGTCTTACAGTAGAATTGAAATTTGAATAATCTTGTAAAATTAGAACAAGTCGAATAAAAGTCGACCTGTAAATGTTTTCATTACTCTGTACCTACGTTTTTTTTTTTTTTTTTTTTTTTTTTTTTTTTGTAAAAATTTAATTGAGTTCCTTTCTGCTGAATTTGATGACATTTTGCTGTAAATTCCTTTTTTAGATCAATAAAATTTATTTTTTAATAATTGATTTTAATATTTTCTTCCATTGCACCATGATTTTAGATATAATAACAAGGAAATATAAAAAATATGTTGATACCAATGAAAAAGAAGTAAGCACAATGTAATAAAAATGTGTTCATTGGTTTTAGGATCAATGAAAACCCTCAGCAAACTTGGAAAACCAACTAACTATTTACCAGCAAACCAATTAGAAACAACTCACCACAGGTTTGCTGAATAAGAGCTAGTGCAAGAATACAAGATGGAATGAATCATAAGAGTATCTTTCCAAAAAGAGAATGGTCACTAGAATAGGGGAAAGAAAGTGATATATTTTCAAATAATATTGGTATTTTTGAATAATTTTTATTGTAAAACAGTAATTAAAAACCTGAGAATTGAAAAAGTAAAATATATGCTTACATACTATGAAAAAAATAAGGCTTGTAACAAACAAATGAAATCTATATTATAACAACTTCGAACAGTTACATCATATTAAGTAATAATTGTCACACAGTCACCTATTTTACGAGATCACTACAAAAGTAAGTTTCACGTTCTGATTTCTCCAAAACTATCAATGATAAATGGATGCGATAACAAGGGGTAAGTATCCGCCATACAACTATCATAGAGCTATCCAACAAACTAAAAAAGTTGAAAATCGGCCCACTACTTTGTTGGGAGGTCCAATTTATTGGACCAACCTCTCCTGGGGGAAGGCCTAAAAATGAAGATTTCTTAATGGGTTTTTCCAGCAGTTTTCCACAATCTGCAATCATTCAGAATCAGTTGCAAGAGATTATGAGGGTTACCCCATGCTCCATAGTCGCTAGATTTAGCCCCAAGCGATTTCCATCAGCTTTTCCCAGAATTGAAATCTGGTCTCAGCACTGGTAAGTTTGCCACTGATGATGAAGTCAAAAAAGCTCATTTTCCTGGCTTCAAAGTCAAGACAAGGATCTCTATTCAGCTGTCATTAGAAAGCTGATCAGAATATATTAAAACAAAAGAAAAGACTACTTTAAAAAGTAAGGTGAATTCTCCACAACTTATCTTTCACGAGACCGTCGATTTGTAATTTTTGTTTTGATAATCTCCGTGCATGTTACGACTAGGTACATACCCGCAAAGAGAGGGAGGTGGTCCAGCAAGACAGACGCTTCCAGCAAATTAGTAAGCAGATTTTTAACTTTTTTAGCTCATTGGAAAACTGAGCGTAAGCTCATACCCACTTTATGCTGCATTTATTTATCCTTAGTGGTTTTGGAGAAATAAGATCATTGAACTTACTCAGTGAGCGACCCTCATATTTACAATGGATGATGAGATACAATAGAGGCTTCATAGGAGAGAGTACAGCTAGGTAAACCCAACTTGGATTTCGAAGCAAACTACATAAACTTTAAGGCACTGGGATCATTTGAATGCATTAATACAAATGTAGTCAACAAAAAACGGTGTCACTGATATTCCTGTCTTAATTTAGGTATCTTCTTTGAAAAAATAAAGAGCCATGCACAAAAAGGGCCAAAAACGGCCCATTTTTGGGCCCTCGAAATTGGGGTCGAAGTGAGGTTTTTTTTCATCCTGAGGGTGACCCTTTACACATACTAAAATTTCAGATTGAGTATACGCACCGTTTTCGAGTTATGGGGGGGCAAAGTCCCCGATTTTCACCCATTTTTGCAGGTGTTTTAATGTCGAACTCCGGCTGTTACGAGGTACCAGATCTAGATATTGAAGCGCGGTTTGCGGTGATTTGTTCTGCTATTCCTGTAGTATTTTTCCACATCTTTCACAAAGCCCCAAATGGTTTTTCGGGGGGCGGGGAGGGGGGCTTTATTCATACTATCATGACAGTTAGCGCAACTTACTGACTTTACTTTGTTCTCTTCTCTCCACGCCGAGGTCACGATGGTATTTTCCGTTGGGGATTTTTCTTCTTCTTCACATTTTACCATTTTTCATGTCCTCCCCCTCTTTTCCCTTTTTTACTTCCTCCCCCGCAATCCAAACACTTCCTCTCAAGTGCTTCTTCCTGTAAGGCAGATACGACGGGGTCATAAATGGGGGATTCTTTTCCTTTCATTACGATTGATAAACTTTGACCCAACTTACTTCTCCCTTACAGGGCCCTCCTTACCCCTGTATTATCCCCTCCCCCCTGCCTGCTCCACGCCGCGCTCTGCTCCGAAGTATATTGCTCCCTCCGCAGCAGAAATGACGATGTTTCTCGCAAATAATGTTTTACTTATGTTCAGGTACTGAAATACTGAATACATGGGAGCCACCCTCCTACTCTTCTCCATTATTTCCCCTCTTCTTCCTCTTCCCCTTCCCCTCTTGTTTGTCCCTCTTTTGCCTTGTTCTCTTTACTTTTCACTTTTCTTCTACTTTTTACTCCTTTTTTGTGGGAGTAATATGGTCATGCGAAGGGAAAGTGGAAGAGAATGCACCTTGGAAAGAATAAATCAAACATAGAAGTGGAAAGAGAAACGTGAAAAATATGAATAAGAAACAATTCTTCACAGGAAAAATCGTCATTTCTGCTGCGGAGGGAGGAAAATACTTCAAGTAAAGTGGAGCGGGCAGGGGGGGGGGGATAATACAGGGGTAAGGAGGGCCCTGTAAGGGAGAAGTAAGTTGGGTCAAAGTTTATCAATCGTAATGAAAGGAAAAGAATCCCCCATTTATGACCCCGTCGTATCTGCCTTACAGGAAGAAGCACTTGAGAGGAAGTGTTTGGATTGCGGGGGAGGAAGTAAAAAAGGGAAAAGAGGGGGAGGACATGAAAAATGGTAAAATGTGAAGAAGAAGAAAAATCCCCAACATAAAATACCATTGTGACCGCGGCGTGGAGAGAAGAGAACAAAGTAAAGTCAGTAAGATGCGCTAACTGCCATGATAGTATGAATAAAGCCCCCCTCCCCGCCCCTCGAAAAACCATTTGGGGCTATGTGAAAGATGTGGAAAAATACTACAGGAATAGCAGAACAAATCACCGCAAACCGCGCTTCAATATCTAGATCTGGTACCTCGTAACAGCCGGAGTTCGACATTAAAACACCTGCAAAAATGGGTGAAAATCGGGGACTTTGCCCTCCCATAACTCGAAAACGGTGCGTATACTCAATCTGAAATTTTAGTATGTGTAAAGGGTCACCCTCAGGATGAAAAAAAACCTCACTTCGACCCCAATTTCGAGGGCCCAAAAATGGGCCACTTTGTGCATGGCTCTTTCTACTTGTTTTTTTTACTTAAGGAGGCAAAATTGATATCCTTCAAATTGTATTTTTCAAGGAATTCACCAAGAACATTTTGATTGTGTTTGATGGGATCACTTTCGAGTAAACTAGGCTTTGACCTTTTCTTCGTTAATGCCTGATCATCTTTGTCTCTAGATTTTCGTTTTTTTACACTCTCTTTGGATTGAGATGCATGACGTTTTTCAGGTTTCCTTTTATCTGAATGGGCTGCGGTATGATCATGATTGCTTTTCTCTTTTTCCTTAGAGAATTTCTCATGTTTTTTAGAATATTTTGGCGTATGAATTTTAGTTCCATCTGCAACTTCATACCATTCTTTTCTATGATGAGATGAAATCATTCGTTTTTTAACAGGTGGAGGGCTCAAGGAACTTCTGAGACTGCAGGGGGCGGCAAAGCTAAAGGAATCAGGTTTATGCTTCTTTTCTGATGCTGCTGATTTGCTGGGCGAATGAGATGATTTCAAAAGTTTCGGAGGTTTCAAATTAGCTGCAGATAATGACTTAGAGGAGGATGATAAGTTCCTTTCACTTAGATTATGATGTGTCTTTGTTAAAGACTGGTAACCGTTGGGACTTTTAGGAGATGCAAGGTATAATTGATGATCAGATGTTTTTGAGGTTTGAAAATTTTTTTGAACACTTTTGATGGTAAGATCCTGCGGAGAGAGATTGTCTCTCATACTCCTAGGATTATCTTTACTTCTATTCTTTACAGAATATAAACTTCTTGAGTGAGGAGGTGATGGAAGCAACCTCTGAGAGGAGATTGTTTGAACTGACTCCGTAGAAGTTGTGACTTTAGGTTTATTACCCTTCGACTGATGATAAACATTCTTCTTAATTATTTTACGCTGACCATCTCGCTTAACCTGCTCCACTTTTGATGGAATGTACATTAGCGTTCTCTCCTCACTAACAGTCAATTTATGGACGGTTGGACCACTATCATTCTCAAGTTCTAATAAGAAAACAGCATTTTTCAAAAAGTCCTCTTTTTGTTTCAAATCACTGGCACTGAATTGAGTAGATTGTTCTTGGGACTCATCGTATACCACATGGAATGTAACTTGGTTAGCTGCGCCATTATAATGAGTAGTTTCTGTCTTCAAGGGAGAGATAAAAGTATTACAGGCCACTAAGTCGTCAATTCTACAACTAGTTTTTGGCAAAGCAAAAGATAGATGATCCTCCACGTCATCAGGTACTATGTATTCTAGTTTTAATTTTGATTCCTCAGCTGCAGTAACTATTTCTTGTTCTTCCGCTGTGACAATGAATAAATTGTCATCACAAGAGCTTCCGGTTGTAACGTTTGCATCATAATCCTTGAAATTATTAGATGAATCTTTCTCTATTGGAAAATCATCAATATTTCCAGCATCCTCTCTTTGAGATGACTCAGAAAGCTGATTGTATACTGATTGTATTGCTCCAAATTTTGCTGAGCAAAACTCATCCTTCCGAGGGCTTTCATTACTTTTCTTCCTATTTCTTTTATTTATAGGTGAAGTTACTTGATTACCAATACATTTCTGTTCATTGGCTGCATACTGCGATTTTACCAGAGCTTTGTGGAGAATAGATTTATCTCCTGAAAGATGCGACTCAGACTCGCAATATCCTAAATTATGACTAGAATCAGTACTTTTTGCTCTATTCAAAGCAAAATGATCGGAAGCTTTCGAAGGCGATGATACTGGTGGGCCGAGTCCATGTTCAAAAACTTCCGTGCTATTTCTGGAACAATCGTCTGAACTTATTGTTGTCCTGCTATCTAATCTTTTTGCTATTTTTCCCTGAGTTATGATACAGCGGTCAATAAGGGGAATGGCAGAAGGTTTTGACTCGGTCAATTCACCAGAGCCATCAAAATCAAGGTCTCTTTGTGTGAGGGACTGACATGAATCACTTTCTTTTTTATTAATCTTCCTTGATAAGATTTGATTTTTAAATTGGGTCAGCTCAGATTTAGGTAGTCTCAACAGCTTGTGGATAGAATCAATTTCTTGCAATTTTACTGTACTTGGCATTAAATTGTTAGCAACTTTCACACGGTTCGACTTACAGACTGACTTGGCATCATTCGGTGAAGATTCTAATATTGCTGAAAGCTTCCTCTCAGTTGTTTTTACTTGGGACTTAGAGCCACCTGTTTGAAAAATAGCACAAGCTTTTTCTTGTGATGCAGGTATTGTAGATGTTTCCTCACCTATGCTTTTAAGAGGGTAGATACTTGAGGGAGACTCAAAAAGTTGAGATCTGCATACATTTTTGAAGCGATCATCTCTCTCAGAGTTGTTACCAGTCAATGTTTGCTTTGGGCAGGTAAGGGCTGTCCTTGGAGGGCCATCTCTATTAGTGGGAGTGCAGAAATCCAGTGCACGAACATGCCTTTTTTTGTCTCTTGGTGTACTCAAACTCAGCTTTTTTGTTCGATTGTGAATGACCGGTGAGATAAGCTTTTTGAATTCAGAATTGATTTTGTCTGTCGACAAGTTAATACTGGTTATTTTGAAAGTGTTTGCAGGAGAACATTTCTGGATGTCTGAACTGTTTGTTTGGTCTACTGATGATGACTCAGAGGCAAAGAGACTATTGTCGTGAGAAGATAAAGGGTTCACTGAGGGTAAAGAAGGGCATGTATTGTCTTTCGGTGCTTCTACAGATGAGCAGGTACTGTTTGATACAACAGTAGCGACTGAGCTTTTACAGTGTAAGACTTTCTTGCTGGAGGGTACGTCGCAATTAACATCAGTATCAACTACACTACAATTACTTGAGCTTTCTTTCGAATCTTTGTTAATAGAAAAAAGTTGGGAATCTTTAGAGTTGTCTGCACTTTTTCCAGTTCCCTCCTGCGCAGTCTTATCTCCGGAGCAATCAGAAGATCCTGCTTCAGAGTCTTGTAAAGGTAGTTTGAAACTATTTGGAGGAGACTGTAGGTCAACCTCGACAGAGTTTAGTCTTTGTGTATGCGACACAGAGGAACATTCTGAATCTGATGCTTTCTGCTCATTTCTTTCAGAAAGACTCGACTGCCCGCTGCGGTTACCATTCATTCCTAAAACGGAGGATGAGGATTTATTGAAATATTCCACATGTCCATCTGTAGAGTTACTTCTTGACAGATGTTCGATTAGCATTTCTGCGAAGTCTCTATTGGAATCAACTATTGTGGGTGAGTTGATGGGGACTATTGTTTTTTCTGATGTTGCATCAGAATCAGCTGTGGAGGTAGAGATCAAGGTTTTTGCCTTCTGAGATTTAACAAAGTCTCCTGGTGGATCCTCCTGCACTTCACTGTTGACTTCCATACTTTCGTCTTCTGGTGTAACGGCTGAGCTTGGTTTCTTTCCACGTCCTTTTGAGGATACTTTACCTTGAGAGTTTCCCTTTTGTCCTGGAAGGAAAAGAGATATTGTATCATCACATATTCAAAGGAAAATTATTTGTATTCAAATATATACAACAACAGTAAAACATTCTCCTGTAAGTTTCTCTTGTAAAAAATTATCATGGTCTATTTCGTTTGGTGTAAGTTAACAAACAAACGGGCCCTTCATTTTTCCGAGTTTTGAAGCATGAATAGAGATGGAAAACTGAGGCAATCATGGCATGAGGTTGCGCAGGACGCGAGGGAAATATTTGTGGAACAACATCGCTATTGTTTTAGAGTTGTAAAAGGGTCTATACATGAGCAATATGTATAGTCACTTTTCAAAGTTACCATTTAAAACTAGTTTTGATAAACGTTGAATTAAAAAAAAATACCACCACCACCAAATGGCCACCGACTATCTATTCTTAAAGATGCAAATTATACATTATCCAGAAACTTCTATTCTTCTTAAATTAATCTATTTAATAATCCTGTTCATCATTAAAAGATTCATTATTAAAATTCAGTTAGAAATAAAGTGTTCCGATTTTTACTATAGTTCGCTGCTGGAATTCGTTTTGACTAGGAGCTGCTGCAAAAACTACAAAAAAAAAAAGAAAAAAAACTTTTTCCTGATTTTACAAACCGCCTTTGACAAAATTAGTTTTCACCATCTAATAGCATTTTAATGCTTTTCGACTTTGGACTCGAATGAGAAGAATAAAAACAATAGCTTACTTTTTGGAGCCACTGTGTTAGGAGTTTCTTTTTCAGGGGTCGTCATTGGTGCATTTTTGGGGGCAATATTGACAAGGTTCGAATACAGCTGATTGGTCACCATTATACATGGTTTCACATCTTTGGTATCTATTAAATATAAAAAGCAATAAGAAGTTAGAAATAATAATGGAGGAACCATCCTATTTAAAGCTAGATGATAACATGCGGCAAGACAATATTGAAGCTTGAAATAACCATAAATTCGTGGCTTGCAGGACAGATATTTTATTCATCAGTCTATTTTAAAGATTAATTAGATGTTAACAAAATTTTCTCTGATGCTTTACAAATAATTTTGAAGTCGTATGAACTCATCGATTGGTTGAAATAGTGGCTTTGAAAACAACGGAGAGATTAATGCTCTGATAAGTGCTCTGATGAGCTCTGGGTGAATAATGGGAATACAGTTGCCATTCTGAATGGAGAAGTTGTTAACAGAGGAGACAAGAAAATTTGATCCCTGCTCACGTTGAGGATTAGATGTAAGAACGATCTGTGCGCCAAGAAGGGAGAAAAAATACATAAGATACCGTTACAGCAACAGTAGGCACTCTACGGTAGAGTCACAGTAGAGTTTGAGGCACTCTCATAGCTTTTTCCTTTCTCCTGGTTTCATTTTCTATGCATTAAAAACTTTGTATCATATAGTTTAACCTTAATCTTTATTAGCGCAAGAAAATACTCGAACAATCGGGTTTCGCTTGTATGATAGACTACAGACAACTGAGAACAGAATGAGTAAAGGAAAAGAGGATAGTAATTATAAAATCTTAAGTTTTAAATAATACACAAATCGGCGACTAAATTGAAACTTTCGACAGTTCAAACACAAAACTGAAAATGTACTTACAGATACCGTGCTTCGGAGGGTTCAGCAGATCTTCAGTGATTAGGACAGTTGGAGGTATATTTTTTTTCCTGTTCAAAGGCAGCGTACTGTCTGCAAATAAGCTGGGAGAGAGGATTCCTTTTATCAAGGAAGTAGCTGGATGGTTGGGTAAAGTCACCATCCGATGCGGAAGGGGCACAGTGCCGGTGCCAGCTTGGATTGAGGTTGGCACTGTGGAAGTGGCGTCAAGTACGACAATACTGGAACTTGAGGGATTTTTCTGGGTTAAGGAGGTAACCTTTCCCATTTTCACGACTGAAAATGTTTGATGGTTCGTTGGAGCCAAATGGCTTGGCATCTTTTCCGCTACTTTTGCTGGTTTGCTTGGCTTCTTAACTGATTGTGCTTGCTGGATCTTATGGGATGTGTTTGATTCTACCGCAGCAGTGTTAGTGGGAGCTGAAGTATTAATTTCTAATAGTTGCTGATCGTTTTCTTCAGATATGGTTTCGTTTGATTCTCTATCTTCCACATAATTAATTTTGGACTCATTGACTGATGAGAGATTACCTTCAGTGCTGCATAGAGGATCTGAAAAAACCGAGTAAGACCAAGGTAGACTTATTAAAAAGAGATGCCTAAAAGTAGCGAATTATATAAGATTCAAAGTTTTTTTTCAGAAAAGTATGATGTTTGATGCAACACAAGTCATTACTTATCAGAAAAGCAACTGTAGAAGTCTTCTTTCCCCACCCTGTGTAGTTCAAAGTATAAGCTATGCGTAATAGCTGAGCTAGAGTGCCAAGATGAATGTTTTCATATTTTCATACCGCAGAGACTGTTGACGTTTAATGAGCAATTTATGATGCGAGTAAATTATGATTTATTTTAAGGGCAGTAAGTTTAAGATATGTGAAAAAATGTTCATGTCTTAGTCAAGAGTTACTTCCAGAAATAGTTGCTGAGTTAATGCATTATACATGAAATTTTGATGAGAAAAGATGAGTCATTATGCATAAACTTGCACCTTCTTAAGTAGTCTATTACATCTCAATCCTAGCAGAAATTGGAGGTAAAAATTAAATTATTTAGTTCAATTCTTCGTCATTTGGTTGAGAGGAATGACGAACTTCAAAAATCAACTTCAGCAGGGATTGAATAAGGAATCTAGGACTGTCAAAAAAATGCATTATTTGATTTATCTAACCTTTGCTCTCTTTCGAATTGGTCCGTGATGCAACATTTGTCTCTGAGTCTTTGTCAGTTTCAACTCCTTTTGTTTGATTCTTGGAAACCGAGGTAGGATTTCTGAAAAAAGAAAATGAGGTTAGATATTTAACATAAAAAATAGATAAAAATGAAAGGACATTGAGCAAAAGTACAAGTCACTAAAATTCAGTAAGTACATGAGTAAGGGCCGGCCAGACCGATAAGGCATCATCTCGGAGCCGAGGCAACTGGCATCTGCCATCATACAACCCGGAGTTGGACCAAGCACCTGAACTAAATGTGTACCAAATCTCATGATACGTCAGTCACGTTTTTGAGGACACTTAAAATTTCATCATTACGACTGTAAATGACTGTGCCACTCCAATCCCTTGTCTTCCTCTTCCAGATAACAGGATGAGGGAGAGACGTAGCCATCTGAAAGGAGTAAGTATACACTGTTTGACTGAATTGTGATTAAAACAAAGAGCACTTTTAGTGTGCACGATGGCCAGCATCACCTATCATGTACGAGCTTTGCCAGATTTTGCCACAGAAATTGATGCGGCATAATTGCTTGTGCTTTAGGGTGTGTGGTTTAGTGCTCTATGGTAAAGAGATTGATACATTCTGAGCCACACTTATTGGAATGGAAATGATCCAGGACCAATTTACAAGAGAGAAGAGAGAAAGTAACGCAGTGATTTAAATAAAATTTGAAAAAAAATGTTCTGCAACTTTGAAAGGTGATGAAGGAAAAAATGAACCGATGCAGTGTGATTTCAATTCAAACTAGTTACACTGCTGTTTTAAAATATTCTCTAGAAAGAAGAGGATTAAAAAAATTTAAGAAAAGCCAAAGAAAACAGCTTTTGATACTTCTAAATTAAGTAAGATTAGGTGCAACTTACTCAGACTCAGCTTCTGAACGTTTTGTGGGAGCATTATCAATGTTTTTTTCACCTGAAACAAAGATTTGATTGTAAGGAATTGAGGTGATCAAAAAGAGAAGTCGTTGAAAATATATTACTTGCGGTAAAGGGAGTGAGAACAGAAAATCCAACAGGCACCATGTGCAAAATGCACCTAAATATTTCTAACACGCACCGAAATCATTGAAGTCAAGTCTAAAATTGACACCAAACTACTCGCCATTAAATTTCAAACTCCTGAGATAGATATATCCTCCTGTTTTGTCATATCCTCCAGTCGCATCCAGAGGCGGCTTTTTTTCACCATTTTGTAGACCCCACAATGACAATTTAGATAATTTAATTTAGCAAAACGGACAGTATTTTCAGAAGTCAATGCTCAAGTTTGTTGTTTGGTGATTGATGAGTACCTTGTTCAGCATAAAATCCACCATATGATGACTGATGAACGTCCGGGTGAGCATTTAGCTGGGCTAGGTTTTGCAAATTAGGTTGAGTTTGTTTCATCGATTGCTCAACACTTCAGTGATTAGACATCACTACGCAAATCTGAGACTTGCCGAAAGGATTCCATTGATGGATGAAGAAAAGCTACAAAACTGTGTACTCAGTCAGAAAAAACTAGATTTTGAAGTGCCAAAAGACATCTGATACACGAAAAAAATTCTCACTGCAAAAATGCCACTTATAATAGATTTGAGTACAGCATGATCATGATCTTGATTTGTGGGAGGATCGATTCCGATGGCAATTTGGAGTCACAGAGCGCTCTAGTGTGCTGAGGTAGCGGCTTGATATGTATGTATGATCTTGACTGATCCTTAATAACTGTACAATATTAACTAAAAAAATTAAGGCAAAAGAGAAACATAAGTACCGTTTAAGAACTCATCCAAAAAGTTTTTAAAGAGAGGATCACTCTGAGTTTGATGGACTATTGATTGGATGACAGATTCCAGTTCTCCTGAATTTTCATTCTCATTTTGCTTCTGATTGAGATTCCTTCCATCAATCCTGATTTCAGGTATTCTGGCACTTGAATCACTGATCGAACCGGTTTTATTCCCGGAAGAGTTTTTATCCTCAGTATTCTCTCCTGTCACCTAAATTCAGGGCAAAAAATATGAGAAGGTTAGCTGTAGGTACTTGAGATCTGAATGAAAACATTTCTTAATCAGATGGATTGTCTGCGGTGATTTGCCCAATCTTTGATTAAAGCCAGAAATGGAGAACTTGCGTGAGAAACTTTTGTTTACGTATTTCTCGGTCTCCGTCTTACTTTCTCGTTTTTAATGTGAACATCATGTTCTACAAATCATTTACCTTTGAAAAATTTATTTGCAAGTCAAAATTCGTTCATGGTTTAGTGGTCCATTCTGCGCCTAGTGGAACTAAGTCACTGTCTCAATTACGTCTGAATTGACTTGAAAATTTTTCCACCTTGAATTCATTTTGTAGAAAATCCAATAATGTATCCACTCAAGTATCCAACTTCACCATGCTTCCTTTGTTGATTGGAAGCAAAAGGTAAAAATATTGAAAATAAGGATAAAAAAGCTGTGAAAAATCACGAATTGTGAAATAAAGGTACAGGTATTTTACCTGACAAACGTTCATTACCTGTTTTCTCTTGGCTCTTGGTTTTTTGGCTTCTGGAGGCTTGCAATTACCAGGTAAACTTTCTAAATTTGTTGTTTCAGGTACTGATGGTGAAAGACAATGTCTGGAAAATCAATTAAAAATTACTCATCTAAAATACAGGAAATATAATCTCTCCTGGCTGACTTAAAGCTAGGTGGACAATGCAAAATTAGTGAAGAGGTACTACAAATATTAAAGGTAAATAGAGAATTTGCAGGTGTCTAAAATTTGATGAATTTCATGTTTAAATGGAAACGACTGAGTGAACTGAACATGAGAATACCCTTGGTTCATGAATTTAACAATTATTGGAGAAGATATGACAAAATGATCTAATCTGCTAAAATACGTGTGTTTAAATGGCCAGATGACGTCACTAGGCAGTGCATTTTCTCACTTTTAAATCTATTGTTACACTATTTCCCATATCAGAAAAAAATTATAAAAAATACTGTGAAATCAGCTCTTTAAGCACTTTCAGATGAAGCAATATAAAATTTGCATGCAAATTCTCCCTTAAAGAGATACACGAGAGTATATTGAAAGAAAAACCAAAATTGTCCTCAGTGGACACTGCAGCTAAAGGTTGAAAAAGCTATGTCCTCCATCTTCCAGAGAAAACATTACGTATGAAAGAAATTCCACTCTCAAAACAAAATATATACTGGTTATAGATGTCATATTTCAAAACACATTAAACAAACTTACACAATAGGGGATGAAGGTGGCATGGACTGTGTTCCAGGTGTTGACGTTGTGTTTGTTACAGACCAGGTTGGTGTGGAGGGTAGTCCTTCCATAGAAACGGAGTAACTCATACTATCGGTTTCATTAAACGGTATGGGCGGTGGGCTTTTTCTTGTATTTGAAACTGTTTCATTAATGGTTTTATTTATGTCTTCCTATTTCATCAACAAGACCATTGAATATTAATGACTAAATGAAATTAATGATGAACGAAATTCATTGAGAATTTGAAGAATTGCTTTTAAGATCCAATGAACAATTTTCAACACAGTGAAAGTAAGTTAGCGGAGTTAACAAAATTACCCAGCGGTTCTTGATACAGAATGACCTGTATTATTTATATTTCAAAGATTGACTAAAAAAAGATTTAATCAAAAACTTTTTCGCAAAAAAAACAACAACATAGAAATAGCTTTTTTTGACCTTGGTGAGATACCTGAACGTGAAAAAAAAATTTATACATTCAAATACATATAGCATTTCTCAAGAAGAGTCTGATTAGGTCATTGTTTTTGATTAGCCTGGGTAACAGTTAAGAAAGTGAGCCTTTTTAACAATACATACCTACTACTAATGAGTTACAGTTGCCAACTTAGAGTATTTCAGAAGGTTTCTTAGTAGAACTCGCATCGAATAAGTTGGCAGATGTTTACATTCCGTTTGCGAGCAGGTGCATTGCGGTCCAATAACCACTGACGATTGACCATACGCAATGCCACTACTGGGTGCAGAGGTGTAAAATGGTTTACTGAGCGTGACAGTCAAGAGTAAAAAACTGCCAACTTATCTCTTGCGAGCGCTAGTATGATTTTGATCAGAGCATAGGTCTACAGCTAGAATTTTAATTATAACCAGTTTTTTGGCTTTTAAAATGAACAAACAACCTTAAGATGAAATGGACTGAGTTAAGCAGAAAGGAACCAACCCACATTTTGGAAAAAATTGAGTTATGAGAGGTTTTGAACTCAACCACTGCTCTACTATCTATTGCCAAAAATTCAAAGTTTTTATTGGAGCAAATTTTGCAGAAATTGAACTTTAAGTTTAACTTTTACATTGAGTCTTATGCAGGAGCTAAACTTTAAGCCTCTTTTTCTCGGTTCGATCCCTATGTTGCTTGGTTCCTTTCGGTTTAACTCCGTCCAAATGGATTGGATTTGAATTCAGAAATTAAAACACATAGTACTTGATCAACTTTTAATTGAATTTTTCTTTGTGATCATGAACTCTCACAGAAACTTATCTTTACTGAGTGAAGTAAAAACTATAGAGGTTCGACTCAAAGAAATCATCAATATTACCTGCACTGGAACTGTTATGTTGAACATGACTGTGCTGTGACCTTTACACTCAACATCTATTAGATAAGCCACCTGATCGACCAATTCTCGGCTGGAGATATGATTGACTCGCATGGTTTCTATTCGATCCTGAACTGTGAAACCAGAAAACAAACCAGGGTTGAAGCAACAGACATAAAAAGCAGCTCTTAAACTTTGTAGTCAAGTACATTTCACTGATGTTACACATTTTCACTGTGGTCTATCTCTTTTTGCATGAGAAGAAATGCTATTATGTAATCTCTCTGCATGTGGCCCTGATTGTGGATCCTACGCTGACAATACATTCTGTACCCTTTACAAAAATTGTTCAGAGCTGCACCTCTCCTAAAACTATTTCATCCTTTCTTTGGCTTACTCAAACACTTCATTCAACCAGCTCCCTTAGAATATTTTGATATCATACTACCAATGACTAGGAGTGCGCACAGAAAATGCAGAAATCGCCATCTGTGGATCACTGCAAATGTGAGGAAAATGGTGGGTACCTTATGCTTTATTTATTCGTTGTTTTTTTTTTTTTTTTTTTTTTTTTTGCTTGACAATTTCATAAATTGGGGCAAACTGCACAATTTGCTCTAAAACCAGACATTCTCTCACTAATGTGTGTATATTTCCATGAGAAATCAGAGATTTGGTTCTTAGAAACAAATGTTGGATTGCTGCCAGAGACTTGAAGTTTTTACCTCTGCCACCTCTGCCAATGACAGGGCTAAAACACAAGTTTGATGAAGATGACCTCGAGTCATTCATTTGAATCCATCAGAGTACTGCTCAATAATGTGATTCAAAAAGGGCGAAGACACGATGTAAATTGATGAATTAAAAAAGTAAAAAAATGGATAGTCACCATTAAATATTTTTGGTAACATCTTTCAGAGGGTGATACTTAGCATAAAGATCAAAATTTTAGTCTAAGTACTTTTCTTATGGAGTATAATAATAAAATGGTCTGCAATAGAGAACGATCATTCTTACCTAATCGATGTATAGCACAAAATTGATCTAGACACTTGTATAGTGAATAGCCCATGACATTGGTAGAAAACTTCCGATTGAGTAAAGAAATTTGATAACATTCTCGTAAGTGTTCAGATGTTTTTAGGAATGCATTGGCAGCTTCGAAACATTTTTCACATTCTAAATAGCCTGAGAACAAAGAATAATTATGGTTAAATTTTTGGCTAGGTACACACTAAAATTTCTAAAACAGCAAGAAAAAAAAAATTAATAATCTAGACTAGCAAGTCCGATAGAGAATCATTTAACTGCTGCAATAATATAACGGACTCAAATTTTTAATAATAGTCAAAATGTGTGCCTTTGTTTCAGAGAGGTTTAGTTCTTTTTAAAAGACTAATTTCTGGTGTTCCTTTAAAAATGTCAAAATACCACTGCTAAAAACTTGGAAAATCAAACCACGGCTCCTTTATTTCTTCAGTTCATCTTTCTGAAGGGCATGTGAGAATGGTATGGCTGCAAAAAAATTGGCATGAGAAAAGAGAGAACAGTATCCTATATAACTACCTCAGCAGAGAATTCTCTATTCCTCAAAGATCCTCGTTTCCTATAGTGTAACAGTTCAAAAGTCCCTTTATTTCAACAGCGGAAAGTTAATCCATAAAATTGCTCCCCCCACAAAGTTCAACTGTGTTCAACAGGCTGCAGGAGAAAACTGCTCTGTCTAGCATGAAAGTGGAATAGAGTTTACAAGTGAGTAGAATTTTGATACTTTAAGTTGTCTATGCTGCTACATCATTGGTACAGTATTTAGCAAAATGGAACCAGCGCTATTACAGTGTTGTAAAATGTTGTTTCTTCATAATTATTTAAAAAATCTCTCAGAATAACGAATAGTTTTTCCTTCCCACCAAAACATTGTTGATTTCAAACAAAAATAATTGTGTGAAGTTTAGTGCTGAACATATAAAAAGGAATTATAAAAGAAAAAAAGAAGTTGCACAATTTCGAAAACACTGTAATTGCGCTGGTTCCTTTTTGCTAAATGCGATCCATTTGAATACTAGTTCACTAGTTCATGGGATGTTTCGTCCAACGAATATTGGGTAAAAAGTTGCAAGATACATATAGGAAACCATCAAATGAACAGGTGCCATCAAGGTTTGACATGATGCGAAAGGGACTTGGAAATATAATTCCTTGTTGCCTTCTCTTTCGCACAGGGACCTATCTGATCAAATCTTGCCGGGTGGTTCACCTCATGACAACGTTCAATGTGAATTGGACTAACAGTTGCTATGTGAGTTCTGCTCTTTATTAACGCATCCGTCTCTCAAATGATGAAATCCTCGGATGCAAGTATCCATGATGAAGCATAATGCAGAGATAATCTATTATTTACACTGAGGTTTTGAGGAATCGGAGGGAAAATTGTCTTACCATACACTAGGCGCGCAACCTCAGAGGGTAAGAGGTACTCCATCCTCACGCTTGTCTTGTTACAAAGTATTGGGAGAAGCTAAATTATTTATTATTGGCAAGAAAATAGGGAATATGTGCAAAAAAAATTTGAAAAATTTTAAAGAGGAACACAATCGCCAGCGACTGTTTACAATTTTTCAGGTTATGTTGTTGTTGTTTTGTAACCCTCCCCCCCCCCTTTTCAGCACCGGATATTCCTTTCCGAGTCTCTTCCCTTTTAGCTGTCCTATTCCCCTGCCTTGCCCTGCCCCCTCCAGTGATGCCAGGCGTACGGATTTATCCGTGCCGCGCGGACATTCCCTATACCGACACGGACCGCGTACGGACAAAAACCTTATAGACGCTATTAGTGCAACGTCACAGGAAAGCGATATTTATCGATTTTTTCACATTGGTAGCATTGAAAGAGGTTATGCCAATGTTATTGTTTGGATCCAATTCGATATAATGGAGAATCCCTATGATGACGTCGCCACTAATAGCGTCTATGGGATAAACGTTTCCCTATCTTAAAATATCCGTACGCGTGACGTCACAGAATGACGCTCAGCCAATAGTAGCACGGAGAGCGGTAGAGCGCACGGATCTCGTACACGGAGCACCCGGGAACACTGGCCCCCTCCCTCATCAAAGTTTTTAGTAGGTTATGTTGTGATTCCAGTAAAACGTTCTGTGAGTAAAACCAGTTCTGCACACTGATAGCAGCAAATATACTGATAATTTGTTTTAATTCTCAATTTATCCCTGACTTCTTCCAACATTTTATCGTGAGTACCTTCCCGTACCTAAAACTCCAGGGGTGTTCATTATATTTACCGAATAAGGCCCACAATTATTTCATTCTCCATGCCCATGAGTCTTGCTCCTACCACAGAGCAAGACTTTTTCTCATTATTATACATTAAAACTTCACATTTTACCCATAATGATTATCTCTCTGCATTCTATGATTTGGACCTCTTCTTATAGATCCTCATTACCACTGTAAGAGTTGATTTTCAGTTTTGGTTATCCTCAACTACTTAGATGAAGTGAGCAGTATTTATGAGGTAGAGTCAGCGCCAACTAAGTTTACGCACCCTTAAACCAAGCCAGTAGATTGTCTGACGCCATTTTTACATGGAAATTAAATGCAAGAAGCAAGACGACGAATCTGTGGTGGCGGTCTGAAAGTGCATGGACTGAGTTGGCGCAGACTCCTCTTAAGTATATTTTCTACAGCATTGTCCATGTCTTAACCCAAGATGCCTTTGTCCCCGTCCTGAACGCATCTAGATGACAGATTCACTCATCTTCCTGGAAACTTCAATGCCCTCGTAATGAGCCCTTAAGTGCTGAAATACTAAGTCACTTTTGCCTTAGTTTCTTGTCATCATTATTGTCAGAAATCCAAATTTTGTCAGTGGCAAAGAGAAGTATTTGAAAAAGAGTGTTTGATTTGCCAGTGTACTATATTCTGTACCTCCTAAGCATCACCCGCATCTCTCCGATGTTTATAGTCTTCCATGGCCCAACCCTTAATGGGAGCTTTGTAACAATATAAACAAGAAATGTAATAAATGAAAAAATCAAAATTAAGGGATTAAGCTGGTCTTATAACCATAAAGAATTTTAAATACTTCAATCAGTACTTTAACTTTTTTTCCACAAATGAGAAGTTTTAATTTGAGAAATCTGACATTATAGCCGAAGCCTTGAAACGTGGCGGGTAAGGGGCGGAGCCAGTTGGTTGGTCCAGTCTATCGTTGAAGGGTTGAAGCGCAGGTATTGGCCCGTAGTTGAGACAAGGTAACGACTGGGCCAATACCTGCGCTTCAACCCTTCAACGATAGACTTGACCGGCCGACTGGCTCCGCTCCTCACCCGCCACTTTTCGTGGCGCGGATTATAGCAGGCTCATCTAAAGTTCCTAACTTGCCATTAACCGAAAGAATATGGTTAATCCTTGGATTGAATTCATGAAAATTAGTCTGATAGATCTCTAGATTTCATTTTGACACTAAATGAAAATTTGAGAACTTAGAGAACTATTGGTAATAACGCAGAAGTTTATTAGAGAGTATCTATCTTCCAAAGCAATACTCAGAAATGTTATAAGTCTGTAAGACCTTGGGATGAGAACTCCTTTGAATTTTTGTCCCGATGACAATGTACAGTGTAATGTCATGCTATCATTTTTAAACATAAGATTTCTCTAGAATAGAAGAGTTCTTTTGAAACTACGGCACTGTAAATGAAGGTATTGCTGTAATTAGCAATGCACAAAATATATCAGTTGTGAACTCTGATGAAATATCAAACAAAGCATCCGAACGTCAATGTGAGAATTGGGAATATCACAGCTGGAGACTACTATTTTCTGGAGTCAATGTTCTCTAATTTCACCCATGCAAATTAATATCAATTCACCGTTACTTATTGAATATGCGAATTCTAGGGTCTCATAGTATTTCTTTTTTATCGTTATTTTGTGTGACAAAGCAGCATATTAATAATTTTTCATTTCTCCTGTTTATGTAGGTGGTGCTCTTGTGCTGGAAGTGTTTTCTCATTTCAATTGGCTCAAGCAATCAATTCCGAAGGGGCATATAATAAGTTTCTTAGAAATATTCAACCCCCTTCATTTTAAGGGTCAGCTTCTCTAAATCACTTTAAATCACATCATTCCACTTTGGTTCCAGAGGACTTCTACCATACTAAAGCACCATGAACATCCGTTGCGCCAGACCAGAAGATTTAATGAATATGCAACACTGTAATCTGCTTTGTTTACCTGAAAACTATCAAATGAAATATTATTTTTACCATGGTCTATCTTGGCCACAACTCAGTTACGTGGCTGAAAATGAACAAGGTCAAATCGTGGGGTATGTACTGGCCAAAATGGAAGAAGATTCAAACGACAACCCTCACGGTCATATAACATCCTTAGCTGTGAAAAGATCACATCGGCGATTAGGATTAGCTCAGAAATTAATGGATCAAGCAGCCAGAGCCATGGTAGAATGTTTTCACGCCAAATACGTCTCTCTACACGTTCGTAAGAGCAACCGCGCTGCTCTCAACTTATACTCCAACACTCTGAAATTCTCTATATCTGAGGTGGAGCCCAAATACTATGCTGATGGTGAAGATGCCTATGCAATGAAAAGAGACCTTAAAATCTTCCAACAAAGCTCTAGCTGTTCTGAAACGTCTAAAAACGCTATCAAATCAGGAGATAAATCTTGTGAAAAAGGAGACAAATCAGGTGATAAGTCTTCAGAGAAATCGGACAAACCTCCTGGCAAGTCAGGTGACAAGTCCTCTGAAAAGTCTTCAGATAAAGCCTCAGAAAAATCTGTCGATAAACTATCTGATAAAATGACAGATTTATCTCTAGAAAAGTCTTCTGACAAAAGTTCTGAGAAATCTGGAGATAAGCTTGCCAATGGTCAATCCGGCAAACATAACAAAACAAAGTAAGAGTTGAATCAATCATTGAGACATTGTGCTTGAACTCTCGATGATTTCCAGTCTCCTCTGACATGATTGGAAAAATTCTTCATCAGCTGTGTATTTTTTATTTGACCTTTTTGAGTTGTGAAATTGTATAAACTTCCTTTTTTGAATGTGTAGCATCTTGGAAAAAAAAAAAAAAAATGAAAATAAATACAACCTTGAAACATTCTCTCTGTCCTCTTAATTTTCTTTGGCTTTGACATCATATTACCATTTGATCTTGAGAAGTAAAAATTGGTAGACGCCTAATTTAGTTTTCCAGAAAAAACAGTAGGAATTAAGATTAATATCTTTTGAAAAATTGGAATTTATGAGGAAATAAGAATCTCTGCTGAGAAATAAACTGGTTACAACGATCATGAAGTATCGCACACATCTTAGAATCAAATTTGTTGAATGTACCATGAACTTCTTTTAGGCCACTCCTAACAAATCTTCCAATGCCTGTCATAGTTGTAGATTCATTTCTACTAGTGAAGTGAAGTACTGTACAAGGTGCGAACTGAAGCGTTCTAACACATGCTCTCTCTTCAAAATTTGATGTAGAACACGATTTGCAAAATATAAATCAATGTAGTTAACTTTTAACCAAGATATTTACGTTTTTATTTAGCACTGATTAAGTACGATAAAGTTGAAAAAAAGAGAAAGAAAATTCTAAGTTGACATGCATCCAAACATGCACTTTGAAAGTTTCGGCAGACTTCTTAAGCAGTGTTTCATCTCTGCTGTGTTGTTCCAAGTCTACAAATGTGAGTTGAAGCATCAAGATTGAGGTTGCCATATTTTCACACCTCTGAGACTGCTGCAGTACAGTTTAGTGAGTGATTTAACATTAGCATAGTTGAGTATGATATTTTTGGAAAGTTGGAATATACGAATTGTAAACTGTTAATATTTTGGTTTGGAGTCACTTTCAATAATTTTCATTGCACAAATTGTGTTTTTCGTGAAATTTTGACAAAAAACAACGTACATCATAATGCAAAAATTGGCATCTTGTCCAGTGGTCTATTGAAAAGTCCTATCAGTCTGATGATTCACCCCACAGAAAGTATCTTTTCACTGTTCTCTTTGCGATTTTTCCATCGTTTTCTTATCAACTGAATCTTTCAATAGGAACAATAAAAACAATTTCAATATAAAAAGTTACAAAAGCTGCAAAGTTTATTTGAGAATCAAATTTTTATCTACGAGACATGTGAAAATTCTTAAAATTAAAATAGAGATATGAACATTTGCCTAAATATCTAGTATGCCTACCTATTCTTTTGACATATGAACAGATTGACTCTAAAGGGAAACGTCTTGAATATTTCAACTGCTCAGCAGAACAACATTATGCAGACAGCTGGAACATAGTAGGTAGATATCCAGTTCAGAAACACCCATAATAACTACAGTTGACGGATTTCTGACCCAAGTTCTTGAAAGTATCATCAAAAATAAATTCTGGGTTTTCACAGATTTTTATGACTTGATAATATAACCCTAGAGACAAGGTTCTGCTTACAAACACAGAGAAAAAAAAATCAATGATGCTCATTAGCTGAAGTTTTCTTTTTACTAGTGGTTCAGAATTCTGTCAACCCTGGAGAATTTCCTTTACCCCCGCCTAAGATTATGAAGAATTTGTTCATGGTTGCGGTAAATCTGGATGAACTTAGGAAAAATATTACAAACATTTCGTCTTTCCGATTACTTCAAAAATTCAATTTCTTTGAGTCAAGTCTGTTGGAAACAGAAAGATTAGCTACATACAGCAAAGCACTTAGAGGTGTTAAATTGAATAAAAAAGAGCATGTAATGCAAGAAACTCATTCTACTGGGTTATTTGACTTGCAAATATGCCATGCTGCTGGCATGAAAATATGTTAATCTTTGTCTATCACAATTCACTGATATTACAAGATTCATTATTTTCACAATTCTTATTATAAACACATGGACAACATTAAATTGTGTCACGTATTAGCCTGCATTGAAGAGCAGAGAAGTGGGTGCTTGAAGAAGCCTCAGGTGGGCAATTCTTGACACTACATATTTTTTCACTAACCTTAGAAAATGTCAAAAAGAAAAGTATCAAATAGACCGAATTAGGTAAAAACGATAATAAAAAATACAAAAGGAAAACAGTTAACATAGATAAAACTTTAAAAAGGAAATCTGATTAAATCTTGAGATAAAATAGAATTCTTTCATAAGATTAGAAAAAAAATAAACAAAAATTTAATACTTGTGTATAAGTTAGGTAAAAAAGGTCTGGAACAAATGTACAATGAAATAGAAAGGAGGAAGGAACATTCGATGATCCATTAATACTAATTAAAACTTATTTTAAAAGCTGCTTCATTATACAGTCGTTTATTATGTATGTATATATAGGAAAGTCTGATACTACTGTCTGAGTACTGGTTCTATCATTGAAAACAACAGCCAACAATTTAACGGAGGTAAAAAATTAAAGACTCAAAATCGAAAAAATCAACATACTAACAACTGAAAATAATCAAACCAACAATGATTTGTTTCGGGATTCACCCAAGACACACTTAGTAGCATGATTATTTTTAGCTGTTAAATTTTTTGGTCTTTTAAGATTTCAACTGTTTTTGGTTTTTATGCCTTGTTCACTTAGTTAAAGTAAGCACAGTTTTTTCGATATGGGTTTCAGGTTTTAAAATAACCAAAACGCCTTCTTTCTTTGTTGGCCCTTGCAACATCCATAAGTTATGATTAAGAATATAAATTTAATGGGGAGGGCCTAGCTTGGAATGAGACAGTATATGCGAGACTTCATTTCTTAATCATTTGCAAACAAATCAAAATTCATTACTTACTTCCACAAGAGAACGGTGATAGTCATATTACATCTTTTCCCAAAAATATTGCACCAGACGTCAAACCAAATATGACACACTCTTGAAGTCACTGCAATGAAAATAATTTTCTAAAGTTTTTGAGCCTCTTTAACTTTCTCCCACATTAAAAATGCAGTTATACAATACATGCTTCATTCGTTTTTAACAACTGCGATAAGGGGAAACTTATTCAAAGCAGGGGCAAAAATACAAACGATTATCTCACAATTGATTAGAATTTTTTTTTCCCTTTAAATAAATTCAGTTTTCTGTTTAAAAAAAAGAAGAAAAAAAAGGGGGGCCCAGCAAAATAGTAAAACAAAATTCAGAGCTGTTTTCATTTAATTTTAGCGCAAAAAGAACATCCTGCTGCAAAAAATCTCGTGTTTTTAACCTCGCATTGACTAGACTAAGAATGAGAAGAGTTTTTAGAAAACCATTCAAGCAAGGGAGAACCAGTTTGCTGGGTCATGCTTGCAGTTTGAGCTGATCAAAGAATGCCTTCTTAGTAATCAGGAAAAGAACATAGCTACTAAATGCTAGTCCTAAATCAAAGAAAGATAATTAAATTATTAGAAATTAGGAGTCGTTTTGTTGTGAGCCAATAACCAGGCACATTTTCAAATCTCTTGCTAAATGTGACACATCAACAATAGAGTCAACCATTTCCTGAACGGCGGACACACTAGGAAACTGCATGGCTGCCTTTTTTGTTTTGTGGACTGTTGCTGCAAGACACTCGCACAAGGCATTAGCGCAGTGGAGGACCTTTCCTTTCATTACCGGGTCATTAATGTTGCGATGGACAGTATCTCCAATGTAGACCAGACGGTGTGCACTCAAGACGACGAATTTGCCATGCGCAAGGAATACTTTCGGAGGTTGGTTATGTTCAACAGTCTGAAGAAATGCATCAATAGCATGCATCAGTTGAGAGGCATGCGTAGACGCTTGGATTGCGTAAAATGAGAGAACCTTTGAAAAAAAAAAAAAAAAGTATGGTTAAAAAGAATTTTGTTTTGAGTGTTTCACTTTGCAACATGATCAAAAGACTAGTTGAACTAGACAGACTGAAACAAAAAAGTTTTGAAAGAATGAATCTGTAATAAGGAAAAATATTTTACGTTACAGGAATTAAAACACATTGCTTTTCTAGCTGTTCCACTCTTGCTGAAGTAAGCCCTCACAATCAGACACGAGGCTGGTGTCCTCGGACTTTCTGACAGTTGCTCTGTTTTTGTCATGTAACTCGCTTGGCAAGCCACCATGTTTTAGCTACAAACTAGGTATTATGAATAAAAAAAAAGGAATGAGAGAAAATACTATATTACTTAAAGCGAGTGTTCAAGGTCCAGTATAAAAGACTTCATGAAACAAAACGATACAATGTTGATATGTTGCAGTAAGAGTATAATTCAGATAAAATTGTGCATTGTGTGAGCAAGAAATAATGAAAAGAACACAGTTTGGGTGAACAAGGAAGACAGACAGTCTGACTTTGAAAATAAAATAAACAACATAACACTAAAAGTAACCTTCCTGGCGTTGAGAGGCTCATAGATTTCTTCCATGGGTTTCCAAGCATGAGAACATTTTTTGCTTTTGCCAGTTTCAGGGTTGGAAGCTTCCAGCTTTCGAATTTATATGATTTTTCATTACTCAAATGGATCTTTGCGTCGCTCTCATCAAGTTTGAAGGAAAATACAACTGGACATATTTTTAGAAGGCTGTCTAGTTGCACATCAAGACCTCAGCTTCATGCAGAGAACAATTAAAAGTGCATAGTGTCTCCGTTAATTACTCCTGACGCCCCCCCCCCCCCCATACACAGACAAATATTAATCAATAAATCTTTTCTCTCTACCAAGGGGCAAAATTTTAATTCCTCAAAACGACAAACAATGGATAATGAGTAAAATGTATGCTCACCTGTTTATCAGAATTGAAACTTTCTCCATCGTCGCTGACATCAGGTAGGTCAACAGATTTTGCCTGTTTGATCAGAAGAGAGTACGATTTTTGAAGTTCAGGTGGAAGAGACTCCAGTACTTCTTTGTGATGTGCTTTGTCTAAATTAACATAGTCGTAGTCATCTGGTGAGGTGTTTTCACTTCTCTTGAATAGTAGAGTTGAATTGCCCTAAAAAAAGAGGAATATAAACGGAGTTTTGAAGAATTTTGATGAATAATTTTCTCATGTTGAAAAAATAATGTGGTTGGTGTAATATCATAAGATTTGAAAAACAGAGCACACCAGGGTGTCTACTGAAATACGCTGCCCAAAAATCAGTACTTTTCCTTTTTCAGTACATTCCCAAGAAATTCAGTACCTCCTCCACGGGAAAATTCGGTGCTTTTTCAGTAACTACATCCAATTGACGAAAATCGAAAAATTCAAAAAATTTAAATTTCTCGCCCAAGTTGCGACAAAAATGACAAAAAATGGAAAAAATTCCGGACCCTCTGCAGAATTTCCACTTTTCCAGTGCTTCCAGACTTGCATACACATTACACACTATTTCAGAAAACAATTTCTTTTATTCTGCGCATGCTTCAAAAGACTAATAAATAATTCAAATTGACAGAGGCACAAGTTAGTAGTTCAGCTACCTGTCATTTCATGGTGGTAATATCAAACAGTGTGGTGATTTCCATGAAAGTATCCAACAAAACAGAGGTTAACTAGGAAAAACAGTTCTAGAAGATGAAGAAAACAAAAATATACCTGAATGAAGCTAGCTGTCTGTCGGACATCTTCTGTGAGATCTTTGGCGCAGGAAACGATTTGGTCCAGAGCATCAAATCCGTTGGGCTTGTTTTTAAACGGTACAGCGTAGTCACTTTCTTTTGCTAACTTCTCAATAGACCAATCTTGGGCCTCAAGAGAAGCACATGCACTCTGAATGAGGAAGTCAGCATTTTTCAAGGCTTTGACCATTGGTCGTAGCTTACCGGCTAAACCTGAGAAATACAAACGTTTATGAGACAGTGGTAACAAATACAAGTCTTTGACAACAGAAAATTAAAACTTTTGTCTTTGAAAAAAATCTGAATATTGACCAAACCCTCTTTATAAGAACTTAGATTTGTATACAGACAGAGGTTATATGATTGAGAATCTGGAGGGTGAGGCCTTTAAATGATAGGTTTGGAAAATTGAAAAATTGCTTCATTTGAGCGGGCTGTAAAGAATTACACACACATAAGCCAAATTGTCAGATCTTTACAATTAGCATTAATATCCTAGTTCAAAATTTCCTTAGAACAATTTTTGTTCCTCAAAATTTTTTCTCTTCACATTAGTAAAAATTTATGTCTAGCAAGTTGGAAAGTAGTATTTGTAAGTAACATTTTTATAAAATATCAAATGATCACAGCAGTTATGTAAGACAAATGTATATCTCACCATTGTCAAAATTTTTCATGGCATTTCCGAGAGCACCTTCACCAAATTCAGTCAGGTCATGTAGAGAAGTTTGAAGTCGAAGTACAACTAATTTAATGTCCATTAACTTCGATTCTAACTTTTCTCTTTCACGCCACTGAGGACCAGCAAAACCAAGTAGTTTGCAAATAGCTGTAGTTGCCTCGCTTTCCAAGCGCGCTAGACATTCTAGGGCTGAGTTCAGTTCCAAGGGTAACTCACGATGCTGAGGATTGGTTGATGGAACATCATAATTCTGGAGACACAAAAATATTTTTAGAAAACAAAACGTAAAACGAATTACAAAATTGTATTGATTTTGTCATCAGTTTCCCAACTTTTATTTTGATTGTTTCTCGATTTGCCAGATCATTGATAACAGTCGCAAATTTTGATCTTTTTCCTTCCTCTAATTTAATTGTGAATTGAAGTTGTCAATTGTGAGTTATTGATTTTCATCATTGAATCCAAGGGGCGTTTTGAGGGATGGTAAGTTTCGCTATTTAAAGGTTAAGTACGAGGCTCACTACAACTCAACCTATGTGCAAATACTATTATTATTTATAGGATCAAAGTATATTCCTCTACAGTTTCTTTGTTCGAATTATATCCTAGTTTTGTTTCTTAATTTTAATTTTGTACTTTCCTTTTTTCTAGATTTTTTACTTTCTTGTTAAATTTATTTTCCTTTTGGGGGATCCTTGAGGTGGTTTGTATTTTCTTAAAAAGTTTTGTAAATTGCTTGTTTTATTTTCATTCATTGATAAATTTGTCACTTTTTCAGCAATTTAACAACAAACCTGGTAATACCTATTGCTTTTTAAGCAACATTTGTGGTCGAATTACAAATCCCATGATCTCACAGATGCTCCATCTAACTTGACTTAAAAACATTTCGAACATTGATTTCAGGAGATGATAACTCCTTCTTCCTATTGTAATACATGGCCATGACTGAAATTTCCTGAGAGATCATCTTAGATCGTTGACAAAAAAGAAGAAAATAGTAACTTATCTCTCAGTGTTCGCAGAGGTAACAAAACACGGAGAAATACCTTAAGCACAATTATATTCGTTTGAATAAAAAACTAAAGAAGAATACCTGGTCAGCGAGTAACTGGTGAAGTTGCAGTTGACCCCCGATTGGTTTTCCTCGGGGTACATCATACTCTGGAATAAAACTTGATCGATTGGAGCTTGGACCCGAAAGTGAGTCTGTTGTATTGGTGTTTAACGATGAGATTGAGCTACTTGGGGTGAGCAGGGACTGCGCTACTTGAAATGATACTGGAGCATTAGGACGAGGAATATCATAGCTATCATCGACCCTGAGAGGGCGAGGGGTATCATAGGCTGGGCTATTTTGCTGCTGAATGCTAGAGGTCATCAACGGCCGAGGTGTGTCGTAGCTGTCACTGATACTACTACCGCTATTTGGCCGAGAGTAAGACTCGCTACTGTGCGTTGAAAAACAATCTGAAAATTATGAACACATATTTCAGACTTCAAGAAAAATAAAAAATAGAATGAAATTATTGTGTTAATTTTCTCACAACTTAGAAGCTTAAAATATGACATGAAAAGAACATAATACATTTCAAATAATAATTTTGTTCACTTTTTTTTGTCTTGAAACATCTATGTTTTACAATTTTAATAAAAAGAGGGGAGCAAGCAAGAAATTGTGTGAATTGGATCGCATTTTACAAAGGGGAACCGGCGCAACTTTTGGGTTTTCGAAATCATGCAATTTATATTTTTCTTAAGAAAATACTTTATACATGTACCATATTCAATTTTACTTGATTATTATCCTTTTAAATTTTTAAAAATTTTCTCGTGGAAGCATACAAACAATTTGAAAGGAACAGACAGAAATTTTTCAGGTACAACAGAGGATGTAAAATTTATACGATACTGTAATTGCTCTGGCCCCCTTCAGCTAAATTCCATACATTTGGACGTAGGAGTTGTGTGAATGTGCAAAAAGAAAAGAGTACCAATAAGAAAGGCGTTATCTTGGACAGTCAAAATATGAAAGTTTCGATACTTCCAATCAAATTCATGGGAAACTTTAGAGGGAACAATTACCGGAAGTTTAACTTGGAAACTTAGAAAATATTGGAAATGTAGTTATTTAATAATCATTAATCATACATACCATGCGGAGTGTCAACAACTGCAACATGAGCTGACGGTGGAACATCATATTGCTCCTGACCCATGGATGTTTTGCTTGTTGGCATGTCATACAAGTAAACATCACCAAATTTTTGAGGTGTAAGAACCTGGTCATGAAAAGAAAAGAAAAAAAAATCTGGTATTAGAGCGATTCCGAGTTAGTGAGTTACTCTGACAAGATTATCAAGTGTATGTATTAACTCAAATATAACTAGGGGCCCTCTCTCTCTTTTTGTACAGGTTTGAAATAGCATCACAATCATCGGAGATCATTCTGCTCATGTCTACAGTAAAAAAGTGAATCAGGTCCAAATTCTGCAATAGAATAAATTTAACTATTTATACTGTTATTAAAAACCTGGAGGGTTTTTTTTTTATATGGCTTCAAAAGGATGAATGATTTTAAGTGTTTCCAATGTAGTCCATTCTTGGTTGTAAAAGTCTGTTAAATATTAACACGTATTGTCTAGTCATTCATCTCTCAAATTACACAAAGCCTGGGTATAAAAACTATTAACTATTACTACTAGCTAAAGGGATTTTCTTTCAGCAAAAAAATGTGATTGACATCATTCTTCTTCAAATGCTTCTGAACTTGAATCCAGATAGTAGAAGGTAATTTACGTTACATAACTTTGCAATGTGCCATGGAGTGAAATGGTATGGATTAAATTGAATCTTCACAGAACTGAATATAGAAGATAGCAATTAATGAACATAGTAAAACACATACTTTATTCGGTTGGACATGCCAAGATCGCCTTTTGCCTTGTCTTTGGAGTGTATTGAAATCTGATCCTGTTTCATAAATGCCTGCCAAGAGGCGAAGACGATTTCCTGGAACGATACCCTGTCGACCTTTCAGGGCACACAGCCACCATCCTTCGAGACCACTTGTATTCTGCTCAAGAACTGTCAATATATCTCCTTTTTGAAAGGCAAGTTCATCTGGAGATTCGGCTATATTATCATAAAGCGCTCGAGCAACGCAATTCTGCAAAAACAGATGAAAAATAAATATTATTTTTTGGAAGGAAGGAGCTATTAGTATGAAAACTACGATGATACCTACAAGTTGGAGGGATCTAAGACATCCAAGGTAGTGACAAGCAGAATTAGCTTGGTAGCACAAGTGTTGGTTTTCAATTTTGCGGTCAAAGTATAATTTAATACATGTAGTCAGGTGGCACCACTGGTGAATGGTGACTTATGTCACCATTCACCGGGTATACAATACTTTGACATTTGTCTCAACATACCATGCGCGAGCTCTACTTTCTGTTTGCAAGCAACTGCACAGCCATTTGAGTACAAGTGTGCAGATGTGTGAAATTGTGAATGAGTGATACCTGTATAGTCGCCTGGTTGAGTGCGAGTTTGCAGATTTGTAAAACGATCTACTGCGTGTGACAGTAAAACGAAAGCGACTGCCAACATATTTGATGGAGCTTTAACAAAACGTCACAATCCGCTTGAAATGAAGTTGGGTTGAGGAGAGACTTATGAGCTATACTTACGTTTTAATGCATTTACTTACTTGAGAATTTCCTGCAGAAACTGAATCTTGAAGCTGAGGCATTTTTGATGCGAGATGAGCTTTGAAGTTACAGTTATATTATTGGAGAATATGTTTATAGACGTTCATAGACCTCCTACATTTTGCTGTTAGGTTAGATTGAGTGGGGCAACAGATCAGAGAGTCTTCAATACACATACAACACATAAAATAAGAATGATTACAGGCAAAAAAGAAGTAGTAGGACTAATTGATCTGAACCTAAAGAATTATTTGTAAGGCTTCGAAATTATAAGAAAAAACCAGATCTACCTATATGCTTGCCTACATCGGTAAGGGCCATCTGAACATCTGACAAAAGAAAATACAATTAAGGTGAGGAGAAAATCAGTAGCACGGTGATTGTTAAGGAACCTTGATATTTTAGCACAAAAAGAACACTCCTGCTGGGCACAAATAGTAATAGTTGTGTGAAATCGTAGTAAAATATTCCTACAAATAATGTAAACACTACTTTTCCTTATCAAAAAGCTGCAATGTTTACAATAGCCCGTGACGTAAAATTCCCGGAGTTGCCAAATTCTTTGGTTCAAACTTTTTTAACTAACTTTTGGCTTTTGAGGTTAGGACTGTCAGGACCAAGGTAGATTTACACAGGTATGGACAGAACTTAACAACTGGCCTCTGATTGGCTCTCCAGCGGCCCCTTAACGTCAGCCATTTTGAATGTTTTGATTATTTTGATTTATTATGTTCGGTTTATCGTTTGTCAAAATTTTGTGGGATTTTTTGCACAATTTTGATAATGCGATATTAATTTTAACGTTTAAACGCACAAACGTTTGAATGCTAATTTGATTGTAATTTAATTAAAAAACGGGCCCCTTAACCTACGTCACGTAGTCATGTGACACGTACTGAGGCTCATGGGAAATTTTCAACTTTTCCATACCTGTGTAAATCTACCTTGGTCAGGACTGGGACAAGCCATACAAGCGTAATACTACTAATTTTGCTTTTTTTTCACGCACAAATATAAATTTTTCTCCATCCAGGATCGCCGGTTATTTTCAATAACTAGAATATACCTTCTTGAACAGTATAATTTCATTCTGCACGGGTGATATTTTCTGTCAGTTATTTTGTTGCCAATAATTTGAGTGTCTTTTGTAAGTAATAGCATCCCTATCACCAAGTATTGCTTCTTTTTTTTTCACTTCAATCCGTAGGTCACAAGTATTAAATCCACCTAACATAGAAATTGCACTTTTGGAGTCCTACGACTTCAATCTTCAAACACATCTAAGGACTAAGGCTCCGATTTCACCCTGAGTATTTGGTACGTGGTTCTTCATTCGTACGTGAACGTTGGATGCAACAAGGTCTGTCAGGACTGAACCTTCTAATCAGGAGTAGGGGCATCTCTCTTTTAGGTCTAGAAGGCAACAATGGTCAGGCAAAAACATCATTAGATGTCATTTTTTACCCTAAATTTTAGGTGCAAATCTTACCTACCTACCCTCGTCAAGTCATATCGATAGTGAAGCTGCACAAATGTGTATCTCAAGTGTGGTGTTTTGAAACCTACGTTCCTATTTTATTTTTGAAGGATTCTGATCCATCATGATAGATTGAAGTTTTTCAGAATATCTATTTGAAAGAGAAGAATAACCATCGTTTTCTGAAAATGACGTTCAGTAGTTTTCCGACTTGAATATGAAGCATGACAAGAAATCTACAATACAGCAAACTAAGATATGCATTTCTGCAGTTTCACCATCAATAACCATTTGACGATATGCCACTACCTGTCAGAAGCATAATCACCAGCCCTCATGTACATGCCAAGAATATTCAAACAAAATTAGTTGTTCAAGCGAACAAGTGGCCTCTACTGGTGATGCTAGTCAAGTCGCATAGGATCATTTTAAGGGCACCGAAGACATTCATGAACACCATTCTAAGACTTGAGTGTCCTTTTGAAATTAAGATCACTGTCCAATCTAAATAATTAAGCTAATGTCATCTATTTTTGAAACAATTTATTGCGAAAGTGTCAGTGAGTACTTGAGAGGTGAATAATGAATGACACGTCTGTTTTGTAGAGTTTACATCTAATTGTAATAAATCTGTTAATCTTTGTGTGTTGCAGGATCATTTCCAAAATGCCCCCTCCTTTAAGTAACTTACGGTTTGCTGTTGTATGCTCTAGTAATATGAATCGAAGTATGGAAGCCCATGCTTTCCTCAGGTAATATTATTTTTGACATTTGTGACATGAGCATAAAATGAGTCACCATTTATTTTTATCGGCGATTCTCGCAAGTTGTAGCTCTAAGATTTGTGTGTTGAATTGTTTGTAAAGGAACCAATTTTCATAGGCAGACCTTACCTGGAGCTAATCTGGATTCAAATGGAGGAAATCATTGTCACCAATCGGTGAAATCCCAACATTATTTTTTTTCCCCGAACCAAATGAATATTGAATGAATTTGTAACAATCCATCTCTTATTTATGCACTGTGAATCAATCAGTAATACAAAAAATAAGAAATTTTCTTCTCTCCTAACTAACATCTGAATTTTACCTTTTTATCTGTATTTTAAATTTTCTCTTTTTCTTTTTTCCAGCAAAAAAGGGTTTTCAGTGAAATCATTTGGGACTGGTGACAAGGTGAAACTTCCTGGAACAGCACTAGACAAGCCAAATGTATATGAGTTCACCACAACATATGATGAAATATACAAAGACTTGCAAGCAAAAGACAAGTCCTAGTATCCTTTTCAACATAAGTTCATTCTCACTTATTAGCTTTACATTTATGGAGTTTGTGTCAGGGTCATAAAAAATCAGATCATATTCTGTATGGAAGATTCTGGATTTAGCAGTCTGAATTAAAATATCTCTTTTGTTTCCTTTATCAAGAATAGGTAAAGTCTCTTTTTTAATGTGCGTTGATCCTTCTATAGGGTGTCTGCAAGTATCCTTAAAAAATATTTTAGCACTTTTTTGGTATGTATTTTTTTACCCATCTCACAAACTCCACAACCCTCTATGAAAGAGGAACTTCGTAAATTTGTGGTGCATTCCATGCAAAAGCTAAATTTAGCTTGGTTGTCTTCGCCACATTAGTAGCTTGAAATGAATATCTCTTGATCTAGCTGATCAAAAGAAAAAAAACTGCTGATAACAAGAATACCTCAGCTCACACATATATTTTTACAGTTATTTTTATTATTTTAGTACCCTCTTGCAAAAATCTGCCCTTTTTTAGTCCTTATTGACTTTCAAGACCTAAAGACTTACTTTAGATCCTACTTACTTTCAACAGCATTATATCTCATTAATTTTTTTCTTACTACAGAAAAAAAAGAAATTAGAAATTGCAAAATCAGAAGTTGAAAAGGTGCAGAGTTCTGTTTTATTTAGAGATAACAGCTTTTATTTTATTTATTAATGTTTTACATGTTTTTTTTATTTTTATTTTATTTTCTTTGTTGTAATAAGAAATTGACAAGGAAAAGAATTTCGATTTTTGAATTTTACCGAAAGGCTTCCTTTCTGGAGTTAAATTTTCTTTTTGTCTTTATACTCTTTATTTTCCTCACATACCATCTCGGTATTATCATTGTTCTCTAGTTAAATAGTCTGTATAAAATCCTTAATAGACGTAAATCAGCTACACCCAAAATGGTTTACTTCATATGTTAGACAGAAATAGAAGGATCAAACCTTGTCCAGAGCGAATTCAGGTGTCAACTGACCAGTTTGACATCATCATCACCTGTGAAGAGAGAGTTTATGACCAATTAATTGAATGTAAGTTCCTCATTCTGTAAAGAGAAGTAATAGTTAAGTTTTGGAAAACAAAAGAAGAAAAAAAGGAAAGTTTCCTGTAAAAAATGAACACAATTAAATTAGAGCTGTACTCACTTAGAATATTCTTTTCAGAGAATAAGTTTAAAATCCTGCTGACCTATTGCAAAATTTTGCACCTATCTGTGAATTTGAATTGGTGAGTCCGTGCAAGGCCCCCAGTGTTTGAAGGAGATGTTTTCAATTTTCAATTGGTTCATTATTTTTATCTAACAAGAATTAGGGAGTATGTGGGAGTAAAAAAGTATTCAATCCTTCTCAAATTTCATATACAATTTTTCGGACTCAAGTTCTACCCATTGGAGGATTTCAAACTTGCTTATTGCAGAAATAATTGGCTTATCCGAGTAGTTCTCTTAAGTTTCTACTCTCCGCTTCAATATTTCTTTACACTAAATTCAGAATAAATCTGTTTTGTTACACACAACACTCTTAACAACACTTTTGTTATCACAGCACTCTTCTCTAGTATTCTATCTTCCTTCCAAAATTTTTGGAGCTATTTACAATTTCTTACAAGTCATAAGAATATTTAATGTTGTAGAAAATTTTACAAAGAGCCAAGGTGCAGCAATTTTTAGGCGGTATCTTTGGTCAAATGCTCTAATTTTAATTTGCCACACCCTGAATTTTAAGTGCACCACACACACCTGTAATTTATATTCTTGGTTCAGCTAGATAAATTTCTTTGTGCTTTAATGTCCAAAATCATCAATGCTGTTCCTCTTTTTCAGCCTTTTGTTTTAATAAACTATACTGAGTGAAGAATGTGCATAATTTTCAGATTTTGAGACAAGAACTCCGGTCGATAATGCACCAGTCCATGTCATAAATGTTGACATTCAAGATAACCATGAAGAAGCAACCATAGGAGCTTTTATGATCTGTGAATTAGCCACTTTGGTAATTATGGCACTTTTCTTTTTTATGTCTCTTTTTTAAAGTAGTGGCTACCATACATATTTAGAAATCAAACATCAAACTACTTGGTAACTCTTAAAAATTTCATGCTGAACTAATTATAAAGGTCGGACCACAACTGAAAAGTGAAAAATTAGTATTTTCCAATCTTAAAAAATCAAATTCCTCGCTAACCAGTTAACCTGTTTGCGTAAGTCTAATAAGGCACCTGAATAATGTCAGTGTTCTTAAAGATGAAATAATTCTTTTCAAGTGCTGAATTTTTCTTTGGAAAGTACACTCTTACTGTGAATGTAAGTACAAAGGAGTGTGGAGATATTTATGAAACTCAACCCTAATTATTCGCAAAACAACAGATTTCTTTTTGATGGGAGATTTGATCAACATAGCACTATCATATCTATCAATTTTGGTTTCTTCCTCAAGCGGAGTATTCAAATTGTCTTTTTTTCTTACAAACAAAAAAACACTTACCTCTCACTTATCAATATATTTTGGAACACTTAAATGAAGATTTTGGAAGTTTTGAACATGTGCATGAAAGTTTTTTGAAGAAATTTGTGGAGTGATGCGTTTATTTCTACCATATATAGAAATTCATTGATTTTAATAACAAAATTGACTGTTCATTTCATGAATACAAAAATTAAAATCCTGTTTTATCATGAATTTTAAGAGAAACGGCAACTGAACCTAATTGTTATCCTCCCTCAAGTAATGTTTTATCAAAAAAAACAGAATTTGCCACAGCTCAAAAGTAATTATTGAAACAGATAATTTTATGAAAAGTCTGAAGCGCTCTTTTTCTCTTCGTGTGACGGATGCAAGAAATTCTCTCAGCAATCATGATCTCATCAGACAAGTTTTTAATATTTTTTTTCCCCCTCTCTTCACAGTTATCCAAAAGCAAAGATGTTGATAATGAAATTGACTACATTCTACACGAGTATGAAACCAAATGCAACAGGCCTCTACTTCACTGCTTGTTGTTTTACTGACGAAGAGTTGTCACTCAGGTGTTATTTTTTTCTTTTTTAAATTGAAAGCGTATTATCTAGCAAATGCATGATTGCGCATGCAGCATTTACTGTTCTCAAATGCTTGAATTTTCAATTATGTCTCAATTTCTGTGATATAGTATCTATTAACCAATGTTTTAAATTGATTAAGAAATGAGTATAAAATAATTTATTAATTTTTCATCATCACCTCTTTTATAATTTCCATTTTCATTTGATTTGATAAAAACAAAATTTCAAATTCAGACTTATCCTATTTATACATGACTTACCTGTATAAATCACTTACTTCTCCAAAATTAATAAATATATATTTGGCTACTTTCTCTTTTTTGTTCTTTGTGTATCCGAAATCCATGAATCATGTTTCCTTGTCATGTTTCATTAAGTTTCCACTCAAATACTAGATTGTATAAGATCTTAAAAGAAGACAAATAGAGAGGAAATATCATTATAAAAGAGTATAGGCAAAGATTACAGCATTATCCATTACCAGAGGCTGATGGACTAATGTATAATGGATCCCCTAATGCCTAAGTGTGAAAGGAAAACAAAAATTTAAGCTCAATTCACTCTAGTGAAAAATCGGAATTTTTGAATCCAAGCAAACCGTAGGCGGATCCAGAAGCTCCGAACAGGAGAGGGGGTGGAAGGAGGCCAGAAAATTTTCGAAATTTTAATGCATCAAATTTGTAGTTCGAGTCAATTTTGTCATGAATAATCACTGAATATACATTTCCTTCCTTCTTCTTTTCTCCGTTCCTTTCCTCCCTCTTTCTTCCCTTTTCCTTCCTCCTCGGGCGAACGGGGAGGGAGAGGGGAGACAGCTTACGCCCTCCTTGGATCCGCCCATGAAGAAAACTTGTCATCCTGCAAACAGCCATGATCACGATAAAAGCTGAGTCTGCTCGTTTTTGCCGATAACGGGCCCGCACAAAGCACTATTTGGCAACGCTGCCAGGTACGGGAGATGGTAAATAATTAAAGGATACGATTACTACATATTTCGGAGGAAATTATCTTCGGAATGAACCTGCCAGTGAGTAGGTTCCAAAAGAGCTTAAGCGTATGAATGCCGATTAAGTCAAGTGAGAAATAAATTTCGGCATGAATAGTCTCCATTTTATTTATATATTTTTTTAAAATTAATGTACTTATTATTATTACTTGGGAGGGGGATTTGATTATATACTCTAAACCTCTCTATTTTTGTGCAGCGACGGCGTATGAATGCAACAAGTCCCACATTTCGTTAGCAGAAGGGAAAAAATTGAAGGCACTCCGGCTGTTTCAATGGCCAGGTCTGGATACAACTATTCGTGTTCTTCGGATGTCCGTGTTGTATACACTAAAAATAGCAGGCGCTCTGATTTTCTTTGGCGTAACTTGCGGCTGCGGTTGTTAGCTCTCATGGGTTTTCGACGTTGCATTCACAAGACGATCGTGTTCACCATGAAATCCTCGAAATTCGACGAGTCGCGTAGCATCACGGCAGCGTTACAAAATTATGCAAATTTCGGAAATATTATCCGTAGTAATTTTGTGGCTTTGACATGCAATGCCTTATATGCCTGTATAATGCGGAGGGTATGGATTCGATCGACATGAATCGATCGAAAAATGAAAACGTGAATCGATCGACACCGATTCGATCGACAAATTATTAAAAAACCGGTGTCGACTCGATCGACATGAATCAATCGACACCGATTCGATCGACAATTAATTTAAAAACACCCGTGTCGATTCAATCGACATGAATGGATCGAAAAATAAAAACGTGAATCCATCGACACTAATTCGATCGATCCAACCGTGAATCGATCGACAAACCTGAGAATCGATCGACAAATCCGTGGGTCGATCGAATTTTGTGCATTATGCTTTAGAAAACCAGAGCGCCTGCTATTTTTGTGTATGCAATACGCACATCCCTAGAGCACGTATAGTTGTATCCAGACGTAGCCATTGAAAAAGCCGGAGCGCCTTAAAGTTTTCCCGCTTGAGACTATAAAATATGTTACTCATTGCATTTATACGTCGTCGTTGCATGAAATTATGGTGGTTTGAGTATTTAATCAAATTGAAAAAAAGGAATAAGTAAATTAATATAATTCAGGCCCGGACTTAGGGCGTGTGCAGGGCGTGCGGCGCACACGGGCGCCAGCCTTTGGAGGGAGCCACGAAAGAAGAAGAGAGGGAAAAAAAGGGGGGAAAAGGAAAAGGAAAAAAGGGAAAAAAGGAAAAGGAAACAAGGTTGGGCAGTGAAAGCAAGGAAGAAGGGGGAAAATGGAAGGAAAAAGGAGGCAAGAAAAGTGAAAAGAGAGTCCGCGAGAAAGGGGGGGGGCATAAAAACCATAGACAAAATATAAAGAGAATTGCCGTCTAAAGGTAAATTTTCAGGACAAAAACTCCACCTGGTCCA